TCGACTAGGGGAAAATACGATTCTATGAAGTGATGGAGCTCCGCCCGCTCATTTTCATAAAATCGTATGGTAAGGAAAAGGAGCATTTTTTCTCGGGGTTTTTTTTTTTCGCGTGGGCTTTAAACGAACCGGCGGCGGCGGTTTGAAAAAAATTAGAGAAAAAACACACACGCACAATCGTGGCATGCGCGTAAAAAAAAACACACACACACGGTGCATACGTACAAACGAAATATAATATATAGAAGATAGACTGCAGTTGATCGGGGGGGGGAGGGGGGAGGGGGGCGGCGGAATATATAAAAACGACGACGACGAGTAATATTTTTTTTCCACGATTAAAACAACAGCTGCCGTTGCCGCCGCCGTATATATACAGTATGGCGGCAAAGTCGTCACCGGAAACGCGGGGTCGTTCACCCGGGTCTGAGCCGCCTTCCTGTGTTCTACATACACACGCTCGCACACACGCATATCCCATCCATATTCCTTTTTCTTCGGCCCAACAACCGGATACACACAATAATATACGCGCGCGTGTGCCTTATTATTAGCAGAGTTACGCACGGCCTTCTCTCCTCTCTCTCTCAACTCTGCCTTTCCACCCCTCCCGTCGTCGTCAACGTCTTACCCCCTCCCTGCACCGTTTCTCATATACGGTCGGGCTGCGTCGTGTGCGTGAGCCCCGCTCGATTTAAATAACTTTATATAAAATATATATTATTTATATTATATAGATCGATAACAAAAAAAAAAAAAAAATAACAAAAACCCACAAAATTCCCGTCTAAAATATATACCTGTACAATAATATACTGGGTCCCGATGCAGTTTTTTCGGCATTTATCATACACGCGTATGGGAAATTTTAACTATTGGAAATGCGGATACTTTACTTTTGCGCAGCGGCGGGGTTCCCCGCGGCGGACTAGGCACATTTTATTTTATTAAGCGTTTGTACAAATTCCGTCTTATAATATCTTATCGATTTCATTCGAAATACAATGAAATATACAGGTAGGCGGTATTAATCGGTTTCACAAAAATATACGAACACCCGCTAAAATATTGTTAAATTTTCCAAAACAATTACCTAAGCCTGAAATCAACAAATAGTAATTAATCCTAATAACAGCACCACGATAACTAATTCCGATTCTAGGTATATGCAATACTATAAATTTGTCTCATCATAGCACTTACAATAGATTCATAATCCACCATGGTTTTTCAGGGAAAAAAGGTACGAGCCTTCGTCTTGAATGTTCAGGACGATTAATTGAACGTTTGAAAAAATCCCTTAAGCCATAGTCATTTGATCTGCAGCAGTCTTCTTGAGACACTATGACATTGTAACATACTGGTAAACGTGACTCGAGACATTTTACGCCTGTATTTGTCATATCTAACTGAGACAAAGATATTTAGAAATCTTTTTCTAATTCACCAAAACTGACCTATTTTGACGATGAAAATATTTCAAATAATATATATATCTTTTTCTGCAATATTGAGATTCCCGGGTGGGGGGAGGATGTGTCTAATAACCTTAAACAAACTACCATATATAGCCTACCTTCTATTCAGACGAATTGTTTTTTTTTTTCCACTGAAATTTTCAATCTCTATTATAAATTCTTTAATGTCAGTGTATTCTAGTTGTTTTTTTTTGTTTTTGGGTGCAGGGGCTAAAGTAAATAACAATATAATATAGTTTGCTTTCTCGATCATCGCGATTATTATTGTCCTAGGTCTTAGACAATATATTGTAAGTGTACGCGAATACAACAATAATAATAATAATAATAATAATACAAAGAATAATCCCCTCTCCCCCCGAGGTGTTAACCTTGTATTATTAGTATTCTTTTTTTGTTTTTTTAATTATTCGTTGCCGCCGCCTGCCGTCGTGTTTAGTCGGTGGTGCTCGTTTAATATAAAACCATTAATGAGAAATTAATAACAGCGTTCCGGAGACGTGTTTCCGTTACACCGGAAACGAAACCGATATCGTTAATAGTATACGTATATAATAATAATTCCTCTATTATCATTGTGTCGACTCCATTTTTCTTTTTTTTTTTATTCAACTGTTTTTACGCCGTAGCACCGATTATAATTATATGCATACGAATAAAAATTGTTTTAATGATTTCCCATTGATGCCCCCGTGCGAATAAAACGTTGGGTTCGACGGAATTCTCTTTAATACAAATAACATATAAATGATAATAATTATTGTAAATTTAATATACCATCAAAATATAGCTGCTGCGCGGCGGTAAATAATCGAGGTTAACCTGCAGCTATTATCGTATATATTATTATTATATACTGGTATTTTATATCGTTTATTAATTTTTAATGGTTCCCTCGTTTCCGGTTCGTCCATACACATTACAATGCACTGCACTGTAATAAAGTATAGTACATAGAGTTACCTACTATAAATTGACGAAGAAATGAATAAAGTACGGTGTCCGGATCCACTGAGTTCCGGCCCCTTTGAATACCGCGGGGATTTAAAATTAACGTATTTGTATCTTTTATTATATACTCACTACATAATTAAGTAAACTGCAATCAATAAAATGGAAATCCCCCGAGGGACAGAAGAAAAATGTCCGGTCATCGCATCCAATTTCCGTTTTACAAAAATTTTAACACCCGCGGTACATACCCGTGTGTACCGTAAAATTTGCGATAATTTGAGATGGTTCGAATTCTCGTCTCAGACAAGTTTCGCTGTATTATAATATGTTGCGTTGTTTCTGAAGGGGTTAAGGAAAGGAATGGGAAACCAGTTGTAAACTCGATAATATTTACAACAAAAAAAAAAAATAAACGTTTGATTCACAGCCGAATCAATCGGGCCCAAAGGTCCGAAAATATTCATGCAGGTACGTGAACTTTTAAATTTCGATACATAAAACACCGCTCACGCATGATTTTTTTTCCTTTCAAAAAAATGTACGGAATATAATATCAAAGGCTCATTCTTTGATGTTCAGCGCTATCTTTATGAATTTGAATATTATATTATTTGTTTAGATTCGAAGCGTAGCGAAAGAGCTATGGAATTTAATAAGAAATTTATTTTTTTTCTTCTTTCTTCTAGTCTGTGGATACGTTTTTTCCTAGTAAACTTTCTCCGATTTTTACGTATAGCACCTTTTCTGATAGCTCAAGTTGTCTTGATGGTACTTTAAATTTAATTTATTTTTTTGATTTTCGATGCCATTTTTTAAATAAAAGCACTTAAGTGGGAAAAAACGTAGGAAAACGTAAAATTTCACGATTTCATTATTTTACAAAAATACGAACGACGTTTTCTACCAGAAAAATGATTTAATCGAAAAACCACAAGACACTTTTTTTGTTGCCTTTTTGATTTACTTTCTTAAGGTATCATCACCAAAACTTTTATTTTAAGGAATTTTAATTTTTGGGAGTTTCTTGTTGTAATTCGATTATAAATACACGTAGAGACTTGAAACATGGTAATAATACTTATATTGGACTTACCTAGACGTGATAAAATTTCGGAAATCATCGGACGACTTTTTTTTTTTTTTTTATAATAAGCGTTTTGAAATCAAATTTAAACGAATATCGCAAAAAAAAAATACAGCACTTCAAATTATATATTACCGAACAGCGCACAGAATCGTTTTTCGTCAAAAATAATTTATAGTTGCTTACAAATATGAATTAAATAATCTTATGTATCCTACTTTCCCGATTTCTCTCCTACAACAGTGACCGCTTCCATCCATAGTATCAGCTCTTTTTTTTTACTATATTATTACTACAAATTATAAAATAATTCGGGGGTAGAATTCTCGGTAACACCTTCTCCTGCGTTTGCCTCTCAATAACGAAATGATTTTCAAAAGGATAAACGATACCCAATTGTACGTTATATTATTTTAGGGCTATAGCCCCCTCTTTCCCCTCTTCCACAGAACATCAACACGTTACGCCGATGCCACTGCGGTGTGTCCCAGACTTTAAAAAAAAAATCCAATTATTAAGGACCTGGGTTCTAAGAAACACTAAAAAAAAAAAAAATGTTTAATTTTTTTTCTTTTTAAACGTTAAACTCGAATACGTATACATACAGCACGAAATTTATTTAGGGAGATTTTTTTTTTTATTATAACGACTTCTCAGAGAAAATCAACTAAAACGAAAATAACGCGATTTTTCATCATCAATCAAATCACAGTATTATTATTAAATCTACGATTGTTATTATAATTTAAATATATTAATATAGTATAAAGATGAGAAAGGATGAGTCTGTACAAGGACACGCGCAGGATTTAAGATTTTACATTTCGATATTGCTGCAGGTATTCAATAACAATATATTATATAGTCGACTATAATATAAAATAAGTATATAATTCGATTTTTTTTTTTTTAGTATGGAGGGAAGATGTCAAGTTAGACAGGAGTAATATAAAATAATATAATATCGTCTATATTATTATATTATAACGAAAATATAAGCGAAACGCCCATATTTTTTTTTTTTTGTCGCGTCTGACACATCGTAGTACTTGGGTCACGTGTTATATCGATGATGGTGATTTTTTTTAAATTTTTTTTTATAATAATCACCTCATCTGGACCGTTTATCATCTATACATTCATTCACATACTCGTATTATAATATAATAATATACTGCTGCAGTGCTCGTGAACATAATACAATATCATATTTTTACCAAAGTCATATTATATTATTATGAATTATGAATAGTAAATAAAATACGTAAAATAATTACTGCGGTTTCTCGTAAAAATTACTTATAACGATTTTATTTTGAGTACAAATACAGATACTTTAAAAAAAGTATATTTATTAAATTACAAATAATTTGTTTAATTATATTATTATATAAACACATATATCTCCTATTGATAGAGTACATATGAATTTGATTAGGGTTTTTCCCTTTTTTTTAAAAATATTTAAAACAAATATTCGATTTACTAAGAGGAAATATTTAAAAAACACAATATACCAAATTATTTTCCAATTAGAAGTATTTTTTTTCTTAGATTCTGAGTAATGAATAAGCTACTCGTATATAATAGTTTTACTAAGGTGTATGAGTGTATTTTTTTTCTCGGAAAACACTACTTTGGATGGTGATAATGCTATCCGAGTATTTCACACATTACCTTAAAAGACGTGGGATATTTACCGTGGGAAGTACTTCACTCAAATATATGTCGAGATTTTTAGCACTTAATCACTAGATCTTTTTTTTTTTTTTTTTGTTGATTTCTGGATTTCCTTGGTATAACGAGGGAAAACACGACAAATACTTTTCCATTCAAAATTGTTTTTCATTTACAATGATCGATCATTGCATACAGTATATTTCAAATACACTAAATAAACTTGTATACAAAAAGCACACGCAAGGAGGCTAACGGACTTAAGCTTCCTCCCTCCAAAACGGCTGACTCCCCTTAACATTTCTGTCATTTTATCAAGTCCCGACTTTAAATTTTCATATCGAAAAAATGATCAACTATGGAAATTGAAACATATTTTATTACTTATATAATTTATAATAATTTAATATAAAAACATAATTTATTTATACCAGTGACCTTTGTCTTTTATATCATAATAATATTACAAAGATGGTAATAAAAGTTTCAAATGCCTCCTAGTAACTGAAAATATTCGTAATCAAACAGAACCACAGTATTTAAAACATTTAGAATTATAAAAATAATATTCGAGTATTACAATATGGTGTTAATGCTGCAGTAACATAATTTTTTGATAAGTGGTACCAAAAATCCAGCTGCCAAAATTCTTCATTTACCATTAATCACAAAATATTGTAATCGATTATTTGTTTAATGATCTCAGATTTCATACTGTATAATATATACTTTTAAAAATATTTTCTAAATTATCTGTTTTAACTAGTACATCAGAAAGATAATTTTCTACTTTAATAAGAAGAATAAAAACATATTTAAGAAACATAATGAGTAAGAATTCAATTTTTTTTTGTATTATGATACAATAGATTTTTATTATATTAGGTATATGCATTACGTTATACTATTATTTATTGTAGTTTATTTCATAAAAGTAAGTGGAAATGCATGTACAGGTATGCTTTGAGATTTTAATACATACCATACTTATTTTTTTTAAAAAAATAATTTTATTTAGCCCTTTCCCCCCCCCCCAAAAAAAAGCCTGAATACGCTTTACCTAAGGTATCTTACCTTTCCAACTACCCACTTTTATAGCAGTGCAGTTAAGGCACGAGGGTAGTTAAGCGAATCTTATAACTCTCGGGATTTTGTTTTAATAAATGGATAGCGGTTTAAGATAGGTGGGTGTCATAAAATCAAGTAGGAAGTAGCTAATTGAAGTAGAATATTTAGTTGTTTTTGTAAGAAGTAACTTATTTGGTAATCACAATATAGTATAATAATATACAGGTACTTGTATATAAAACGGACAGTTCTTTTAATGGCTAAGTCAAATAATTTCGTCAGTCTCATTCACGATGTAAGTTCGCGCCACCAACTGCACCGCAACAGTGACATACCCGTGGGCAGTATCTGCTTTTTTAAAACAAATACTTTTACTCAAATATACAACAGTAGTTCGATTATTATAATTATAAACATTTTAAAAAAATATACCGCGGTGACGTTAAACAAGAACGTATGTGATGTGCGTGTGTGAATAAATAATAAAAGTATTATATATTTTTGTACTTTAAACGCGTGCGTTATGTTTGCAGGGGTAACACATAAAAACTAAAATACAACTCTAACATTATAATATAATGTTATTTATTTATTTAATTAAATATTGTGTAGTACTATATTATGTATATGTCGTACTTGTTTTTTAAAATAAAAATATGGGTCAATGTATATAGGAAAAAAAAATTACGGTTAATACCTAATAAAGTCAACCGAGTCCCACGTCCAATGACATCATTACTACGAATCCCACGATACAACACCAACTGGCCAGCTTCCCGTTGCCACTGTAACACACAATAATAATAATATATAAATAATTAATATTATAAACACAGTTGTTTGATTAAAAAAAAAGCATCGACAATAACTAGCTCATCATCGAAATGTTCCGAAAATATATTTTTATACATAATACAGTGGTGGCCAAAAGTCAGTTAAGTTATTTACAAAAAAAAATCCAAAATTAGTCTATGTAAACGTTTATTGCGAAAAAAAACAACCGTCAGCAGCAGCTTTTTTTCATTTTATAATTGATCTAAAATAGTTATAGTTGCTAGTGATTTGTTATACTTCAGTCTGTAAGGGTATTTAAAACCCAGGTTACCATGTTAAAACATGGCGTTTAAGCATACCAATAGTTAAGAGTGGAGTTAAAAGTTGAAACCCCCGAATCATTGATACTTACAGCATACATGTACAAAACTGCAGCCCCTGGTTTCATTTGGCAGTCTGTTAAGTGTACAAAGCTAAACAAGAACCGTTACCCACAATATGATGAAATTCATATTAAAATTACCCAAAATGTTATCACTTTAATCAGTCTACACAACTCTAACAATACTGGTTCCCGAATTTGAACCAATTTGGATAAGAGGGGGCGGCTATAAGTGTCCAAAAGTAGCGGGGAAAAACCGGAGTAGGTGCTCTTATTATTAGTACTATTTATTTTTTTTATAATTTGAATGTACAAAAACTAACTTTGGACTTTTAAATTGTGTACATAGGTCGACTGACGTTTGACCACTCTCACAGTTTTAAATATTTTATTAGATTCTGAGCTGTATTGGTTTTATTATAATGCGAGTTATAAACGATTTTTCTACCAAATATCTCACTCCGATCAACTTCAGGAATGGTTTTTGGTAGTAAATTACATCTAGTCGGTACATCGAGGAGGTCATTACATATGACATCTCGTATATTCAATAAAAATAAAATTAAAAATAATAGGGATTTATACTATTTATACACAATAACTGTTTTTCGCTTTTGTTTTGTTGCAATTCAGTTAGAAATAATCGTATAGAGCTGAAACTTTCACCAAATACTCACAACAGAGCTTTCTAGGCATTACAACTTTCAAAACATAATGACGTTTTTTTTTTTTAGTTTTTATAGATATAATAAATTTTCTATTTTTTTTTAAAAGTTTTGTTTGGTTTTACGTTGATACAACTGTACATCAACTTCATTAAAATACTCAAAAGTCTAAAAAGAAAAACATTGACTACAGTTATAATTTATTTTGCGGTTACAATATAATTCTTAATTTGAGTTAGTCAAAATATATTTTGTTTAATCGATTCTCAGTCAGTATTGTTTTTCGTTTTCAACGATTTATCGTGCACAATAAAATAGGTGTTAATATTATATAGATGAAAAGTCGAAATTTTTAGATATAATTACCCTACAATCCTTACTTTCCACCTACAACAGTGGCACACCCATGATGCGAAGTATGTCGGATTCTTTTAAATTTTTTTTTTTGACCCCCTGTAGGTCGGCTTTCGCAGACGAGACGATTGTTTAAATATATTTCTGGCACATCTTTACTCTGAGATAGATAGATATATAAAACGTGTGTGTGTATGGGAATTTGGCGAAGGCACCAGACGTGTTTTAGTTTAAAAAAAGAAAAACGATATAATACGCGTATATAATTTTTATTTTTATTTTTATGTAATCTAAATTCTCCGTTTTCGCTTTTGCGCGTTTGCGTGACGCTTATAACACGAGAAAAAAGTAACGACGAGTGTGTGCGTGTGTAAGTGTGTGTGAATTATGACGGATTTTTAAAAATAGCCCGACAATACGAGAGAAAGCTGCCGATGTGCTGATGTGCGCCTCTATTATTAAAACCGTCATTTTCGGTCCGTTCGGCCGCGTATGTTATTGTATAGGATTTTGGCGACGAAAATAATATTATCGTTTGGAAAAAAAAAAAAAAGACCCAATTGTATGTGGTATGAGGTTAAGCGTATTACAGAGAAGGCGGCGGATCCCTGGCCTCCGAGTTGGCGGCGGCGGCGACAGCCTACACAGCCTCTGCGTTTCTCGGTTACAAGGCCGTCGTAGCCGCCGCCGCCGGACGAAATATCGATAATCTGGTGGCGGCGGCGGCCCATTCATGACGAACGTCCGGCACACGCGAAACGCCGTAGTAGGCAATAGAGGTCGCGATAGTCGACGCCATAGAAATCGTCGTCGTCGTCGACGCCGCCGCAGCGCGCGCTAACGACCAAAGGAATCGTCGAATTATGTATATATGTGTGTAGTCGTACTGCTGCATTCCTGGCGTTAAAGGAGATTGCATACCAAGATTTTTACAGTTATATGACCCCCAGAGCGAGCGAGAAACCATCATCATTGATATTATTATTATTATATACCTCACTTGGCGTCAGGGTCACATTGCAAACGATCGTCGTGCAGTTATTATTATATTATACGCGCGTATACCTACGTACATGTATAATAATAATAATATATAATATTATTATCGTAGTCGTATACGATTATTATTATTATTAAATAATAATATAGCGATGCGCGGGTCCCGGGAAGAAGGCGACGTCGTGTATAATATACTGCGGGGGTTCGCGTGGGCGAAGAAGTTATAATAACAAAATAATCGCAGGTACTATATTGTAATATTATCGAGAATCGAGTACGTTTCGTATCCGTCAATGAAAATTGGTTAAGGATCGTTTGTTATAAAGTCTTAACGGTTGTTAACAACAAATTTAATCAGTTTTAATTTTTGTACTAAGGGACCTGTGAACGATCTGTTCTTTTTTTTTTTACACAGTTTACATGGTTAACTCTCCTGCAGGTGATCACTTTCGATTTTTTTTATTTTGGAAAAAACAACTTTCTACTAGGCGCATTGGACTTAGATTTTCGACAATTTAATCAACAACCACTAAAAAAAAATATAATAGAAAATTATTAAATTGAAATTCGAATTATAGCGTTTGAAAATATAATTTTCAAAGTCTAAGTCCAATAAACTCTTTTTTTTCTTTCTTTATTCACCACTGGACTGGGGAGGACTGTGTTAACATTATTTTCCCCAACTCGGCCTACACTCCTAGAGTGCGGAGTCAGCTGTAAACGTAGCCCAATCAGACAGAAACTGAGCAACGTTATCGCCGATTCCTAGTTGTATGCCTCGCCCTATCACCTTCCTTCCTCGCCTAAAGGCTAAAACATATTCCAGAACTTTTAAAACTTTCATGGGCAGGAGTGCCCACGGGAGTGTGCATGTGCACCTCTCGCACCCTTCTAGGCATGGCTCTGATTGGGAGAGTCTGAATTTGTTGAAATCAACAAAATAATTACTCAATTTGAGTTTAACTAACTTATATTTAATAGAAGTATAAACATTATATGCTTATACTATTTAAATTTATCAATGTACAGTTTCTCAAACCTATGCTCGATCCATTCCTATATTAGATAAATGGACGGTTACCACTAGCCGAGTAATTTCAGTTACTTGTTTCTTAGTTCCTACAGCTATATAAATATCGAATCGCCCAAACGCCCAAATTGTCTTATATGATCATCGTATAGATATATTTATTATTTGAATGCGTTTCTTACCTAGTATTCGACTCTGGTATGATGTCGTTGACGACCACGTAGATCATGGCGCCCGCGGCAAACGCCAGGGCGTATGGCAACAGCGGCTTGATCAACGATACCGCAAATATGCCCACGAGTCCCGCGATCGGCTCCACCATACCACTCAGTTGTCCGTACCTATATAGACAAATAACAAAATGCAACAAATCATATAACAACGGACTATTTTGTCTTTACCAGACAGTTTTGTAAAGTTTCTCTTCGCGAGGACACCTACACGGTCGGCAGGGAGGGGGGCTCTCCCCAATAGATCATAATAGCTAGTTGCAATTTGTGTTCAATTATTGTAATTTAATGTAGAAATTCAAATAAATGTACGGCTTTTGATTTCTGTAATGGAAAGGGTTGTACCTGATGCTCTTGTCCCTCGCTCTCACCCTCGCAAATCGATTTTCAACGACTTTTTATACGCGAAAGTATTCAAATATCGGATGAATAGAGCTATAGTTATTTGAAACCCTGTAAAATATCGATTTTTGTTTTCAAAAACGGATATTTGCCCCGTTATTTTCGGGGAAAAATATCTACTGCAGTATTTTTGGATCATGAAATATGTATTAATAAATCGGTATTTAAGCAATATATCGACTAATTTCAATATTACTCATGGTTTGAAATATTTAATATCGGGTATCGATAGCATATAAAAAGTAGAATTAGCCAATCTCACGTGGTGCGATTTTAAAACGAAACTTAATGATAAAATTATTCATTTCTCGCGTAAAGCTAAATAATAATTATCATTGAAAAAAAAACCTATACATATTATGTTTTTTTAAATATTTAAAGGTACGCGTAATAATTGAAGTCGTTCGTTAATAAAATATTATATTATATTATTATAATATAAATTTGATACATATTAGACATTGGACTTCTTAAAATGTAACCTAAAAAAAAAAATTAATAATGATACTGCAACACATATATGGTTCATAATCATAACATATTATTAAACTCATATTTTTGAATCATTAAGAGGACGTGATACCGTCCCGATATAACGCAGCAAAATTACTTAACTTAGAATGAAAATCGTGTCATTGTGGTCGAAATTAAAGTTTAAACACACAAATAACGAAATCCAAATAAGAGATAATATTATCAAAAGTATGACGACGTTGGTTTTTTCTGAAATATTCTCTTTAAATTTTGCACTTAAAATATGATGTCAATCTAAACGCCACAATTTCAATATTCTAAGTTACGCTAGAAGTATTACTATATCAGCTGTTAATCGGACCGAGAAAGTAAATCTCTGCCGTCCCAACAATATTTTCATACTTTCGATACTACTCAAGATCTAATAGACTTAGAAAAAAAATTATTTCACCGATAGATTTTTCTGATATCTATTTCCAAGACAATCTATTCATACTTTAAACTTCATAAAAAATATTATTTTATTTTATTTTTTTTTTTATCCCGGTAAAAATTGAATAATGAATATAATATTGAAAATCTTCGTGGAAAAGCATATAGTAAATTGTATGGTCTTTAATTTATTCTAGGCATATTAGATTCTGAGTAGTAATGGAAATACAAAAACGCATATTTGTTAGATAGCCCGTTAAGAGAAGACAGAGACAGAGACGGCAAATGTTACTGTGACACGCTCTTTCAATAATATTTAAGAAAATATGCCGCGTCTGAAACTACATCGCATCATGGGAGGTATTTGTTTAAATTTTTTTTTTTATATTACTATACTGGGTTTATCTGCATGATTTGACAATTTCCTATACATATACGTATATATTATGTAATTGCATATGAAATTATCAAATCTTACTCATACAGGGTATCCCACAAAGATATACCCATTGTATTGTCTCCGGAGATAATAAAAATAATCAAATTATGTTTTTTTTTTTTATTAATTGCAAGGATAAGGAATGAAAATATGTATACCTATTTGAAACAAATTATATTTTAGTAAAAAAATAACTACATTTTATTATTTTCGAAAAATCTGAAGATAACCATAAATAGTTTATTCTTATTCAACACCAAAATTTACTTTGACTAATATACTCCATCCATTTAAGACATTTTCAATATAGGTTGCCATTTGAAAATCAAAAGTAGGTTATCATTTCATCCCCAAAAATAAGGGTGACAAAAAAAAAACGATAATTTAACATTTTAGAACTATTTGTTTCTTAAGTGTTTGAAAATAATAATAAATATTTTTTTGAAATAACGAGAGTTGAACGATAAAAGAATCACCCAGTATACCCTGTATACATAGCGTAAAGAGAAAAAATACATTACGTTACACATTATAATATTATATGCGTACGATGGTATTAAAGAAAAAATATGATTATGATTTATAAAAGAGTCATTATATGAGTCAATGATACGATGATGATGATGATATCAATGGAATAATAATAATCATAATAATAATAAACCATTTATAAATTATATTAAACGCGATAAGCACGTAGCCATTCATATATTTTTTAGAATATTAAATTATTAAATTACATAACTACATATTATACAATAATTATATTGCCTATACAATTTTCGTTTCGTTTGTAAATTTACATTGAACAAAAAAGAAAAAGGATTAAACGAGTGTAAATTAATTTTGCTGCGGACGCGTTACACATAATGAAAACAAAAATAATACAACTCGTATATAATATTATATTAATGACTTTTTATCACGAATATGAAAAAAAAATAAATAAAATATAGATATAGTAATAAGCCTGTTCTCTCGTATTTATTCTATAATGGTTTTTAAACAACGCATTTTTTAGATTCTGCGCGTAACGGGGAATGTATTGATTATGTTATGATGTATGTTTTTTTTAATTTTTTAAATAAACTTTCTCCGATCATCAACTTCAAAGGCGATTTCCGGTAACACGTCTAATTGGTGCATCGAGGAGGGCCATTTATTTGTTATTCTTTTAATTTCTTGGGAAAAATCGGAAAAAAAAATTTTTAAACCACGGGACGATATAAGCAATAACAGTTATTTTCGATTTTTTTGTTGTAATTCGGTTAGAAATTATACCAAATACAATAATTTAGCACTTTCTAGACATGGTCAAAACATTCTAACGGTTTTTAAAATTTTCCGGTGTATGCTATCAATATATAAATTGAAAATTCGAATTTTAGATTCCCAGCTTAGCGAAGGAGCTATGGGATTTAATAAGAAGTTTATTTTTTTTCTTCTTTCTTCTAGTCTGTGGATACGTTTTTTTCTAGTAAACTTGCACCGATTTTTACGTGTAGCACCTTTTCTGAAAGCTCAAGTTGTCTTGATGACAAATTTAATTCACTTAAGTGGGAAAAAACGTAGGAAAACGTACAATTTCACGATTTCATTGTTTTACAAAAATACGAACGACGTTTTCTACTAGAGAAATGATTTAATCGAAAAATCACAAGACACTTTTTTTGTTGCCTTTTTGATTTACTTTCTTAAGGTATCATCACCAAAACTTTGATTTTAAGGAATTTTAATTTTTGGGAGTTTGGAAGCGCTTGGAATCGTCTTTCGTCAAGCAATAGTTTATAGTTGCTTACAGATAAAAATGAAATAACCTTATGTATCCTACCTTCCCGATTTCTCTCCTACAACAGTGGCTGCTCCCATCATTAATACCAGATCTTTTTTAAATGCTTTTTTTCATATTGCAGAGACATTAGAGACAATTTTCTCTGAAAATATCGATTTTGAAAAATAAAACCTACGGCACAGATATCGAGTACCTATTTAGTGTTTAGTTATCGGCCCATCCCCATAAATTGTCAGAGTTGACCGGAAATATAGAAAATATTAACTCATGAAGACTAATTTTTGAATTATTGTAATCATACAGTTTATAACTTGATTTTTATTAAGTATTTATACGCGTTTCAAAAATAAAGAAGTGCTGAAATGCCCGTTGTTTCGCTGTTGTATATTATATATAGTATAGAATCTATATTATAGATGATTTATAACAAATTTGTACACGTGTATACAGTGTACAGAGAAATATTATCCGATGGCTATTTAGTGATTACGTTTTGAAAAACCTATTGCTATAATAATCGGTTTACGACGACGGATATTTTAGGTTAGACGAATACGTATATAATATAATTTTCTATATACGATGACGGAGTGCTGCTATTTAATCGAAAAAGAGAAAATTATATAAAAATCGTACTTATATATAAGTATTTTTTTTCCGCTCGCGCAAATCATCGACCGTTTGATTTATGGTATCGCCGTGGAATTCGTAGCAGCGGCGGCGCGGCGGTCCGACGGAAATCCGGATTTCCATAAACGCGACTTGTAGAATGTGTTCATTTTTCCAAATGGGGAACGGACCGCGCCTTATAATTAGTACGGGTAGAGTACATAAATACTAATACGAATTATAACGGTTTTTATTATATAAAACACATAATATTATACACTGTGAATAGACGTGTATATGGTCTATAAAACTTGGGGAATATAGGTATATTCCGATTTCCAAAGACTGCGGAGGATTCGCGTCGACGAGCATGACGACTGCGACGGCGGCGGAAAAAAAAACCGTACAGACGCGCATAAATATCACATTTTAAAAGTAGACGTCGTCGCACACCAAGTATTTTATTTAAGGGGTCGCGTATAGGCAACGAAATTTCGAAAAAGAATACCTCAAGAAATTCAACAAATATATACGAATATTATAAAACAAGTAACGACAAAAAATCCGTTGGATTAATATATATATATATTGTATACGAAAAACTATGCAAAATTGCATAGTATTTTTTTTGTTAATTCCACTTTTCCCATTGCTAAATGTTGACATAATACGTAGCTGGTGTATTTTCGTTTTTCTATACTATGTATTCTATAGTGAAAATCGTTTAAAATAGATGAACTTTTGATCTATAGTGTTAAGGGATAAAACGATATTTTTAGATTCTGAGCATAGCGATGAATTTATTGGTTTTAATATATACATGATATGTGTTTCTTTTTTTTTCTGTCTGTTCTCCATTTTATTACCAGAAATGTCCCAATCAAAAAAACAAGACCTTTTTTTTGTTGCATTTTAAATCTGATTAGTACATTATATAAGTAATTTTTAGATTTTTCAAGTAGTAGTTTTCATAGTAATTTAGAAGAACCGGTAAAAACGAATTGAAAAAAGAAACGGACATATGCTTCGCACGAAAAATTGGACCACTGTTGTAAATGAGAAGTAAGGAAGGTAGGATATAGATGGGAATTTAATATATATCTTTACGCAACGATTAATCTTTCCTAACGAAAAACGATTCTGAGTGGAGTTCAGTTATACATTTTTTAAAAAGCTTTAATATTTAAGATTTGAAAATAATATATTTCGTTAATTTTTCAGAGTGTTTCCGAAGTTTTTCTCATTTATTATGAAAACCCCTTAGAAAATTAAAAAATTACCAGCTTAAAGTACCACTCAATTCAAATTTACTTTCAGACAAAATGCTACACTTCGATAAGAAATAATCATAAATATCTGATACATCGATCTTTTCTAGAAGTGGTAAATTTTTCAAAACGTTATGGTGATTTTTAAGTATTTTATATAGGCATTTTACATCTTTGAGTTTTGTTTTTAGTGGGTTTTTGGTTTTATGTTGATAAAATTATTTATTTCTGTTCACTAATAAACAGGTAAAATATTATAAATTAAATTGCGAAAATTGCAGTTTACCAAAAACTTTTCCACTTTGAACATCCAGCAGCTTGCAGAGGTAAGCTTACGGCCAGTCCTTCCGGAAAATTTTGTATACCGATACCCATGGCCAAATTCCTGAAACAAACCGTAAACAATTTAATACATAACATTATATTATATAAGTACCTAACAATCTAAGTATTATAAATTGTAAATTTATTCAAAATGTAAAAACCATTAATGGACTTTTACAAAACATTTATTTTCTCTGATTATCTCTCATGTAATAATACAGTAACAACGACATTTCGCACGATTCTGACTCTAAAAATAGAGCAAAGAGGCTTATTATACATATTTTATAAAGAATAGCATTTGTATCTATGTCTTAGTCGATTGATTTTTATTAGTATTTTCATTTCTTATAATAAATTACTAAGGGTTAAAATTGAGATAAATCAAATGACATTGAAACATTACGTATTTTTTCATCGTAAAAACGAAAATAATTTTAAAATATCGTTCGAATAAGGCAGTGGATCTTATTTAGGACTCATGTCACCCTTATTCATGATAATCCGACACTGCGTCGCCCTACCAACAAAATATGTGCATTGAATTGCTAGGTTTTAAACATTTAAACTGTATAGTTTAGAAGAGAATTATGATTTTATTAAAAAATATATATTTATATACGCAGAAAAATAATAAACAAGTCTGAATAAATAGAAATAATTTAATGATAAGAACTTTGCGATATGCTCGTTTGGTGTATCTATACAATTTTTGTAGCAATAGCGGTATTATTGAAGAGCGAGTGACGGGGAGGGAATATGATATTATTCCGACGGCGGCAGTGGTAATTACATGACAGTCACCGCAATAATACGATTTTATTCGGAATCATTTAAAACTCTCTTACTTATTTTTTTCCCCTAAGAATTTTTGTCATCTCTACGCAAGTCTAAGTCATCCCAGAGTGACATGTCACTCCGGTTGAAAACCACTGGGTTAAGGCAACGCAAATACCTAATTTTCTTCATAAAACGTAAGATATTGCCCTTTGTCAATAGTTCATAGTTAATCAAAGAGTCGCAAGTGTTGAAATACGAAATGCCTTTGTTGCTATAATATTACGCGCAAGAAAGACAAAGAAAACAAAATACAAGTATATTGCGTAGAGGAACTGCATGCAACCTTTCAACATGCTTTACAGAGTTCTCTCTTGCCCCATAGATTAGTTCGATTTCAGTTTTTTTTTTATGTTTCGGCATAAATATGTTTTATGTCTGGGAGTCCAAAAAAATATAACAAATTTCCATTGTAAAAAAATGTGAGCAGGAAAATAAACAATGATAATTTACCTAGTAAAGTATTGTTTCGCGAAGTGAAAACTAACGGAGAGATATGTTCCTAAATACACAGTCAAACGATGTTAAACATTTAGAAACACAAAATTATACTTAGTACTTTTCATATCAATCCATTACTCACAATCACTTGTTGCTGTAAATAAATAAACGTCGATATCGGGACATAAGATCATTAGTGTATACTTCTCTCAAAAGGGAGACGTTTTTTTGTCAAGATGAAGACTTCTTACAGGGTAAAATTCTGATTTTGAAAATTATACTTCCAAACGTAAATTAAAGTACGGTATTACAGTTCTCAGTAAGTACAGTTCTCATTGATGGAGTGAAGTGTGCTACGGGGGAAAGCCTAAAAGTAAAAGGGAAAGTTTTTTTATACATCTGCTAGTTTTTTTTTTTTTTAGGAAGTTGACGCGGTGGTTGACAGCAGTGGACGTACACAACGGATATCCACTGAAAAATATCCGACAATACACATACTGCAGGTTCAAAACGTTATTATATTTCTCTGTAGGTATAATATTAATATGATAAAATATACGCCTACGACGACAGAATCTCATAGAAACGTAATAATATTTAATGTTACAATAAGAGTATTATGTTATATACGAGCATTCGAAATAAGTATAATGTATTGGGGTGGGTGGGTGGGTGCGCGTGTGTGTGCGTTTTCGTTGCATTCGATGTTAGATATGTATGTGTGTGCATGTGTGTGTGTGTGTGTGTGTGTGTGTATTGTACGAGTGAGAGTATAGCGGAATGGAAACGAGACGTGTACAGCTATTCGGAGAATGTGCGGAATGCGACGGATAAAAATCTCGCTGCCCCGGTTCAACGTGCCCACCGCCAACGTTGTCGACGACGACGACGACGACGACGACCGTTCTACGGACGCAAACACTCGCATTTACGTATACGAGTAACGAGTATACTTATAGATATATATTATTATTTGTACACACGGGATACGCGTGTATAACACGTTTCTTTTTCTCTAAACCGAGACAAGAGAGGAGCTTAACGGCCGTTTTTTTTTTTTTTTTCTCTTTCGTAGTCCTCTCCGCCGGTCCTCAGAACGTCACCGCCGTTGTACACGTACATAATATTATTGTACACGGGTGCCTGATGCTGCGGCGGCGACGCGCAGGGGACGTCGCGCGTACCCCGGCGCGATAGGTATTTCTATACGGGGTCGCGTATAGGCAACTTTAACGAACCCGTATCGAAAAATCGAACGTTTATACTAGTACTGAACAATACGTTGACCAATCCGGATTACAATTTCATAATCCGGATTCGCATTTAATCTCGATTTTAGATCCAATCCGGCTGCACTGTTTTTGAGATAATTGACTATTATTTCATTATTATCTATAGTAACATGTACACTATGAATGTACGTATGAATATACGATCTCGGATCTATCAATAATCGACTTAATGTGATAATAACAACAAATATTCCAGGGTTTTCGAGTTTTTCACAATTTCTCAACTTATAATAGTCCAGAGATAAATCATATTTTAATGCATCAGATTATTAGGTAAGTACCTATGTGTATTTTTTTATCATTTTTAGGCAACTCTACATCGGGTAATAGATAAGAAAAAAAATTATAAATAAAATAATAATTGTTTTTAAAACACTGTATAATTAGGATTGGTATTCATAATTTAGATTGATATTCATAATCCGGATTCGGATCGATCCAGATTTGGTACTCAGCACTAGTTTATACACCAGTTCTATAGCGAAACGTAGCTCATTGTTATCGACATTATCGTAATATTGTTATCAGTTCTGAATAGTATAAAACAAAGTCGCTATTCGCATTTTCCGTGCGCGTTGTTCTTCTAAACCACGCGACGGACTTTGATACGGTTTTTTCACTATCATTTAGAGAATTTCTTCCGGAAGGTTTATATTACATACATGATTTTCACACGTAATTATATTTAATACTATACTATTTTATATAATTATATTTAATTACAACTACGTGTTCGTTATCATTTATACATTTCCTTATCAAAATTAGTTTAACCACTAACAACTTTAAAAAGGCTTACAGAAAATGTACGGCGATGGTATATTATGTCAATCTTTTAAGGCAAACCTACAGTAATCATAAAAGTTTGTTTTGATGGACGTTTGTTTCCTTCAAGCCAAAACTATTACTGAACGGATCGAGTTAAAAATTTATATTGGTATATTTCTATACCAGGAATTACTTATAAGCTAAGTTTTTTCCCGAAATCACTCCCAAGGACAGGGGTCTCACAATTATTGATTGTTGGTATTTTAGCTACAAAAATCTAATTATTTTTGATGATTTATGGGTTGCCTTGATGATACGAATGAAGTAAAAAAAGAAAATGAAACAACAAATAAATAAATGCCTAATAGTCGTAATAAGAACATGTACAACAAATAGTAATTACTATAGAAAAATTTAATTCGTTATTGTTCTATATTTCTTTTAGTACGGGCACGGGTTATTGTAGCTTATTATCACACAGTCAGTTTTAATGTCTTACCCAAAACTTTTAGAGAGACATAGCATACCGCATACCCCGTAAATACTGAAATAAATGTGTTCCACATCCATTTCTCTATTATCGATCGAGAACAAGACCTATATATTAAATTCCTATCCTCAAAAACGTCTAACCGACAGCGCTCTTTACAATGCACATGGAAAATGTAAACGTTTTCATCCGAAAAAGCGGAACATTACCAGTGTTGGACTGACGGGGGAGGGAGGGAAGTCATTCGACCTTATCTTCTAACACCGCGTGGTTTTAACTATATAAGTGCAGTGCTGAAAATTTGTTTTTTTCTTTCGAATTTCGGTACTTGCTAAGCAAAATAGGGATACGAATATTCTGGAGCAGGCCGCTATTACCGCGTCAATTATGCCGAGGTAAAATCTTATACCCCCTTTCTCTTTTAAGCCTCTTACGCTGTATAATATAATATTACAACTTTATATATAACCGTAAGCTCGTCGCTTCGTGAAGTCCGCCCCCGCCGGGAGGTTTCTCATATAAGCGAGCGCAAATATTTTACGAGGCCGATTCCCAAATCCTCAGGCCGGGCGGCGCCGGACCAACAACTATCGTTAAAACAAACGATTTGTGGAAATCTAACGCGATCGCGAAAAACTAATAATAATAATAACAACAAAAAATTAAATATTTAAGCCGCGCGGTCAGTGTTAATATTAACGGCCGATTCTATTATGAATGAAAATCTCGCAGCCGCATAACCTCCCGCAAAATGATGGCCCTGCAGGTCTCATGTGGTACCGACCGACAATACACAAACACGTGTTCGATCTAACGACACACGTTCGTTTTCAGAATTCGCTCACTTTACACGAATTATTCAACGTGAGCGGTTTAACGTTTGCGAATAACGTGTATTATAATATTGTATACTCAATGCTCATCAGGTGTAGACGCGCCTTTATACACACGAGAGCGGGCGCGCGCGCACACACACATTATACGCACGCACACATGCATTGCACACACCATCGCCGCGATGAATGAATCGAGAATAATATTTTCATTGAACGCCGACCACTGTCGCCAACCGTTGTGGTAAAAACAATAACGTTTATTTAGAGAGAAAAAAAAAATAGAAACCGACCCGAAGGATGCACGCGGCATAATATACGCAGCGGCATACCAACTGGTACTAAAACGAGTGTAAAATATTATTATTATGTACATACAACCTATTACAATAACGTTGTTTCGTAACAATATTTTCGTCCGCGGAGATTTTCAGAAAATTGTAATTTGTATTGTTTTATTTTATTTTTATTCGGCCGTTATTATAATATTACGTATCGCGTTTTGTGAAACTATGATAGAGTCTATAACAATTATTATTTCCACCGAAACCGTGGCTGTATAATAATATAGACTTGGGTAGACGGATCTCCTCGACTATTTTTATTTAGCGTCATCTTATTAAATTATTTTTATTGGGACGGAGGGAAGGTACGTGTCTTTTCGCAAACAAAGATATTTCCAAAAAACATGTATTATCAACTTAGATATATTCACTATGATACACATTTTGATTAGAATTTAATATTGTAATATTCAATACCTAAAAAAAATCAATAATAATTACTATCAGTCAGTCTCAAATCATTATCATTATATTATCTTTTCGTCATTGCTCTTTTTCCCTGTGATAGTAAAGTACCTGGGTACTTAAACCAAAATCTGAACACCGTAATTTTTTTTACGGAAATGAGAGAAAATGTATTAAAAATAAAATAAATATAAATTAAATACCTATATGCATAATATTATATTAATAGTATAGGTAAATAAAATTAATAAATATATACTTAAGTAAAAACGTATAGCTTGTGGGAGTATTAATATTTAAGTATTTTTTTGATTCTGAGCGGAGCGAGGGATGTATTGGTTTTACAATGATCTGTGAACAACTTTTCTAGTGTAGCGCTTTTTCTGAATGAGAATTATAGATCTATTTGGTACTTAAGGGGCGTTATATTTTGATTTTTCCTAAAATATTCATAATAAATTGGAAAAACCGCGAAAAATATAAAAATGCATCATTTTCAAATCGTAAATATTACGACCTTTCAAAACACGTATAACCGAACTCTGCTCAAAAGTGTTTTTCGTTGGCAATGGTTAATCGTTTCGTACAGATATTCATTAAATTTCCTCTCAACCTCCCCAACTTCCCACAGTGATCCATAGTGCGTAGTATGTCCGTTTGTTTTTTTTTTTTTCAAACTACCTACTAATTATTGAATTCGGTTTGAAACGTTACACGACTTGACTTCACCCCCCCCCCCCCCCNCCCCCCCCATGTGTTGGATCGAATTCAATAGTTGTAAAGGAACGTAGTTTTTTTTTTTTAAGCCTCGGCAGTCCGTTTTCGAACAATTCGTACATATACACGTAGGGTAGTGTGATAAATCCCAAATCCATATACCGATGTGTTATAGCCCTTCCCTCGGGGCCTTAAATCGTAAATCGGAATACTATATATTCCGAAGAAATGAGGGTACAGTTTTGAGGAGAAAAAAAACATTCTATAATAGAGGGAAAAAAAATAAATAAAAAAAAACCTCCGTTTCTTATTTTATACAATAGACAATATAATCATAATAATAAAATCGGCGGCGGCGACGGCGGTTCGTGATGAAGGAAAGAATCTCGACGTACGCGTACATTATGTACCCTCCCGTGCACGGCGTTCTTCACTCGGATCTCCGCGGGGGATGGGAACGACCGACGCATGTCGCGGCGGTCGGTTTTCGGGGCGGGACGTCGCCGTCGTCGCCGTCGCCGGTGTACACCGGGAGCGGGGGAGGACACACGAAACGCGTAAACTGGGCCGCCGCCGTCGCCGTGTGATACACGTCCGTATAATAATAACGGGTCGAGGACGCGGCGGCGGCGGCGGCGATGGTTCGAACGAATGAACCGCTCGCGCGCGCGCGCGCGCGCGTGTGTGTGTGTGTGAGAATATTATTTATATTATTATTCGTTTGTGCGTATATTATTTATTATATTATTATTATTATTATTATACTCTCTCGGGGCGATTGATAAGTGCGTGTGCGGGACGTGCGCATGCGTAAAGAAATAATAACGAGTGTATAATATTATTGTGTACGTTGTACACACGACTCAATATACAATAATAATAATAATAATATTATAATACGCGTTCAGAATGTCGAGGAAAAAAAATCGTAAAAAAAAAGAACTGCACGGACCGGAAGATGATTATATTATTTATAATATATTATAATAATACGAGATGACGGTGACGGTGTGATAACGATGATGACGGTGATAACCTTTCACCTTGAGACGAAGCGAACAGCGCACAGTATTCATAATAATATTAACATATAATATTATGCTTCTTAGATTTTGAGTGGAGCCAAGAAGCTTATGGTTTTATAAAGATGTATATATTTTTTTTTTTATCTGTGCGTAACTTTTCTACCAGAAATCTGGCTCCGATTTTTAAGTGTAGTAACTTTTTTAAAAGAAAATCGGACTAAGGTGGTACTTTAGGGACGAAAAACGGAAAAATATACGAAATATATTAGTAAAATATTATGATTTTTTTTTTCTGTGAACATATTTTCTAACAGCAATTTTGCTTCGATTTACAATTGTAGCACTTTTCTGAAAGGAAATCTGACTGGGAAAATACTTTAAGGAGGACATTTTTCGATTTTCCCAAGAGTTTTCCCAGCAAAATTGAAAAACCGTGAAAAACGTGGAAAAACCAAGAAAAACGAGAAAATCGGTACATTGAACAAATATTATTAAAGAAAATATATAATTCCTGTTTAATTATTATACTATAATATAACATATACATTGCTGACAAAGCATCATTATCAACTCTGAACTCTGATCAGAATCGTATTTTCGTTAGCAATGGTTTATCGTTGCTTACAGGTATATATTAAATTACCTATAACAGCTAATAGCTGCACCCGTTCCCATTATCCCAAGACAGCTTTTTTTTCTTCTTTTTTTTTTTATTGTAAGTACCACAAGAATTGCGGTAAACCAGTGTTCATACACGGTTTTTTTGATAACAAACATCAGAAAGAAAAGATAAAGGAGGGAGTCGGGATGGTAGGACATTATCAAATAATATGAAGTAATTTAATTTATAATATCTGTATAGGCAACAATGATAAAAATCAATTGCTGCTAACAAACAAATCCCGAACGAAGTTTTATTAAATATATTGTATTCGTACGAAACACCAAAAAAGCTCTGAGATTTCAAAAGGCTATAAAATATCTAAAAATTCACCAGAATATTTTGAAAACGTCAGCGTTGAATGTGTAAATTGTCCCTTTTTCTGAATTATTAAGACAATTACGAGGAAAAATTACATCCCCGACTAGAAAAATTTCTTCACATCCTTTTTCTAGAAATTAAAACGACCGTTACCATTAGAATATTATTCATCGGATATGCATGTGTGTTAGATTAAAATTTTTAGAACAATAATCTATTGCAAATTGGCTATTTTGAAAATTTCGAAAAATGAACAAATACAAAATTTTCGTTTTCTAGCTTTTAATAATGGGTGACAATAAAAAATTAATTTTTCTCTAAATATAATAACAAGTCCTATGGATATTTCTTCCTGAAAGAATATTCGATTGAAAAAAAAAAATATTTATAAATTGAATATAAACAATATAATAACAATATTCAACAATATTGAAACTAACAAGGATAAAAAAAAAAAACCGCAGAACAAATTGGAACATTCTGTATAGTAAAACAAATACATTCCTCGTCCTACTTCACTCAAAATTTAAAAAAAAAACTCTCGCGGTTGCATTACTATGTTTTTTAATATATTTATATTATAATATTAATTTATGCACTCACACCAAGGTTTATAAATATGTTATAGTATTATTATATGAGCACGAGACACGGATGATAGAAGAACTGAATGGTTTTCAGGCGGCGTCTGCGAGCGCTGTGACGTAGTAAAAAAAAATACAAAAAATATATCGTGATAATTATTATGTTTCAATAATAAAATTATATTTCTTATTTTTGTCGGTCAACGGACACTTTCGACAGCGTCCAACGTCTCGTATAGTCATAAAAACAATGGTAAAAATCAATAAAAACAATATGCTTCAGCATAATATTAGAATATACTTAATATTATGCTTGTTGAAATAATTTTCGTATAGATACTACTGCGAACATAGTACGACCGCGTTCGCGGTTTTCACCGCCGGTAAACTCTCGCTGAAAACCGAATTTACCAGTTTTACGGAGGTTATTTTCATTTGTTAGTCATTTATTCGATTGAACCTGCATTGCTGTCCGCATAGGTGTATATAATATTATAATATAATAAGACGTGGGTCTTTCCAAAGAAAAAAAATATACAGAGTGATTCACTAAGCGTACTCGCCCCATTGGAGTACTATAATAAAATGCCGCGCATCGTGCCGCAAAAAAAGAATTATATTCCACTACTCTCTCTCTACCTAAACTTAAAAGTAGAATATATCGTTAACGAATTGACGAAAATCAGAAATGTTTGACACCGAAATGTATTTCAAGTAATAACCCGTCTATTTATGAAATTTTTAATACATAGGTTCTCGTCTGCAAAACCAAAGTTGGTATCGCAGGATACTCCCTTTTGTTAAAAAAGGTTTTTGATTTTGTGAAAAATCTAAATATTCAAAAATATCGGCTATAACTACAGTAAAAAATTTCAAAAACAGAATTTGAATACATGCAAAATGTAACCAAAAAAATAGAGTGAGCACGCTTAGTGAATTATCATGTATATACATTTTTGTTTTTTTATCGCTACGAGTGGATGTATACTACCACGTTATCATCAGCTATCGAGTTCTTGTGTTGAATTCGAAAACCTCGAAAACGGGCCCCCTTAATTTATTTTTTGAAGATTATTGTACTATGCAAACATTATTAATGCGTAGAGCACCCGGAGTTTTCATCAAAACAATGCGTAGTGCTTGTTGTAAAAGTTGTAAAACCTAACCTCTCGCTATGTCTGATTTAAAATGAGATAATTTCAATAATGGGTCCCGTTTATCGGCATAATTTCATCAGATTTAAATACTACAGTGTTGCCACTTTATTTTGGTATAATCGTGGCAGCAGAATAACTTATTTACTTTTTTTTATTAGAAATAGATTTTTCCAAATCGTTTAAATATATATTTTACCAAAATGATTACAAGAAGTCCACGACAAAAACCTCATGCCGCTTTGGTCAAAGGCAAGTGACATTTTACTAACATTAAAGTTTCGTGGCGCTCAACGTGTTTATGGATTTTTTTATAAACGTAAACGATGATCCCTGGGGATATACCTAGAACACGGCGGATTGACGTTGTTGACAGCGGGAATAGGCCGATTCAACTTTTTACTGATATCCGAAATTTCAATATTTATGCTACCGATACTTGATATTTAAAATCGAAAGCCATGAGTTGATACAGAAATTAATCGGTATACCGGTTGAAACCTCGATCTATTTTTTTAACGCTTTCTCCAAATTCAAGAGACATTTTTATAGACATTTTTAAAATATCGGGTTTGACAAAAAAAACGATACCACCGATATCGAGTATTGGTTTACGTATCGGCCCACCCCTAGTCGACAGAAACCCGAGAACAGTGGAGTAGAATTTAACAAGCGATCATTCGTGGCTCACAATTGAAAGAAGTGGACAGACCTAGTAAAGGCAGCAATAGTTAGGCTTAATGCCTAATGAACCGGTAAGCTGAGAAAAGAAAGAAAAACCGATGAGTCAACGGGCCCTGCCCCCTTAATCCGGGCTTGATCATCGACTCGGTTTATGTCGTCGACATATTTTAATTTTAATCGACATAAACACAGGCGAACACAAAATATTATATTGTTATAAATTATAATAATACACACGGGACAATGATAATATTATAATTTTCAAAACAATAATTTTATAGTCGAAAATTCATTCATATTGTACTATACATTATTTGTCTTTATAGAGATTGCAGCACGCAGTAAACTATATAATTTTCTAATGAATAATAAATGATGCGATTATACAATATTATCAATCGAACAACATTTGACAAGCCAATGAGATCCACATAAAAAAAAACCACGAACCCGACGACCCGCAGCAGTATAAAATATAAAACAGCTGTTTAATCGCATTCATATACGCTCCCGTCGTCGTCGTCATGATAATCTCATATTATAATTTTTATAATAATATATTATAATAAAATGAAAAAATGGAATTGTTTTCATCCGTCAAAAATGTTGTAATAATAATTTGTATCGAGCTGGGCACAAAAATCATTTCTGTCACGTCCACGATACTCGAATAATAATTTTCTTTCTGACTGAACTTTTTTCCACCGCAAAGTACTGCAGACGATTTAATCCGTGACTAAACTTGTAAATGAACGGAAAATAAGGATAAAACGAAAAATGCTTATGAAATATCACGTCCGGCATTGTGGCGCCCGCCAAGACTAGATTTTAGTTTGAGAATACCATTACAATGTACCTACATTATACATTTTGAAAAAAAAAAAAAACAACGACCAGTTCTTAATAATAATATAAATAACACAATAAAAAGAAATCAAACGAGTAGGTAATCAAATTAATTGTTCGAATTACGCGTAGCAACACAACTGCACGCAAAGCCAACTGTGACAACGAAGGGATAAGCGATGACTGTAACCGAATTCTCAAATTCAAAAAGGTGAATCCACAATTATCTAGGCTGTGCTGTGCGTTGTGTGTCAAGACTCAAGGAAAACCATATTTTATATATTTTTTAATATTTTTCAAAGGGCGACACATGTCTCTCTCTTCCTCCCTCTTAATAGGCGTCCATGATAACCGCGTATCGCAGTAGCTCACACATAACATTATGTAAAGCCCACTCACAGTCAAATAACTAAAAGAATATATTGTTTAAAAATTGTTAATCACACACTATCAGCCCCGATTGATATTATTAATTATCTAAAAAATATTCTTTTCAAAACGGTTTCTATATACCGTTTGATTTGGCTATCCGATACGCACTATACGTATACACTTACATATTAAACAATGTAAGTATTTCGGTTTTTGTAGAATTTCCACCGCAAATAAAGACTATTGCAGCAATACACTCCTACCACTTTTGGACATTTATAGTAGCTTTCTTTAAACTAAATGAGCACCAATTCAGAGTTTTGAGTTACTTTATAGACCATTTAAAGTGATAAATTCAGGTTGGGTTTCAATATGAACTGCACCGTGTTGTTGTGGGAGGAAGGTATATTTTTAGCTCTGATTACCCCTGCAGAACCTTCTTCTCCCAGACAAAGAAGGGTGAATAAAATTTTGTATACACACGGTGTTGTAACATTGACGATAATTCTTTTTTAAATTCCATTTAAACACAAATAACAAAATTTAAAGAAGATAATATTTTCGAGGATTGTACCTACTTTTTCGAAAAAAATGGTCATACGAAAAAAAGATACTTAAAAAAATAAATAAAAAAGCGGAAACTGACACGACTATGTAATATTTTGCTATTTTGTGTTCCAATGTCAACTTAATAATCAATGTTTCGGTTTCTAAGTATTGAGGTTTTTCTAAAATAACTCGCCCGTTAGTTGGCCACTGCAGGGACAGTAAATAATGCGAGGGTATCTGCACGTCGTCTTTTAACGCGCAAAAGGTTACGAGTTGCTCGAAAACGCGGATTTTGTTTAATAAATTAATTGTAGTGCGCAAGGCCCCCCGTTAAAAAAAAAAACAGTTTATACTCACTGCACACGATGGCAGTGTGTGGCCCGGGTCATAATGTACAACTACTTATAATATTATTAGTAGTACCTATGTATAGGTATAATAATATGATGATGTATATAGTTGGAACAACGTACGATTTAGATAATGTCAAAATTCGGCATAATACGGTTCATTGAACTATCTAGCCGCTCTACAATGTCGGGCGAACATATATTACACATAATATTATACTAACTGATAAACTATACCAAATTACTAACAAATATATACAGCAGAGACCCGAGTTCGTGTGCAGTGCGCGTCGATAACGACAAAAAATAAAACGAAACGTTATAATATTATATTCTAGTTGTTTTAGATTCTGAGCTAAGCGAGGAATGTATTTTTCGTTTTCTTTTTTCGTTCTGTAAACAATTTTCTTACCAGATATCTTGTTTCAATCAAAAATTTTATTGGAACTTTTTTATAAGATTTGCGATTTAGTTAGTGCATTGAGGAAGTCATTTTTTAATTTTTATTGTAGTTTTCTTAATTAAATGGGAAATAATAATCTGCTCATAATCGTTTTTCGTTAGCAATGGTTTACCATTGCGCACACATATAAATTAAATTACTTTATTATACTTTCTCCCTTCCAACTTCCCTCCAAAAACGGTGGTACATCAATAAGCCTTTTATTTTTTGTTTTTTTCAAAAAGCTTACGTGAAAATCAAAAAGTATTATCGAATTAATATACCGATAACGTAAAATCGAAATATAATAATATTGTTTTCTGAAAATTCCCGCGGGACGTCACTGCAGTATAGCTACAGGCTACATATTATGTTACATTATCTATACAGAATAATTATTACTATAATAATAAAAATATATTGTATTATTTACTTTTTTTAAACAATATTGAATCGAATTGCGCAGTTATGTCAGAGAAAAAAACGACAACCATCAGCGATAGAATATTATTATATTAATATACTGAGGGGAAGGAGACAGAGGTGATAAAATTCGAGGAAAACACCTAAAAAACCGTACACTACGTGTGATGATGAGCGAAAATATTTTTTTATTATATTTTTTTTTTTTTTTTTTTTTTTTTTTTTTTTTTTTTTTTTTTTTGTATAACACGTGACGCAAACCGGATGCAATTTGAAAAAACGATTAAAAAAAAAAGTATACATAATAATACACAATATACTTGTTTTCGTCCGTTTGACTGATTATTGCAGAAAACATAATATTGCCTACTGTACTTCTAAAATACATATTAATATATATTTTCTTTAGTGATTAATTTCTTCCGAAATCTAGGTTTAATAATTAAAAATAGACGTAGTATTGCATATTATACAATGTATCTGCAGTATTTAACAATTTCCTATGCGCAATATTATAGAATATTGTGTAATTCTGCGAATAAACCCAGTATGGCTGTACCCTATATAGGTATGATGTACACGAAAACTAAATGTATCTTATTTGCGGTCACTACAACACTGGTTTGATATATTTATATTTCAGACAAAGTAATGGATTGAAAAATGTGTCAAAAAATTAGTGCAATGTGACTATTGGCCACTAACAAAAGAATCGTGACGGGGAAATATGCGATTCTATATTGCTCGCATATTTTATCGAAATGTTAAAAAAAAAATTATTCGAAACAGTAATACGAGTATTGCTATACAAGTATAAAGCTATTTGCTTATAATACGTAATTTTTTTTGTTTTTATAGAATTGAAATTAATTTTTCGGTATAGCAATTACGTTTTCAGGTGTAATACGCTCGCTTAAATAAAATCTTTTAAAATCCGATCATTTTCCGATAGTTAATTTTAAGTATAGTAATATTGTAACTACTTTATAGACTAGCCATTTTAGATTCTGCAGAGTACCAATAGTGAATAACCTATTAGTTTTACTACAGATACTTTTTTTTTGTTTCTCGGAAAATACATTTACAATTAGTCAAAATACTCTGATATTTTCATATCTTGCTAATGAATTATTCTCTTATTCTTCAAATCACTAAAAACAAAACCTACCATCGCCCCCAATTTCTCTTTGTTGAGTTTCCGGCTCCATTGACATAATGTCCTGAACACAATAGTTCCACTATAACATTGGTGTCTCTGTAAGCTCAATATAGTCTTCCTCAATCGCAAACTTAATGAAATCGCCCGTCTATCATATTAGTCTTCGTTTAGCGATCTTTACAACTTAATCAGGCCTTTAGAACTGAGTTTAAAGTGATAATAAACTAATTAACAAACTATCTGGAAACAAAAGAAAAAAAATTCTAAACTTGAGAAATATGTCGAAATATATTAAACAGTACTCAGTAAGTATGATTGTATGATTTTAATCGTATTAAGTATCTGTCTGGGGTATGATATTATATGGATGCGAAACCTGAATGCTGATCAAATTAGACAATTTTCTCAAAAGTTTAGAGACATAGTGTTGGAGAACAATGATACAAGATGGACAAAACGATGTAAAAACGACAACATACTAAATGAAATCAGAAATATATTGAATATGATAAAAGATGGCATATAATGATTCGGAATGTTAATGACAAAAACTACTTATTACAACCAAGAACATCATAATTCATAATAAATAAAAATACGATTTCTGACATGGGACCAACGAACTATAGAAAATTGAAGAAGCTAGATAATGAAGAATGGAGAGAATATGTAAAATCCCAAGATAAATTTATATTGATCAATATAATATTAATTATTTTCAATATTATTCAGATTTCTTATTTTAAATTTGTAATCAATGCTCGATTTTCATTTTCGTATTGTTGATAATATCAATTTAATGGCCAAATGATAATTTATACCGAAGAATTATTGTCAATATTATAACATTGAACAACACTACTAACGAGTAATTATTAGCACGTCAATAAAAAAACAAATATTTTAATTAGTTCAATATATTGATCAATCCTGCAATGTGATATTATTGCATATAGCAAACATAATAATATTTTCATCGAATTTTTCAGAAACATTAAATTGTTTAAACGTATTTATAATAATATTAATAATACGTGGAATTAAATGTTTAAAACACCATATTTTTTTAATAGGTAATTCACAATAGAAACGCAAACAGTATGTGATAATATTACTAAATATATTATGTAGTTAGGTATGTGAATTATCTATACGAGTACGTTTATTATAAATTATAATAATATACTCTATAGAATATTATTCTAATAAATTTTAAGTTAGATTCTAAGTATCATAATATTACCCGTTACTATAATATTATATTATTATAGCACTTAAAATATTGAACCCAACCTCCAGAACCTACTGCAATATTCAAAGTATTACATAACATTATAAATGTTGGAACTGTACAACAATTTTCGTTGTAAAAATGATTAAACACCATCGCGATGAGTTCGACGAATAGCAATTATCACGACGTGTATGCAACTCAATTAAATCGATCGACTTTAATATTATAACAATATGAAATTTAGACGGATGCGATGAAAGCAACATAACAATAATTAACAAAAAGGACACGGGGCACGAGGTATACAACATGCAATGCTCCTCATGAGGAGCAGTAGTATAGTATCAAATTTGATCACGTTAAAAATGAAAAACGCGACAAACGCACATGTAAATATTTAACTCAATAATATGATGGTATTTTTAACCTGTATTTGAATCGATGGGAAAAAAAATGAGGACAAACGCTGGTTTAAGTCTAGAAACCATAATCGTTTAATACCAGATAAATATGCTATAGTGACCTGTAGGGGACTTTGTGTCCGGTACCCCTACATATGAAATAAATTAAGTAATTAATTTCACTTTAAAATACTATCCTTACCACGTAATAACACATCTATTCATTCTATTTCATTAGACAGAAAAAAAATATTAATAGTGCTATTACACAATACTATGGAACACATTTAAATATTTAATCAATTTTTTTTTTTTTTATCCAAAAGCCGGAGATCAATAACAAATTTTATTTTTGGATAAAAATAATAGACGGTCGTGCTATACAAATAGAGACAGATTCTTCCGCTGAAAGTTATTCTGGAATAATTAAACGAAGTATAGTAAAAATGAAGGCGGACTTTTATTATAATTGCTTTGAAATGAAATACAATTATATGGAAAATATTCGATCAGCCAGTCTTCATCGGTAATAAATATCACGATGTGACGTCGTGAGGGATGTCAGTATCTTAGACCCACGAAGTAAACTAAGAGGGAGAGTATGGAAGTCAGAAACTGAAAACCGAAGATCCGATATGGAAAAGAGCCTCAGTCAAAAGATACGGGAAGAATGCAGTGTGAAAACAGGCATACCTATAAAGTTGGTGAATCAGAGAACCTCCTGTCCGAAGGGACGTGACCTGAGGGACCAAAAAAGAAGAAATTATTATTATACCGTAAATAAATAATAATATACTTGATTGTGACAATTGACTATTAATTAAATGAATTAATTTAAAAAGTGAACTTGTGCGTACAGTTCGATATAAAATCGCTTATGCGCGATGCCTTAAATCCATACAGGGCGGTTATGTCCTCTAAATGCCTCTAACCATCACCACACGTCCGAAAAAAAAAACCTGAACTGTCCGCTGTCTAATATTAAATTTATTTTTCACATATTCATAAAAGGAAGTGTCTGTCTGATTATTTGTCTGTGCGTGATGACACAAGGCTTTTATTATTTTTGAAATGAAAACTGCATTTATTTTTTTTGTTGATTTCTCATTACCTTGGTGGTACGAATGAAAAACCATTCTTATAGTTGATTATGATTGTTATGGCAAGAAAGTGCCATTTAAAAAAAATTAAACGACAAGGTGACAACGATAAGCTATGATAAGAACAAGGGTGGAAACGGCCCGGAAACGTGGGAAGACTCGTTTTAAGTTTTCGGTTTTCTTTTTTTTATCATTTTCGTCCGATACTGTGTACGGACAAAACCGTGCGATACAGTTACATAGCATAAAATATGAGAAACGGTAAAATAAAATATTATTATCGTTGTAGAGAACGAATATACAAATATATGCGAAAATCTAACACAATGTTGTGTACGGGACAATGAAAGAAATATTTGGACCGCGACGCCCGGCCTGGCGCACCATCTCCGCCGCCGCGTGCCGATGCTGCAGCGCACTGTTGTTGGCGAAGAACAACACGCGGGTCGGTCGAGGCGGCGGCAGACAAAAGGTGAGGAAACGTTGGAATGTTGCGGCGATAGAAACGAGCGGATACTGTGTGGCGTTAGAAAAAAAAAAGTAATAATAATAATAAAAGAGGGAAAAGTGGCGGGTAAGGTGACGGCGGCGGGAAGGAGGCGGCCGCGGTGGTGCAGATGAATCGGCGATGAGTTCGGACAAGTCGAAATACGATATAGGGACACACAAATATACACACGCGCACACATACTCTCACACACACACACACACACACACGTGTTCTTGTGTGTATATATACTTACAATATATACTTGTATGGTGTGCCAGGTCTGGTACCAAGGTCAGTGGCCGAAGGAATGCCGTCGTCTCGTGTGCGTGTGTGTGTGTGTGTGTGTGTGTATAATTGTGCGTGCATGTGTGCATGTTGTGTTATAGGCCTCCGCTTCCAATGCTATTTTATGGGGGACTGCCCCTCAGAGCCCGCGTGTTTGTATTATTACCCATATAACATCGATGCTACACGACGTTGTTGTGTGTGTGTGTGTGTGTGTTAAGGGGGTTAAGAAGGGTTTTCGATTTTTCTCCATTTTCGTAAAATTTAAAAATTATTATTTTTTACTTTTTAATAACCACTAGCTATGGTATCCATTAGGATGAGACTTTTCAAATAATCTGAATCTCAGATCACATTTTTTTTTTTATACACAATATTATTTACGAGAATAAAACTTTGAAATGTTAATAGGTTATTTGTCAATTTTCCACAGTAATAAATAATTAAATAAAAAAATGTCAATATATTATGTAAAACATGCTTTAGCCAATATGAAGTAAATTCTTTGTTCATAAACTCAATAATCGTACCATCGTAAGAAGTAAATCAGGTTTTGTCAGGCGTATATGAAACTTTTTTTTACGAAAATTGCATAGTTTTTTACAATGACTTTAATTTCGTTTTTATTATAGAATTTTATAAAAATCCGAAACGAAACGCGAAAAATTTTGCCGGCCTGACAAACACAATTTCCCGTGATCGCACCATCACTATCGTAACCATCAGGCTAATTTAAACATTCGTCGACACATTTTAAGGGGAAATCATAATCGTTTAAGACATTTATTAATCATGACAAAATAGTTTTTATAGTGATTATTTTAATATGATCTATAACAGATAATGTAATGACATACTTAAACATTTATATATATTAACTCAGAGATTAAAACAATGTGCTTTACAGCACAGGGTGTGCAGCTCGAAATTCCAGTTGTAAAAAAAAAATTATTCTTATATTAAGAAAATGTTATTAGCTACAGACGTAGTCTCCCCTAGTTCGGACGTGTTCTGCGTAGCTCTAAATGAAAGAGCCGATACTGCTCACGGATAGACCACTGTTATAGATGGATAGTTGGCAAGACATAGGATATGCAGGATAATTTAGTTTACAATAACACTTAATGTTTCTCACTAGCTAGGCTCTATCTCATTCCACGTTCCCTCTCAACCCACTAAAAACTTGTTTTTTTATTCCTACCCATTTCATCTCCTATAAGCACAACCAACCTCTACATAGGATGTTGCGTCACCTCAACCTAATTTTGGACCTCATCACTATTTGTATACTAATATTCATAAGTATACTCTTATCACCTTACCCAATGCCTCAACAAGGAGTTTAATCATCAAAATAAAATATAATAATACTTTGTAATATATAGTATGCACCGATAAAACATTGCAAACACAAAATAAAACAATGTTGAGCAGAGTAGTACTGGTTGTGGCTTCCCTTTTTTTCCCAAGATAGGTAAAAAAAAATCAATACAATTAAACAACACAAAAAAAACCTACGAGATGAACTGCTGAAAAATAATATAAAAAAACCGAAGCATTTTTACAAACCGTATAGCTTTATAGTATTTATAACCTAAACTAGCTGAATATAATTTCTTTGTTATATTCCGAATTTAAAATTCGCAACTCTTTTAAATTTCAATCAGTTTGATAAAATAATTTAACAACCTTGCAGTACCTATTACCTATATATTATATACATAGACATGATTTAAATATAATCACGGTAAATTTAAATAGTACAACACAACAGTATAGTGAATATGGCGATAACAAAAGTAGACAATTTTAAAACAAACATTTGTTTGGCTTTTTTTCGGAATACCTGGCTCGACCAATCCTCTTGACTGACAATAAGTCATTCACGGATCTAAAAAATCCTTAATGTAATGCCTGAAATTCGTCAAAAACAATCGTCAGAAAAAAAAATGAAAACAACATTGACATCGTCAATAATTATTACACTGCATGACGCAATTTCCAGAAAAAAACCACCAACCCTTTCCCCTTTCACCTTGTAACGAAGTGCCTCTTAAGTGCGTGAATGCAACGGACATGAATAAATATGAGCCGTTAAAATCTCTTTTACACTCTTTCGTAATATATTTGTGACGCGTTCCGTTTACCGTTTTCCGCGGGTTATTGTATACATTAATTATTATTAAACCCGAGTACCTGCGTATACAATTTTGTTATAAGTAGGTGTTTTTCTAGTCGAAAAACATTGAGAACCAGTTATCGAAATATTATAATAACGCGTATTTTGTAAAATCAACGTGGCCAATGGCATCAAACCGCGAGACTCAATAAAAAAAAAAGAAAAACATACATATCCACACGAGCCCGAAAAACCGTGAACGCAATATTTTTAAATATTAGTATCTATATTATAATATTATTTTATCTCATTTTTTTTTCTGACTGCAGTTCTATGCGGTTAGAATAATACGAGTACCTATATGTATGCTCGCAATACGATATTATCATAATATATTTCAATATCCCGGCTCGAAAACAAAAAAAAAACTCCGTTATCCGCAACAGGGAAAATAACAAAATATTTCAATTTGTACCTAATCGACGTGGAATCAAATTCAAGTTTTCGGGATATCTATGGTTAATTTTTGCGTCATAGTAATTATAATAAAGTACTTACTAAAAACCCACCAAAATAACAGTAAATATATAGATTGCAGCGCACTCTTTTGGAATAAATTCATTTTTTAAAAAACGTATAAAATAACAGAGAGCGCTTGTTCGGACACGTCAGAAAACTACTTCATACGCCCCAATATAACCGCAACGATTTTCGTCATAATATGTTTATTCAACCATTATATTATTATTATATTACATAAAATATTTTAACCGCATAATACAAAATATAATCTGTCATAATATTTTAGTAGGTACCTATATGGTTTCGTTTAAGAAATTGATGTGTACATTTATAATGGCGATAATTGTTAGTATCGTTATGAAATGTATTCAATATTCCTGCTATGGTGAAATAGTTTGACACAGACGTATAAAATATAAAACTAGCTACTATATAGTGACAAGAGTTGAACTATAGTTAAAGACGTCTTGATCCGCCATTTTTTATTGGAATTATGATGATACAAGTGATAATAAGTCTCTAACTGTCTCTCTCTTTCTCTCTATGTCTATGTATCTGTCTATATATCTTATCATACTATCCTTTGTGATACCAGACAGATAGGTACCGATATATTTTAACTAAATTGCCATTAAAACTATAGATCTGCTACGTTACTTCAACCAAAAGCATTAATGTGATAAAGGCAGTTTAGTTTATTATATCTGTAATATCCAATAATTATATTATATTAACATAATATTAAGTAAACGATTTTAATTTTCACAAATAAGGCGGTTGATGGTTCATTAATATTAGAAGCAATTGGCATATGCTAGTTTGATATTAAGTATAATAACATAATAATATAGTATGTGTGTTTATAGGTTAAAAGGAGGCACAATACACGTATCAATTCATCGTAAATACATGTTTTCTGTTTAGAACAAAGATTAGTTTGGCAACGAAATCGTTGTTTAATTTATAGAATTGGTAAAGTATCATAATTTAGTATCGTATAAAAATGATATTGATCTGAGCCTAATAAATACCTACCAAACTAGTAAGAGGAACTCATTATTCCGTGTGAACTTTTTCCGTTAACCACCGAGTTAATACATACAAAACGTTATTTTATTTATTTCGATCTTTATATATATATATATATAGATTAAAATACATAATTTATATTCATTTATTCGAAAAATGTTATTCAGTCAATCTATTTTTTTGTGATAATCATTTGCAAATCTATATATTATATTATATAGGTAAAGATATTGGATCGTTAATAACGTTATTTAACTGCTCAAAAATTTCTTGTTTTTAATATGTTATAGCTTTTTGAAAATCTAAATTTACTTTTAACTTGTATAATAAATATCAAACAAGTTCAATAGATTTAAAAACTAATAAGAATAATGATTTTTTAACGGGTAATAATAATATTATAGAATCCAAATGTATTCACGAATAATAAATAATTATTTATTTAGTCAATTTTAAAAGTCATTATAAACATGTATAGTTCGTACACACAATTATATGTCATTTAATACAAACTAGTGAATATTTTTGATACTTTAAAATAATTTTTTGTTTAGTTTATGTTAGTAATGTAATTATATAAACTAACGTACGATAAACAGTGTTTTGTAATTCATTAAAGCGCAGAGTTTATACAAAGAACGAATTATATTTACGAACAGTTTTTAAATAATTATTTAAATACTTTCAATATCAAATTGAAACGACGCGATTTCATCGCAATATTAACAAACAGTACCGTATTATCAGGCCTACGAGACATTTCTTATCTCCCTATGTGAAATAAACGATTGGCCTTGTGCCTCTGAAACTCGATAAATTTGCTCTAATATAATATAGAATGTTGACTATCAGTGACCACTGGTTTTGGTAACAATATGAACTCAGCTAAACTAACGCATAACACCGGATTGGTGGGTCTTTCGTAACTCACAGTTCCAGACTTCAAACTTCAAATTACGGATATAAACAGAAACCGATAAGATGATCAAGTGACATTTTTAAATTGTTCGTTGATGTTTTTTTTACTTTATCGAGCTATATAAACGTACCCATGACAATAATAATGTTGAATGGTTAATCGGTGTCTATACCGTTTTTATTTTAATATAATTCGTAGAATATGTAAAGATATTATCGGGGCGTATTATGTCGAGCACCAGTCAAAAAATGCCATTTGAGTCTGAGGTTCGTTTCAAGTAGGCAACATTAACACGCACCCGAGACAGGGTTCCAAAGCACAGTATTGGACTACCCCCTGCCCCACACAGATTCATTTATCCTTGCTTAGCGTTTAAAAAATATCCCAATATAATAACTCGAAAGACCTATCTCCAATCAGTCATTAAGTGAATATTATGTAATACGGCTGGATGACGGATTAGAAGTAAATTCACGCGTATTGAAATACGCACGTGACGATTAAATTAACATTTCAATTCACGTGTAGGTACCTATTATATTATTACATAATAATCCGCAATATTAATTAAGATCTTTACAGCAGTAATTTTCCGAATGCATTAGAAGGCCGTGCTTGAAAAATTACCCTATATATCAGGGTTGGGGCTGTCATGACTTTTAATATGTTAACCGAATAAATAATACTACCGAGAACCCTCAGAAAATAATTATTATGTACAATTGTGTAATTGCTCGCACTCGACTAAACACGTGGGCGATTTAAATAATATACATATTTGAAACAGTGTTTAAAAAAAAAAATAGTTTTATAAAAATGGCGGTATATAAGCATAATATTACAATAGTCTATTATTATTTTTTTTTTTTTATCATCGAAAATAACGACAAATTATTGCATTCGCCAAAAACAGCAATTCGGTGTATACTGTATTATAGATGTCAACAATTAAATGTCGACTCTATATTATGTTTCATTTTTATTTCTAATTGATGCGATTTCTAATAAAGTCACCTAAAAAAGTGACCTCTTTTAAGTATCATTAGTGTTCAGGTAAAGTAAGTTTGTCGTATTTATTATAATGTCGTTGGATAACTGCAGTTTTCGAATAGTAATTTTACACCATTAAATAGAGTTTTCTGGGGATGGGGAAGACAAATTATGGTATAGGTACTTTCGTCATCCTGTTCCCGTAGTAAAAGTTAGGTTAATAAACAGTTGTAGTCCCTATAGGTGTAGTGTTATATTGTGACAAATGTGCAGATAATGCTGTATTTAACCCAAAGACATTTTAATTCAACTTTTCAAATATAATACAATAATGGTTAATAAATTATTTTGATTTTTTAAGCGTTTACACTATTTCGACTGACTAACGACTATTATAATATGACATATGATATACAAGTAATAACTAATCATTTGCACGTGTCTTAAATAAGTTTTTATTACTTAATAGTATACGTATTTTTTTATTTTTTTTTTGTAAATGATACTTATAAAGAGAGTATTCTAAATTTGAAATTATGACTATAATAATTATTATTCTATATAGTTACTGGTTTGTCAAAAAATGATGGCAATAACTAAAACGTGACTACTAGCGAATACAGATCGTGTACGTTGGTATTTTGAATGAGTCATATTTTATGCGCCGCTTAAACGAATGTCCATTATTGTTATATCAATAGAACAACGTTTTGGTTTTTTCGTTTTTTCCCCCCTATTTTATCTAAACCCGTCGTGATTTTTCATCGTTCCCTCCAAAATGATTGTTTCTCCTCGTTAAACCAGAAATGTTATCATATTATTATCATAGCTGTTTAAGCTGTTGTTGCTATCGTTACATCGTTGTCTATCGTAAAAAATGAGTCTCTTCTTATTATTTTGCAAAAAATATAGGAGAAGGTAAGTCATCTATAAAGGATGTAAGTTAAACGAATATCTTCACTGTTTTCACCGCCTCACAAGATGAATTGTAACCGTACCAAAATCAAAGTTTGCTATCAATTTGTAGATTGGTCATTCTTAACAAATATTTGTGGCAACTGACTTATCCTTGCGGCAGTATCGGGTTTGGACCAACAGCGAAAAACGCTTATTAGCGTGTTTATTATAATATTTTTATCATTGAAAAAACATATAATATTATCGATAATAAACACGTGCGATACGCAATAAAAGAGAATTCCATTTCAAGCGTACAGGGAACGACGAGACGGGGTGTCTCGTGTTCGTCCCCACCCCTCACCTCCCCCGATATTCGGAAAACGAGACGCGAAAAAAATATTATTTTCACATCGTTACGATTATAATATACGGACACACTTAACCTAACCTATAATATTACGGTTGACACCTCGTGCTACGCAACAGCAGCGGCAACGCTGACTGTCCGCGATTGTGCGCACCTCTATTATACAAGTATTGTATTATGATTTTATTATAATAACGTATAACGTAGAAAAATCGAACGGGCCGAAGGAACGAACAATATAACGAACGCCGACGAGAGAACAAGAAGACTGTAATAATAATAATAATAATACCTACCGATATATAATAATATTATTATTATTATTATTATTATTATATACCCAACGTAATATATTACGCGCGTAATAAAAAAAAAAAAAAAAAAAATTATATATTCGGCGTGTTTACGATGAGACCCGATGGTATTGTTGAGTTACATTGTACATATATATATTATTAACGTGTGGCGGCGGCGGCGGCGGCGGCGGCGGCGATTTCCATTATTGTAAAACGACGGTCGAGGCGCCTGTGGTTTGTTCGGATCATCGTGTGGGCCCCGCTGCCGTCGCTCGCCGCCGCCTTCTCGTATTATGTACAGGGTGATCGCGAACCGGCGATTATTATATTACAACAATAATATAGCTAATAAGCCCGTCTCGCGGCGGGATTTGAATACTATACATGAGTTTTTAAAACCTATCTAGACTGAAAAAGATTAATTCAATTTGCATATAAGCGTTGGCCGAATTATATTCTTAGTGTATTATAATATGTAGTCGCCCGGGGCAAAGGACGCGTATAACTGAACCGGGGTACGTGACAGGGGGAGAGGGGACGCGGTAAGAGATTACTGCTCTCCGTATAGTATTGGTATCTATCGATGCCTATTAGAACTATTAAAACATTGTAGGGTTTTTTTTTTTTTATCTAACTTTGCCTCGACTGACTCCATAGACTTAGGCGGACAGTTGGAAATGAGATCATTCAGAAATAGCGGATACGAAGATTTCTAGTATGTTTTAATAACGGTTTAAAATTAAGACGTCATAGATAGAAGGGTACTGCCACTATCTCCCATTTCGTCTAAAATTACAAATGTATAAACGAAAAACATTGTCTTTTCGAATCCCCGAGTTTGAAAAAAAGATGAACATCTACAGGTTTAGTCCCATCTCGACAAAATTATGTATACACTACCTTCAAAAATCGTCGTCTATTTTTCAACCCCGAATTCGACCCTTAAAGGACGGTTGCGTTCACACGACATGATTTTGTATATTAAAATACGAAAATTGAATTTGTTTTTTTATTATTATTATTTCTGGGTTATGTTGACTTGTTTATACAGACAACACCGGGGTTAATACGAATCGACACTGGCGATTCCGGGCGACGTGTTTACGAACCCTATCCGGGTTCGACCCGAACGGCACCTACGTAAATATAGTAAACACACGGCGACCCATCGTGGTTTTTCATCATCTATAGGACACTATATAGGTTTTAGGTTTACACGTTTAGGAATGCTCGACGCCGGAAAACCGAATACCTATAGGGGTTACGTTTCGGTTCGGGCCGAACTCGATTAGTATATAGGGCGTCTGCGAATAGGTCTCCGGGCGGGACAGCGAGTAATATTAACGCGGACGCAATACGAGCGATTATGTATTATAAAAATCGATGGGGGACAGGAGGGGATAAGAGGTGAGAAATACAAGAAAACGATGCCCCCCCTCTCCGAAATCGTCGATTAAACAAGATACCCGCAGCGGACGATCGCGGTCGGCGGTTCGTGGTACACCCTGTACGCGCAACAACAACGCACGCTGTATATTGTTATTATCATATTATTCTAAACGCGGCGTTTGGGGGCGGGTGCGGGGGCGGACACGGCGGCGGCGGCGGCGGCTTTTTAACGCGTGTACACATTTTTCAACCGGTCCTATAAACGCGAGCAGCAAACGGGCGGCGATCGCGCGCGCCAGACAAGGCGAAGAGAAGAGAAATAATAATAAAAAAAAAAACATATAATGGTTAGAGGCGAAATTCGGGGTTCACAGACGCGCGGAGCATTAAAAATAATTAAATGTATATCCGGGCGGATTTAATGTTGACCGGGCGGCGGCGGCGGCGGCGGCCCTGTGCACGGACAAAAGGACGAGAAGAGGCCGCCGCCACACACTATTATAATATATTACATTATTACACACACACACACACGTATTATAGCAGCTCCGCACAGACAACAAAAATATGTTAATAAATACAGTTTTTTGATCGATAACGACGCGATTGTGTTTTTCGAATGTGCGCGCGCGCTCGCGCTTGTGCGCGCGTGTATGTATATAGATCCTTTTTCGGGAAATCAATAGGTACCTATAATACCTATACATTATACCGTTTACCCGGCGTACGCGCGAGACCGGCCGAAAACCAGATTCTTTTTTCTTTTTTTTTTCACTTTTATAAAACATCTATCGGTTTCTTCGGTTCTTATATTGTATACTCTTTTTTTTTTTCTTCTTCTTCTTCCCCGGTCTACTCTCGTCGTCGTCGTCGTCGTCGTCGCCGTATACCTAACGTCCTTACAACTAACCTTATACGCGCTTCTCCGAATCCGCCGCCGCTGCCGTTCCGAAACGCGTAAAGTACGCGGCGGCGCGCGGTGCGGCGCACAAGCGAAACTCGTGTGCGCTGGCGGCGGCGGCGCTGTTCTTTACGCGCCCCGGCATATATTATTATGGACGACGACGTACGACCGCCACCGCGTGTACGACGACGAATCCACTCTTGTAGTTTTTTACACACACACACACACACCATATATTACACGAAATAAATACAAACTAGTTCGTATTAATATTATTATTATTGTTCCCTATAAAGAAGTCACGAAAAGAATTTCCGGAATGTTTACACACACACACACACACACACACGTGCGCGCGCGCCGTTCGATTTACGTTTATTATAATAACTGTAATGCGTACGCCGCGCCGCCGTCGACGATAATATGGTTCGGAAAATAATAATTACACGGTCGCAGCCGGGGGGGAGGGGGCGGCGTGCACAGGGAGGTCGTCTTTGGAGCTGCAGCCCCCCGGGAGCTCGACAAGACACGGCGAGCTCAGCTCAGCCCCACGGTTCCCATGTTATAAATAAAACAAAAAATCAATATTTTTTGTCACGTGCATCCTCGAAATACTAATTTTATTCATAACAAATCAATTGAGAAAGAAAAACGTTTAAGATCCTGAGCGGAGCGACGAAGCTTATGGTTTTACAGTGGTGTTTTTTTTTTTATCCGTGAACAACTTTTCTGCCAGAAATATTACTCAGATGTAAATTAAATTTTCTTGGGGTGGTACTTAAGGAAGCTCATTTTTTGATTTTCCCAGGAGTTTTCTCAACAAATGTGAAAAACCGTTAAAAATTGAGGAAAAACGGGAAATTATACGAAATGTATTAGTAAAATATTACGGGGTAGCTGATTAATCTCCGATAACACGCTCATTATCTCGACGAGTTTTATTTTACTTTATTCGGAATTTTGTTCGTTTCGGGCAACTCGCAAAACCAGTAGATCTGAAATGGTAAATTTCCGTATTTTTTTAATTAAAACCACCCGCGCACATTTTTGGTTTTTAAATAACAACCAACTTCGCTGCCATAAAATTGATACTCATTCTGGGTTTGACTCTCTTTTCGCGGTTAAGTCTTGTTAAGGACATCATTCATTTTTCATGACACCCGGTTAATTAGCTCAAATTTTTTAGATTACGGGATATTTTCTATATGTCCCAATAAATGGGTGAACAAGTGCCAAGTATTTAACTGTCATGTCGCACATAATATAAGTTTACGCCACCACTAAATTAAAATTAAAATTAATTAATATTACTGGCAATGAACCGCCGTTGACGATAAGCGTTTCCTGGGAAAAAAATCAATATAATTTTATTAAAAAAGTCGAAAACAAAAACCAAATACACTGTTTGAAAGAAGACATTTATTTTGATATCGTGTGGGAATCTGTGATTTGTTAATAAACCCGTTCTAATCAAACTCAAACTCTTACAAAATTTAACCATTATTTCAGAATATACATTTTAATTTGATCATGAAACGTTACAATAAAAGTTTATTTATTTTCTTCAGATCGATGGGTGAACCTATGCATTCACGTTACTTCAGGCAATAGAATTACAATAGAAAATTACAATTTTCAATTTTTTTCATTTACTTACACATCTTTGTGCCAAATTTCACGTTTCCAACTAGACAGGAAGTGTCATATAATTCCGATGATGAACTGGTCAGTTGGACAGCCAGTAACAAAATTTCAAACTTTAAAATTCTCCCCTTTTGAAAAAGATTAATATTAAGGGCTCAATTTAATTTAAAAGAAGATCTGGATGAATTAGTTCATCTTAAGATATATTAGCATGTTTACTGAAATTTGGCCAAGCGCAGCTCATGTTATTATAGTCGTATGGAAAATAATTAGTTGAGCAAACATTTACAATCCTATAAAAGCCCGAAACTCTTAAATTCAAACACAATAATAATTTTAGCTATTTTTTCCTCGGGCTTTTCTTTCTAGATGTATTTTGTTTTGTGTGCCTTTATTTATTTTTTACTGTCTGTAGGCTATTTTACTTTTCTTTCTTACGATACATTTGGAGTTCTTTTAAATTAGTTCCCGAGTAATAATTATAGCCTGCCCATGCATCTTATACTGTATATACATTATACTATACTACAGCATATTATATAGTTTCTGTACAGATGCCGCGGGTCAACACGTTTTATCTATAAACGATATATCTAGAGTTAGGCTTAGATATCGGCGATTTTTCTCGTGTGAACTAAAATTTTAAAAGAATCGGATTTTTACTTAAAATCGACCTTCCCATATTTTTAATTTTATCCCCCTAAATACTAAAAGCCATAATTTAAAAAAGACAGACATACTTCGCACGGCGGATGCACCCACTTAATTTGATCTGTAAGCAATAATAAATCATTGTTTACTAAAAACGATTCTGAGCGGAGTTCAGTTGATAGTGATGATTTGTCAACAATATTTATGACATATTATGATAACATAACTAAATAAACATTATATATTTTCTTTAATAATATTTGTTTAATATATAATAATAAAACCGATTTTACCGTTTTTTCACATTTTCTACTCTTAGGAAATTTCCCCTTGGGAAAATTGAAAAATGACATTCCTAAAATATCTTCCCAGTCAGATTTCCTATCATTGTTATCAGTGTGCTATCATTATAATCGGAGACAAATTTCTGGTAGAAAAATGTTCACAGAAAAAAAACCATAATATTTTACTAATATTTTTCGTACATTTTCCATTTATTTGTTTCCTTTTTATTGGGAAAAATACCGAAAAAATCAAAAAAAAAAAACCTTTCTAAAGTACCACCCTAAGAAAATTTTCTTTCAGAAAAAGGTTTACATTGTGTTCATCAGAGTAAGCTTTCTGGTAGAAAAAGTTTTTACATAAAAAAAAAAAATAAAACATTTTTGTATAACCAATACATATGCTACAACACTAGGAATCTAAAATGAAATATTTTAATTTTTGGAGAAATTAAAATAAAAAAGTGACACAGTCAATCTCAAGTAGACTTCAAGAATAAATTCAAATACGCTTTCAGAATTCTTATCACTTCACTAGATCAATCGGTACGTTGGAAATGAAACACATCTAAATTCCTGTTGTGTAAGATACTGACAGAAAATCACCCCTCCCAATCCCTTTAAATTGTATTTTCTTAATAAAAATTATAATATATAAATACATTAGCCAGTACAATATATATTGGATATCAGCCAGCATAAATTATTATTACCTATACATTATTATTATTATTTTTTTTTAATCTAAAGTGGTTTTTTATATTATATTGAATAATACATATAGATCTACATAACTTTTGCAGATAAATAAGTAATAATAAAAAAAAAAACAATGAAATATTAATTTAAATACATTTGAACATTATAGAAAAAAATACTTATAATTTATATGTTATCTAGAAGTACGGATAAAATGTATGTAGTAAGTATTCAAATGATATCAATGTATTATATCAATAAAAAAATTATTTGTACCTACCAACCTAATAATATAAATATATCGTATGTGTAAAATAATATTAATTTGTTTAAAAAAATAATAAATAATGTTAATATATAGATTAGGTTACGTGGTTACGTGATCGCTTATACCTATCATCACATATTATAATATGTACTTAATCACTTGGGATTGGATTATTGTTAAATAATAAAATACCCACAATGTTAATACTGATATTCTGAATGCAATATTATTGTGTAATATACTACAACAATCAACACATTTATCCGCAAGCATATTGGATTTAAATTACATTAAAAAATTACCTAAAAACGGAAAATGAAAGAAAAAAATAAATGTTAAATTATAAATGGAACGATTTACAGTTGATTATGCATATATTACTAGAGCTAGAAACTTATAGGAGTTTGCACTCAAAATCATTCAAAATATAGCTAAGTAATATAGAAATTTGTTTCGTGATTCTTGAAGTTTAGAGCAATTTGTTTTATTTCGCATATTTTGTTATAGGTAGTATATGTATTTTAAGTGCATTTTTCACATAGTATGCAATATTTAATACAATATGTTTCTTGACATTTAAAAAAAATCAATTAATACTATTAAATATTTTTTAAAAAATTAATATTTACCGTATGTTTTTACCAACTTTTTTAATTTGTTTGATATTTAAATAGACATTATAATATCGATCAATTCTGTATTGATCGATGAAAATATTCGAAAAATGTTATTAAAAAAATTAAATAGTAACACAATACTAGTTTTCGGTTAGGTAATAGTTAAATAATTATTAACTCATAAATATAATATGCTATTATGATTCGATTTTTTTTTTTAGCTTAAGTCAGTTTAAAAAAGAAGGATTATGGGAAAGAAATTTTTTTTTAGAGCTTGAAGCATATTTAATCAATGTATAGGGCTTACGTGCATGCATTTTCAAAGTTTTTTAGGACATAAAGTCCCTAACCCTACAGATTACAGACGAAGAATTCTAAAATGTCTAAAATTCTAAAACTTAAAAATATTGAAATATATTATGACAACAAAAATGTATTTATTCAAAACAAATATTAAACGAAAACAAAATTATTTAATTAATTTTTATAGTGTTCTAAAAATAGAAAAACAGCAAAATATTCAAAATAGAAATTTAACTTTTGAAGTAACACGATTATCTAAATGGAATTAAATGTCAATTGAATTCCATTGATTAATTATGATATATAATAAATGATGTTATTCAAAATAAATTATCAGATTATCCTTATAGAACACACGCGCATACAAAATACTCTTTGCATTGGAATCCGAGTTTAATAATACTGCAAGTATACATACCTACCTAATAATATTCGTATTAAGGACATTCGATTTTGGAACGTTACAATAACATTAATCAGTAGCGCGCAAACGAGTTTCCGCGGAGCGATACAACGGGGAGCGCTTCGCGTGCCTCTCTGGCGGGGGAGTAGGGGCTGGATCTATACATATTATCGGGGTTTTCGGTGTCGGTTTGTAAACGAAAAAAGAAACCCTTAAAGAGAAAAATAAAAGGGCGGGCGGGCGAATGCTTTTGTTATAACTACAGCGCGCGCGCTCTCGACATTCCTAACGCGTCTCTCTAACATCATTTTATTGTTGTTAAATAATTCCTCGTGTATTATAAACGTGACGATGCGCGGCGAGCATTCCATTTGCCTGATTTTATTGTCGAGGGGGTTGATGCAATATGTAAGAACAATAATAGTGTACGTATATGTATATATATATTATAAAAGGAAGACGAGAAAATGGTTAAGTATATGATAGGTGTGGAGAAGTCTATAGCCGTGACGGGCGTTGACAGTTCCAGGAATGGCATACGAACACAGGCTACGTGTAACACACGTGTAGAGCTGTATAGTTCTCGTACACATAGCAATATACTTATTTTCTTCTACAATACACTTCTGTATTTTAATGACAGCGCATTTATAAATAGACATCAGAATGCACCACTTATCCCTTAACTCCGTCGTATTATCTTGTTCGGCCGATCGTATTATATACCTAATATACCTAACCCTAACCGCGGTATATAACGGTTGTGGATTTTATATGAACGGTGCATAAAAGCCGACCGCCGACAACAATGTAGACAAATAAACTGCACGAGTAATCGTTAACCGAATAACGTGATGCAGACACGCGCTGATGCGTGTAAAATATTATATAGAAATGCTTTTATTGTACAAAAATATACATCCAGAACAGACGGATTTAAACGTTATAAAGAAATAAAAATCGAAATTTAAATTAAATTAAGATATAATTGGTTAATTTTTTACCTCGTATACGTAGACCTTATAAATGTGAGGGGCAATCATTTTAACATATATCCTCTACTATAGTCGATTTAAATAGGAAAAAATTTTAAAATGTATGTTACTGAAATTTTGTTATCTATCTTCATAAAACCGCTTTGAAAACTCGCTACGCTCCGAATCTAAAAGATTATACAATTATACTGCAGGGGGTGTGTAAACGGCGCAGAAAGAAAAAAATAATAATATTAATACAATCAATACTAGTATTGTAAAATTATATTACTATGTAAATAAAATAATATTTTTTAATTATTATAATTTTAAAAAAAAATCCGTTATGATAATATAGAAATAATATGTAGAACAGAGCCATCAAAATAATTTCTTCTCACTCGTATATATTATGCATTCGAAATTAAAATAGTCCAACGGCAACAGTTTAAAATTACGTTATTATATTATCTCTTAAGACTTCGGTTGTATTCTTTATCTTAAACATATATAATATATGGTACGTACTTCACACACTATACATTATATTAATATAATATACGTGAATTTAAAATCTAAGAAATGACTAGAGACGGGAAAGATACTGTGGCACATTATTATGTGTGAATTCTTGCAGAACGAGTCACGTGACCACACGAATAAGCTCAAAAAATGAGTGTGTGAAAAATCTATATGCCTATATGCAATAGAACTGCGATGAGTGCATATAATAGTCGTGTACTCGCATGCACAAAGATTATAAATATTTCAGCTGTACACCGTTTTAACCACCGGTGTAACTTTTTGAATAACGCTCGATTATTTTTGAAAATATAAAAATCAAACGTACAACTATAAGCAGGTACCCATATTGTCACAATGAATGTCTTTATCGATTTCAAATCATTATTATGTCCGTTATAATAAAAAGAAATATCAATAAATGTTTATTTAATTCTTATATATTGTGTATATTATTGAAGTGTCACACAGTTATCACATTTATGGTAAGGAATATATTTTGTTGCTAACGTAAATATTAAAAAAATTCCTAATGGGAATTTAATTAGGCGTACGGCAAAATACCAAGTATATTACCAAGTAAATAATTTGAAATTGCGACCCTACGAAATCGTAGTGGGTTGTCTATATATCTTAAATATTAGGAAATTATAATAGGTACTAAAATGAAGGAAGTTACAAACAAAGTAATTAACTTAAGTTTCTGTTAAGACATTGTTGCGTAGGCGTAAATAAAATTCATAAACATAACATATTAATTTATTTTTAATATTACTAACATATTTGTTCGAGATTTTTATTTTCAAGGTTGGTACTATGTCATGTTATAATTCTTATCATGATTGGGATAACGTAACTATGGGGATAGGTACAGTTGGGGAAGCTGGGAAACAGACTAAAATAGTATATAATAGCAAAACAAGAAAGATATTTCGTATTATTTTAAAAAGAAAACCCTTAAAGGAAAAACGTGATAAATGAATACGAGTGTATTTAGTTACTTACTAATATTAACACAAGACAATTATTATGATGGTGAGTAATAACGAACATATGTAAAAAAAAATCCATGGCTGAAGTTCTAAAGACGTTTAAATATTTTTTAAAATTACAATGTTGTTTCTATAATATAATAACTAATAAGTAAATGAGTTCAATTTTAAAAAGATTTAATTAGTAAATAATTAATAGACAGAAATCATTAAAAATATAAAATTACATTCAAATATCAGATTTAAAATATCTGTTAAAAAAAAAAAACCCCGTTAGTAAGTAAAGCTCCATCACAAGAACCGAATTTTTAGGCTATTTTGTATAATAAAATTTATATTTTTTATAAAACAATATGAATAATTGAATAATATATAATAATACAATAATAAATACTATTACACTAAAACGATAAATTACTTACAATAAAATTTGAAATTCGAGTATAAACATAGCAGGGGAGAAGGTTAAAATTTAAAACCTCCAAAATGCGCATTCTCGATACTGACACCATGCATATACAAAATTGCATCCTCCTAGCTTTATTAGAGGTCTCTGAAAAGGTTATACCGCATACAGGCAGATGGAAATTAACAAATTCACAAAGTAGCGGACGCTACTTAAAAAATGAATATAGTTATTAGACAATTGATTTAATTTTTGTTTTTTAATTTTATAAACGTATAATCAATCTTAAACCAACAATATATTTATAAATCAAATACGTTAGAAGAACACGCAATAAGTCTAAAATGTACATAAATAGCTCCCAAGAAATTTTAAAATACACTACTCAAAGCACCTGTATTGAAAATGGGTATAAAAACTGTTTGTTTTTGTTTTCTGAAATAAAAAATATACATAATGTAAATGTAAAACGTTTACACTACCGAAACTGTGATATTTTTGCTAAAATGTATGTACCTACTTCCTAGGTATGTGGTATATTGTCAACAACTGCAAATGGTATGCGGATTCTTCTGGGACATTACATATTGTTATTATATATTATATAGAGGGATGTTGGAAGTTGAGATAACAAAGGAAAGGTTACTCTCATATATTATAATAATAACATGAGCGAATGCAGATCAAAGAACATCCTATTCCACCACTTTGTTTAACATATAATATATATTTATTTTTATTTTTTTTTGCGAACCTCCGAAACCGCCGCACCTGACCACATTAAGTCACCGTCGACCTGGATATTCTAATAAGACAAAATACGACTTGCTAAATAACAATACGCCATAAATTTTACTGCAGCGTTCGCACAACCATCATAATAATAATAATAATAATATAGAATGAGAAAGATAGAGATAGAGTGAGAGAGAATGGTGTTTTGGAAGAAGGAGGATGAGACCTATATGGAAAAGAAGGGGATTTGTAAGTATATACATATATATATACAATAGTAAAAAGGCAAAAAAAAAAAAAACAAGGAGAGGGGAACCGGTACCTATACGGCGTGATTGCTAACATTCCTGTAGCAGCTATAGACGACGTCGTCGTCGTCGCCGCCACCACCATCCGACTTATAATAATAATATGCTGTTTTCCGAGAACCTATTGCCATGTATACACGACGACACTGAGGCTACCAGTAGGTTTACGCGGCGAAATACTCTTTAAGATTCGTATAACACATATTATATTCAAATCAAATTACCGAGTCCAATATAACATGTTGTATAATATAGACGTCGATTGTCTGTGCCGTCATACGGTGACGACAAAATTATACAAACAGAGTAGGTGTACTGATTGAATATAAATATTTTTTTGGTTTGGCTAAATATTATTGAATGTGTGCAATAAACCAACGATTTCATCATCAACTACGGCAATTACTGCAGTTTTCGATTGGCATTTTTTTTTTTTTAAATCTATAATATATTATATTAATATTTATTATAATACAACTATGAATATGTACAACAAAAACCGCAGCTAAAACAAAAAACTAAGACTACAACTTATGGCAAGATGTTACGAACAATTATTAACCGGTGGTCTGCTGCATGACGAGAGAAAGTCTAATAATTAACATTAATACTTCCCCGACGTAATTATTATATTAACTATGGAAAACACGTCAACGTGTAAAATTATAATATGCAAAAATATGTACATAAGACTCCATCGTTTATTAGCAAACAAATTTACTATAATTATTCAATTCAATTATATGTACATAAAAAAAAACTCTTGTACCTATACGTTTGAACCTCTGCTTCGGTGAAACCACACGTTTTTCAAACCCGCCCAACACATCTTTTTAAAACTATAAATGCACCATGTATAATTAATATTAATTTTTATTACAGCTGTGTAACTATATTTTATGAGATAATTTTAATGAAGCTACATACTTCAATACCGATACCTATAGTACAACCCTGCGTCCCAATGTGTCTTGACAACATATTTAATTAACTACAAAAGCACTTACTTAATTCCGTTAACTATTATATTTGTATTCATATACTAAAGCGGAACCCAGTCACGGATTCAATCAATGAAAAATTCAATTTTCGTATTCAAAAGTATAAGGTAAATTCGAGTGGGCGCCACAGGCAATTTGCGGTATTTTATTAATTGATATGGTAAACGTATGATATGTAGTATAATAATATGTGAACCGCACCCCGCAAGTATAATACAACCCATAGAAAAATTTTTTTTTAAATATTTTACTAGGTACCAATTAATTTTGTTTATTAAATACAACAAATAAACAATACCCAAAAATACAAATACAATGTGCAACATGAACTAAAGGATTAGGAACAACTATTATAATAATGTTACTATAAACTATACTATACTATACTATTATTATTAACTGATTATAATAGTTATTATTCGTTTCTAATAATAATGGCATAAAGGCATGGCTATATAATTAGATCATGACATAAATATAATTCATGAAATTTCGTCAACATTTGAACGACCAAACACCAACCCCAATTTTTTAGTGAATCACCAAAACATAATTCAAGCCGCCTCTTATGTACCAGGTGATCCATTTAAGTAGGTACACTTATTATCTCGGAAAGTATTAACTTTTTCCAGAATTTGTTTTCTGGAAATTTAAGAAACAAGCTGCTCTACAATTTTATATTTATGTTATTTTTCGTCACCCTTATTTTTGGGGTTAAAAAAAACCAAGTATCAACTTTTAATTGTAAAATGGTAACCTACATTAAAAATTGCATAAATAGATGAAGTTTAGTGTTGACATTTTTGATATCCGTCAATCCTCAGACGATATATTCCACTTTTAAGTTTGGGTTGGAGGAAAGTAGTGGAGAATAATTTGTGTGGCGGTATGGTGCGCGGCACGTTAATAATGCACTACACTCTCCTCCAACCCAAACTTTAAAGTAGAATATCTCGTCAATGGATTGACGGAAATCAAACGTTTGAATGTTAAAATTTATTTTAACTAATTTTAACTACATCTATTTATGGAGTCTTTAAAATAGGTTACCATTTTAAAATCAAAATTATGTAGTGGTTTTACCGCCAAAAATAAGAGTGACACAAAATAACATAAATATAAAACTCTAGAGCAGCTTGTTTCTTAAATGTTGTAGAAAATAAATTCCAAAAAGTTTTAATACTTTCCGAGATAATGAGTGTACTCACTTAAATGGATCATCTCGTACACCCGTGTAGGAATTTAAAATTTAAAATCCTATATTTGAAATTATTGCAGATGTATATCTAAGTTCCATAGATTTGGCTATACATAGACCCACACACGATTGTGAAAAGAAAATATAATTATGTTATGTTTAAACGCAATTATGTATAACTGCACATGATATATTCAATGTTTTTTAAAATATTTTAAATTACCGTGAAATATTGTCAATATATTATTATAACGTAGGTGAATGGACAATTATCGATGGCGTTAGAAAATTAATATTAAGATTCGGTTAAAGAAGAAATTCACGAAAAAAATAAACTAAATGAACATAATATTATAGTGGATTTACGAATATTTACGATACGTCTTATTTTGATTTTTAACCAAATATTATAGGTCTAAGATGTAATACAGATTTGCGAAAAAAGAAACGAAAAATGTTAACCGATAAAAGTTAAATGGAAACCAATAAACCGTTTTAACTTCGCTGTGTTGCGGAACATTCCGACATCAAATACGGTGTATCATCCATATTAATTATTCATTTTTTTTTTTTTTTTTTCATACGATTTGGAGAAAGCAGAACAGACAAAAGGAACAGCACGCGGCAGTTAATAAAAGGAATGAAAATGGTGGTCAAAAACGTGATGAAATGAGGTATGGAAGCGACATTCCAGACATAGTTAAGTACACACACACTCATATACTATATACCTATATTAATACTTATGTATTTATTTTTATTTATATACATACAAATTTATATTATGTACTTATATACTCTTATATATATTTATATATAAGTACAAAAACTCAAATATAATGGATCTTAGTCAGGACAACGGGTCATGAGGTAGGGCAGGTAGATTGGTGGTGGTAGGAGGGGCGAATAGGTGCACCTGCTGGCGCTCTGACAAAACGCCAATAAACCTGTTTTGCCTTTTTAATGTTTCAGACAATCACACACACACGCATACAAACAAGCGCGCATGCACACACACGCATACAAACAAGCGCGCATGCACACACACACACACACGAATAATGAAAAAAAGAAAAATGCTCTTTAGCTTTATATATGCAATTCTGTAGACCGAGAAATATTTGAATGGGTTTTACAAGAATGAGTGGCTCGATTTTTCTTACAATTTTTGGTCTCTAAGAATGGTATTTTTGAATGAACATCATGACGAGGAATGTTTTATTTTATTTAGGTACCAACGTATATGAACAAAGGGAAATAATGTTAATGATACCCACTCGCAAACGTATATAGAATGAGTTTTATTTATTTATTTTATTTTATTATCAACGTCAACAGGGGCAATTTAACATAGTTTATACCCATATGCAAAATAATACTAACATCAAATAAGATATTATGAATCAGAAACAGTAAAATATTCAATAATACAAACACGTGATAAGACGGAGTAAACAAGTAAACTTAAAAGCGTTTTTAATGAATTGGATAGTTATTTAAACGCGACTTAAAAGTTATCCGCATGCGATGCACGGTGTGATTATGTCCATAATGATTCAAATTCGGATTGGCGTCTAGAACAGTAGGAGGGCTCGCTAAATGGTATGGCGGAGAAGAGAGGTCAAGAAGTATAGGAACGTCTAGCGGTGAACCATTTAAAATTGCCGAAAGGAAGTCTGCTATATCGCGGCGGGTGGTTACCGTATAGGAATGTTAAGAACCTGTACTCTATTGGTAAGTTGAATAGTGTTAAAAGTGTAAGTGAGTAGGTATTATTTTTCTGTACGGCAGTCGGGTACGTAACAATAATATGAAAACGAAATAGTTTCAAATTGATTTTATAATGAAAACAATAATAATTCATAAAATACCAATATAAGTATAATAATAATATATATTATATACATAAAAACGTAGCGTTTTGTGAATGTAAAACATTTTAATGTCCATAGGTATAATATAGTGGTGCGCGATACCTGTTATTAGTTATAATTAGGGCTCGGTACTTTATAAACTTAAAATTCACAAAAAAGTGATAAAAAAATGTCGAAAAATCCTTGAAAACACACTTAAAAAAAACATAAAAGGGTAGAGTGTTTTTTAAAAGTCCACCCTCTAACAGCTCTTAACTTTAAAATACAATTGTCGAATACTAAAAAAGTAATTAACACAAGTTTTTAATTAAAATTGTAAGTATTTAAAAATTACATTTAATGGTCATGGTAGAGTCGTTATAGGGGGGGATGGGTGAGAATTTTAAACTCTTCTGAATCCTCTGTCATTTTTGATTTAAAAAAAAAATGTAAGGGCTCTTTTAATGTTTTTAAGCGCTTTTCTGTGGATTTTAAATGCACAAAGTCTAGAGCCTGATAACATCGCCATTCGTTTCGTGTTATATTGTATTTTCTGAAATAATATTACCATCGAATTTTAAAAACGTGAGAAAATAAACAACTCGAGGGTCTCGGAATTCGGGTACATTTATTGGACGCGATGATTACACCACGAGGGCCGATATGAAGACATCCCTTTTTCCAAGAACAGACCACCCACATAATATCCCTTCGCCCTCCAATATGTTTTTATACATTTCCCCCCCCCCCTTTTGCGCAGCTATAAATCTTTAAACTGCTATACGACGAAAATATAATTATTACGTTACGCATTCGTATATTTTTATCACCGGACGAATTTCTCGGAATCGTTATAAAATATTATTAACTCGTGTACGCCGATTATATTACATATAATATATTATTGCATTATAATATACTAAAGAACACCATTATTTTGAAAAAAAAAAAATATATATCTATATCAGGAAGATTATTTCGTAAGATAATCGTATTGCTATGGGTATTCTGCTATGTTCTCACTATAAAGATACTGATTATCTAACAGCTATATAGTTTATTTATTCAGTTTAAATATTAAAATATTATGCGATTGTAATATCGTAAGTACCTATACCTAGAAGCTAATATATTTATGAAGACATAAAATAATATATTATGTTTCGTGTGATTGTAATATTAAACCTAACCAAACTATATACTTGAATTAATTGGCTATAAAAGAACAGAATTAAATTTTCTCCGTTTCCTGTTTAATATGTGATAACGGTGATTCGATATTTTCATTTGAGAACAAAATCAAGATAGATATATCCTGTTTTGTATAATATAACATAATATTTTAAATGGGTAATAACATTGATGAACCAAATTCAGGTTAGTAGGAGCAATTTGACACGTAACCAAGGGGAGGTCGGGGTGTGCCTGTTCCATCTTAAAATGTGTCAAGCCTTATACCGGCCCAACCAAAATATTCAGTAGGACCCATCATCATTTGTGTTTAATTTACACTATTAAAAATATCATTCTACTCGACTTGCATCTAGTGACATAAATTGATTAATGATAAGTGATTATTACCTATAGTGCCTTTTAACTAATCCCGAAAATGCAAAAAAGTGGCACAAATTACATGAAATATAAATGAAATAGAAAAAGCAATAGTAGACAAGCCTGCTGCATGAAAACAATTTTAAACAAACGGTCATACTTCGCACGATTTAATGTAATTAAAATTTAGTGATGTTACGAAAATTCAACTGAAAATTGCCAATAATCAAACTGAGTTATCAGTTTTATCAGAATCATCCAAAATTTGATTTGCAATTCTAACCATTAAAATGTATTTTGTTAGTGAAAATAAATATGAATGAAATTCTATTTTATTTAGTTTAATTTTTACAGCAGGCAAAAGGTGTCACCATATTGAATAAAAAAAATAGTATTCTAAACTCACATTTAAATAGATATTAATAATTTGTATTTTTATTTACATTTTACCTACTAATATAATTACATTTTTATAATATTAAATTATATTTTCAATTATTTTATAAGGTAACTTTAACCAATTATTCGGAAGTATGATGACAAAATAATAAGTATGATAATTAATAGATATGTCAGTATTTTTTAATATTCTTTTTATACTGGTAACACAATAATTAATAATTATAACTAAGGCCCTATACTAAATATTATATTGTATATAATACTGAACAAAAAAGAAATCATCTTCCAATAAAATGAGATAATGCAACTAGAAAAATATAGTTTTAAGGGAGTATTTCATTTTAATTATTTATAACCAATACTAACCAATAATAATGACATAAAAGTAAGTTAATACTAGACTCAACAAATTTAATAACTGCTACTATGGTTTGGAAAAATTATTAAGTTAAAAAGTAAATCAAAAAATTTAAAAGTTCAGATATAAATGGCATTAATATGTCCAATGGTACTGTTTGGATTGAAAATATGGCCTCTCAGATTAACAGAAGAAATAAAGCTAGATGTTTTTGAAAGGAAAATTTTAAGAAACATTTTTGGACCACACAAGGATAATCAAACCACTGAGTGGGAGAAAAGACATAATCAAAAACTCCGACCTTTTACAACACACTAAAAATATAAAAGCTCCTTAGGAAGCTCAGTAAGAAAACTGTAGTGGGTAGGACATGCATGGAGAAAACAGGGTTCAATAATAAGGAACATAATTGAAAACAACCCTGTAGGAAAACAACCAATAAAAAAGTTGTTTTCGAAAAACTCTGTCTAAGATGAAAGGACTGTGATATCAGAGATATAAGAGCAGTGGAATCTAGAGCATAATGGAAGGAAACAGCAGAGGACATGGACAGATAGAGGGTACAGAAAAAAATGGTAGTAATCCAATTTTTTTTTATTATGATTTTATGGTTTGATTCTATAGCACATTAGTAGTATTGAACGTTCAAATTGATTCAGTGAAAAAAAGATTTCTTTTTGCTAATATTAAAAGGGTAGACAAGATTAGGTATACCGGTGAAAAAAAAAGGAATCCAACTTTGTTTTTGCTCTCCTAAAAATTTACAAAATTATACTACTACCGCTTTTCTTCAATACTTTACATATGCTTTGAGGGCCGATCTTAAAAACTGTTACTCACTAAAAAAATCCTAGATTTATAAGCCTTAAAAACAATCCAAAAATAGATAAACTACCCTAAAAGAATACCGTGTAATGAACTAATACCCACATAAAATGACAAAAAAATGAACAATTAGTAATTATGTCTAAGTATCTATTACATGAATCAAATTATGTACTTGGAAAGTACTATCCTCAAATTACTTGGAAAAAAATTAATTTTGCATTGAATCAGGTCCTTTTATTATAACTATTATAATATATCATAAATATTAAATTACATAAATAGGCACATATAAATTCAACTTCTGCCATCAAATCACATAATTAGGTTGATTATGTTAATGTTTTTCTGAATAGTGCAATATATTGAACGAATACATTTTGAACTTAGTTTTTAAAATTAGTTAAAATTTTTTGAAGTGCAATTCGGATTTGGAATTATTTTATAAAAGAAAAATTTGTTTAAGGTTCGCTAAGGCCTTAAAAATCAAGCTTTGTAACATCATTAAAAAGTTTCACCATAGATATAAAATAAAAACCAATACTTCACATAATATTACATGTCTATACGAAACAGCAAAGGAAAAAAGGTGTTAACAAAATTCTTTATAGCTGCCATTTTAACATAAATGCTATTCAAATTGTATCATAACAACTATGCCCATGATTCCAAGACCAAGTATTCATTATTTTAGATTTTGAGCATATTTTTTTTTATGATTAATATAAATATTTTTCTATCTTGTAAACACACAAGCGATACACACAGGAGATTTTTTTTTTTATAATTAAATAATGTTATAATCGTAAAACCGTTAAATTCCTCAAAGAAGTATCAGTGTTATTAGTAAGTATTCAGGACAATATTTTTCACATAGCGATAAAGAACATTCAGTAGAAAGATGTATTAGACATTGAAAAATTGTGTTCTATACTAGCAGTAAGTTTACTCTACTGACTCTAAAATAATATGTGCAACAATAAAAATTTAGATTAATAAAGAAGCAAAATAAAATCAATTAAAATTACAAATTCATATCAATCAATTCTTAACATTCAATTCAGATCTAAATTTCAAATTAATTCATAACTTACTTTTATAGTAAAATTATGTTCTTTACAAAATTTGTACATATAAGCCATAATTGTATAATATAATTAATTGTGTGTATAATGTGAATAATTATAATTATGTTACAAATATATCAACCGTGTTGAATATTATATTATATATCATTATTGTTATTATTGTTATATTATTGTTATAATATATTACAATTCAAAAATAAATTCAAATTCACTTTCTTTAACATAAGTTTTACCTAATGACAGTTGTGAAATTGACAAGAAGTGGAATAAGGATATTATCTCACTCAGTACCTCAAATTTACTCTAACTCTAAGAATGATATTCATAAACAAATTTAAATTTAGAGGACGCTATACCAGCATTTTTTTAACTCAGTCCAACCAACAAACATAGCAAAATAAAAATAACATCACCATAACTTATTTGTTAGATATTTTTTTAGAAAAAATCTAATTACAGCCCTTGGAAATATTTCCCTCTATAAAATATGTTATTTGTATTTAAACTCTAATTTCAATATATGTACAACTAATTTTTGTACTTAGTAACATTGTTTTGCTTTGTTATGCATTAGTAAGAGAACAAATATAAGTAAAATATCCTCTTAAATAATATAAACTGTTAATACAAAATTAGATGTGTTGCCATAACATGTGTTTCAAATTAATTTCATTCAGATTTGTTATTGAAGAATACTAGCATATCTTTAAAATTTGACATAATAATGAATAAACATATATATTTAAAAAATAGAATTGTATCATTTACCTGGCACTATTAAAAGTAGATGACGGCGATGAATCAACAGCTCCAAACGCTATGCCAACAGCAAGACCTTCAGGAATATTATGCACAGTTATAGCAATTATGAGTAAAAGTATCCGTCTCCAACTGCATGGTTTAACATCATTATCACATTCTATTTCGGTATATTCTGGTGGCGGATGGGTAGATTTATAGCAGCGCAGTCTTGCTTCTGAAGTCTCTAAAAAAATTTAAATCTATAAGTACATATATATTATGATTTAATTTAATAAGAAAACAATGTATTATTAATTTAGGAATCTTTCTATTGCTAAGTAATAGTATAAAGTATATACAAAATACTATCTGTCCCACACAAATTGACCCAAGTACAGTTTTAAATGGAAAAAAATATTAATGTGTTTTCCAGTGACTCTTCGTCTTCATGACGTCTCAATCACAATTAACCGTTGTTACTTGGTAATTTATTTTTTAATACTTTGATGTTTAAATATTTTCAGTAATTGAAACATTATAAAAAGAAATGATAATTGTATGAACTTGTAGGGTATAATTAATCTTTAATGTTTTAAATTGTAAAACCTTTTTGTTAATTAAAAAAAATACAGAATTGCATACTTAACTCTAAGAATTAGGAACTGATCATGACTATAAATAATAAAATACTATTACCATCTGTTATTCCAACTGATTGATCATTATTTGTATAATAAGAATTGCTAATTTCGGTATCACATTTAAACTTCTTCTTTGAACACTGATTTGCTTCTAAAATATTAAAATAAATATTAATATTTTTGTCAATTTATTATAATAATAGTAATAGACACATATAAATAATTTCTACATTAATTCATTAAGTTATCATAAATATTGTGCAATATAAAAATTGTAGAAATTGGTTTGACAAAAATAATGAACTATTGTATTTCAAAAAGTAAAAATATTCTTATTTTATTTAAATGCTGAAACTAATTTTAATTTACTGATAATACTAAGTAAACATTACTTCTTAAATACATGAAAAACAAGTTCTTTATAATTTACCTACTCTAGTAATATACCTAAATATAATATCAATTTCATAACATGTCAGTACAATTTATTTTGTCATTATACCTAACTATTATTCAATTTACAGTTTTAATTGTATCCGATCATAATATAAAATTTAGTTTAATAAATATGTTTACCTGGTATTAAAATATTAAGTACATCCATTTCGTATAAAGATATGAAAACATCCGATAAGTAAACAAAAAAGGCACCAAACAAAAAACCAACAAGTGCTGGAAAAAATGCATACTCTCCATTATCCCCATATGTACTATCTTGTCCAGCAAGTTCAATTGCGGGTGCTAAAAGAGACCAATATGATGCAGCCATCATAACACCACTTGAAAAACCTAAGCTGCCATCCAACAGTTTCCTCTGCAACATTTATGTCATATCAATAACAATAATAATAATATTAGTATATTATATTTAAAAATTTAATATTTACCTGTGTTCCACTGAACACCAGAATTAAACTGGATCCAATAGCTGTTAAACCCCATGTGAACAAAGTTCCAAAAAGAGTCTGAATAACCGGATTATAATTTGGAAACATATTTCAAATTTTCAATCAGTCTTAGTGGCGGTATACCTTTGGCAAATGAATATATTGAATAATTTTCAAACTCATTGGTGTCAAATTATGAGTTATTGACAAATTTTACAAATTAAATAATCATATTGAGTTGTCATTTTTACAGAAAAAAAAAAAGACTATGTTGAATGTTTACATATTGGTGTGTTTACAAAGTGAAAAAAAAACACTGTTATTAAATTTGATAATGTGAGGTGCCCTCTAGCGACATAAGTATACATTAGGTATCTACCATTATGCCAAGGAGTTTGTATCGAAATTTTTTTTTTTTTAATTCTAACTTCTTTTTACTAGATACCATCTAAGGCACTATAATTTTTTTAATGAAATTGTCCGTCGAGGACTTGAGGGGTAAATAAATAAATATATTATTCATCTATAATGCATTAGAGCCCTACTTACTCCAAAGAGTGTATATTTTTAATTTATATTTGCTAGTTTATTTGAAAATTAGATACTTATACTCAATGGCGCAACCAGGGGGAGGAGGTTTGTTTTGTTAATTATGGTTAAGTTATAACTTATAACCCCTCCAGAAATTTGGCATTTTTTTACAGAACCCTACGTAATAATTTATAATGTTTGAATCAAATAGTAATATATTTTAAAAACTATAAGTAGATACTAACTAGATTATTTTTATACTTTTTACACGCTTTATCTATTATTTTTATTAAGATATTTTTTTTTTCTCTAAAAAACATTTTTCGTTAGTAAAAATACGCAAAATTCTTTCCATCGTACTTTAAAACATGTGCATTTTTTGAACTGCAATAATTTGTTTCAAATATTGGTCTAAATTCTCAACAGTTTTTCTATAAAATTAAAAACAAATGACGATTCACGAGTAGTTACGTTTTGTTGATTTTGGTTATCTAACACGGGAAAAAACAATTAACACCTTCCCAGATTACAGAGCTCATCTCAAAATCAACAAAGAAAATATATATATAACATTACTACTTCGCTCAGAATCGTTGATACGTTTACATCGATTTATATTAGCATTCAGGATTAAAAGTTAAATTACCCAGTAGGTATATAATATAAGTGCTGAATCATATTCACCGTTTATAATCAATCACAGATAATTCATTAGATACACCCTCCATCTTGACATTTATTTAAAAGAGTTATAATATAATAATATTTCAATGTTAATGTTAGGGCATATTAAATTATAAATTTAAAATTGAATCTATTTTTTTGATTTAGCCTAAATACCTGTACACATTATTTTCGTACTTGTCATTATAATAAAATATTGCAAAATTCAGTACCTATCTCACTTCTTGGCAAAAACCCTAAACACTCCACTGCTAACACCAACACCTATAATAATTGAACGGTATTTCATATCCATAGTTGGTTTAGCTGTCTGAAAATGTACCTATGTAAGTATATAGCCTCCTCGAACTAATAGGAAATAACCATAAAAGTAGGTTGCAAATTATTAAATAAGTTATACAGTATACTGCTCACCTTTTGATTCGACCGTAAATGATAATTAGTGGGTATTCATCAGATACAGTACGCGGAGGTGGACTTAAGTAGGTACTTATGTCTACAATAGAGATATCAAAATGGCAATAAAAAATATAACAGTAATACGATGTCGGCGAGGACCCGTTTACTTTTGTGCATTCAAGCTGATAACGTCATTGGCTAATAAAAAAAAAGGTATACGCATCAAACGGTTTACCGACGTGATAACTTTACACTGCCAAAACCGGGACCGTCGCAACAGTTGTCGGTGATTAACGTGTATGGGTACGGGGCAAAGTGAAATCAAATTAACTGCCGAACTCGCACACGATATCTATTGAAGCCTAATAATTTAACTGAACACAAATATGCAATAGGTGTACGATACGATAATACCTGTATGCGATATTTTGCCGTCTCGGTCATCGGATTGCTTCATCAACACTCGAAGGTTTCGAAAAAGAATACAGCGACAAGTGTGATCGATCGAGAAAAACAAAAAGCACTCGTCTCGCGCGTTATTTATCATTTATTTAAATTAATTAAACACGGGTAAAATTAATGCAACGACAATTCAATCATTAAAATTAATTACTATTGTCCTTTTTTTTCTAATCGTTTTATCAAAAAACAAATTAGACGGTAATAACCAATAAATAATCATAATCTATACTATAGTATTTACTTGTTTACTAACGAGCCACTTTCTTTGTATACGGGCTCTCCGGTCTTTACTAATTATTACGATTATCGTAAAATGATCTAACAACTCCAATTCGGCTATTGTTATTTTTTCGAATCGAACGAACGTGAAATAATGTAACATAGTGTCTACGCGAAAATCAGAAAATTACGGACTACTTCGGTGGGCCACTGGTTTGAATGGGAAGTTGGATAGGTAAGATATATAATATGTATACCTGTACGATTAATCTTTGCCAACGAAAACCGACTGTGAACGTAGTTATGTAAATGTTTTGAAAAGCCCAAGTATTTACGATTTGAAAATAACACATTATGCGCGTACATTTTCCCGTTTTTTTCCCCCATTTGCTATTATGAAATCCCCGGGAAAATCGAAAATCTGAGCAAAATTTTTAGTTGACAAATTGTTCACAGAAAAACAAATAAATATCATTATAAATCAATTTAATTCCTACTCTCGAATTTTCATATGTTTTCCTAATCGGTACAATTTCAAATACCTACCAATATTAAATATAATGGGTACCGATGTTTTCGTTTTTAAAAATTAATATTATTAATAAGACATAGGTACCTTAGATTATGTACTATGGATAGAGCTATTGCATGGTAAACATTAAACGCGTAATACGAGTTGAAAACATCATTATTAACGAGTGCCGAGGGAACTAATATTTATACTCTGTCGTATATTTATCGTATAATCATTGTAATACCACCAGGCAGTGATTACATGATTTCGACCAGTTGCGCGCGATACGTAACCAAACCGAAATGGCGGCACTGAAAAACTTAAATGACAACAACTATCAATTATTTTAATCATATGTTCGTATTTATCACATAATATCGATATTTTCACCACTAGCCAGAACTTGAAATGTTTTACTTCGACTTGGCCATTTAAATTTAATATTCTGAATAGTGAATACTTATATTTAATTTGTACATCCGTTTTATTGAATTTGTTAATATGGCTGGTTTAGGTCTTGCGGAGATGTGGACCGTTCGTTTATTAAAACAACCCTTTACTCAGGTCAGTAAAATTATTTACATTGTAACTAAATACATACATGCAATATGATGCAATTTCACCTTGTAAACATCATTATTTTACTTTTACAGCAAATTAAGCAGTTCCACATTTCAACCGCTTTAGCAGCATCTGAGACCGTTACTCAAGAAAAAGCACCAAAAATCAAAACTGTACAAGTGTACAGATGGAATCCAGAAACTCCCGAGGTCAAGCCTAAAATGCAAGAATACAAGATTGATTTGAATTCGTAAGTACTTAGGTATTTATTACCAACATTTAAATAATGGTTAGACCTAGTACGTTTCTAGAAGCAAGTGTAAGACACAAGTGTTGAGCGTGTCAAATTTCTGCTTAATAAATATTTTTTAAATCGGCTTGACAATCCGAAAATTCAATACCTGTTATAAATACATACTATAATATCTACAGAAATTAAAATTTAAGAGAATTACCCTTGGAATGGTATAATTATTACTTTGGTATTATTAATTAGGTGTATAATATTATGTGCTTAATATTTTTATATAGTGGTTAAATAAGTGATTCTTTGTTATGATTTGACCAATTAAGGTAAAATAAGTTTCATAGCTGAATGTATAAAACGCCATTGTGGTTTCAAAGTCATTGTTAACATATTTTTATTATGCAATCCATAACTTAAAAGTAAAATAATTATCTATTCTTAGAAGAATGTATACTTTGAGCCAATTCATAACAGATACACAATTCACATAAGTATTTTACATTTTCCTTCTTTTTTTTTTTTTCTGGACACAGTTTAATTAACCCAGTAGTTTATACATATAATTGTGATACACCAGATAGTATTGATGTAAAATCTTCAACTTCATATTTCATAATAAATTGTTGACAAATTTGAATTCTTCAATTAGATTTTGGATAATATTTTGTTGGCAATAATTATAATTTTAGTATAATATTGTTTGTAAACTGTGTTTATAATTTTATTTTATTTTTAATAGCTAATTTAATTCTAAAATTCAGTCAAATAGTATTTTTTCTGTTTGATATTGATTTATTGTTTTTTTACAGTTGTGGTCCTATGGTTCTGGATGCTTTGATTAAAATCAAAAATGGTGAGGATTCAACATTAACTTTTAGACGTTCTTGCCGTGAAGGTATTTGTGGTTCTTGTGCTATGAATATTGGTGGAGTTAATACATTAGCGTGTATTAGGTTTGTATTTAATATTTGAAAACAAAATTTGTGTTGATTTTTCAAAGTATGTAATCTAATGTATTCAAAACAATTTTGTTTTATTGTCTAGTGGTATTAATCCAGACTTGTCAAAACCATTGAAAATATACCCGCTGCCTCACATGTATGTAGTTAAGGATTTAGTGCCAGACATGAAGTTGTTCTACAAACAATATGCTTCTATTGAACCGTGGCTGCACACTGATGTAACACCCAGTAATAACAAAGAGCATTTGCAACATACACAAGACAGAGAGAAACTTGTAAACTATTAATAAATACTACGGTTATTTTTTAAAAATTGAATATTTAATTTTTTTAGGATGGTTTATATGAATGTATTCTATGTGCATGTTGTTCTACCTCATGCCCTTCATACTGGTGGAATTCAGAGAAATACTTGGGACCAGCGGTACTCATGCAGGTAATTATTTTATTATGTTTAATTATATTTAAAAAAAATTGCGAATATTATTACTTGTAAACACTTATTAACATTATATAACTTATTAACATGGTGATTAAAATACCACATAGATACAACATATACAGTGTGAAAACGCTAACTGAGAACACTCAATAAATTTGCGTAGAGTCCTGCGATTTGAATTCTGCTTTTTGGTCAGTTGTTATGACATAAAAATACACATTTTTATAGCCTTTGAATTTTTTAAACTTAATTAGACATGCGCATGCACAGTGCAACTTTTTTTTCTTAAATAATAACCACAAATTATTTTTTGTCTAATTTTGTAATGAATTTTAGTAGTAGGACCAACTTTCTAAGTCCAAAATTGACTAAGTTATAGTAATTCAACCAAAATACACGCAATTTACAGTTTTTTGACTGTAACTCTAAAAATAATTATTTTAGGATTGTTTAGGCTGACGTAAATGCTGAACTAAATCAGGTCGATATGGATGTATTTTATATTTTTTTAAAATCTTACAAACTGCGGTATGAGATATTCCAAGTTCTCTACCAACGTACCATATAGAAACTCCGGGATTTGCTCTAACATAGACTAATAATTGTTGCTCAACCTCTTCATCTAAAGCATCACCTCGTCTTTGTTGTTGATTTTTGACCCTTTTAGAAAATGACCCATAGATTCTAAGATTCCTTTTTAAGTTATAAATAAAACTATGGGCAGGATGTTCTCTATCTTAAGTATTTAATAAAAGAAACGAAAATAAATTAGAAAATGATGTAAACAAAAATTAAAGAAAATTCTAAATCATACCTGGGTAACGTTGAGCATAAGTTTATGCTGCACGGCGCGCATTTTTTTGACACTCCCAATAAATAAATAAATAAATAAATAACATCAACTTTTTGCGAATGATTCATATTGGTCACGGAAGTAATGTACGTGTTTGAACGATGAGAAATAGTGAAATGTTCAGCCACTTCATTTATTTATCGTATTTAATTTTGTACCAAATTGTCATACAGATAAATGTTTACTCTAAGGTAGATATTACTTAATGTTTAATTTTATAATGACCAATAAAATACAATAAGTATTAGATAACATTTATTTTCCAATTTAAAATAACATAGGTTTAGAGAACAATTTGAACAATTTATACGTTAAATTAATTAATAACTAAATAAACTTATACATCCTAATAGATCCATTAAATGTAATGAAATAAACAACATACTTATTTACGTTTTTTCTGCTATAAGTTACCTCAAACACAAATTACAGTGAAAATTAAACAGCAATTAAGTTTATAATTATGTGGGATTATCAACTTAATAATTAGGGATGAAAATGTCAAGCCTAAACAATCCTAGAATAATTATTTTTAGAGTTACAGTCAAAAAACTGTAAATCGCGTGTATTTTGATTGAATTGCTATAACTTAGTCAATTTTGGACTTAGAAAGTTGGTTTAACTACTAAAATTTATTAAAAAATAATTTGTGGTTACCATTTAAGAAAAAAAAGTTGCATTGCGCATGCACATGTCTAATTAAGTTGAAAAAATTCAAAGGCCAAATGTGTATTTTTATGTCATAACAACTGACCAAAAAACAGAATTCAAATCGCAGGATTCTATGTAAATTTATTGAGTGTTCTCAGTTAGCGTTTCCACACTATATATATTAGCCTATTCAATTATTTTCTATGAGATGTGATTTTCATAGTAATTTTCAATTTTCATGAGCTAAGTGACTGAATCAATCAAACAAGAAACACCAGTTACTTGAATATATACCATATTTCAATGTCAAATTCAATTACGATTTATACAATTGTCTTTGCTGGATACTAAAACAGAATAATATTGATACTTAAAATGAAAAACCTTATTCAGTAGATAACCGATTACATTTTTGTTTATCTTCAAATGTCATTTTAATTATTTATAATTTAAATGGACAACCCCAATTACAATAATGGTATCATACGTGAAATACATTAATAAATGTGTACATTACTTAATATTATATGAAGATCAATTTAAATTTAAGTGATTAAAGGTTAAACTACTAAGATATATCATTAAAAAAATCAAATTAATTATATATAAAAATATCAATATAACAATTATTTACAGGTTGCATGAATCTAATTATAGGAAAATTCTTGCTTTATAAAGAACACTAAAATTGCACATAGTATCAACCTGTTTGGTTGTATAACCCGGAACTAAAAACATTGTTTTTGAAAACAGATCGAAGCAGTAAATACATTTTTTCAATAATTTATGAATAAAACAAATATCTTGGTTTTTCTTCTAATTTTTAGAGTGCCAGATTTAAGTATAACAATATACTAGGTTGATGAGTGAGGTTGTTAATTATTATATTAAAAATAAGTTAAGCTACCTTATATTGTAATTTTAACACTACAATATTTCTTATCTTGACTATGACCGAGTTTATAACTTATACCAATATTATTAAAGTTATACTTAGTCAATATTAAAATTTAATCTATCTTATTTTTAACCTTAGGCATACCGTTGGATCATTGACTCTAGAGATAAAGCTACAGCAGAACGATTGGACAAAATGAGAGATCCCTTTTCTGTTTTTCGTTGCCACACTATTATGAATTGTACTAAAACATGCCCAAAAGTAAGTCATATTTGTTTATTTATATCCATATTAATTATTAACATTATATGATACAAAATTTTATAGGGTTTGAATCCTGGTAGAGCTATTGCTCGTATCAAGGGTCTTCTTTCTGGGGTGACCAGCAAGGAAGAACCAAAAGCTATTGCACAATAAAATTGTAATATTATTGTTTTTTAGTATTTTTTAAGCGTTCAAATTTAAGTGAACACTTTGTAACCTGGTAATAACACCTTGCTAAATTTTATCTAGATTTAGGCACTGGAAATATGTAATAGTTAATTTAAACTTATTTTTAAAAAATAAAATTATATTAAATTTTATTATGTTGTACATTAAACTTAATGATAGTGCTTTTAATTAAATCAACATCCTCTTACGATATACAATCATAATTGTTCATAAAATTTAATCATTTTTGTTTAAATTCATTATGTTGCGCTTCTTTATAATTAACAATACATTTTCGAGTTTCCATTAACATTGTGTCTTCATTTTTAACCATAGATGCAAGGCGGGATTAAGGGGGAGTCTAGCTGGGGCCCTCCCAAGTACCAAAGTGAAAGGGGTCCAAACAATTTTAAAAACAACTTTTTTTTTTTTATCGACTAAAGCAACTAAATAGTAAATACCTATAAAAGCACTAAAAAAAAAGAGGCATTTTGCTGTTATCTAATATTTTCATTGATATCAATGTTATTTATATCTGGTAATACTGCTACATTGACTAAGTATTATTTTATCAATAATATAATCCTGCAAATAAAATTAAATAATCTACAAACTAATAATAATAATTTAGTTAGATATTTGCACCTTTTTCGGTTAAATATTGTTACAGTTTACATTGCTATTGTGTACTGTATTATTTATAATATTGAAATGTCAAAATAATAAAAGCCGGTCAATAATCTTTGATTTTTCCAAAATGATGAAACCAAAAGTTTTGAGTGGTACAGCTAAAGGAAAGAAAAAATACTAAAATTAATAGTTTTATAGAAATAAATAATATATACATATATTAATTTAATAATTTTATAATGCAATTGTCAATTTGTGAAATAGTAAGATTTATTTTCCTACAAGCAGCTTTCTAAAACATGTTTTGTCAAAAGGGTACATATGAAATTTCTGCCTCGGGCACAATAGGTTTTTAATCCGGCTTTGCATAGATATCATATTATTAAAAAACAAATTTTTATTATCTGCAAAAAACTGCTTAAATTGTAAAAAAGCACATAAAAATGTTCAAAAAAGCCAAAGTGGTAAAGGGATTTTAAAAAACTCACTCTAATGGTTCTAACTCTATTAAATAAAATTTAATTTTCTATCACTTAAAAATTATTTAATACATTTTTGTCTTTTTATAACACTTACAAATATATTTGAAGATAACTTTATAATAATCATTTTTTTTAGTGTTAAAAAATTATTTGTTGATAAGTCAGAAACAATAGACGTGGAACATTTTAAATGGGGCTTTTACTATTCTTTTAAATATTTTTAAGTGATATTTTGGGGGGCTTTTTATGATGGTTTTTAGCGCTTTTTTGTAAACTTTAAGTACATATAAATCCATTACCATTCATTTTTCAAGATAAATATGCCCTCAATTCATAATATCAAAAAAATTCTTATATCTATCAAATATTGGATAGCTAATCATAATTGTACACGGAATAAAGTGAATTTTGACATCAGTAATATAAACACTGTTTGTATTTAAAATTATTTTGATTTGTCAATTGTTATAATTTCAAAATTGTCAATCGTACCATGTTGCTCTTATAGAGGAGATTGGTTTTCTATCTCATAACACAATCTAGGTAAGTTTCTCACTATCAAATCTGTGGAACATTTAAGAGATTGCATAATACCAATCTTTAACATATCCTTGTCTTCACAGTCCAAATTAAAAGACGGAAAGGGCCATTTAAAATGTCACCAAAATAGTTCATAGCAGTTATTTTATCATCACCTTTTACAGTGCTAAAGCACATGTGTAAATATGTTCAGTGCAATTTGACTCTAAAAATATATAAGCTACTCCAGTACTTGGCCAATATATGTACTCTTAGGGTTGAATTATGTTCCCTCCACTAAGACAATGAAGATTCATGTATAAATTCCAATCAAATAAATTTGTTCGATGTTCATATCAAACACACAAGTTTTGCCGTATTCTCATATCCCAAATTTTAGTTATGTTGAAACCTTTGTAATTTTTCCAATATTTAAATATGTTTTAAATATAATCTTTTCCTATATATTTACTTAAATGAATTAAATTGAATAATCAGCAAACAGAACTGTCTTACTGTATCATCAGTAATAATATCAATTAGTTGAGCTGATTATTTGATTAGATAAGTATTTGTGTTTGGCTTTACAAGAGAGTATTGCTGTAAAGTTCCATCAAAGTACGAACTTACATATTACAATATTATAATTCAATTAAATAAAATATTTAGTAAAGGAATTATAGTATTACTATAGTATTTACTTCTTAGTTAGATTAATGTTTAAGTATATTCTATGTACTATAAAGCATTATATCATATATGACATCATCGATTTATATTCATAAAAAAGGTACGCAAAAACTTAAATGAATTTTCATTTTTTGTTTTTATATAATAAAAGGATTTTGAAATTAAATCAAATGAACTAACTCAAATATTCAATGTAAATTATTTTTATATAAATTACTTATATTTCTGAACGAAAGTTACTAATACAAGTACTAAAATAATTTACAATATTTTCTACCTCAAAATTATAAGACACCTACTATATTTTCTAATGAAAAAAAACTACATTCAAATATTTTATAACTAAATTATAATAGTAGGTTGAGACTCAAGGAAATATGCAGATTTTCGCATAGGATATTTGTACTGTTTAATCAATGTGCAGAATGTGGTCTATAACATTGTGGTGTGGCGCTTATATTTTAACATATCCACTACTAATATAAGCCCCTACATCCACAAATGGACTTGAATCATATTCGATTTTATACTGCGACAGAAATTTCTACCAGGAATCTTGCTTCAATATGCAAGTGTAGCACCTTTTTTCAAAGAAAGTTATATTGAATAGATGGTACTTTAGTAAGATCATTTTTAGATTTTCCAAGCAGTTATCATATTATGAAAACCTAGGATGAAAATATGTAAAATTTATGAGAATAATAATGTTTTTATTTTCAATTTCGGTTTTTGTTGTACTTGAAATTAAGTCAAAAAACAATTTATACTTAATAGATATTTGAATGAGTTTTGTACGTAATTTCTATTAGTAAGTACTGTTAATTAATACTTTATTATCTTTAACAATGGTCCACCCATCGTACAAAGTATATCCTCCTAAAATGTATTCTTGCGTCTGTCTCTCAAATTATAACCAGCATCAATATAAACATGCATTGCATTTGTGCATGAAAAAAATTTTTACAATACACAAAGAAATGCACTTAAAAATTCTAAAACTTTGAAGTAGTGAGTTTGAAATAGGTGTGCACAACAAAAGAGTTTTATAATAAATTGGAGCATAATATTACTTAATTTTTATTGACATTCAAAGTATAGTTTGACAAAAAACTTAATATAAAGAGACATTTCATACACTAAATAGATGTTTCGATTCATGTAAATAAAATTTTTCATCATGTAAACAGTTCACTCCTTTAGTTATGGGTATGGTAAATGAATTATTTGAAAAGTGAATGATCTTATCTCATTTACTTCAACTGTAATAGGTTGTTTGTCGAGACATCTAAAAACATCGAATAATAATTGATTAGAACAATGAATATTATGTGTATAATTAGAGAAATTAAAACACATACTCTGCAAATTTGAAAACATAAATGGGCCCATATTTTTCCTTAATACTAGACATCGTATTTGGATTATCTGCAGTTGGAGTAACCTTTAGCAATTTACCAGCAAAGTGCAGTCTCAAAGCCTACAGGAAAATGAAAAACTTTCGAACAAAGTTTCCTCTTTATATTATCAAAACATTTATTATTAATTTGAATGCCTAGTTTTTGAGTAGTGATTTGTCTTTGTGCAATGCTGGTGAATAAGTCCCTTATTCAACAAAATCGCACACATATATATTTATTTATATATAAAAACTAGGCATTCAAATAATATATTTTTATAGGCTAATAGAAAGAGGAATTATTGTTTGATTGTTTATATTTTAAAGTAGGCGATTAAGTAGACGATTAGACTGCAATAATTAAAGGCTTTAGTTGACGCGTATAAAACTCAAGATCAATAAAACGTTTTCCGCAACCGAGGGGTCACATATATTTTGTTTCTGTATTCTTCTTGGAGCTGAAACAAAAATCCGTCACAAAAAAGTTAAAATCACAAGTATAATTCATACAGGAATAGTTGTGGATAAATCTAATAATAATAAAAACAGTGGAAAAATAGGTGCCATAATTCAAGTGTACAGGGTAAAATAAAATATCAACTTCGGGAAACACTTCACAAAAGTAACAGGATTGCATTTTTTTTCCGAAGGTTACTATGTAATGCTAGTCTGGTCACCAATCCGTACAGTGTGCTTTTGAATGAGAATAATAAAATTTATTTTGCTTTATTTTGATAGATATTTTTGATATTATGATTTTTACATACATTCAACAAATTATAAAGCAGATACTCTTAACTCCTGTTATATTATCGACGGGCAATAGTTGGAATGTCAAAACATAGATATTGAGTGGCAGCGTCTACGATAAAACCAAACGTGGTATATTTAGAATCACTAAATCTAAAAATCGGTAAACCATACGTCCGATGATATCGTGTAGTAAGTCTTGTTGTCCTAACCGTCGCGTTTTTATTTTTTGAACGCAACGCCAAAAATACTAAGTCCGACGGCGAGTCTATTGCATACGTTTAAAACATTTATATAATGCAGAAAAAAAAACGATTTACCGTAAAACATTTATCAAGCGAGAAACATCATGTATATTACAACGGAATAAATTACAAAACGTACAAAAAAAAGAATACACAAAGTTTTGTTACAGACAAACCGAATAAGGGTCGAATTAATTAATCTTTTGGATTCAAAATTTACATTTTTGTCATAATCCATTAAAATATTAAGTAGACAACTTTTCAGTTTTGTAAATTTTAGGAAAATATACCAACTAACGCCAGTTTGCCCAACGAATAATTACGTCAGTATTTGCTACAATGAAACAAAAATGAGGGGAGGGGGAGGAGCGAGATATTTTCCACATAAAATACAATGCTAAAAATAGTATGAGAAAAAATACTTTTTCGGTTTTTTTGTTTTGCAAATCGGTCGATATTTTAGGTGGTGGTGCACGCCGTCTCCCAGTCCCCGCCATATTATCAAAACCACCACCATCACAGAATATGTGAAACGTAGTGTTGTCAAAAAATACTAAAACCATCGATTTTTTCTCGCTTTGTTACTTCAATTATTTCACATAAAATAATATAAAACGTAGAAATATTATCAGGTTTTAGTTATAATATACTATAGAGGCCAAGCCCCTCCCTCTTCCCATAGGACTGCTACTGTGTACAACCAACAGTTTTGGCCGTTTTGGGATTCATCATCATCATCAAAGAGCGATCCGAAAATCGATATCGGCCGCAACCGGGGCCGTGCCGAGAATTCAAGAAAAAAACAAAACACGAGGTTTACTACCGCCGCCGACAAAATACCCAGAGGTCCCGCACGGGCGAAACAGCAAAAGACGAAAAAAGTACACGCGTTAAAATATATGAAAATTTAAAATTAATATCAAACTAATTCAATTCGTTCTCACTTGTCAGTTGCGGAAACGCGTCCAGAGGCCGCGTGGAATTCTTTTTCGGCCAGTCGATTCCACTCGACGGCGGACACCCGAAGGAGAAAAACACGACGTTCAACGTCGGGCGTCCAAGTTGAAATGAGGGACCGCGGAAAAGGTAAAACGCTCCGGCAATCGGCAGTACGACCGGGGCCGTCCGACCGTCGTCGGTAACTCGCAAGCGGCGGGAGCGCGCGGTGCAACGTCCCACGGTATTATTTCATTTTTCGTCTCGTCGCGCGGTCGCAACCGAATCGTTGGCAATGATTATTTTTTCTCGGGGAAATCCGTAGGACAATAACATATTATTTTTAATTTATCACAAAAGGAAGGGAAAGACCCCCACGGGTATTGTTGTTGTGTCTACGGTCCGTACGACGGTTGTCGTACCGGTCGCCGGTCGGCGAAATTATCACGGTGCACGATATTAATATTGATAATATTCTGTTCCGATTATTGTTGCGGCTCGTTTGGCGTTTAGGTTACAATTCCATTTTGAACCCAAAATGCTAAACTCAAAGAGAATTAAACGGTATTCGAAGGCTGTTTACGTTCTACTATGAAATACCATAGTATTGTCCCGCGAAAGAAAAAAAGCGTGTGATTTTCGGAGTTTTTCTGTGTACAAACGGACACGCAGTAACGTCCGCTGACCGTTGGGGGGAGGGGGGGCGACCGGCGGAAAAAGATTTCGCTCACCGTTTGTCCGCGAGAAAATATTGTAAACGAACTCGTAGACATAATATTATATACTTTTAGATTAGCAACATCTCTAGCAAGATCTATTGATTGATCCTACGTGTGACGTTGTATGTATTTTCCCGTCTGTGAACAAATTTCCTACCAGCAAACTTGCTCTGAAGTATAGACTATAGCAATTTTTCTGAAAGGTTATTTTCTCTACTTTGTGCATTTGAGTGGTGACTTTTTGGATTTCCAAGAGGTTTTCGAAATAATTGGGAAAAATCCGAAATAAAATTAATTGGTACGGCGAACCGCGACGTTACCGCCGTTTTCGTTGTTTTTATTTCGTTTACACAACGTTTATTACAGGAAATATTATTCCAATCGAAAAACGACTAGACGCCGATTTTGTACTTTTTAAACGATTTTCGAATAGGAATATTTATATTTATACCGTTCAGACCATGTCTGCAGAATTTGGCGCGTGTAACCGGCGCTCGTGATCAATATTTTTACATATCCGCTGATAATACCGTAAGCACCTAAAAGACCGTAAAACACGGTCCGTTCTGGAACCCCAGAACATAATCGACTCGTAGGTAAACAAGTACAAAATTACTTCTGTTGTTTATCAGTCGTTTCACGCGAATCGAATAAAATCGCAGCGGTTTTTAATCGCCAATTTCATTTCGGTTTCACACCAGGCGATTATTCACTCGATACGAATGACCTGCGAACATTATTTCCCGCCAATTTTCGAATCGAACCGTCAATCTTTTATTTTACATTTAGTCGCGTTCAGACGTCGTGGTGATGTGTGTGGTTGTACCGAAAAACGTTCCGGTACGACGTTTTACCGTCCGGTATCCGACAACGAATACCGAATCAGCGTTCATGCTATGGCGGAATAACGTACCGCACAAACAAAATACTGTTTACCGTACCGGTACCGAAATACTGGACCGCGTACCGCTGCAGTGCGTGGGAGCCCTAAATCTTGGTAAATAATTCAAAAGCGGAGAACGGACGACGTCGCATTTGTGTAGGGGATAGCCCAAATTATGCGTATCCGACTACGAAGTTGATAGCATACCCAAGTATTTTGTCGTGGTATTCGTGAACATTTCTTTTGAACGTTCAATTATTGATCAAACGCCTGGAACAAAATGCTTCGCCAAGGAATGTTTTTTTATGCAACACGGATTATCTGTGAAAGGTCTTAGAATTTGTTTACATATCGCATTTTTGGGCGTCATTGTTCCCACACCACATCTAAAAAGCATTAAACCATTCAGAGGCATTTTGAAGGTCTTTGTGAAATTTTGAGAGTCCACCCTCCCCCTCCCCCCGCAGCCATCAAAGTACGAGTAGTTAAATAAATATTTTAACAAATGTATACCTATATTATACCGTTCTACTGCTCCTCCCGATACCCAAATTTTAATGTTGCGTTTGTCTATTAAGTTATTACCAGCGCTGGAAAGTTCACGCGTCAATAAACAACATGCACTCGTATACTGAAAAATGGTCAAATACGTAGTAAGATATGTACTTACAAGTTTGAAAGTATTTCTTTAAACGCACAGTAAAAATTAATTTTTACTAGTTATATTTTTGATTATACTGAATGCGCTCATTTTAGTTTTATATCTATGTATAAATTTCGCAACAGAACTTGATAGCGGACTACCATCAGAAAAGTTGGTCTGGTTCAGATATATAAATTAAACTACATAGCAGACTCCTTTCAATCATGGAAGCCTGGCCACAATATGCAGATTGGGCAATGTTTAGAAATACTAACCGATGACAGACAATGATAAATTATCATTTTGATGAATGCTGGTAACTGTTCAGTAAACAATAATACACAATACAGAGCACAGACACTAAATGTCCAAATACAGAATTTTCAATAGTAAAAAAATATTATGTTTGATATGAAGTTCTGGTCTAAAACATATTTCCAATGGCTGGTCCGGGTACAACACTCTCGCAACATGGATACTGAATACATTCAAAATGTATTAATGTAAAAGAACCATATTGAAAGTCAATAAACTTGATAAATTTAGTAATTTATTGATACTGTATTTATACATAATATGTTGTAATATGTATTGGTATTTTTTAATTTGTATCAAGTGTTTACTGTTTATATATATTTCAATTAAACTAAAATGTTTAACTAAAAAGTAAATAAACACTTCACTGAGAAAACAATACTTGATGAACTACCGATCAAACATCACCTTAATTTTAAAAAAATGTACAATACAAGAACAGTATTCCAGTATATTATAAACCTATAAAATCAAATGGTTCCAATTTATATTTCATTATCAATTTTACATGACGTAAACATTGCAGTCTTGACAAATGGCTGCCAGATACTTTCAATACCAAGTAAATGGTCGTCGGCTATCTAGTGTTTCTTCATCTGTGTAGAAATCTGGTTTTTTTTTGAAGAGTACTTAGCATATTTTCTATGAAAAATGTCAATTGTGGCATGACTACTGAAATTCGATTTTTGATTTTCCTGCAGTTTTATATTTAAAGTGGTAAAAAAGTAAAATTTACAACAAAAACTAAAATTTAAAAATATTTCATCTACACTTTCCTCAAATCTTATATTATTCCGAGATATTAAACCCGACATGCGATATAATTATACTACAAGAAAAATATAACCAAGAACTGTAAAATAAATTTGATTAGGTCATTCAAAATGAACAAGTTTATGAGTAATTATATAACGAATAACGGATAAATATTGCGAACTAATCTATCACACGTTAAAATTAAAATAATAATTGATATTTTAAGTTTGATGATCCTTCGATAATAATTCAATAATCGAAAGTTCAGTGCCACTATTCCAGCAATGAAAACAAGTCAGTGATGTTACTTTACATTAACACCACAACTGGAAGTGTGAATATAGTCCATTTCTGGCGATTTCCGAGTTACCTCGACTACATAAGCTAACCCAAACAATACTGTATAAATCATTTAATCAATCACACACACACGAGTCAAGAGATAGTATTGATGACCAATATTTTATAAAAATTTTAGGAAATTAAAATATTGAGCAAAAATAAAATGTAAAAAATATATTTTTAAATAATAATACTTATAATAATTTAAATTCAAGATTTTCAATAGCACATAAAACAATACAAATTCATTATGAGGCATAAAAATAATTTTACAAGTGTAGTTTTGGTTTTATTTTAACATGTTTGGATAGTTCAATCACAAAGTTTTATAGTATATACTTTCTTTTACAATAAATACATCGCCAGCCACATCCCTTAGAAGTTATTGTCAGTTTGATCAGGTTATTATACCAAAAGCCAGTGGTATAGTTATTTGAATCAAACTGATGTACTGCCATTGTGTTTGATGAGTATACAAAATTATAGTTCAGGAACTCCAATATCAAATACCAAGGTATTCCATAGGGTAAACATCAGATTTGAAAAGCGAATTTCAACACATGATCCTATCTTGTTCACTTCAACTCTGCAATAGGTTGTTTGTTGAGACATCTAAAAACATTGAATAATAATTGATTAGAACAATGAATATTATGTGTATAATTAGAGAAATTAAAACACATACTCTGCAAATTTGAAAACATAAATGGGCCCATTATTTTCCTTAATACTAGACATCGTATTTGGATTATCTGCAGTTGGAGTAACCTTTAGCAATTTACCAGCAAAGTGCAGTCTCAAAGCCTACGTAATCGCCTACAGGAAAATGAAAAACTTTCGAACAAAGTTTCCTCTTTATATTATCAAAACATTTATTATTAATTTGAATGCCTAGTTTTTGAGTAGTGATTTGTCTTTGTGCAATGCTGGTGAATAAGTCCCTTATTCAACAAAATCGCACACATATATATTTATTTATATATAAAAACTAGGCATTCAAATAATATATTTTTATAGGCTAATAGAAAGAGGAATTATTGTTTGATTGTTTATATTTTAAAGTAGGCGATTAAGTAGACGATTAGACTGCAATAATTAAAGGCTTTAGTTGACGCGTATAAAACTCAAGATCAATAAAACGTTTTCCGCAACCGAGGGGTCACATATATTTTGTTTCTGTATTCTTCTTGGAGCTGAAACAAAAATCCGTCACAAAAAAGTTAAAATCACAAGTATAATTCATACAGGAATAGTTGTGGATAAATCTAATAATAATAAAAACAGTGGAAAAATAGGTGCCATAATTCAAGTGTACAGGGTAAAATAAAATATCAACTTCGGGAAACACTTCACAATAGTTAACAGCGATAATGGTTATCAATAGGGTTAGGATTTCAATGCACTTTGCGTTTTTTTCTGAAGGTTACCGTGTAATGCTAGGTCTGGTCACGAATCCGTACCATGTGCTTTTAAGGAACGAAACGCGCCCATGTATAATATTATATTCAGGATTTTCAAACGGCGATGACAAATAACGGTTTTTTTTTTCGGGTTGGGGATCGCATCGAATTACGTTATTTTTAACTACAAATCGATACACGGGTTGTGTTTCTGCACAACCCGTAGTTCTGGCCGTTTTAGAATTCATCCAAGGGATGATCCGAGACTGTTCATTGGCCGCAATGGTGCAGCGTCGAAAATCGATTAAACCTTCGAGTGGGCGCGCGCGCTTGTAGAAAATACAATTTTACAATATTTTTGTATATATTTCTAGCCATTTTATTGGCAGTCGTAGGTATTCCTAGAAAATATTATTTATTAAGTTTTTAATCGCGTTTCAGATCACTGTAAGCCGACAAGTCTACACAAACTTGTCATCACGTCGTCGCAAAACAGGACGCGCTATTCGTGTACCTTTTGCCCAATTCATTTGTGTAAAACCGCAATTTTATAAAAATTTAGTACAACATGCAAGTACTATTTCGTTTTAAATTTGAATATTTTATCAATTATTTGTTAGGAATTTAAATTTTCAAAAAAATTGTTAAGATCTTGCAATCTATTGCATTTTACGTGTATTTAATAATATATAATACTACAATATAATAAAAATTACGCAAGTAAAAATAACAAAGAGAGACCATTTTCAAAAAATAGTGCATCCGCTTCGAAAGTCCAAAGTTAATATAAAAAAAAAAAAAAACACAAAATTTCCGGCTTCTGCCAAAAAAATATCACGAGGTTCCGCACGCGGCGCAACAACACAAATCGAAAACATATTAAATTATAGGATAATCAAAAATTATAATAAATAATAAATCGTTAAAAATGAATAAAACCAATTCGTTCTCACTTGTCGTTTGCGGAGACGCATCCGGAGGCCATGTGTGAATTATATTTCAGCCGGTCAAATACGGACAAGAGTCGAAGTTGAAATGGTGAGTGCCGAGTGAGTGAGTGAGCGAGTCGTGAGTGACGGGCACGAAATGACGAAAATCGTCTGGACGGTACGACTGCGGTGTATTCGTTGGAAACCTGTTGTCGGTCGGGGAGTCCCGCTCCATTATATTATTTTGGTCTTATCTTGCGATCGTAATCGAACTGTTGGGAAAAATTCATTTTATTTTCGGGGAAATTTCACGGGACAATAAAAATATTATTTTTAAATAATTTATGGCAATCGCAATCGATTGGGAAACGGAGCGTTCGTCGTCGTAATATTGGTCGGCGGTCCGACAAAATTATCGGTGATAACCACAATATTATATTCGATTATTGTTGTGGCTTGTCGGCGTTCGGGTTAAAATTCGATTTTAAACTCGAATAACGAAATTTAAAGAGGTTTAAATCACTCCCGAACGCTGTTTAAGATTTGCCACGAAATATTATAATATTGTCCCACAAAAGAGTAAAATGAGCGTCGAACGGCGTGCGTTTTTTTACGCAATTTGTCTTTGTAAAAACGGACACCATACGGAGAAAACGTCTAATTTCTATCGCGAACATTCTATATCGAAGAATATTTTCGTAAACAAAAAAGTGTACAAATTTTGTATACCTATGGAGCATAATAAATAATAATGCCTACATGAAAAATAATCAAATAGGTACCCAGGTTCATAACCTATTTTAAAATGTAAGTTTTCTCGTTTCTCATAAAACGAAAAAAGTAGGTAATTGTAATACGTCATATTAGGCTATGACATATACTCTAACCTGCAGTAGCGTACTCGGGATTTTTCAATGTAAGGGGCTAAACAATAAAAAAATACAAAGTACTTAATAGCTCTATTATATCTTAATAGCTTCATTATGAATATTGAATGGGTACCTACGTAAAACACTAAAACCCTAACTTACGTAAGCAAACAGTTTTCTGATCTGGAAGGAATGGAAGGGAGAGATTTTCCGCGTAATCAAACTGTACATCTATTAGGCTATTACCGCATAGCCGTGCGCAGACCTTGCTGGCAGGGGGGGGGGCAGAAATTTCATATATATATATATATATATATTATACCTATGTAATTGAATATTATTAGTTCAATTAATATTAGTGTTGGAAGTATTTTAATTTTATAAACCATTAATTTAGTTACAAATTTAATATAAACAATTGAAATTTAACAGTTTTCGGAGGTAAAATTTAGCAGCCGTCCACCTTGCAACCGCCCCACCTCCCCGTGCCCAAGCCTATGCTTTTGCGTCACTCGTTTTTGTATATCACAGAAACCTCCTTAAATGCGTTATAAAACTCGTCTTTTGTGAATTCATAACTGCAACCGCCACTCTTTTTACCATCTCGGATTTAATTTTCGTAATAATTCATCGACATACTATAAAGTAGACGGCCAAATCTGTGACCGAAGTGTCATTCAAATATTATGTAACAGCCAGATTGACTGCATGGTGAATACTGTTGTATTTTTGCCCATAGGTATGGGTATTTCCCATATTATTTACAATTATCGTTGTCGTATTATTAAAAATAGATCCAAATACCCAAGTAATGAGGAAATCATCGCCCTGATAATCGAACGATGTAGTGTGACTATGATTAAATAAAAGATAACATTCCTGGAATCTTGTGTTCCTTCCACTTGAGACTCAACTCGGACCATAGAATACAGATTAAATTTCAGTTTTAATTAATTAAAACTGCTAAATTTAAACATCCAATTTTAATGTAATATTATCTATTATGCTCTCGTAGTATTGGTCCAAACATACTGTGGTATTTTCGCCGCCGGGTCCCAGCGGGTTTTTCGCAGTTTTTACTACGGACTTGTTCTGTACAATATATCATATCTATAATCTTTACAAGAGATTCACACATACCAGTGTATTATTTGCTTACAAAATCATCTTCGAAACAAATGCCGTCTTATAAATTCTTCCATTGTGTAAGGTAAATTTACAAGTTTAAACTTAAAATAATAACTAATAATTTTGCGTTCAAAGATATTCTAATCAGTGGCGTACATACGGGGGTGGGATGCTGGTGCGTTTTCAGACCTTGGCTATGGGAGGGGGAGCGGCGAAATAATTAAACTTTATATTAATGACTGATGAGAAAAAAGGACGGATATCATCGGTGGACGGTGGACCACTGTTGTAGATAAGTAGTTAGGATGTAGAGAGAAATTTAATGTACCTGTATCTGTAAATAAAAATTAATCATTATTAACGAAAAACGATTCTGAGCAGAACTTGGTTATATTAGTATTGCTTTTTCAACAATATATATATATATTATATTACAGTAAATCAATAAAAACTATATTAAAACAATTTGTGTGGACCAGTAACTATATTAGTTCCACACAATATTTCCTTTCAGAAATGGTGCCACATGTACACATCAGTGCAAGATTTCTGGTTGACATTTTTGTCACAGTATAAAAAAACATCTTAGATAAAATGTATCAATGTATTCTTTGCTACACTCAGAAACTAAAAATGTATGTCAAATAATATATTAATTAGGTATATTTAAGTTCACTTATCAAGGACTCTCCTGTGAGGTGGTCAGGTCCAGAGGTGTACTCAGTTTTTTCCTATGGGGGAGGGGAATACCTATATTTTGTTTTGTTGATAATCATATACACTAATTTACAAAATACACTTATTGGTACATAAATTTATATTTTAGGAGTAGGTAGTTAGGTACAAATTACAATGTCTTTGAAACCTATTTTTATACTAATATTTTAAGCATCGTTTTTCAATTTTTTTATGTAAAGGAAACCTAAATGTTGTATGGATACCATTATACATATATTTTTAAGCGACTAAACAGTAAAAAGGCAAAATGTATGTACACTAGGTAGTAAGAACTGATTTTTTTTTATCTAAAATATCAGCTGTTTATGGATTACTTAAAACAGAATTACTGAGCAAGACATTCATGTCCATGAAGATTGAAGACCCCTGTACATAAATTTATTAAATTGAATGTTTTACATATTATACCTTCTATTGTAAATTATTAGTGTGAAAGGAATTTCCAGGAGGTATTATTATATTATAATATTATTTAGTTGTTTCCTTAAAATGCTTATATTTATATTACATAAAATACATTTTTGTTAAAGGTGTGAATTGTTTAAAAATGCTTTAGAAGTACTAAAAATTGGTGTATATGTTATCAAAAGTGCAGTGGTCATTGTGTGAACCTGTCTCAAAAATTCAAGGAGATACTCAAAACTATAGCTCTATGATGGAAAAAGACTCGCAAACTGAAAATGATAATATCAGTTTGAATATTGTTTTAAACATAGCTGATGGAGACCCTCTTAGATACATACGGTATGTATTTTTGTTTTCATCTTCTTTTTCAATTTCACAAACAAGCTACAAAGAAAATTGCATTACTTAAAACATAAATTATGGCATTTAGGTTTAAGAAATTAGAATTTAATAACTAATAAAAACAATTTAACTATTAGATTACGTTTGAGGGTTTTACATTATATTCTTATTTATTCTTTTTCTCTTTAAATAGTAAATAGTTCTTTACAAAAAAGCCATGTAAATCTCTCTAAAACATTCTACTCTTCATTTTACTAATTTCAAACTGAATACCACAATTGATGTTCTATATAATGTTACTTTGCTATGTCACCCGTTAATTAAACTGAGACAACTTGTTTTAACTAGTTGACGCGTATTTGGCGTCTTCTTAAATTATTACCTTTGTTATAATCTATAATAAGATATAATTGTTTTGTTAGGTAAAACTATTGGTTTAATTATGCATATTACTAATTACCTAATGTATTTTAGGTTTCAACTATGTTGGTAAAAAAATTTAAAAAAATAAACTAAAAAGTCAATCATCTATTTAAATGTTATTAAATATTTCATTTTTTTTTTTTAATTTATAATAATAACAACCTTAATACCTATATGCCTGGGTTTTTTATATTATTGGGCTGACTCATCATGATATCTACCTACTGGTTATTTGTTGAATTAAAGTGAAAGAGTGAAAAAGAAAGTTGTACATTATTTGCTATTTAATGATAGTTATACTTACTTCGTATTAATCGTATATTATATTATTATTTATTTTGTATTCTACATTAGTAGTAACCAGTAGGTATATGTAAGTAATAAATTAATAAAAGTAAACTAATTTTATAATTTATTTATTTACTTATTTTAGGATTTATTCAGTCTCACAACTGAATCTACAATTATCCTATCCATTGCTGAAAAAAATTCAGTTTGGTCAAACTCTTACAACTTCAATGATGTCTTTTTAACCATAGGTAGTAAGTACATATTCCTACATCGTTCTCTCTTATTTGATAATGCTACACAATTTATTATATTTGTTTTAACATTTATTTAGTTGTTTTTCTATACTTAATTATTATTATTTTATACTTGATAGTCAAATATAATAATTATATTATTTTTATGCTGTTGCCTGTTAGTAATCTGTGTAATACATTACAGTTATATATATGTATGTTAGATATTTCTTTATCCACAATGAGTTTGACGTGCTTGAAAATCACAGAAGAAGATTATACTGATTTAACAATATCGGTATTCCGGATACCAACCAGAGAACGATTATCATGCATGCTGAACTCAAAAAAAATTTTGCCTTCATCTGAAAAATTACCTAGGTGAGTAATAAATATTTTAAGTAGGTATCTACCTAAGTATTTAAAATTTAATTATTTGATTTATAGAGATTGGAGAGGGTTATGTACACTTTTGAACTATACAATACCATTAGGATGTGACCCAATTGATCCAATTGGAAAAATATTCAAGTTCTGTGAAGTGAAATCTACCATAGCAAATTTCTTAAAGTGTCTAGAACGAATAGACAGGTATGATGTTATCGAAGAAACAAATGAGCTAATTAGTGAGTATTAACATTAATTATAATTACCATTTATAATCAATGGTATTAATAATATTATATTATTACTTATAACCTATAGTTATTGTAATTAATTGTATAATGTGTTAAAGGAAATATCAATGTAGTGTTTGTTATGTTTGTTATTGTATTTATTTGTATGGTTGGGTTAGGTTATTGGCATAATTAAAAAAAGAGGGTTACTTTGCTCCAAATGTAAAACATTATAAAATTTAAACATTTACCTACTATAGCTTAAATTGTAAAAAAAAAAAGCTGATACTGGTGTCAACAGTGACCACTGTTGTAAGTGGGTAGTGCGAAAAGTGGGATATATAAAGTTATTTAATCTTTTATACTAGTAACCATCGATAAGCCATTAACAATAAAAAACGATTTGGAGCAAAGTTCAGTTATACATGTTTTGAAAAGTCGTAATATTAATGTTTGTTGTCAAAATTTGATATTAAAATAGATAAATAATAATAAAAAAAAAAAACTACATTAAACTCAACTTTTTCTTATTGACCACAATTTATAATGAATCTCCTATTAAATCTTCAAGCATTTCTGTTTGGTCTAACAACTTTATCCACTGAGTACTTACTAAATAAAACTTTCATAAAAGATTTGTTTGAAGTATAAAATCATTATTGATTCAATGTTCAATAAATGTGTTATTTTAACCTGTCTAACCTAGAAACATTACTTGCCATTGGAATTTTTTTTCTTTTCTTTTTTATCGCAAAAATGAAAAATTCTTTCTAAATAAATTCTAACAAAAAGCACTAATACTGCAGGATACAGTTATGGCACTGTTGTTAGGCAAGCCTAGATTAAGGGATGGTAGGAGCCACGTCCTCGAGGCTAGAGAAATAGGGTCCCACAATGACCATATTATACTTTGTTATACTATATTATTTTTTTTTACTCATATTTTAGATTCTAAGTGGTGCAAGAAATGTATTGGTTTTACAGTGATATTTTTATTTTTTCTACAGAGAACTTTTCTAGCCGAAATGTTACTCCAATTTTCAAGTATTGCACTTCTGAAAGGAAATTGGACTGTGGTGGTACTTAAGGGGGGTAATTTTTTGATTTTCCCAGGGGTTTTTCCAATAAATGGGAAAATAGATACAATATTAAACAAATATTATTAAATAAAATATAATGCAAATGTATTTATTTTACCTTAATATGATATATATTATTAACAAAGCAACATTGTTAACCAAAATCTGTTTTTTCTCAGAAATGGTTAATTGTTGCATTTAGATATTCATTAAATTTCCCTACTTTTCACCTATCTATGATCTTGGAGATCAGCATTTAACATTTTCGACTTTTATTATTTTTTATTTTGTTTTGTGTAGATCAAAATGTTTTTACCAAATAAAAATGCTTGAAAATCCAATATGAGATTCATCAAAATTAAAATTAAATAATCAAATTGTCTAGCATTGTGTTATTTGCAATTTTCAACTACATAATAAAGTCGCACAATTTTATTATGCTCAATAACAAGTACTAGTTTATTTTCTAATATCTACTGGTTTAACCGTTTTAAGGATCCGACATAATTTATTTTAAAGAAAAACAATATTCCATAGCACATCCAGAGACAGTGATACACCTTAATGATTTCAATTTGGATTTTGCCAATACTATTCTTACTCTAGGTAAAGTATGTTTAAATTGTTAAAATGTAAAATTTATTTTATAGGTCTATTATATTAATTTTTATAATTTGTAGATGATGAATATGCATCCAAACATGGTCTTCCTTTTCCAAAATATGATGCATTTTTACTGTACGACGATGCAGATATACATTTAGCTGAAACTGTAATAGACAAATTAGAAATTGAATACAAACTTAAGGTAATATATTATTATTGTTATAAATTTATTGCATGACTTAAAGCTGATTAAACAAAATACTCAAATATTTAATGAATTTCTAATACAATTCTTGAGCTTTATTTTTAATTTCAATAATTTGTGTGATATGTTAGAACTAGAAAGTGTCATTATTTTGACAAAATCAACCATTAGCAATTTTAAATAAATCTTAATTTAATTTAACATTTATAATTTGTAGTTGTGTTTAAAAGAACGAGATCTTAAACCAGGAATTATGTTTGAATATCAGTCAATGGTGAGATTGATATCATCGGATCGCTGTAAATGGTTAATTATCATTGTATCGAATAATTTTTTAAATAGTCCCTGGAATAAATTTATTATGAATTATGCTCAATCATTGGCCGTTGGTAAGGAATAATAGATGTCAATATAATAGTTTATAAAAGGATACATTTTAATATAAACTGTGCTTATATTTTTTTTGCAGGACAAATCTCTAAAATTATTCCATGTGTATTCAGTGATTGTATATTACCTCAAGAACTCAAATGGTTTGCTTACATATTTTTCAATAAAAAAAATCGAGTTTACGATCCGTGGAACAAACTAAGAATAACTATATCATCCAATATAAATAACAAAATATTGACAAAGTTAGTCTTTTAATAAGGTATTTTTATAAATTTTTATTAATTCAATATTATTTTTTAGTTTTATTGAAAATAATAATTATCAGAAGTTAAAACTAAAGAAAATCGATGAATAAAACCCTACAATATATTAATACTGGAAAAATGAACTAGCAAACTACTTCTAGAGAAGTTATGTGTATAAACGTGAGATGTAGTACTTAGTGGCGTAATTAAAATTTTTTTTTTGACTAGAAAGTTTAAAAAACAACAGATTTTTTTACAATTTCTGAAATAAAAAATGTAACAAAAGTTTAAATTTGTTTTCATAAATTATATTATATTAATCATTTATTGACATTGATATTTAAGTGTTCCTGTTTCAAAGGATAGCTTAGCAATACAATCCATTCTAAAGTATTATATCATTATTATAATATTATTTTACATGGATAAGTTTTAAGACTGTTAAAAATATTTGTATTAACATAGTATGTAACATTGTATGCATCTATATAGGATGTTTTATATTAAAGATAAAGGTATTTACATAATATTAATAATAGTATATAGATATAATAATATAATGGTTAAATATTGTTATACTCCTAGGTATTTAATGTTTTTATAATTTATAAAAAATAAATTTAAATTGTTTATTTATATTAAGATTTTCTTTTTTATGGTCCTTGAAACAAAATTAATTTAAATCGCGAAAAAAAACTAATGAAACATGTCACATTATCTTTGTACTAGGTTTAATGATATAAATGGCACATATGTTAATAATATGTTCAATAAATTATGTTCTATCATTTTCTATCAGACCAGAGCGACGCAATTCTTGACAGAATACAAAACAAAACCAAGTTATATTACTAAATACCTATTATACAAAATATCAAATAATAAGTTGAATAAAATTGCAACAGTGTAAATACGCTTACAATTAAGTCGTTGGTCAAGGCACCGTTCTACATGGTGACCTTTGGACTGTAGATATCATACGGACACGATATTTAATCAAACTACCTCCGAAATTTACACTACCGCCTATTAAAACTACGCACAATAATAACAACGGAAAAAAACAAATAAAACCTCAATTAACGAAAACAAACGCGAATTATTATCGTCTTCCTCTACCACCAGTCACTACCATCACCATTCTTAATATAAAGCTTAAATATAAAGAAGTTATAATCGAAGAATCTCATAATAAACGACTAATCCCACAGTGTCAAAACTGCCAAAACCTATGGCCATATCCGTACATACTGCGCACACCGGCCAATGCAATATATATATATAAATTCTATATGGTATTTTTGTCTTGGAAAAGTTTTAGTTATCAACAATTTATTATGTCATTAGTCATTACTGTAATATATTATGTATTCACTTCACACTTAAAACTTAATTTTTGTAAATTTGTAATGTATTTTGCAATTCTAATTTCAAAGTTCTAACATGCAAATATCATAGGTGAAACTAGGGAGATGAGGGCCCCTCAAGAATTTCTAGTCCCATAACACTAATGATTTCATTTGTTATGACGTAGAATAATTATAACAGTACCCAACCAGTATAGACTTGAACTTCTCCAAACTTCAAACATGATTTGGACCTATGCTGAAGATTAAAATACAAAAACAGTCGGAATTCGAAGGATTTTTCACTTCGATTCTTTGTTACTTATTATCATATTAGGTACCTAGCCAGTGTAGGTAACGAATTAAAAGTAGAGTATAAATAATCCTGACTAAACATCATCGAGACAAAATTCTTGTTAAAAACGTTGTTCCTGATACTTAGGATCATTTCGGTTAAATATTTTTAAAATTTTGTGCATGCACCTACCAATTTTTCGGCAGGACGTCTGTACTAGATTCCAATAAATAGGTAAGTAGAGGTCCTTTTTTTCTCTCTCTTCGTCCTCACCGACAATAATGGGGCTCTGTGTAAATATTACCTACCTACTAACCCATATTATATTCCCACTATTGTCGTTTAACGTTTATTGAATTCAAAAATCAATACGCTATTATAGCAAACGAGTTTATGGAATTCGACGAGATCGTATTCTCGTTCTTAGTGTTGACTGCATGGTAACTGAACTATAATTTGCCTTGGTCTCGCGAGTTTTCCATTATGTTTTTTGCGGCACAGTGTATCATCACCATGCCTTAAATAAATAGGTAGATAGGTCAGGTTAGGTAGGTATATGTTCCATGTATAGGTACATTATATTCATTGTTTAACATGCCTACCTACTTAATATAAGTAACACAAATAGCCAGAGGACCTTTCGTGCGTGTAATTAAATGCAACAAAAAACCAACACGTTTCAATGGGTATTTTATAGATTTTCCATTCTCTACGAGCGCCCTCATAGCAATAATAGTGTGCAGATGCATTCACAACCAGTTAGCTCATTGTATCGATGGATAAGGCAGCGGGACAACTGAAAGTCTATAGTGAAAATATAGAATATTGGTTTTTGATTATAGTCAGGTACAGGACGCTAAAAATGTTATAGTGTAAGTATCTAATGTCCGGCTCACGAAAAGTGGCAGCTGACCGCCACGATCCAAGCGGACTATTTGTTGTAGTGGTTATCAAACAACAATATAATTTACCGCGCTTTTTCAAATACGCCTAAATATATTATATAATTATAACTATAATAACGTTAAAATGAACTATTAAATATGTGAAAAATATAATAGCAGAATAAAAAAATAAATATACAAGTGAATATATAATTATAATATGTAATTGTGAATTTGCAATTGTTATTCCGAATTTCCTTCATCGTCACTGGGCTCCCATCAAGTAACAAAGTCAAAATGATTGGTTCCAACATACTGTCTCTCATAATTTCTTTATCGTTGTCTTGGTCTTGCAATGCTTCGGCATGTCTCACACATTTCTCCCAATCATGTTGAGTAACCGAATCCAATGCTTCGTGAGTCAACTTTTCTACATCGACCATTTTAAAAGTTTTATTGTTTTTCCCCACTTGATTTTTTACTTAGGTCCATATCAGCTCAATTGGATTGTATTGGCAATGTAACGGTGGAAGTCGAATTACTTCGTGGCCCAACTCCAATGCCAATACATACAATTCATATTTTTCTTCAAATGGTATTAACGCTTTAACTCTCAGTCTAAGTTCAGCTAGATTTGTGGTGGAAAATTGACATTTTTTTGGTCAACGAAGCCTGCACATCTGCTTTTCGCGTATTATTTTTGGGAAAGTTATCTATGAGGGTTGATTGATATGATGCATTGTACATAGCAATCATGGACGGTTCTTCAAGGCTGTTCAACATTTGGGTAAACCAAGATTTGAATTCATTTGGCTGTGGTAATCCGTAGAATTGCCAGTATTACTACGGAAAACCAGTTTTGAATTCTAAATGAATCCATATTTGGCATAACCTACATGAACAACAAGACGTCCACATTTTCCAGTAGGGATATTCGGACCCTCCATACTATCATGTTGACATGCAATGCTCCGCGAATGATTTTAATTCACCCATGTTTCATCAAGATATACAATTGACCGAGAATCTTTATTTTGGTGCATTGTAGAAATTTGTCTTAAAAATTTATTTCTGAACCTAACCTTCCCAAAACTTTGTTTACTCCGGTTTCTCGGAAATTTATTCTAATTTCCGAATACTATTCTCATTTGAATACCGCACGAATAATGTCCAACAGTGATCATGAATTGGCATTGGCTTATTAAAACAGAAATATAAATATTTAAGGCTTCTGGCTTCCTATATAGTATCATTAATCATTAGATTGTATCTGTGAATCTATGATGCATGCACATTATCAGTGGCGTAACCAGGGGTGTATTTTGGGTGTTGTAACTCCATAGCTTTATTTGTTCAGTTATACCTAGGTAAGATTAAGAAGGTTGTAGACTCCTTACCCTCCCGATGATAAATCCCGTCTATACCACTGCGCATAATTATTATTATTACTCCGCGTTTCCCCGACTCCTGGGTCTCGTTTTCTATAGGCTCAAATATTTAGATCGTATGATAAAATTGTCTCTCGAGATAAAACCGTAGCTTATCTCGCCCGTGTAACCCGAAGCACAATAAGTGACGTTAAGCCTGTTGAAACGCACGATCTGCGCATGCGCGTAATGTAAACATGTAACTTTTTGGATAAATACCAATGCGACGAGTACCCATAGAGTATATACCCACGCATGCGTATATTGTGTATCTCATCAGGACGTTATATTTTGTTCAATGCAAATAAAGATAAAGGTCGCCTACATTATAATACGGCAATGTGCTGCTTCAAATTATCGGCACAAGACTCCATCCGTAGTATGTACCCATATGATCTGAAAAATCTTAAATCGTAGTACCGTTCCGATCCAACCGAGAGAGCATAGTTGTTTGGGAACCGCTGTTTTATTCCGTGGTGATCGGTGCGCGTACCGTAGAGGGGAAGAAAATGATACCAATCGAGACAATGTGATAAGAGAAAATGCTACAACAACAATAACATGGCCGTATATTGGAATTTTATGTATTGTCCGTTTGTTTAGTCGGATATTTACGTCAATTGGGTACTCAAACTCAATGATATCGTTTCATTCTTTTCGCGCGTAATAACCCACATACGCCGTCCGTTCCCAAGATGAAAAACGCTTTCCTCGTCACCATCGTCGGTTCTTTGGTGGCGTTCGCGTACTTCGGGTACGCGTGCAACGAAGCCGTGTGCGCATCTATTGTTTCCAAGTGCATGATCACACAGTCATGCAAATGCGACTTGGCCAATTGTTCATGTTGCAAAGAATGTTTCAGCTGTCTCAACAACCTGTACAGCGAGTGCTGTTCGTGTGTGGGTAAGTGTTCACATGAACCCGTCGAAATATACTTTGAAAGACTTGAAGATATAAAGTCTCTAGTTTTTAAAGTCGGTCATTTTGTAATACATATTTTTAATAATTTAGCATGTCCTTAATAAACTTTTAGAAAATCCCGTTACCTATCACCTACATAGTTACCCGGTTGATTACAAAGTATAAACAATATTGATGTTTTATTTATTAGAAATGTGTCCTAAACCAAACGTCACTACAAATGCGTTGAGCAAAAAAAGTCACGTAGAGGATTTGCCAGAGCCTATAATGACTCTATTCTACGCTCTAGTTTCTGAACCAGATCTTCAACAAAGATGGGAATCGTTAACATTTCCCATTGATTTTGACATTGAAGTGTTCAAACCGGATTTTCAAAAAGAAATAAAGTTACTTCAAAGTAAATTACATTCAATTATTAACTGTAGGTAATTAAAATGTTGCTTATATACAGTTTCAAATTTAGAAAATTCCGCTCAAGAAGTAGCTCCAATGAAAGACGTGATAACTCTTAATTGTTCTGTCGTTTACATGAGTAAGTGTTTATCATGGAACAAATGCAAAGCATCTTGTATGTCAATGGGTGCTAAAAGCTACAGGTGGTTTCATGATGGATGTTGCGAATGTGTTGGTGATCGCTGCATGAATTATGGAATAAATGAGAGCAGGTAATATTCTAAAGTAATCTAATTGTTCAAATGTGTGTATTTAATAATATGTGTTTATTTAACAACTAGATGTAAGCTCTGCCCATTAAAAGGAGCCGTTTTGCCGACAATCAGTGAAGCAGATTACGGTGATGATGAAGATGAAGATGAAGAAATGATACAATGATAATGTATTGTATTTATTATTTCAAAATGAAAATATGTTTTTTTCAATATCACTATTGACAGAAAAATCATATCAATAAATTCCAACTGACTCTGTACTTTTATAAATTGTATAATTTAAACATTACTTTTTTGCGTGAGAAAGTTTATTTATTTTAAGAAGACGTGATACTGACCATATTTAAGAAATTACGTAGGAGAAATTTAAAAAAAAAATAAATTTAATTTGTTAACACATAAATATTTACTAGCAGTTCCAGAAGTAGTTCTTTATCATTATCATAAGTATTTATTGTGTTATAAAAGGAACTAAATGGTTAAGGAAAATTATTTCTCGTGAGCAAAAATCACTTTGGCTTAGTGTTAATTAAGGAACTAAATGTTTTTCATAAAAAAAAAATATAATTTACACACTACAGACATTATGAAAACTAAAAATGAGAAATAATCAAACCAAACTAAATATTCTAAAGTTTGGTTCGAAAATCATTTGATGTCTATTCAGTGCAATCACCAATATGGTTCACTGTGAATGATGGGAAAGGGTGGTGTTGTTACAAAAAACCCTAGATACAAAAATAATTCGGTTGTTAATCATATTTTTTGACCTTTTATAATGTTCGGATTTGTTAATATTAAGAAAAATTTAGTTCGGAGTTTGTAACATCAATATTGCACATGTAAGTTTTATTTTTCTGATATTACTATGTAAATATTATTTGGGATAAAAAAACTTAAAACTAATATTACAGTTTTTTTTTTTTTTTTTAATGTGAAATTTGCCAATAACCGTAGTAGGTTTTTCTTGTATTAAACAAATTTCATAACCAAATTACAGTTGGTATCACGCCCTTTTAATAAATGCTTTTATAGTTAAAAACTATAGCGCTGTGGATCTGACCGATCAATTATTTTTATTTTATTTTTAAATTACCTATTGTATTTTTTTTAATTGTATTACTTTATTAGTGGCAAGTTTCATACATAACTGTATATACTAAGTTGCTACTAATCAAAAATTAATTAAGTGCCATTTATTTGTATACCTTTTTTTCTATGTTAAAACAATAATGATGTATATTATTGTTATTGAATAAGACTCTTATTAATATTAATTACCTATGTTATACGATTATGATGTAATCATTTATATACTGTCTGTAATCTGTGTATAAGTAAGTTGATTATGCTCGACTATAGTCTATAAGCAAGGTCATTCCAATATTATGGTGCTGTATGCATGTTTAATTTTAGTTAAGATTTATAAGCGTTAATTATTTTGCAGGCATAAATGTTATATTGTTGCATGCTTTTACCTTAACAGTATAGAACTTTCATTATGCATTTTATATATTTTTTTATTTTGTTAGTTTTGATTATTGTTACATGATAGACCGTTGGTTTTGTACACATTACAATAATTATTGTCAATATAAAGACAATATATATATATATATATATATAAATACATTGATTTTTAATTAAAGAACAATAATTATTATTATAAAATGTCGTCTTGTTTAGTACTTAGTGTTCTTATTAATTGGATTTCTATACAGGTTTCATTATAGCAAGTCAACAATTGCTAATCAACAAAATTAGTTATTAACATCAGGCTATAATTATACATGCACGTTTGAGTCTGTTGTAAAACAATTAGAAATATTTGTCCAATAATACCAGGTACTTTTAGCCAAGTTCGTATTACATAAATTAACAACAGTGGGTAGAACCTACAAAATATTATTAAAATAAACATAATATTAGTAGTGTTTATTCTCTTAGATGCCAACTCATACTTAGTGTGATAATTTTCCAAGTCCAAAACGTGTGTACACTTAACTACGAACACAAACAGAGCACGCCCAATGATCACCTTGGTAACGACGGTTGTAAACACTAGAAATTATAATATCATGGTGTAGTTGGTTTAAACATGATTATTAAAATGAAATACAAACAGTTGCCGTAGAACGTTAAAATTAATATGTGACTGGTACATTTAATCCGGATAAAATATATTTTGTATTTTTTTTTTTTTTGGAACAATTTTTACCAGTATTAATCGAATATAATTTTAAATTTATAATACATCGAAAAACAATGCCCAAAAACACAATAATATTATGGCAGGTTGGTCGAATTCGCCAGTAAAGTGAAAATCAAAATATAATAATTTGTCTACCGGTGCACGGTAATATTATTTTTGCAGAATCGGCTGACAGCGAATGGGATGCATTATTCGCGGACGATTTTACTGTGGTTGCAGTCGACGAAGACGAGCGAATTAATCGGCAGAACAAAATATTGTACGAAATATACCTATACCGGTATTATATACAGGGTGTCCCCCATGTGATGAGGTTTTGATTCGAAGAGGAAGACTCGCGAATTACCAATAAAATACATTATAAAAAAAAAATTACCTCGGTTTATATTTCATTTTAGATTCTGAGCAGAGCGAGTTTTACAATGCTATTTATTTTATTTTTTTTGTGAATAACTTTTCTACCGTAAATATTATACCGATTTTCAAGTATAGAACTTTTTAACATTTTCTGAAAGGAAGTCTAACTTGAGTGGTACTTTGGGAAGGTTATGTTTTGATTTCCCCGTGGGTTTTCCTAATAAATGGGAAAAAACGGGAAATTCTACGAAATTTGTTATTTTGAAATCTTAAATATTACGACCTTTCTAAACATATATAACTGAACTCCACTCAGAATCGTTTTTCGTTAGCAATGATCAATCGTCGCGTACACACATAAATTAAATTTCCCTCTACCGTCCCAACTTCTCGCCTACAACAGTGGCCTATCGTGCGAAATATGTGCGTTTTTTTTTACGATTCGATTGTCTAGGGATCCCTATGTAAAAACTCGGTAAATGTCGTCACCTTTAATTTGGTGAAATAATATGTTCATGTCAAGTCTATGAGAACAATAGTAGATTGAGAACTATTTTTAACTAGATTAAAATTTTGAAAAATAGCGATGGTAAATGGCAAATACTACTGTGATGTCCTCTTAAATCCAATAGCCTAATTTGAAGTTTTGTTTTTTTTTTTTTGTGGCAATTACACATATTTTGTATTTAAGCGCATAATTATAGATAAGTAGGAAGGTTGATAAAACATTTTTATGAAACAAATTAATATTAAATACAAATTTTGTATGTACTTATGTAGAGATTTAATATTATAAATGTAGGTGTTAAAAATTATAATTTGAAAATCGATTTTTTTTTCCGTTTATTTATGAGTTAGTGAGTTACATTGGTGACACGGATTAGAAAAAAAACCCCGTAATTACTTTTAATTTGGTACGGGAAAGAAAGTCTGAAAGAATAGAAGAGATTAATGCGAAAAAAAATTAAAGAATACGCAAGAACTTCATTGATGGTAAACGCGACATTATCGGCGGTGAGGAGGGGATTTATTAGGGGTTACGAAGGAGATAGGGTGAAAGACCAGCGCGGAGGGGAAGTATACCGTGGTAGAAGTGAGTGGTCGATGACGATGGCAAGTATAGGGCGGGATTATATCAACGGGCATTTAACTGGCCGTGGATAAGGCCGTGCGTGTATACTGCTGCTATTTGACTATAATTTCGTATAATGCAAAATAAAATTAAAAATCGAATTTCATTAAGTAGATACGTATAATATTATATTATACCTAAGTTATTAAATAATGCACATAAATATAATTTATTATGCACAAATGTACATACATTTAATTTGTCATGCGGGCAAATGCAGATTCAAATTTGACATGGAAATAGTCAGGCTCGGATTAAGGGGAGGGCCATGGCCCCAGGCCGCCGAGTATCGTAATATTGTGGGCCCCTGGCCTTGGCTGGTAGTACTGTATACTCATCAATATTTTGAATTTGTTTATGGTCCCCCTAAAATCGTTTGGCTCCAGGCCAAAAATCATCTTAATCCGGGCTTGGAAATAGCATAGTTGCATTCTGAAAACGGACCAGTGGCGTGAGCGGGGTACCTACTGTGTGCGGAAGTGGATAATAGGATAATAGGACACACCTATTTGCGTATCGTTTTCTGGTTATTCGGAATCGGTCATCTCGGCGTTAAATTTCCATTTGAAATATTTGAAACTTGCACATCGTATGGTTTTCTATTTTACCGATAGTTTAAAGACGGGTATTTTTTCCTCGTACCAACAGGAACGAGGAGACGCGAAGGTTAACGACGGCTATCGCCAAGAAGACGGCGGCAGCAAACGACTACCTGGGTCTCTTGCGACAAAACAGCAACGATGAAACGGTCCCGTCGTCGTACGAACCGTCGCTGTCGTCCCGCGGTGCCGGACCGAACGCTTCGAGGCGGCAAAACGTCAAACGGCATAGCATCGCGCAGCAGCAACGCGCGCCTCGTTCGGAGAATCTGCTGTTCAGTGACGACGACGATGACGCCGCTGACAAACCGAATGCAGCCCGGGGTGGCGTTTACGACCTGCTGGCCGACACTCCGAACCGCGGTAACAGTAGTAACAGAACGCTAGCGACACCGACCATCATGACGACCGCCGCAGTTGACGGAGGTGGGGACACGGCCGACCGGTTGTCGAAACGTCGGGAGACGTCACCGTCCATATCGACCGCCAAAACTACCGTGGCCGGTAAAAAACGACGAGATTTTAAGCGCTTTTAGTGTTTGTTTTTTTTTATAGTCGTTAAAAGTGGTTTTCAGGAAAAAATTCTGTACCATCCAATTCAATTTGTAGCGTGAACTGTAATCGCGTTTCACGACTATAAAACTGTGATGGCAGCCTTAAAAGCTTAAGGTGGTTAAGCTTTTAAAATGATTAGATATCAATATTTACTTTCTTTGTCCAACATGTATAGTGTACACACACACATCGTAGCAATTCAGACCAAATCTCTTTCAACAAGTCCCCGATCGAAGTGTAGCGAAGCGATAAGAATTCTAAAAACAGATTTTTTTTTTTTTTTTTTTTTGATTCAGCGTGATGAAGTGTACATGCGAATAATTATACAGGTAGGCAATTTTTTCGAGTAGTTTTCTTCATAAACAGATTTCTCACCGTGTAGACTTCATAGTCACGGTCCTCTTGCTAAAACGAGACTAGAAAGGAATATTCACCCCGATAATTGGGAGGTGCGGTCGGTCTGAACGGATCAAGAGGGATTGATTTTTCACAATTATGAACGTTGCTTGAAAAATTGAAAAATTACTTTCATATTCATAAACTAGATATCAAATGCAATAAAAAGGTTTTTTTTTATTAAAGCGAGATCCCTGATAGAAAACAATGCGCAACAATTAAAAACAATGCCGCGACGCGTCTTAAATATTTGTTCGTTTTTCCTATAAGTTTTTTCCAAATTATTTTGAGAACTCCTTGGAAAATCAAAAAGTGTACCAATTAAATCTAAAGTGCAAAAATAAAATCTCGTCATTTTTCGATTGGAGAAAGCTTTTTGGTAGAAAAGTTGTTCGCAGACAAAAAAAAAACATATGTAGTAAAACCAATATATCACTCGCTACACTCTAAATCTAAAATAATATATATAATAATATTGATTTAATCCTAGAGATTTTTTTGAGATATATTTATCGGAGAAATTTCGATTGGGGATATTTTAACCCGGAACTGATAGGACTGAAAATCAGTTTAAATTACTATGCTGCGTGTGTTGGATAAAGAAAAAAAAATATCAATATTTATAATACCCTGTACCTGCATTTACTGTCTGTGCAGTCTAACAAAATTACGTTACTTAGAGCATACATTGTGGCAATTAGGTTGTATAATAATGAAATAATGAAATTTAAAGAGCAGAATATTTTTGAGAGCTATAAGTAGATTTTTTATGGAAAAAAAATATACCTATTCAGAAAAGTTACAGCTATTTATAAAGAAAAAAATGGGTATAACTTTTTTGTTGTTAGTTAGGTACACTGAGATAATACATATAGGTACAGCGTTCTCAAAACGAGCAAGTACTTAAATTAAGTGGTGACCCTTTCCAGGACATAACGTGAATTGGACTAACGTTTCGATCAAAAAAATATCATCTTCCACACAGTTCGTTCGATAATATGACTGATTGGTATCATTAATTTTTCAGAAAAAACGATGCCTTCTTGGTTTAGAGAAATTACACAACAAAAGACAGAGATACCCCCGACTACCATTATCGCAGGTCCTTCTCCTTCGCCACCTGCGATGTCCTCTGCTAAAGAAACGGTGCCGGCGACTGCGAGTGTCCGAAAGTCCGAGACGGCTGGGCGGGAAAAAACCGCCGAAGACGAACCGACTTCTTCGGTGATATCGTTGCTCAGAGGAAAAGACAGTCTTCAATCAACTATACTGGAATTGATTCAAGAGCTGTCCAAAAAAAAACAAGACATCCAGCAAGCAACACTGACACTGATTCAAAATCAACAAAACAGCGATCTTCTCATTAGGGTAGATGACATATTGATTATTAAGTACTGATTAAATTGATTACGATATTGTACATTACAAGACAGCGAATGTTTGTATAGGCGTTGTTAATGGACAATAATTCATCGGTAATGAATCCGGACGGACAAGAATTAGAACGTTTACGGTCCGAGAATCACAAATTTCAATTAACCGTCGACCATCTTTCCAAAAAACACGAATTAGAATTAGACGCTTTAAAAACCAAATATGAGTAAGCAGACTTATATACAGACTTTTTTGTTTACTTAACAAAATAACGCTTTCAACGATTGTGTAGGCCAAAGTAAAGATATTTAAAGTTGGTCATTTGTTTGACATAAATGGGACACCGCTCACCTATAAATTTATCATTTTATAGATTACAACAAAACGTATTGCATGAAAAACTCGACCGTTTGGAAGAGCGCATTAACGAGCTGGAAGAAGAACGAAAAGCCGATGGGACGGAGCAAAAGGAAAACGAGAAGCGGCTGAAAGAAATGTACGAGGACAGGTTGCGTACGATGCACGAAAGCCATTTGATCGATCTTAAACAGTCCGTCGAAGTGCAAAAGATCAAAATGAACCATTTGGAAGAAGTCGAGTGCAGTTTACGGGACGCGAAACCAAAACGATTGTCCAGTGAAGAGATGACCGCAAAGGAGATGTCGATTTCGGCACAAGAAAATAAACTCAAAGGTTCTTAAGGATATAATATAATGTACTTATTGTTTCTCGTTCGGTTTATTTAATAATAATGGTGACCGTAATATTGACGGTCCGAGCAGAGTTACAGGAAGAAGTCGACAAACAAATGGCCGAATTGGAAGGCGAAAGGTCGGCCCTTCAAATGAAAATCGACGAGTTCCAGTCGAGAAACCAAAGAGAACGGAACGAAATCGAACTCGCTGGCAAGGAGTTAAAGCGGTCTACAAAGGCGTTTGAAGATGGACGGAAAACGTGGGAACGGGAAAAAAAATCTGAAACACAGTACATAGAGAGCCGCAAACAAGAGTTAGAAGTAAGTCAGAAAACGACCAACGTTAAGTTAGTCGATACAACGCGAGAGGTTTAGCTGACCTAACCACGGACTATAATTACAATATTAAGGTAAATTTTAATTCGTGATCTAACTAGACCTATTTTCTTCAGGCGGTTCGTTCGTCGGTCATGGAAGAGCAACGAAAATTGTCCGAAGAACGTTATGAAGTGGCTTCCGAACGTTACAGACTCGAATCAATGCTCAAACTAGATACCGGTACGGGAACGGATTTGATACAGGCTAAAGTAGAAGTGAAAGAGAATTTTAAAGAATTAAGAAAAAAAGAAAACGAATTGGAAAAACGTTTGGAACAAGTAAAAGAAATGGAAACACGTTTGGCCGAAGAAAAACGTAAAATACAAGAACAAGATGATGAAATAAAAATGAAATCGATTCGCGCTGAAAAAATGTTAAAGGTATACCTGCTTATATTTTTTTCTAATTTGAAATTTTATTATGATGGTTGAAAACTATATTAATTTTTTTTTACGTGATCAGGAGAGTAGGTAACTTATAACTCATTTTTATGTCTTTTTAATGGGTAGATAGGTATATTACATTAATTATTATTTTGTGGTTAAATTCTAAATAAGGCATACCTAGATGGGCACTAGATTGTGTACGGTAGGTACTTACCGTTAGCATTGATTTTTTAATATACTATATAATATATTTATAATATTAATAACTATTTCAGATATAATAGCGCTCATACATAGAAAAATAATGTATTATTGTTTATAAACTCCTTTTAAAAATAGATTGCAATTTCAAAACAAGAAGAAGGCCTAAAAGCTTTAGAAAGTGCAAAAGATATTCAAAATAAATTTGATAAAAAAGGTAAAGACATTCAGAATCGATTGTTGGATATTATTATGCGTGAAGAAAACATTGTCCAGGTTAGTAAATTGGATTCGAAATTATTACCTATTCGGCTGTCTATTTGTAAAACACAGTAAATACTACTTTATTAATTTGTGTTCTTTTTCATTGTATTCTGTATTTATAAATACTGTGTTTCATAAATAGACAACAGTGAAAGCCATTGGCTATAACATAAATATTGAAAATTATTATAATTTTAGGAAGAAACTAAATTAGCTAAAGAAAAAGACATATTTGACAAACAGCGGAAAAAACTAGATCTGGTTTTACCTCAATTGTCTGCGGATGAAATTCGTTTTTTTAACCCTAAGCCAAACAAATATGAAGCTGAAAAGGAAGTGTATTACAAAAAAAATCATTTATACTAACTATAATTATACAGGTTACATTCAAATTATTTTTTCTTTATAAGTAAATATTAATGTGTACAAATTTAAAACAATTTAAAAATTATGTTTATACGTATATGAGTAATATTTATTAAAATTAAACCAAGTAATATACCCCAATAGAAATATTTAAATGAATACAAATAACACATTGATAAATTAAATTATTATTATTACTAGATCTTGTTTTATTAGTTTTTCTTTTTTACCATATTGTTTGAAACTGTTATGCCAATTATTTGTGAACTTAAGGCCAGTAAACACTAAACATAATTATAAATAAATATGTGGGGTTTAAACATAATAGTTATCTTAAAAAGTTATGCATTTAAATGTATGAGTTATGACAATAATAATATATTACGTGCATGTTATATTTCAGTGGTTAAAATATATTGTGTAAATATGAAATCATAATATTAAGTTATAACTTTTTTTTTAAATATTTTAAAATTAAATAATGTGATAAAAATTATTATAGTAATGGTTATTATTATTGGCGCTTTTGTAAAATTTGATTTGCTGATATTAATTTTATCTCGTGATACTTTAGGTATTAATCTGTAAATCTGTAATCAATAATTTGTTTTTGTTATTTTAGTTGCTTTTAACATTTTACAAAATTATTTTAATAACATAACTACGTAATATAACCATTGGTGTAGTTGCTGAGGCGCAAACCATTTTGGATAATGGGAAGGTAAAATACCCACCTATCTTTTGGATAAAAATAAAATTAGCTCTCTTCGCTCGAATATATTCATTAACAAAAATTTTTTATTGTGGTTTCCACAAAAATCATAAGCGACAAATACTTTTATGAATGTATTACACGGCAATAACAAATTACATCATAATATAATATTAATTTAATATAGGTATTTCAAGTGGTATAAAACTACAAAATAATATCATTTTGAAAATGTATACAAAAATAAAATTACCACACTATAGTGTTTAGTAATTACTATTTCTCATTAATCTATAATACGACCAAGAAGGAGAGTGGCCCATCTACCTCTATTCTGGATCCGAATCTGACCAGCTGCCCAGTATTCTAACCTTGTATTTATCCCAGAGCCGGTTTTAAGATGTTACGAGGCCTGGGGCATATTTTTAAACAAGAATTCAGAATATTATTTTAGAAATCATAAAATTAATAATACATTATTACAATTTTTTTTTTTTTTAATTTTATTAGTTTGTAACAGTTTAAAGTTATTACAAATTATTAATATAATGTATCATAATAAATTAATTGTAGAATTATTGTATGTTAAATTATTACTATAATCCAAATAAAGTTCATTATTCTTGTTTTATACTTCTCAAATTCATTTATTACTACATTGTGGTCCAAGTTAGGAGCCATACCTTTTTTAATAGATACAATTGCTAGTGAAGTTATTCTTTCTTGAGCCATCAATGTCCTTAAATATGATATTATCAGTTTTAATTTAGAGAAAGACCATTTAGCACTGGCTACAGTTATTGGAATAGTTAGTTATTTTTAATATGATACAGTAAAATTAGAAAATGGATACTGACGATCTATTATAAATAGCAATATTCGATTGACTTATTAATTTCTTCAGGCATTATTTGTCTGAGAAATTTTAACCAAGAGAAAAATTTTGCGATTAAATACCAATAGAATTGTATAAACAAGATATACGTATTATATTGCAGCATTGACAATAGGACATTATTTACTAGTAGAGAAAGTAAACATTAGTATAATTACTTTTACTACAAAACTAGGAATATCGAAATTGATTATTAATAAATTACTATTCATTCTAATGGGAAGTTCACAATTTGTAAAATAATATTATAATTTGATGTTTAATTTCATTTTTGTCAAATTGTTGTACAAATACGCAAAGCTCCGATTTATTTTTATAAATGTATTATCTTATTAATGAAAAATTTAAATATACACATTCAAAAATTGACATTGGTGTAATGTATTGCGGTAATTGATACCTGATTTACCTATAGTAATTTACAACTACCTGTTACTATATTATATTAATTGTTCTATTAATAGTATGCCGATATGGTGTAATATATTCCATATAAAGTTTTTACCTCTTTGTATCTACAAGAGTGAAATTTATAATTAGGTCTGAAAATGACCACTGACAAAATAACCTACCAACCCTATAATATAAACATATAAATTTAATAAATACTAAGTGTCAACTTTAAGTAATTATTGAAAATAATTCATTAAGCAGAAATAAATTAATCATAAAATCTATGAACAGTTAGGCAGTTTTGATGAAAAAAAAAAAAAAACAAATTTTTATCTTCATAATTTTTTCATATTTCTAAATAAATGTTGATAATAATAATTTACAAAAATAATAATAATAATAATAATAATAATAATTTTATAATAATAATACGAGTATAAATAAAATAAATTATAAAAATTAACGTGAAATCAATATTAAATATTTATACGCAAGTAAATCATAAGTTATAAAGTGAAGTTTAATATTTTAAACAAGTAATATTTTAACAAGTATTAACATTAACTATTTAATATTATCTAACAATGATGAGAATATATTTTCCAAAAGCCTATTTTAATAAATGTTAATTTTTGATGTTTGGAATGGTTTATAAACTGATATTTCTTTATAAAATACGAATATTTTATACCTGGGTAGCAAACTTGTTTAATAGAATATTAGCAGAGCCCATCATTGTTTTCTTAAAAAATACTGCTATGAAGGAAACCTATAAAATATTGGTACATTACATGCCATAACTCTGATAGGGTAAAGTGCTTGAAGTTGCATATGAAGCTGTATTTTGGGGTACATAGGGTTGTTGTGAAGGAGCTACAGCTCCTTGGTAGGACGGCGAGTACATGTTACCCATAACTGACGGACCAGCCGTCAACATTAACTGTGGTTCAGCTATATAAACAATAATACGTGATAAAACAATAAATTAAAAATTAAAAAATCTTTACTTACGCATCATCATTGGTTTGATGTCTTCTTCCTTATGCTCTTCCAATCGCTTTGATTCTGCTTCTTCTAATTTATCTACTTTGGCAACATATTCTCTAGTGACTTGGATAAGGTAAGGCATAGCAAAATCCATGATGTTATGCCTCCATGCTAGTTCTAGTACGATGTCTGGGTGAACAAGATCATAACATTGAAACAATGCAGCAGCAAAGCAATCGTAATTTCCACGTTCTAAAAACCAGGTTACCAGTTCTTCAGCCACTTCAGAGTTTTTAGATTCTGCTGCATATTCCATTGCATCCTACAATAAAACATAATAAATATACACTAACACACAAATAATATTAATAAACTATTGCATACTTTGTATAATCTGTCTTTCTTGCACAACTCAACACTTTGCTTCCACCGATTATTTCCTTTGTACAAGTAAGCAGCAATACGCCTAAATTCTGTGAGTTCATGTTTTTCAAGCTTTTGGGCAAGTGCAATTGTGTCAAAGTTATCAAAAGCATCAATAGATGTCCGTAAACCCTATAAAAATAAAACAAATATAATAATTATGTGTCTATTGTTCTCAAACATAAATTCTAATGTGAATATAAATACTTGGTAGTCTTCCTCATTGATCAACAAGTTATTCAAGGCTTCATTTATAGCTTTATTATTTAATGATTGCACAGAACGTAAGTAAGTTTTGACCAATTGTAAATGATTTGTCTAAAATCAATTTAAAAAAATTAATGTATTTAACTAAAAATAATTGTACAATAAAATAAACCTTGGTAAAGTAAGCAACAGCTCTAGTGTGGTCCATTCGTGGTGTTAACACCAGTAGTAAGTCATTGAGCAGAAGTGGTTTATAATCAAGATAAAATTGTATTGCTTTGTAATACAATTCTAAATTAGCAACCTGATAAAAATAAATTATAAGATTATGTAAGAAACATAAAATAAATATATCAATGCAATAGTAAATTTTACTTTTGTAATAATATCTTTGAAATGACTCTCTCGCCATGCTTCAGTTGGATGATTCATCATAGCTAAAACCGCATTATCATATTCTTCATATTTGTCATATAAAAACACCAATTCAGACCACAAATGTGCTTGTTCAGCTGCTCGTAACACTTTGGGAATATTAACACGAGACCAGAAAAGTTCTAAATGCTCCTTCATCTTAGCTGGCTTGTATTTGGAATATAGAATAGCCAATTCAGTGAACATTCCCATATGTGCACGTTCCAATCCTAATGCTGCTTCTAGAAGGTTAATAAGTTCTTCGAAATAACCACGATCCTGGTTTTAAAAATAGCCATTTATTATTTATTGTGATCAATTAATAAATATATTTTCTATCTATTACTTGATAATAGTTAATCAGATCTTCTAATTCATCTGCATGAACTACTATGTGCAAACCACACATTTGGGCTAATCTGAACTCATTATTATCAACACATGCGAAACAAACTTCTTTCCATGTTCTTGTGCTGTTTGCTTTGCGGGCACTGTCGACTGCACCTTGGTACTCTTTAAGATGTACAAGAGTAATGGCTAATCTTGCAAAATTTGAAACATTGTTATACAACAGTTTAGCAGGTTCATACATTTTGTCTTCAAAACATCTATCCCCAATCTATAAATTAAATTAACCCATTACACAATTTAGTTAAATAAAATACATTAATAAGAGTGAACATTATACTTTTTGAATATCTGCATGATTTGGACCAGAAATAAATTCCTCTAGATCAGCGAGACGATTAGTTTTGGCGTATGCATAAATTAATTCACTCTCAATATAAGATTCACGAGCCTTTTTACGAGACATTTGCAAATAACGCACAAGATCTTCCCAACTCTCTGAAATGTATAGTATAATTGTTTTAATCAATTGTTGCCAACCATTCAAAAAACTAAAATGGTTTAAATACAATTGTCTTAATACCTGTTTTGTGTGCTGTTAGTACAACATCCATATATGCACTTGGATCATCAGCTTTAATAAAAGAATCGATTGCTTCTTTGACAAACATATTTTGCAACTGAGACTTGGCCAACAAACTCCAAACACCTGGTTCATTACAGCGTTCAGCAAATTCATAAGCTCGGTCAAGGTTTTTTACGTTATCAATTAAAACCTAAAATTAAAATACATATTATGATTAAAATTAATAAATTAGCATAGTTAATAATATCATACTTGGATTGCAGATTGATTAACATTAAATTTCTTAAATATAGCAAAAGCTTCTTCAAATAATTCATTATTAATAGCAATTGATGCAATATCAGGTGCATCATAGTTGTCTAATCGATTTATATAATCCATAACACGAGTTCGGTCAGCTTTGACAGCTGTTAATATCAAAAGATTTTGCAAGTTTCTGAAAAAACATAATATATTACCATACATATATTATAAAATATTAATACATACATAAAACTGAACAATTTGTATGTACCTGTGAGAACTGAATAATGAGTTATCAAATACAATCTTTTCAAGTAGTTCAATTAATTCATTAGGTAAATCAGCAGTCATAAAAGCTTTTACAGTTACTGATATATCTTCAGGATCTTGAGTTTCAGACAAAGCTGTTTGAACAACTTGATCAATGAGTGGACGGCGATAGACATTGTTTTCATTTAAAACTTCTAACCACAATTCTGGATTACGACGTCTAACCAAATATCTTGCTTCAGATTTGAAAAGACTATTTTCATTGCAAACATTTATTAGTTCTAAATCACACTTTCCACGTTCATAAGCAACACATGCTAAATGCGGATCTCGCTTCTCGCAATATTTGCCTACCACTCTGCTGTCATAGAACTTGTTTTCCCTAAAAAAGTGGAATAATTAAAATTATTAAATGTGAAATAAAAAAATGTATAAATTAACATACTTTAAATATCTTTCTGGGTTGTTATTACTATCTATATAAATTTTAGCCAAAGCATTGTGAGTTGCAGGTTCTTCACTGCCATCATGAACACGTAATTCCAACCAAGAAGACAATAGTTTAAGACGATTACGCTTTTCTACTTCTTCGACCAATTCATCTGTAGAGAATTCTCCCTTGACAACTTGTATGAGATTTTTAATTATGTCTTCAGAACAATCAACATCAAGGAGACCACCAACTACAACTGGTAATCGAGATGGATTTACTTTCTGTACATAAATCTCAATGTATTTTTGTAAATTATTTCTGTATAGATATAGAACAAGATCATGAACAAAATTAAATCGGTCGCACACAATGATTAATGGTAACTGATCTGTAAGTTTGGCTTCTTTTAAGAAATTTTTAACTCTTTCTGCATTATAACATGTAGATTCACGACATATCCGTTCTACTTCTTTAATTTGTCCAGTTTTACAAGCAGCCTATAAACATAAATACATTTTTTTCACACACAGAACCTTACTAATACATTAGCTACAAGAAACTAATGCACATAAATTAAATAATATAACTTGTAACATACTGAAATGTATTTAAAATGAACTTCTGGATCTTGACTGAAGTTAACAATAGAACCCAAAAAATAAAACAGCCCTTCATAACTTTTAAACGATTCAAAAAGATCAATCAATGCCTTAGTTGTCAATTGCTCATGATATTTAGTCGCAATCTGATTTTAATAAAAACATAGAAAAAAAAATTATTAACTATGTTAAATGTTAAAGTAAATAATCAAATTAGGTTTATACCTTAACACAAATTTGAAGGTTTTGTCGGATGTTATTAGTTAACATAGCTTTCAAACATTCTAGAGAATCTTCAACACTCAAAGATCCAAAGTAACCGATTAACCATTCTGGGTTTAACAACTGTGTGTGTACAACTGCTCTTTTGATATCATACAAGTCTGTGTAATGTTCTAAAGCTCTTTGTAAAAGGCCGGCTTTTTCACAGAGCTGAGCAACATGAGCACGATCATAATGTGTAAACATCTGATTGCCAAGGATAGCATCAGCAACTTGTGGAGCAGATATTAAATTCATCTCAAGCAAACGTGTTTGTAATGGTCCTTCTGTTTCACGATTATGTTTTAATGCTTCTAAAAGGAACTTGGTACATTGTTGGACCATATTTTGCTCAATAAATATATCCACAATCTAAATTTACAAAATTTAAAGAAATATTAACTTTTTAATAAATTACCAAAATAGTATAAAAATAAATACTTGGTTAATATTAGCTAGAGGTTCAGCATCATCAGATAGTAACATTTGGGCGAATTCAACAGCATGATCTGGGGTGGTCCGTAAGACAACATTTCTAAACAGATGTATATAATCTGGTACATAACTTATTTTTTGAGAATATAAGATAATTTTCTGATATTGTCCAGTTTCAGCAAAACACTGAACGACCTATTGACAAAAATAGTAATAGATTGAAATTGTTATGTTGATTTTTAATTAATTAATACTTTAGGTGGAATGTTGGCACGTAGGTAAACAGACAAAGCTAACGATATATCTGCAGTTTTCACTAAATCTCCCAATTCTTCAGAACATTCTAATTTATCTTCTTTGAGCCATTTTTCTAATAATTGCCGCTTATCCTGAGCAAGAACTGGACGACACAATTCTAGCGATTCGTACTTATTTAACTTGCCCTAAAATATTATTTAGTAAATATTAAATAATATTTAATGGTCAAAACTTATAATATTCTACCTGATCCAATAATATTCCAAAATATTGAAGAAGAGGAGATGATTGATTTGTAACAGTTGGAACTTGTTGGAATTTTTGTATAGTTGAAGGCGTCCTAAGGATGCCTTTAGGTGCATTAGCTGCTACTTTAGCAGCATCTGTATATTGTCCACTTTGGAAGAGTGTGTTAAACTTGCGTACAAATAATTCTTCTGCTCCAGATAAATTATTTCGGACAGCCATACGTAAAGCCAGTTCTGGATGTTGTAGTACTGTATTTATATAAGGTATAATATTGTCTTCTTCAACACTAACAGACAATACCTGTCCCTTACGGTTAACACCAATTATACCACCGGTAGCATCATGTGGTGCAGTAACAAAAATTGTATCACCACTTATTCGGTTCATATAAATGCAAGTAGCTGTTTCAATGTCGTACAAATGAATATAGCCGTACTTAGTGATTAGGTAAATTACATCAAATTTGGAGCTAACTTGCATTGCAACTGGAAAATCATTTTGTGCTTCTGGAGGGAAGAAAACTTCTACTTGTTTTTTGGGGAATGGTTGATTGCCCCTGGGTGTTTGTACTACTTCAACAATATGCAACTGAAATTTATCAAATTAAAAATATATACAATTTAAGAATAAAACATGTTTATTATGATTATTATAATAAACCTAATAATTATTATATTATAAAACATTGTATTACCTTTCCTCCTGCAGCTGTACGTGCAGCAAAACAAAACAATGTAGACATTTCTCTGTTTCCTTCCATTTGGAATCTCGCAAATGATGCAGCATGACCTTCAATAGGCTGCGAACAACTTTTTTCAACAGAATACAACTGCATTGCTCCAACAACTCGATTTTGCTAAATTCAAAAATAAAATTAATATTTAATTATGATTCTTCATTGATATACATTGATACAGGAAATTTCTAAACAAACTTACTTGAGCCGAAATTCCTATGAGTAATAACCATTGTTGTTTATGATCAGTTCTGTAGTTAATTATCTGACATCCATTCAATGTAGAATGACGATCAAACATTTTAACTGGTGTAGAGTCACCTAAAAATCAATTTAATATAAAAATAAATACAAAAAGATATTAAATTGTGTAAGAGGATTAAAATAGCAGAAACAGTTATGTACCTTCCATACTCCAATGGAATACTGATGTTTCAGTAACAAGAGCCAAAGTATTTGGTGAAATCCATTTCCAAAAAACTACATCATCTTGCATAATATGAGCTTTCATTTTACTTTTCATCTCAATATTAAAAATTTGTAAGGTCTTTTGAGCTAAAGAAAATATGGAATTTTTGTTATTTTATAAATGTATTTATTATTGAAACAAGTAGGTATTAAAATGTTTACATGCAGCAGTTCCTTCTGTACCAGCTTTTCCTTTAAGTGCAATCACTTTACTGGCTGGATTCATTATGGCTGAATCTGCAGATATTGGACGCCTAATTGGATTTTGTGGATCGGCCATATCAACAATAACAACTTGTGCAACATCACCAGTCTTTTCACGAACACAGATGTATTTGTCCGATTCCATAGTAAGTGTGTTAAAACTAATGTTTGACTGATTGATGCCCACATTTGTAAGCTATAGGGAAAACCAAAAAACCATTTATTTAAAGTATATATGTACAAAAATAACGCCTGTCGTTAAATAAAATAGGTAGATAGATTTTCATTATGAAGCAGTAAATTCAACACATAAATTATCACCTACCTATCCATATTTAATAATACAGCCTCAAAATTATGCATTTCAGAATTTTTTTTTTTCCCTTGACCCATTAAATTGGACTAGAATTAATTTGTCTAATATTATTACAACACGGTGACAACAGAGGGCTAGCAACAGCTCATATATGTGCAGTATGATTCCGAGCAATAAACGCCCGTCATTTAGAAATATCTGTGACAGATCTGACAACGCCTGGCAGATGATAAGCACATACAATGTAACAGGACATCATCGTCAGACATGTTATACGTGCAAGCGGCTGCAGCTGTCCAGTCAGTTTGTTCACAGATAACATAGTACTGAGGCCACTAAAGGCAATAAGTAAAAAAAAAAAAAAAAATCTACAAGCTTATAGTAGAGGAAATGGAAGCAATAGCAGTACCTAGTACCTACATACAAGGAGTATGGCGAATAATCATTAATATTGTACCACACAGCCATAATATAATAATTATGTTGTTTACGGAAACAGTGCGTAACCTATTTATAGGCAAGATTAGTCATAGGGTGTCGGAAACGGTAACGTACGGGTTTTACCGATACCGATCGTTTACGAGTTTCGTTAAAAATAAATACTACGCTCCGGCGTGTACCTAGCGGACGGCCACTCGGGTCGTCTGTTAATAGGTACTCACTGTAATAACGAATAGAACGTATCATTATGATTTTACCTGCAAGTGTTCTTGAAACTTAATCGGTAGTATCTGCGCCATTTTCGGTGTGATCGAATAGTTGTCAGCGGACCGCGACGATACTATCGGCGTTACTGAGCGAGCGTTTGCGGCGGGTCGTCACGTCGGGGAATTGCGGAAAGTGCACACGGACGTGGTACGAGGTGTGTACCCGCTGATAATGACGTTAGGTACCTATATTACGCGGGCACAAAAGACGCGCGCGCGGTAGGGGGAATTGAGTTTTATACTATGATACACGGTTAGGTTCGCGCGCGCGAGTCGCCCGACAACGGCGTCGATGGATATCGGTGGACGCTGGACGGAACCGGCGGATAGAGCGTATTGTGGTTTCCGGCACTAGACACGAAACGACAAAAAAAAAAAAAGCCGGCGACGATATTTATGCGATGAACGAAAATTGCATACTGACGAAAAATGACGAAACGATCAATTATTATCCGGCACTTGACTCTTCCTGGTCGGCAAACGGCACTCGCGATATCGCGTACTATGTCGTCGTGTTTTGATAAATGAAAATGGGACAACTGTATTGCCGTAATCGTCGCAAGTTCGGACCACGGTTCATATCGCAGATCGTGGGAGCTAGACGAAAAAAAAAAATGTAATGTTATGAACGGGTTTGTGAAGGGCGGAAGAGAGGGAGTGCCACATAAACAGACACGGAACAGTGTGCCGGCGACTGACAACCTGAAACTCCCAAACGACAAGTGCATAAATACACTTTACGATCTTTTTTTTTCCATTCCGTCCGGGATTGACGTAAACCCCGTGTAGTTCTCAAAGTTCGTGTTCGTCGTACGTCAAATTTTAACCGTTTTGAACATGTTTTTCGATAATTTAAATTATTATGTAAAGTTACAGTTGGCCACTTTTACACGTCTTCACGTAAAATAATAAGATAAGCAGATAAATAAAAAAAAAATAAAAAATACATTACAATTTTAAAATTTACTAGTCGATAATACCAAGACATATAGAAAAATGTTGAACCGGTACAATGTTTAATTCCAAAATCAAATAGTTCTAAAGAAATCTTGAATAAATAACTTCAACAAAATCTTTGTAAAAAACATTGTAATGTTGATTTGCCTATAGGTGCCCCTCATAGATATAACCTTTAGTATAGTTTCTACTCCTAATCGTTAATTTTATAGGCAACCACAACATAAACATTTGTATATTTTTTCTTGCTTTTAGTACAATAAAAAACGTACCTCAATTTTTCGAATCATGTATTGAGTTTTAAAAAAAAGAACATAACATTATTATTCTATGAAATAATAAAACTAAACAGCATGATAATAGTTATAATGTAAAGGTTCTAAAATTTGTATAGAATTTTACTAGTAAAATAATAATAAGTTATATTTGTATTTTTTTTAACTAGTTTTTATGTGTAGATAATTTTATAGTTGGTAGTCGATTTAATGAAAATAGAGGTAGTTATTAAATTTGTTAATTTTGAAACGCAAGTCTTGTTGAATTTTGTTTCTATAATAATTATTCTTATATAGGTAATATATATATTATATATATTTATTTAAATTTAAATTATACTTCAGTTATATCAAAGTAAAACATGTGTTATGGACTAATGTTTATGATAATGTTACCACAAGTTATGAGAAATCATAAGTCATTAAAGATAATAATAATTGTTAAAAATCAGTTTCATCCCTTCCCTTCAATCAAAATCATTTGACCACCACTAATCTTATGCTACCATAACCAGAACACATTATTTACTAAGTTATAACTGCATTATAATAAAACCATAAGTACCTATACAATATATATTTATTTAAATATTAAATTATTATTATATAAGGAGGTATAATAAATAATAAATTCAAAATTAACAAATTCCATACCAACCTACCATATTTATTATATCAACTATCAACTAGAAAAATTCCTACACATTATTATAAAATAATACAAATATAACTTATATGTTTACTGGTCAAAATTGTATACAAATTTGAGAACCTCTACATTTTAACTATTATCATATTGTTTAGTTTTAGTTTATTTAAAACCTTTAATTTTTACAGTATTTGTTATTATATATTTTTTCAACTTATAACTTAATTCAAGGTTCTGAGGTTCTGATGTACGTATTATTTTTGTAATAAGAGTAAGAAAATAATTAATATAATACAAATAATGGTAGTGGTTGCCTATATGATAAACAGCGAGGATAAAATATTAGTCAAAAGCGTATAATAGACAACTATAGGCTACTCAATAACGTTTATTGTGTTCAAGATTTTAAAGGCTTCCCACTATGTGCACGTCATAACTATAATAAGCTTAACGTCATCGTATAATATGATCATTTACGATTTACAGTGTCCCACCGTGTTTTATAGATTTTTAGACAGCTGTTTATATTCAATTTTTTTTTAATCAAATTAATTTTATTTCAAGGAAAACACATATATAGAGAAAAATTAAATTTTTATTTTTACCCTTAATTATAACGAAAAGAAAAGAATAACTATTTGTTCATTTTTCAAAATTTTGGAAAAGTTGTTTGTAAAATTTAAATGTAAGACACATTTACCCATATCCAATCAATAGTCTCTTAATAAAAGCCGGTTTAACACAATAAATCATTTATCCTATTGGAGTTTATGACAGTCATACACAGAAATTATTTTAAAGAATTAATAATTAATATGCATCACTAAAAAAATGACAGCCATCTTCCCAGTTAGTAAATAACATAAAATAATATTACTCTATGGCATGGACCAAGACCGTGCCACGTACTAAGATAATATATCTAAGACCTAAAATTGTATTGGTGAATCAAATAGTCAAAAAGATCACCAGCGTCATTTTTTTTCATAATTTGATAGTATGTAGTGGGTATTAAAATCGACTATGTTGTGTTTTGTTTAGTACACCATCTTGGATTATAAAGCGAGCCGCCGCCGGTCCAGGGTCTTCGGAGGGAACACCGGCCCCGGGCTTTTGAGGCCCGTACCTTTCTCGCGACCGGGCTGGGTTCCCGTTCGCCCACTAGGTGCAGTGGTTTAGCTTTACTATCTTGCGCCAGTCCCACAGCCACCACGTTTCAGCCGAGTGAGGCTTCTCAACCTTGGGGGCACTAAGTCCGGAGCAGCCAGGCCGGTCCGGAGCAGCCAGGCCGGTCCGGCGTGAAGTGGGGCTCCCCCGCCAATGGTACCGACTAGGTTTTAAGTTGACGTCGTTAGGTTAACTCGAGACTGCATCTCTCCCACTATTTATCATAAGGCAAGTGATAATATTAATTATGAGCAAGCGAATATTGACTATTGAGAACTATATTCAATCGTTGATCTAATAATATTATTATTACTATACATTATAAATTAAACCACATGGCGTTTTAGGTTTTCTGAATGATCATATTCACCTATTTTTAAGCAAAATTTACCAGTTGCTCGACCTTTATAAAAAATCGTGACCCTATGGCCAAATAACAAAATATGTTATGCTATGCCTTTATGCTTGACCTCTTAAATCAGATACCTACAACTATTTAATAGCGTTTTCCACATGGCTGCACAGAATGCACACCGGTGCTCATTTTTTGTGTTCCGCGTGGAATATTTGTGTTAAGGGCATACGCTTCAGAAGCTCGTGCAATAATCATTACACGGAGCAAGAAACTGGTGCATGTGAAACATAACAACCCGCATTAATGTGCTCCAATATTCCATATTATGGAATATAAAAATAACATCAGTACATTGGTGATATAAAACAGTCATGTTGATAACACTATAAGGTTGTCAAGGTTAGGTGCTTATCTTGTACATAGATGATAAAGGAATACCTTTATCTATGATCTTGAATGTATAATTTTGAATTCTTATAATTTGAATTGATAATACATAAAATAATATATTAGGTACTTTATAAACTATTATTACACATTTTTAATAGTATTATAATTAACTAGGTAGCGTAAATCGTTATCAAAAAAATAATAATTGATAATTGTAAAAATTATGTTCCACGTGATTCATGATTCGTTGCACTCACAAAAATAAAAAAAGTAAAAAGAAATACTATTATAAATATATCTGTGATTGCATTGACCAATTGATGTTTAACCGATATTGTCCACTTTAGGTGCAATATTGCACACGCCACACACTATGGAAAACGTTATAAGCGTTAAGCATAATCTATTTATTATTATACTCATGATTAGCCCTATGCAACTCAATGAGATTAACATGTAATCATCCGTGCTTTTAATGACCGGACAGGGAACTCTAACATACTTGGACTGCTATCTATCAACAATATATGACGATCTATAAGTTTAATGTCATTGATATTATCTCATAATAAATAATTATAAAATTTATATTATTATTTATGGGTATTATTATCATTTTTTAAATTAGGCCTTTCACACGATTATAGGACGTGGACTAAAAGTAGCAAAGTCTAAAACAACAAACAACTTTTGAGTTTTTATTTTATAAGTAAACATTTTAAATAATGAATACAATGACTTACATTTTGAATAGTATAGGTTAGGTATCGTTTGAGTTAAATTAATTAACAATAAATATACTTTTGTTTTTATAAGTTTATAATTTTCGGTGTAATTTTTGTTTATGTTTTAGATTTAGGTGGGGAGATGAATATATTGGTTTTACAATGTTACAGCTGCAGAATGAGTTCCCCACTTAATAAATAATAATTATAAATATTAATCCGCTAGATAGTGAAACGTGTACATCACTATTCCCTGTCTAGTCATTAAGAGCACAGATTCTATTACTAAGTGGTTAGACCTAATAATCTGAGACAGTGTTCACGATTAAAGAAATACATCTATATATCTTTAATCGTAATTATATCTACAAGATAGTAACTTAGTTCTATCTAAAATTGTGGTTATAGATAATGTTGTCAGTATTGTAACCATATTATCAAAACGAATACGGTAGTAATCATGATTTCTGTTAAAATATGTAATGAACGGTTGTAATGATTGTTGTCCAACAAGCTATGGTGCTATGGAATTGGCTTCATAGAATCGTAATTCAAAATTATGCTCATAATATAACTATTCTGTAGCGCTCGTAGACGGCAATGGAATATTCATGCACCGTATGAATGTTATATAATATCAAATATGTTTGTGAATGTGAAATTTGTTTAATTTAACATTTTTTCACAGAAAGAGAGCGCACTCAGTCAGTTAAGCAGCTGTTCCTGTTAGCGATTTCGTATTGTGATATCGCTTATGACTATATTGTGATGTTCATGTTTAAGACGTAGCTTGTCGGTCAACCTTTATAATATTATTTCTTTAATCATTCTTTTGTAGTATCGCTTAAACTCTAAAATATTTTTGAAATCTTGTTATTCATAAAATAACTTGTAATTTAATCAAACAAATATTAATATAAATAGCATGCCATTTTTAATTAATAAATTTGGATCAAATTGGAAACCTAATAATCTACTATTACTAGTATGTCATAAGAAATTTTAGTTGTTTTAAAAAATTAATAATACTAGTTTTATTTTAATTTTTATTCAAGGTGTATAGATCTAAATCAACACTTCGAGATAAATTTCGTGAAACACTTAAAAGTGGACCTGATCTTATAGATTTTATAAATGAAACACCTGAAACATTAAAACCATATAATGGTAAATTACGTCGAGCAAAGGGCGAGGAGGAGAGATTGCGTTTACCACCTTGGCTTAAAACAAAAATACCAACTGGTGAAAATTTTTCAAAAATAAAAGAACAGCTTCGAGACTTAAATTTGCATACTGTTTGTGAAGAAGCTCGTTGCCCAAATATTGGAGAATGTTGGGGTGGTGGTAAACATGGAACAGCCACAGCAACAATCATGGTAACTTTTAAAAGTGTTTTTATTAACATGTATTATTTTAAATAAATTATAGTTATTGGGTGACACTTGTACTAGAGGATGCCGATTTTGTTCAATAAAAACATCTCGAACTCCACCACCACCAGACCCCAATGAACCAGTTAATACGGCAAAAGCTATTGCATCATGGGGACTTGATTATATTGTATTAACATCAGTAGATCGAGATGGTGAGTAAAAACTGAGAGAAAAGTTTTATTTCCTTATTTATAAGCATATATATAACACTCCAGGCGACGCATTCATTCATTTATTTTATTTTTATATGTACATTTATACATTTGTTTTTAGATTTAAATGATGGTGGATCTGCTCATTTTGCTGAAACTGTAGTGGAGATAAAAAATCGGTTAGTTTAATAGATTATTCAAAAATGTTTAAATTTTAATAGTTTGCTATTTTCACTACCGATATTTATATTGCACTATTCAACTTTATTTTACTTTTTAGCAATCCTAATATCATGATTGAGTGCTTGGTACCAGATTTTCGTGGTTCCACTGATCATGTTAAAACTATTGTAGATTCAGGTTTAGACGTTTTTGCTCATAATGTTGAAACCGTTGAAAAGTTAACTCCATTTGTTAGAGATAGAAGAGCAAATTATAGGTAAATTAATTTTTTTTTTTTTTAAATAATTTATGAAAATAATCAAATATATATATCTTATAAGATTACAAACTTGATATTTTTTCTATTTAAATTACAGACAAACAATGGCAGTGTTAAGTAAAGCCAAAGAATTTAATCCACAACTTATAACAAAATCGTCCATAATGTTGGGTCTTGGAGAAACTGATGAACAAATTGAGCTTACTTTAAAAGGTAATCACTTTACAAAAATATTATTGCACAGGTTATGTATTTTTTTATATTAAATATTTATTTTTAGATTTAAAAGAATCATTAGTTGATTGTGTTACACTTGGTCAATACATGCAACCTACTAAACGACATTTAAAAGTAGTAGAATATGTCACTCCTGAGAAGTTTAAATACTGGCAAGAAGTTGGCGATAAGATGGGTTTTTTGTATACAGCTAGTGGTCCGCTTGTAAGAAGTTCATACAAAGCTGGTGAATTTTTTATTGGCAATGTACTAAAAAAACGTAAACAAGCAAAAGAATCTATAAATAATTTAAATGAAATATAAATGTACTGTTGTTACTGTTTAATAAATGTTTGTTATTGTTAAAATTAAAAATATTGTATGTATTATTAAGTTTAAATGGTACTTTTATTATACAATTTGGATACTAACAAAGCTTTTAACTTGCTTGAAAATATAATAATAGTATTTTATTTATATTTACTGTTTTTGTAAAAAGTTTTTCCCGTGGAAATAAAAAAAATAAGTTAGAACATTATTGATGTTACTCTTGTAGGTCACAGGCATTTTACCTCTAAACCAAAGGTGATATTGACATGAAATTTAAACATACTATTAATGGATCAAAGACACCCCATGCATGGTTACTCAGGACCCCAAAGGAGACTTAAATCCCGAAGAAGCTTTATTGCCAATTCAACCACGATCCAAGATCCACCGGAACAACACAGAATACTAAAATGGAGAGAAGAGCTACAATGTGAAAAACCTGTCCCGTTTGCTGAGCACCTTGTGGAGGAAACCAACCATAGACTAATAAATATGTAAGACATTAAATAGGTTGAGAACTGGAGTAGCAAAAACAAAATCAAACATGATGAAATGGGGATATCAGAAAGAATTGGACATACTATGTGAATGTGGCGAAGACCAATCAAATGACCACTTACTACAGTGTACACTAGCCCCGCCAGGATGCACGACCGACGACTTGGCTTTAGCCAACGAAAAAGCAATATCAATTACAATTCACTGGCTAAAACAAAATATTTAAACATCTTACTTTATATTTTATACTCATATCCTAACCTATCTATTTTTAGACAACTTTATGTATTTATGTATAATTGTAATAGCATATAGCCCTAGCACCGGACACGATAAGAAGAACATAATATTCATACAGGCAACATAAATAACAAGTCTTAAAAATAATTTAATTTACAATAAGAAAAGTAGTGTAATTTATGAAAGCAAAAAATGTACAGAAAACAAGCAATTTATACTGTGATGTTGCTAACAAAAAATTGAGATAGTTTCTGATCAAAATTAAAATTTCTTACTAAATAATTTTTACAGTATGAAACCGTTAGAAGTTTAATGGGCAACCAAAATCTCAATTGGTCAGTTTTAAAAGTAATTTATCAAAAAAACCTCTAATTTAAAAAAAAAAAAACCCAATCAAATACAGTTAAGTCAATATTATATGACAGTTTCTCAACCTTTACCGTTGCGACCCCCTAAATGATTATTACATTTTTGAGCAACCCTTAAATATAAATTTTATACATGGGTGACCCGATATTTTAAATTTTTGGCAATCCCCAATTTGGGAAACACTGGTTTAAGAACTACCTAGATAAATAACTATAAACAAAATACAGAAAATTATATGAAACAACCATAATTTATACTAAAATTTGGAATTAAATAAATAAATAATTTTATATTCACAGGCTAATTATCCAACACGGTAAAATTTTACATCAATAAAGTAAAAAAAAAAACTATATATTACAATTAAAAAGCTTATGTCTTAATGCAGTGTTATAAACTTAATTTTTAAGCATTGAAACACATTTTTATTTAAAATTTAACAAAATAAAATGTGTAAACTTGTAAAGTATTAAGTAGGTAATAACAAAATATTTATTTAATAACGAAAAAAAAAAAATAACATAATCTTTTTTTTTCGATGATAAAATGATTATCAAATAATAAACAGTATGTACAATGAAACAATAATATTGTTTCGAACATTATTTGTAGCGGCGACCTTATAGACAACACTGTCAATGTTTATATTTTTCGATACCTTTGTAGATTTTTGATTAGGCATGTATGTTGTCGGAGTCTGACTGATATTTAATTCTAATGTAGGTATAAATGTGTAATAGTAAATTCTCTTAATACTGGACGTTGTATTATACTAGTCGATTTCTTATTTTTAAGCATATAATAATCAAATATATTAGTTTCTTAAATTCCATTCCGCATTTTAATAATATACATTAAAAAATGATGTTATAATTTTATCAAATATTCTGTGAATTTAATATTATATTAATTTTTTGATGTCAATATATTAGCTTTAATTCAGAAAATTAATAATATATTTTTATCTATATATTATTATATACATGCAAAATACATACGTTTAATTATTATGAGAACAATGTTGTTTTTTTTTGTCAAGTACAACAGTTGTCAAACAGTTTAATGTTTATTTTAATATTACTTTTAACTTTAGATTGATAAAACTAAATGGAATCGTACCGTAAATATAGTTCAAGACATCATGAATCCCGTCATCACAAACATCATAAACACCGACACCGTCATCACCATAATAACCACAATAACCATAATAACTATAATAGCAGGTACAAAGATGAAACCGATCATCGCGTTCATCAACATCAAAGATATTACAACCACAGAAGTAGCGATGAAGATATTGAATATGAGTACAGCAGGGTTCCAAGAGTTGAGAAACCTCCATCACCAATGTACATTCAATCTGTTCGGAGACCAACTACTCCACCAAGACCACCAACACCACCACTACCACCACCACCACCACCACCACCACCACCACCACCAGAATTAAATGATCCAGATAGTGAAAAGCCAAAGGAACGTAGTTGGAAACTTATGGCTGATCCATTGATTGATAAAGATCTTGTTAAATTATATCGATATGGTCTTCTACCAGATGATCCTTTATATAATGAAGTAAATGTTGTTGATCCACGTCCGTTTAAATCAAAAATTAAAACTGTAACATTGCCTATTGAACTCCCGGTGCCTAAATTTAAGGTATGTATTTTAATTAATCAATTATCTGTTAATGTATTCATTATTCATTAATTGAAATCATTTAATATTTTGGAACTTAGTTATTTTTCCAATGTTATAGGTAATAAATACTTATAAATTAGGTTAATTATAATATATACAGAATTCTTTTTTTATTTAAAAATGTATGTATACTTGAAAGCAAAACAAACAAAATAGATGAAGATTTAAATTTTTAAATTATCCATGTGTAAAATGTAGTTATATTTCTGATAGTCTTCGAAAAAATTATGTATAATAAAGTTAATATGTCTAAAGACCTTTTTAAACTGTTTAGTGATATGGTAAAATTAAATTGAAAAACTACATGCAGTGCTTTATTAATTATGAGACTGATTTAATTGTTTTATGAGCAATATATTTAATTATAAATAGTTAAAGCATAATAAAACAATTTTAAAAAACTTATAAAAAAAATGTTGTGTAGGTATCTTATTATATTCAAATTCTCATTTCACCAATAGTTTTTATCAGGTAAACATGTGTTTTATTTTTAATTAATGAAATACATAAACTTTATATTATTCTGTGATAAACAAAGGTTAAAATAGTTAGATAAACCACTATTATTAGGTATACAAAATGTTTAAGAATTGATCAGAAATGTCATTATAACTATTATCCAGTTTATTATAAATTTCCTATTGATTAACCCACCTATATTTTAAATAATCTATCCATAACCTTTAACTATATATATTATTCAAATGTTATAAATTATATTAAAAGCTTTATGCCTGCGCACAATAAGCAATAGTATAATAAAAATATGTATCTTTTACTTATTAGTAATCAATCTGTCCATTTATTCTTTCATTATATGATCTATTAATTTAGTGGTTATTTTTATTATTTACCACTCAAAAATATACGATAATAATGTCAAGTCAATTTATATTATATTTTTAATATAATGTACATTAAATTTTGGTTTTAATAAACATGTATGATTTTTATTTTTATTTAGTATTAACCATTTTATTAATTTCTTAATGTATATACGAGGTGTGTACTAAAAGTTCTAAGACATATAATTCAAACAGTATGCCAACAAAGTGTCCAATTGCAGTTTGATTGATATCACTGGCTTCTGTGAATTCTGAAAATATGTCTCTATTTGTAGATTTTTTATAACTTTGTTATGATGTGTTCAATGATTTTGTAAAATATGTTTTTGTATTTGACGATATTTGTAATAAATCCCAAAGAACAACTTAACAAAGCTTTTGAGGGGGTTTGGAGAATTTTGATGATTACATAATAATACAGGTAATGATTATTCTATCATATTATGGTAAAATGTCAAATACTTTTTGTCATTTACCATACCAAAAAGTTCCTGACAAATTTGAAACTTGGATTTGTTTTGGATCCTCCATATTCTCAAGATAAACTTTCAGCACATCTGCAGTTTTCAATTACAATTTTTAGCACAAGTCATGTAAAACAGTTCATTCTTCTACCAAGATTTTGTCAATAAAACCGAAGAAAAAAATCCTCTCCAATCAACTTCCATCCCAAAAAGCTTTTTTTTTGGATTTATTTTATATATTTTTCAAACACAAAAAGTTATTTTTTAGTTTATTTTACAAAATCATTGATGACATCAATACAAATAAGATTATAGACAATCTTCAATAACAGATGTACTCAGAAGAAGTCATAAAAACCAGTCCTCATAAATTCTACTGCTTTTGGATGCATAGATGAACAATTTAAACAGTCCTGGAACTTTTTGAATATCTTACACGCATATATATACATACATAAATAATAAGTACCTATAAGAAATAATTTATGAATTAATTATTATATTACATAGGATTATTTTATTATTCAGAGATTTGATTATTTAATTATAGCTCTTAAAGGACGTCATATCCGTATGTGTTGTCTCAGTCCAACTAACAGGTAATAACAGGTAAAATCTATTTTACACAGATTGTGCAGAGGTAGCTTAATTTTGATTTTCAAGTAAAATCACCAATTATAAAATTAAATAAATACTAAAATATTCTGGTGGGCAAGACGATGTGTTTTTTATATTATTCTAATTTTTATTCCAAATATAACGTCCAACACATTGTTTAAAAATAAAAACTAATTTATTGTTTTTAAATTACTATGTTTCAAAAAATGAATTTCAATAAAAGAAACTCATCGTCTTGTCTTCTTTTTATTTTATATTAGGTACCTACTTTTACTCTAAAATCAAAAATAAGAGAGTTCTATGCAGTCTGCGTAAGGAAGATTTTGCTATTTTGTCTGATAGTTTGACTGAGATAGTGCATGTGGGTATAATGTCTTCTTAAGCTATCAGTTAATAATATATTTCGTTGAAACAAAATAAAAAGCAAGAAACACTACAAACATTTTAAGTTACACTTGTTTTTCAATAGCAATACACAGAGCATATGTATTTTTTTTTTTTTCAGAAATGTACTTATATAACTAATTTCATTCATGAATAATCATTCTAAATGATGTGTTTCGTGTAAAATGTATATGTTTATTTTTTTATAACAAATACTTACCTCTTAAACTCTAATTAATATAATTATTATGTACATTAAAAGGGGACAATTATAACTGTATATTAAAATTGATAAACCATTAATCCCAAGTTTGATATGATCTATTTGTAATAAAACTTTTAGAATGAAATTTAATAGACAAAACTACATTGCTTTAAATGACAAATAATTTGTTTCAGCTTGATAACAACTATATTGGTCATCGTCCCGAAGTAGAAGTAACTTTTAATAACTTAAATGATAACATTGGTAAAGTGTTCCTGACTGACTTGGTAAGCAAATTATTTTAAATTGAGACAAATTGAAGGGCTCCCTGCAATGACAGGATGTGTTCACTTTTTAAAATTGTTCAGGTGAAATATAATTGGAAATGATTTTAATAATAATGAAAAAAACGTCTTTTTACCAACAAAATTGTAAAAGTTAGAATTTATTTAGTAAACATAATTTTAATCAAGTATACCAACCTAAAAACTTATTTAAAATTACCAACATGTGAACTTATCTGATATTTTGCTGACAATATAAGATTAATTGTGATTTTAAATATACAGCTAAAATATAAGTGTAAAATAGTGAAACCAAATTTAGGATCATTGTGTTTGTCCAAAGATTGATTTAATTAAAATATTCACTTGTTGGTATTGATAGAATTGTTCATTACAAAATAAAATAAAATATTTTTTCGGAAAATACGACTTCCCAAATTTTTTGTTGATAAAAATATGATTACCTAATAAATTGAATGATGTATTATTTAGATGTTTAGACCGTGATAACAGCCAGTAGATGAGTGATAATGAGATTACCTGGCTGGAAATAATATTTACACAGGGTTACTTCTGAGCAAATAACAAAATAATTTTGGTTCTATCTACTTTTTCATAAACAATTTTAATTCCGAAAAATCTATTTAGCTTATATCCCCATTAATAACAATCAAACTAGTCTTATACTTCTATAACATTTTAAGGGAAAAAAAATTGAATGTCAAAAAGTGAATTTATGAAAAAAAGTAGATTTATCTTGTTGCTGATGAGAGCCCATCAATTTAAGTAATTAAACAAGTAAACATATTAATACTAAAATAAATATGTGTAATATTATAAAAATATTTTTGATGTGTGTATGTATGTGTATGGGCTACTAAAACTCCTGAAAACCAAAATTGGTACATAAATGAAAACCAAATGTTTTTCATTAAATAATGTAGAAAAAAAATGTAGGGGTTAGAAGTATATACTGAGCTCTCCTAAGTTAAAATATTGTAAGTCCAAACAAAATTAAAAAATAAGTTATATAAACAAAACAAATTGTAAAATTCAAACTTTTAAGGTCAATATCATATGCCGTATGTTTGAAATATTATTATTATATTAAACGACTAGTAATATTTGTTTTGACATAATAATATTAATAACCAAGTTTAGTAAAAATGTCATATCTTCGTTAATATATACAGTGTTTTACTTAGTATACAATAAAAATAATAATTTGTGGCATTTATACTAAGTACAGATTGTGGTTTTGCTTATTGTTATATTGTAACTGATAAATCATCAACTAGTAACTGAATATTATTATAAAAAGTATTATAAGACTTTAATTAATTATAATTAATATGCAATTACTTTTACTTACGGCATTCCTGTTTATGAGCCAAGTATTTAAATCCTTTACCAATGCTAAGGACTAATGTAAAAAGTTAGGTATGTACTTCAGAATTTATTTATCTATGTTTATTTTTATCCCATTGCATTTATACGATAAAATTACTTATGAAAATCCATACCATACTTTGATAAGTAAAATGTAAAAGGTATTATGAATTTTAGAAAATGCAAAATATAAAAACCCATTTTTCTCAAAAATATTATCTAGTGAGTCACAGCATTTTTGCTTAGGAGTTCAGTATATCACTATATATCAGTGTATCATATTGTAGGTATTACAGAGTATCTAAATAGTCATTTATGTTGATAAACAATATTGAATTATGATTCAATTATGATTGAAAAAAAAATTATTCAAATTTTAAAAAAATCGTAGAAAATAAAAGGCCATCCTTTAACAAAAGTTTCAACCATCAACATTTTTATAAAAATCTATTTTACAAAATAGTTATATTGAATTTTTTTTAAAAAAATTATGGTTAAATTGAAAAAATTTTATTTTAAGTTCTATCCCTCCCCCCCAAAAAAAAAAATGTACACATATAAACTGTAGCGCAGAGGCATACTAATTATTTAAAAAAAAATTTGTCAAAAATATTGAATAGAACAAAAGTTATTTCAAGTGGCAGATCATTGTAGGACATTCTGTATGGTGTTCAAATTTTTATATAAAAATTACATCAATAGAAGTTGTAAGGAAAAAACCAGTGGATATGTTTAGAATTTTAAATAAACTTAGTAAGTGTAAAAGGGAACTGTTAACTATATATCGTATATATATGTATGAAATATACAAAATAGATCATTAATTCATAAAATAGATAATACAAATTGCATAATACATTGAAATGACTACCATAGTTTTGATATGATATTATGATTATATCAATATTTTTTTATAAATGTAGTATATTTATTATTTTTAATTTATAGGTAAGCCGATATGGGAAAATTGATTTTTTAGAAATATTGTACCACCCAGTTACCAAAAAACATTTGGGCCTAGCTAAAATAATTTTTGAGGATGCAATATCAGCTAAGTCTTGTGTTCAAAGGTTAAATGATACATCTGTTATGGGAAAAGTTGTTAATGTTTTTTTGGATCCTTTTGGTAAATAATATATTTTATTTAAATATTAAATGTTATTATTGAAGCTAATGTTTAAATCTGAATTGCTTATGTGTGAATTTAGCTTCAGAATGTAAAACAATATTTAAGAAGTTGACTGAAGAAAAACCAAAACCTCCACCTGAAATTTCCAAAATAAAGCCACTTCCAATATCTAACCGTGATCGACAGCCAGTTATATCAGTTAAATCCAAAGAAGAACCTCATGTTAAGCTCCAGACTGAAGAGAAATCACTGCCTTCCAAAACGGACAACTTTAAAAATTATAGTTATGAGTATACTACCCCGTCCCCAGCTACTAGTGATCTGCCATCAGAAAAAAGTTATAGTAGTGGATATGGCAGTGTGAGTAATACTCCCGTGTACAACAATGGAACCTCCTTTTCCTATCCATACAATAGGTATGAGTTATTTATTTTTACTGTTTTAAAAGCATTGAAATTGATGTTTATTATTTTTGTTTTTTATCTGAAGGTATTCTTGTAGAGTTCCTCCTTTACCAAATAATACATGGTGGGGAGAATCTAGTCCTATACCCACACATTTACCTTCAGCATCGGTTCCACCACCACTACCACCAATAATACCACCACCAACACCTAAGTTAGATTCTGAAGCACAATCAAAATTAGATTTGGATACAAGAATTGAAATGCTTCTTAGTGGTATGTCTTCTCAAGGTGCTAATGTGGAGCCTGCATTTTTATCTATCGTGAAAAAAGATTCTGATAATGTACCTGATACGATAGAAGATATCATCGATGATGATTTTAATGTGAATTTATCTCCGCCGACTGGAGATAATGACACTCATTCTGATATAGACGAAGACAAAGTCAATGATGAAGAAGAATTATTGTCTCCACTTTCTAATCCTCCATCACCTTTTTTATCAAATGATATTTATATAAAATGTTGTGAAATAGCAAAAGAACAGTTCAAAATGACTAGAGAAAAAGAAAAGTTGGAAGCAAAATGCTTTTTAAACAATTCAATAAGAAATGGTAAGTTAGTATAAACTAAAAATTATAATTTTATACATAAAATGCATGTTTATTTGTATTTTATTTTAGTAATCAATAAGACTATGCATGATTCACTACATAGTGACATCAGTTCTAGCGATGATGAAGCTGTGTTAGGAAAAAGTCCTAAAGGAAATACTCCAGATGACGCAATGAGTTTATCAAGCTTGTCATCTCGTGATGAAAAAATTGTAGAAAATGATCCCAATATACCACCTCAATATTTACCACCATTGCCAAATTATCCTCCTCAGGCTTATTATTGTCAACCTCAATATAGTAATCACTATGCTTATCAATATATTCCTTATCCATCTAATTATCCATATGGTCCCCCATTCCCTAGAACTGATATATATGAACCAGAACCACTACATGATAGACATGAAAACACAAATTTCGCAGCAGAACTTAGAAAGTGAGTAATTTATATGTTCAACATTTTATTTTATTTTCAATAATAAAATGCATTTTCATTTTAGACATTTATTGAAAGCAGTGCAAAATGAATTAAGAATAATAATTAAACGGGATCTTATGAAAAAAATGGGAACTACTGTTGCTTTTAATGCTTTGGATCATTGGTGGGAAGAAGCTGAAAGACAATTAAAAGTAATATTTTATTAAATTTTTTGGTATACCTATTTGTCATAAAAAAAAATAAATATATATATATACATTTATAGTCAACTAGTGTTACTAATGAGGAAGCTAAACTTGTACAACCAGCTCCTAACCTTAATACCATCTTGGAAGCTGGAACAGAAGGCTTAGAAACCTTGGCACTAAGTGGTTTAGGTCTAGGATTCCGAGCATCAATACCAAAAATGCCATCTTTCCGTGTAAGTTCTTAATTAATAGGGGTCTTTAATGATATTGAAATAAAATATTACTGTAGATGAAAATAAGACCTAAACACAAATAATCTTGCAAAAAATTAAAGTTTACAAATATTCAAATAGTATATATTTCTCGATTGAACTAGATCACAGATGATATTTATATTAAAAAATATATCGTTAAAGATCTTCATTAGTAATATATAATATAATTAATCTTATTAATAACATACTCTACATAATTGAACTATTTAGAGAAAAAAGAAAGAACCATCACCTAAGAAAACTGACGAACAACAAGATAATGGAAGTGATCAAGAAGAAATGGTTATAACTTCTGATCATGAAACCAAAGATGTAAGTTAGATTTGTTTATTGAATGAGTTTATTAACTGTCAAATTATGTGTTTAATTGTCTTAGATTGACGATGATGAAGTGACTAAACCTACCTTTGCGGAGCGGAAGCGTTTAGGAAGGGAACTATTTGACAGTGATACCAACACTTCTACTTCAGAACCATCAGTCCATAGTTCTTCTTCTGAGGAAGAATCAAGCAATGATAGTTCTACTAACGCGGACTCAGATGATGAATCTTCATTGCAAACTAAATTTAAAAAAATGTGTAAATCAATGACTTTGGAAGATTTTGATTGGATCAGGTACAAAAACAGTAATAAATAACATTTATATAATATGTATTCATTATAAAGAATGTTCAGAAAAGTATTTATTATAATATTATACATTGTTTTGATGGGCTATATATTTGAGTGGAACAAGTTATAGAGTAGTAAAGTTTATCAATACAATTATTGCATTATTTAGTTATGCTTTTGTTGGCACGTTTCAGCATGCTAGTATCTGTCTAAGATCTATCTGCAACAATGGATTGACTTCTTTGTAAATCAGAATCTTTTGTTATCACCAAGTTTTTAGTTGGCCAGATCTAACTTTTTTTTTTTTTTGTGGGATTCCATCATCATTATCCATAAATATTAAAGAGGTTCTATAAATAACCATGCATCTTTTAATACAACTTTCTGCTATCTAGGTTTGAGAATATGTGGGTTAGTCAACAGTATAAATATTAAAAGAGAGGAAATAATTTGAGAATTCAATTTTTTAAATTTTATTTATTTACCTTGGTTATACAAATGCAAAAAATAACTGTCATTAATATTTAATCTGGTTGTTATAGAGAAAGTATCTTATTTAAAAAAAAGATTAAATAGATAGATTATAGATCAATATTTGGACAAATAATATACTATTTATAACTAAAGCAGAGGACTTGTAGCTTTAAACAAATTAAAAATATACAACTACTTATGCATTTAAAATTCTTAAAATATGCATTAAAAATAATTTCTAAAAATGTATTTCTAACAATTTCATTAAAAAATATTAGTTATATACAAAACAGCCTAAAATAAAAGAAACAATTGCGTTGATTAAATTAAATAGAAATCAGTATATCAATCATTGATTGATGAATTTACTTGATTTTTAAATATATTTAATTTACTATTTCTTTTTCCGATGCCAAAAATTAACATTTTATTATTGTTTTACAAAGATTTTTTTTTTATGTGAACACTTAACACTTTCTAGTAGAAAGCTTACTTCAATGTATACAATGTAAACCCTTTTCTAAAAGGAAATTTTCTTAGAGTGATATTTTAGGGAGGTTATTTATCAATTTTCTGAAGATTATTCTTATCAAATGTAAAAAATAAAAAAAATGGGAAAATGTATGAAATATATTAGTAAAATATTATGTTTTTTTTTCTGTGGACTTTTTTTCCTACTAGAATTTTGCTTAGATTTATAATGATGGCACTTTTTTTGAAAAATAATCTGTTTGGGAGGGTACTTAATGATGTAATTTTTTAATTTTCTTAAGAGTTTTCCAGCAAATGTGAAAAACTGGAAAAAAACATGGGAAAATCAGGAAAAACGGTACAATATTAAACAAATATTATATTAAAGAAAATATATACCTAATGCCTATTTAAATATTTTACCAGAATATCACATAAATATTATTGACAAAATATCACTGTCAGAACTTCACTCAGAATCGTATTTTCGTTATCAATAGTTTATCGTTACTTGCAGATATATATTACATTCCCTTTTGTATCCTCCTACCTTCTCACCTATAACAGTGACTGCACCTGTCCTAGGACAGCTTTTTTAACATGTTAATATTTTATTAATGATTTTTGTTTTAATACATATTATTTCTTAAGAAATTGTGAAAAAGTCTGGAAAAGCCCCCAAATATCATAAAAAAAACCTCAAATGTCCAAAAATAAAAGACCTTAATATGCTAAAATATGCAATATAAAATTATAGATTTGGTTCTGTTGTAACATGAAACAAATTTTTTTTTAAACTGGCCTTTTTACAAATGCACAAAATAAATATGTAAATGTTAGAAGTCCTCTGCTCTATTTATAACTATACTAGAGAATCTAGTCAGAGTATTATTTTTAGTTATTACTTTATGGAGCAACCACTGAAATAGATAGCGTTTAATACTGTACACCATCAAGGCTCTATGGGATAGTTAATTTAAAAAATATACTGCATTTTCACATTAAATAAATGGTTTTTTTCTCAGGGAGTTAACACCTGTTGGAAATGAAACTCCTATGGCAATAGATTCTTTATCAAGTTCTGATGAAGAAGGTTCATTTGTGAAGTACAAACGTGATAAAGCAATAAAACGGAAGATTGAAGATGATGATCTAGATGAACCTGTTGAATCTAAAAAACATATAAAAAACACAACGCCACCTGAAGAAAATCATATTCCAGTATTTGTTGATCACTCTTACTGTATGCCTCGACAGGTTGTTTATAGTCCTCCTCCTATACCTGATTGGGACGCTGATTTGGGTACGACTAATGAAGATATGAAAAATCGTGAACCAATTGTTATAAGTGAAGAAAAAATTCCAGACATCGTTTCACCAAAGAAACCTAAACTGCCATTAGCTGTTAGAGATAACAACAAAATAGAAAATATAGATCATTTAACTGTACCAAAACAACGAGATAGTCAAGTCAAAACCAAATACTTTAACAAACGAAATGCAAACGAAGAATCAGCTATATTATTTGAGTTTCTTACTAAGGGTATAGATATGGAAGATATAGACTACTTAAGACAAAGTTATAGTTCATTTCGCCCTACAAATGACTGGTTGGACGATACACATTGGGTCAACCATCCAGATATCCTTTTTATGACATTAATATTTAATTTTAACTATAATATAGGATTATTTAAATTAGGTGGGTCAATCACTATTCACTTTGCTTTTATAATAATTTCTTTGCATATGTTTATATTTGGATATAAATATTTGAAATTTAGAATGGGAATGAACTGTAAACTTAGAAAATCTAGTGTTTATCCATGGAGATTTGTACATATAATGAACTATAATCTAAATAAAAGGTAATATCTTTACATTTCATCATTTAAATAAAAATGTTATAATTGTCGATCAATATACCTAAAATGAATATTAAATTTGTATGTTTACTTCACATTTCCATAATATTATGATTGATCAAATTATATCCTATGTTATTATATATATTTTTTTTAGATGTTTGGATTTGAGGAATATTCGGATATAATTTTCTTACATTTTAATGAAACGCACATTATTTGTAAATTCTATAGTTTTTTAAAATATCAATTTAATATTTAAAACTAGTATAAAGCTAAAATAATGATGGTTATAATGGAAGTTATCAGAATTTCTGTATAATTAATTATATTTTTTATGTAGTTATTGTTTTCCTTAATTTATAAACACTGACAGCATTATCAAATCAACTTCCAAGAAAAAAGAAGAAAGACGAATGGAAAATTCACGAATCGGGGTGTGCTAGAACAGAAGGTTATTATAAAGTGGACAGTAAACAAAAAGCCAACCATAAGGTAATTTTTATATTAATATTATTTAGTGAGTATTGAATTATCCATAATTTTCTTCCCATTTTATTTTAAATTAAATATCTTACTAACACAAATTTGTGTAAAAGGCATAACAATATATTCGACTACCCGTTAATAAATGTTTTTTTTTTTATTTGCTTTAATGGGAGATTCCTTTGTATATTATGGTAATGCAACACTTTTTTAAGAGACGTCTTGTTATAGAACATTTTTGTTTTTGAAGTTATTCAAGTAGTGCTTTTAACGTAGGTATATTTAATTTATGTTTATATCTCAATTTTATGTTTTTATTGTAGTATCATTTTGGACATACAATTGCCCAATTGAATCGTATCACTGAGCTTAAACGTGTTAAAGAGTCAACAGGCAAGATGTTAGCTCTTTCTCGTGAAGCACGTAGTAATCAGCGTCGATTATTAACAGCTTTTGGATCTACATCAGATAGTGATTTGCTCAAATTTAACGTACTGAAGTTCCGTAAGAAACAACTTAAGTTCGGAAAATCAGCTATACACGATTGGGGATTGTTTGCTATGGAGTCGATTGCAGCTGATGAAATGGTTATTGAATATGTGGGCCAGATGATTCGGCCTGTAGTGGCTGATCTACGGGAACGTCAGTATGAAGCTACTGGTATTGGTAGCTCATATCTATTCAGAATTGATTTAGACACTATTATTGACGCTACAAAGTGTGGTAATCTGGCGAGGTTTATTAACCACAGTTGTAATGTAAGTATTAATGATACATTTTGGATATCAAATAATGAAATACTGATTTTAACCAGAAGTTTTAATCAAACAATGCAATTCTGAATGTTATTATTTCATCATACTTTTGAGTCTGTCTGATAGTTGTATAACTAATTCAATCTATCTATTCTTAAGCAAATTATTCATGATAGTATGAATTGAATTTATATAAATCATACCTAACTGTTGAAATATTTAAATTGAATTGTCTCAGTTTCGTGTTTAATTTCATTGATATAATGTAAATAATATATTGTTGTGTATACCAAATTATAATTAAAATAAATGTGTTTAGCAGGACTATCTGTTAGTTATTTAGAAATGTAGAATATTAAAGTTGAGTGGATAGTTAATTTAGAATAGATAGATGGATGGATAATAATATTGCTAATTGCCCATGTCCTTAAATGGTTCAATTATTGATATGATATTATTTTTTATAATCATAGAATGTGTTACACAAAAATATACAATCTCAAAATTAATTTCATTTTTAAATTTCAGCCTAATTGCTATGCTAAGATAATTCAAATTGAAGGGCAAAAGAAAATTGTAATATATAGTAAACAGCCAATTGGTGTAAATGAAGAAATTACTTACGATTATAAATTTCCACTTGAAGAAAACAAAATACCATGTTTGTGTGGGACGCATTGTTGCCGTGGAACGCTCAACTAGTTGAAAAACTGTTAATATTTTGTTAATATCTATATATGAACTGTGAATATTTTACCATGTGAAATCTTTTGTAAAATTTAAGCGTTTTTTTTTTTAAATTAAATTTATACGACTGATGTATAATTTATTCTTCTGCATCAATTCATCTTTGTGATGAAGTGCATGCAATTCTTTTTGTTTGTACAAAATGAATATTGTAAAATTATTAATATAATTGTTCCATCCCTATTTAAAAACAATACAAGTTTATTCCTAAACCAAATTTCAACAATGAATGTTTAAAAATATTTTGCTGTTGATGTATGTCTATAAATTATGATCAAAAAATATATTGTAGATTATACAAATAAATATAAATTCAGTTAAGTGATATTTGTGTTGTTCTGGTTTAATACAGAATACATTTTAGACATTAATTGCCAATAAATTATTTAATTTATTAAACACAAAATATATAAACACCACATAAAATATCTATAGACATACAGTTTTTGAAAATTTAAGAAGTTCAAATAAAATATGAATTTCTTAAGACAAATTAGATCAAATATTAAATAATAAGTTGTTTAATTGTGTGAATTGTATAATTTTATTAAATTAAAAGTATGTCATTAGGTACTAGACATCAATTTATTAGTGAATTACGGAATTTGAACTTTAATGGTTAAATAAAATTTAAAAGAAAATAAACACAAATAATTAATTATCAATGGAGACAAATTGGGGAATTTAATAAAATATCTATAATATGAAATTATAATCAATGTATAATTGTATAACATTGATATAAAAAAAAATGCCAGTGTACTTTCAAGGTTATTGCAGTAAAACAAAAATCAGTATTATCAAAACATATGTTATCATTTCAGTCAAATATTTACTTTTATTTTGTAATGTAAAAAAATAAATAATGGATTACAATTGTTAACTAATAAATTACTTAAATAATGAACAAATCACTAAAATAAAAAAAATATACATAAATAAATTTGCAAGTTTAAATTCTTTTAAGTTATCTGTTCATTTCTCTTAATGGAGAGGATTGAGCAATAGGTTTTACATTTACAGTTTTACTTTTGAGTATGTAAGTTTTATCTTTGGGGGCAATATTTTCAATATCGGCACGTCTACGAGGTGTAGCCAGGGCATCCAAACGGTTCTTCATTAAGTTAGTAGACTTTGGTTTTATATTTTGTATTTTTGCTGCTAATGCGTTTTTTTCCTGAAATTGTTTTAAATTATTAAATAAAATTCCTGAAATGAGTCTGTTCAATGTTATATGTTATTAATTAAAGTAACACTCATTTGGAAAGCACTTGGTTTTATATTACAGATACACAGTAACCAATAGTTTTTCTTATAATATAAATTAAATTGTTTAAAAACTAAACTAATACGTAGCAGTGACATATATAACAGGAGTATTAAATATAATATATGCATATTTTACAAACTAATATAAACATAGTAAATATGTCTATACAAATTCTGCCAGGAATGACTACAAGACTAGTCTAAAAAATAGATAGTCCCAAATTAATTTGTTTTAGTTTTATAATATATTATTTTTCTTGTGAACAACTTTTCTATCAGAAATCTAACCTTTCATCAAGTGTAGCATTTTTTGAAAGGTAATTTGCCTGATATCGTAAATTGAGAGGACATTTTTAGATTTTCCTAATAAATGGGAAAAACAAAAATGTATTATTTTTTAATCGTAAATATTATGGCCTTTCAAAATATGTATAACTGAACTCTGCTCAGAATCATTTTTGCTTTAGCAATGATTAATCTTTGCATACAGATCAGATATACATTAAATATCTCCTCTACATTCCTCTAACTTCTCGCCTACATCAGTTGCCCACCCATCATCAAAGGTATATCTGGTTTTTATTTTGAATATATTTAAAAATACTCATTTTATGGGCGCCTCATTAAAGTAAAAGTGTATATTATCTAACAAAAGAACTACTTTTTGTACCTCGGCAATTAATGATGATGTTGATGTCAACCCTACAGCAAATGATTTAATTAAATTTAATATTTTAATCGGAGTAAAACTTGATTAGTCTTTTAAAAAGAAAAGCACTTTTCTTTTTTATCAGGAGCTTATGAATTGGTGTTTTAGTATCCTACTTCTAATAAGAGATTTTTGAAAATGCAACAGTTAATCTGTTAATAATTTTAAAACAAAATTAGTTGTTATACATTTTTCTATTTATATAATGTATCTAAATATGAACTTTATATAAAGTTGTCGATTAAAATTAAATATATTATTTGTTAAACTTACATTAGTCAAATTTATTATTTTTGTTTCTAAATCTTCTTGCTTTTTAATCATTTCTTCAAGTTGAACATTTCTTTTTACAACTCTTAAATAACAAAATAAATTAGTTTACATACAAATATAAATTAAATCATTAAAAAATATTTACTTTTCATATTTTTCCAAAAGTTGTTTATAGTTTTGCGATTCTGGATCTGTGATTTCAAGATCCAATTTTAGTTTTTGTATAATTTCTTTTACTTCATCTTCTACCATAGATTCTAACTCATCTAAAGTAACCATAATAAATCTAATTTTGGCCAAATAGTTTTCTTTAACTGTCTCGGAAATATTTGCATAATCGTTAACTTTATCCATCAGATTATGTTCAACAATGGCAATTTGTTCAGCAGCTATTTGTTCAAAGCTTTTTTTTTCATAAATTTCTTCTTTTAAACGTGTATTTTCATTTTGCAAAATTTCATTGTGTGTGCATGTATCAAGTAAACGCTGACAAACTGCATATAATGCAGCTTGCGAATTTTCAATAACTATTCGACATGCACGATTTTCCATAGATTCTAAGTAACCACTGTGACATGAGTTGATGTAGTCTATACATGTATCAGTAGTACTTTTTTTATTATTGTCAAGTTGGTCAATATTTACAAGTGCTTTGGTGAAAGTAGAATCCAATTTCTTTAAATCCTGGGGTTTAGCAATTACTTTTTTTGAGCTATTTTTTGTTGAAATAGAATCTATAGTTTTGGTAGATTTTTTAGAACATTCTGTATTTATTGAACTTTGTGAACTAAACATAAAATAAAATACAAATTAATTCATAAAATACACCAAGATAATTGATATTAATCGCACTATACCTGAAATTTGATGGAATTTTGAATGTTGAGTGAACCTTGACAGTTTTAGAAATACTCTGAAATATAAATTTTATTTATTTTATTAATATTAAATATAACACAAAATGCTAATTTTTGGTGTTCTACCTATCTGCTATGGTTTACTAGAGATCTAAAAAATATTTTATTTCAAAAGAAAAAAAACCAAGTTAAATATAAATTTAATTTTTATGTTTCAAATTATATTAGATTTTTGTTACTTAGTATTTGTTTCAAGTTTATGTGAAAAAAATTTCTTACTAAATGTATAATAAATATGTTAAATTTTCATTAGTAAAATAACCTTTTTGACTATTGGAAATATGTTAACAAAAACCATGCAAGTAATGAAATAACCTACAATGGTACTATCTTTTCTAATAAAAAAAAAAGTTACAAATATGTTCGCTACAATGTATTTCTTGGGTTATTCAAAGAAAAACCATGATACCTCAACTGTCTAAAATTCTAAACAATATTATCAGGAGTTCTTAACAAAACGTTGGCGGATTGTCTCATCTCAGGTGTGTGCAGGGACAACTGATGAGACAAGGTATCATGGTGCATGATGTTTGCAGAAAATTGGATAAGGCTTTGATAGGAGAAAATCTGGAAGTTAGCATGAAGAATATGCTTGGCAGATAGAACTTGAAGGAAAAGTACTTTAAGCAGTGAGGTGATAGACGAGGTTGAGAGTTTTAAGTACCTAGGATTCTTTGTACAAAAGAACGGCGGCTTTGGCGAAGATGTAAAACATAAGACAAAGTGGAAAGAAGTGTCAGGTGAAGAAATTGCAAAATCAACCATCTCATTTAAAATTTCCAAGAAAAAAAAAAACACTTCGAAAGTTAATACTTTCCGAGATAATCATTATTCTTAGTTGAGTGAATCATCCTGTATAACATTAGCTAAATATTCGATCTATATAATTTTTAATTAGTACTCAGTAATGACCATAACCTATTTAATATTTATATAATTTATAGTTAACATAGAAATTAATATTTTACTAACTTTTGGAACAGCAGGTTCTTTGAATCTTTCTGCCTTGTCAAATACAGCCCCTTTTAATGTTTTTGGTCCAGGACTTTTTGGATCATATGTTCCAGGTGGTGGTGCACAAGCTAAAATTATTCAACATAATTATTTTACAATGATTAGTATTTGATACGTATTTAGGGTTTATTATATAGTTTTTGATAAATATATAAATTAATATATGCGTCGTCTAGAGTATTATAGACTGGTTTTCGAATTAAAAATTCATCATAAGGTATATCACAGTCAAAATGTAAAACATGGCTAAATATAAAAATTAAATGAAGGAATACAAAGAAAAAATATATTTTAATAGGAGAAATTATTTAATATCTAAAATGTATTTATATAAAATATTATTTTAAATAATCAGTAAAACTGAATTAATATAAATGTTATTTATGGTATTTAATATCTCTAAGTCTGTATTAATATCAAAGTTTATATTATGGTTATTTTCTAAAACTTGTTTAGCAAAATTTGAATTAAGGGCAGTCTTTTTAAATTTTATTTCGTTAATTTGTTATTTATATATTATTTTAAAATTTCTATTTGTCTTAACTAAAAAAAATGTATTACTGTTACATTTAAGTTTATATATACCAGCATTTTCAAAAGAACCGGGATTTGTTGTGAAATTTCTAGTTTTATTGTTTATATGTTTAATTAAATTATTATTAGTTTTAAAAGTAATTTTTACATTATTTGGATTATTGTTCAGAATTTTAGCGAATTCGTTATACATATTATTTTTTCTTAAATATATTTATTTTTTGCAATTTTTTAATGATATATGGATTAAAATTATTTCTATGGGCTATATTATAGATAATATTGAGCTCATGTTGATAAATGTGTAAATAAACATTTAATAAAATATGTTCAAGCCTAAAGAATATTGAATAAAAAAAATGATATTTTTTGAAAATAAAGGTGATTAGAATCATATGGTATTATAGCATCAGTTTATGAAGGTCTGTAAATACTAAAACTAAATTTATTGTTAATTATGGAAACTGTAAGATTTAATTTAATTTATTATTTATTTATATTTCAAGTGTAAATTGAATGTTTTTATTCATTTTGTTTAAGTAATTGTCTAAATTTTCTGCTTGTTTATTTGAACGTCTAAATAAAATAATGTGTCAACAACATATCTATAATATGCTTTAATATATGGACTGTATATTTTGTAGTTAATAATATTATTGGTTTTATAATTTTACATGCAAATTTCAGATGAAAAGGCACTTATTGAAACCCATAAGTCATAAATAAATAAATCAACATATTAAACAATATAACTAAAAACTTCATAAAAAATCCTCATTCTTTTGAAAATGCAGGTACATATACACTTAAATGTCATTGTGACATAATATTGTGTTATTATTACAGAAAGCAATTACAGTATTAGACGTTAACATTATTTATAGGAAAATAAAATAAAATCCAATCATTCTATTTGGTTCTTAAAATAAATATTTACCCTTTGTGACTAAATGACACCTTAATTGGTGCGATCTTTACAAATCATACATCATACCTTCTATGAAATTATAAGTCAAACACAACAATTGAGTTTGCCTATATCCCGTTTCATACCTTCCTCTCAATTTCTTCATTAAAATTAGTCTTGGTACATCATTTAAATTCAATATCTTCTTTTCTTCATTTCAAAGAATTTTTCTTTTTTATATTCTTTCTAATACTTCTTCATAAGTCCCAGGATGTGTTAAATTTATCTTGAGAATTCTTTTGCCCCCAATAGTTATGCCCCTGTTGTAAACCTCACCTTTCTTTGATTCTTATTTTTAGTTATATATAAGGTTAAGAAAGTTATAAACTCCTATCGCTCTAAAAGATAAATCCTGGCTACGCCACTGCCCTTATTGCATCTAATCTTAAAATGTTGACTACAATTACATTTTTAATATTTGTCAATCATCGCCAAGGTGATATTACTCTGAATATTTTAATTTTTTTTCTTGATTATGACATTTTAATAGTTTATGGTAAATTTAATCATATAAATTCATTCATTAGTTATGTGTAACAATATATTTAAAACTTAGCAGTAATTTATTCTAATTCTATTAAGTAAATGTAACCTATTAAAGTAGGTATCTTACTTGAAACTTCGTAGAATCTCTTGATTTTGCCTTTCATAAACATTATTAATTAGATATATGATAAGTTAAATGAAAACTGAAATTAATATTAACGTATTATAATGGTTTGTGATTATATGAAGGATTGAAAACCTTAAATCTAAAAATACGTATTGTAGTACAACCGTACTGATGGAGTAGAAAAATTGAAATGAAGGAAAGGTGCAACAAGCCAACAAATAACAATGAACGTCCCCTAAAAGGCCGAACGGCTGATAAGTACAATAGAAAGGGAACGTCTTTCTTGCGTAAAAACTGAAAACGACTGGTTGTCTGAGTCTGTGTGGTGAGTCTGGCGGTTATAGTAGTTGAGGGGTAAACCTAGAACAATGTAAATAATAAAAAACCGTTAAAGAAAATAACGGTTTTTCTTTCAAACAACCATCCGCTGAATATTGATAACATGTATATGATGCAAGCCATATTACTCTATGACGTAAGTACGTAACGTTATCAGTATGATGTAGACCCGGGCTAAATATTTCGTTTTTCATATTTTTGAATTTAGACGCGGCAACTTGGACCATAGAGTTAAACTTACTTTGTGACTTGGACAGATCATAACTCTGGGACGGATTGATCATAGAAAATAAATATTTATAAACTAAACACAGAATAGATGAAATCTAAACTGTAATCTTAAATCCGTTGAACTGCGTTAATTTTGTCAGGTTTAGTGGTGATATAAAATAACAATAACAATTATTAGAAACAGTTAAAACAACAACAATTATAGTAATAATAACAATTTGTTACATGGAAGAAAAAATATAACCATTCTAATTTACCTCCCATGCGATTTTTTTTTTTCAAAATGCTTGTTTTTGCGTCTACATTAAGAATGTAAAAAAAAAAATCTGACGAACATTGTTTGGAAGTTATGGGGGAATATTTCATGAAGTTCAAGTTTTCCGTTTCAATTTTTTAGTTAAAATTTAACATTTTCAATTTTTTTTTCCAAAATGTGTATTTTTTAATGCTTAATCCGTTGGTATAATCAAAACTTCCTATCATACTAACTTTTAAAATTTGTGTACATTAACCTTGAAAAATGGTGGTTTTGGAATTAATTCAAAATTTAGACAAAAATAGACATTTTTTTTTTATTATTATTTGTAATTTTGATATTTTGATAACAAAGTTTTTATTATTGAAGGCAGAATAAGTCAGTCTGGCTTAGTTTTAGAGTTACAAACGTTTTAACGCACCGTGTTTCGCTGCGCTCACCCAGACAATTTTAATCGGAAATAACCCTCGATTTGTTGTGCAAAACCAAGTCTGATAGGTAACAAGAAAAAATGAAAAACATTATTGACGAATTTAAAGACCCAATGTAGTCACTTTCTAGGGTTATTTTCGATTAAAATTGTCCAAGAGAGAGGAGCGAACTAAGAAATTCGCGGAACGGAAAATCCGAAATTTATGAAGTTTTCCCATATAACTTCCAAACTAAGTTCATCTGACTTTTTTTTTTTAATGTACACACAAAAAAAAAATTTGAAAAAAATCATATAAGAGCTAAACTAGAATTATGCTGAAAAAATAACAGTTACTATTTATTTTTTTTTAACAGTAACCATATTAATATTTAATACCACAGATTATATTACATATTTATTACCTGTACCTATTATTAGGTGTTTTTAAACTTCAGCAATCAGTATTATATTTTTAAATTATATTTTGTATTTTTATAATAAATTAGAAAGAAATTGAAAGCAGTTTTTGTCATATCTATCATTTGAGACAATGATTAGCCCTTCAATTTATAGATATCAAATTGAAATTTCTGATTGTTTAATACCTATACTAGATATCCCAAATAACAGTGATTTTAGTCAGACATCCGATTTATTTAATTTCAACAAATATTTAACTAAGACATTCTCGCATTATATATATATATATATATTTATATATTAAAATATATGAATATGTTTATTTCATCTACATATTAAAATATTGGTTATTTTGTTATTTTATAGACAGAACAAAATCCAAGACCCGGTGGATCAATGTAATTGCAAAATATCTGAGAATAATAAACCACAATGTGACCTATAAGTGAACCTATAACAGAGGAAGGTGAAGTTTTGTGATGGATTTCCAGTTATATTATTATTAATAGTTAATAATTACAAGTAGTTTTTTTTTCGTAAAAAATATTTTATGAAATAAGTATTAGGTTTTTATTCTACATTTATTATTATACTATTGTTGAATGTCAGGAATAAACAGTATGATCATAGATATTATTAAGTTTTATTTTATTTTATCTTTTTCATTTCTTTTAAGTTTTAACTTTTAATCAATTGTGGTTTTACTTTTAAATATAAATTGATTTAATAGAGCAAATTAATTAGTGTAAAGGTTAATAGTGATAAAGTTAATTCATTACAGTATAATAATAACAAATATTTTACGTACACAATCGCTTTGTTTACGCTCCAACTCTCCAAGCCGTGTTACCAGATTTTGAAAAACCTAAAACCGTACATGTGTTCAATTATCCTACATTACCGAACTCGACATATTTTCTTAAATTGTGTACTTTATGACAACAAAACAAAGTGTGATAATCAAAAAAAAAAAAGGTTATCACCAACTAAATAGTAAAAAAAATTCGGCTATTTGATACCGGCTCATTTGGACTTTTCAGTTTTCAGTGTCATACTTTGTGGCCTGTATGTTGTATACCGTATATTCTGTGCGCACGTCTATGACTTCCAGAACAAGTATAATGAATTTATCATAGATTTTTTATTTTATTATAATAAACAAATTTTTCAAATGAAACCGTTTACATTCAATGTTTTGTTTTATTTAGATGGACAATATATTATAAATTATGATAATTATGATACTATAATTTTTTAAACATGAATGGATATTTTTATTTGTATTTATTAATTTTTATTTTTTAGTAACAGTAAAATACAATATCAATAGTTTCTTTGTGTCTCTAAAACATTGAAGTATCTACTTTAAAAAAACAAACACAGAAGTTTGAAATCAAATCATTTATTTCCAACCTATTTACAATGGTTTTGGTCTTCCTAAATTAATTATTTGTACTCAGTACTCACACTATAGATAAAATAATGAAATAAAAATAAAATAAAAATCACAGAAATTTATGTTAACCATACTTTTTGCCTTATAATACTAAGTGATCAGTCTAGGAGAGTGTAGTCCTTCAATAGACTTTTGTATTTGTGGCAAATGAGAACATCCTGGTGGTCCCCAATCATGAAGTCCAGCTTGGTTGGCCAATCTATGAGTCAATTTGTGAGCAATTGAAAACCCTCCACTTCCTTCCAACTGAGTTAACACAATTATAACTTGTCTAAAAAAAATGTATATATATATATATATATATATTTTTAAGTGATTTTAGTTATAATAATAAAACAAATTATTAATAAAGCTAACCCTAAAAATGAAAAAAATGAAAAGAAAAAAAAGAACTGATACTGTCAATGGATACAGATAAAGGGCTCAGAATACTCCCACGGCATCTCTATCTGTCGTAAGAGGCAACAAATGAGATTGAGTTAGATCGACAGCCGGTGTAAAATTATGTCAAACAGTATGACGATTTCTAAATAAGACTGTCAGATTTGTCTCGGATGTGCACAGGGACAAGTGAGATAAGGTACCATAGTGCATAATGCTAGAAGATGATATGGTTTCAATAGGCGAAAATCTGCAATATGTTAATAATAGGCTTGGAGAATAAAGAGTAGGTAGCACTTAAAGGAAAGGGACTAAGGATAATTAGAAGTAAAACAGATTATGAGTTTGGAGGAAATAAATAAGACAGTTAAAGGCAAGGTTGAGAGTGAACAGTGACTTTCAAATTGAAACATAGTGTCGATTAATAGGTTATATTGATGTAGCCCTTAAAAATAAAATTCTTCAGGAGACACTATAATATAGTTATGTTTATTAACTAAAAGGCTTAATTAAAAAGATTAAAATTGAATTTAGACAAGAATATAGTCATTTGAGAGTTACAATATTTGGCTATAATTTATATTTACCTCTATATTATCTGTATTATTTATTTTGACCATAACTTTGAGTGAAAATGAGGGTTACAACAATTAGCCTATTAACCGACGATAGGATTAAGTTTGGTTGAATAAAGTGGAAAGAAGCATCAGGTATATTATGTGACAAGAGAATTAGAGATTAAAGTTTAGTTCTAGTCTAATCAAGTAGAAGTTTAGAACGTGGGTGGTCGATCCCAAATAGTTAGGATGAAGACAAAACAGAAGATACCGATGATGAGTGTGCCATTGTTGTAGGTGGAAAATTGGGAAGGTAAAGCGCATATTTAATTCATTTATATTTGTACACAACAATAAATAACAAAATATATTTCTGAGTGAAGTTCAATTTTAAAATGCAGTGATCTATATGATTTCTATCAAAATTTGAATTGGAAATGATTATAAAAAAAATATTACATTAAACTTAACTTTTTTTTTAGATTATTACAATTTATAATGCACCTCATATAAATTTTTTTGTTTGGTTAAATAATTTTATGAACAATTAACAACAGTTAATTACTCATTAACAAATAAAACACAGAATTCAAAATAATAAAACCATTAAGGCTGCAATTTTCCTTTTTTCTGTTTTATTGTTTAGAAAACTACAGAAAATCAAAAAGTGACCTTTCAATGCGCCAATAAAATCCAAAATTCTAAAAACAAACTATCTTATCTGATTTTTGATCAACATGAGATTTCTGATATAATAGTTGTGCATAAACGAAACAATAAAACAATTGCACACATCATAGTGAAACAAATACATTCTTCTTAGAATCTAAAATAATTCAATATTATTTACTATTTACCTATGCAAAGGAGGAACAGAGTCAATAGTTTTGAGTAATCCTCTAGTAGACATAACATTATAACTTTCTTGACAGTCACATTTAACATGTATCCAGCGATTTGTATGCCGATTCTCTACTACAACAACAAGTCCTGCCCATCCTTTAGTTAAATAGTAAGCTGTCATTCCTTCTCGACCCTTAACATATTTTCCTTGTTAATTAAAATAGAAATATTAAAGTATTACATAAACTTACTTCATGTCTTTGTCCTTTAGCTAAGGTTAAGTTAATAATAGTGTCAGCTAAAACAAAAGATGGTGGTGACACTTGTTCTACCAATAATCGTTTAGAACTATGAATTGCCAATACAAATTCAGGATAAACTGAAGGATCTACCAAATCTGTAAAAATAAAAAATAAATATTTTATATTTATAAATCTATACATCATATTACATAAATATATAGTAATCACTAATCAGTATTAAAAATATCTTTATTATATTTCTATATTATATCAATTTTAAACCAATAAATAAACTAAAAACAAACCTGTATGCCAATGATTAAATGCTAAACAAACAACGACATAAACATCTGGTTCTAACATTTTATGTGAGCTAACGAATCCACGGACCTGGCGTTTACTATGTTCAACAAGACGGCCAATGCAGATAGGTTTTTCAGATGTTACTTCTCTACTTCTCATTACTGCTACACACAAATCGAGTTGACTTCTATTACATTTTTCTGATTTTCTAGATTAAGATACATTTAGAAATATAATTAATGATTTACCTAACATAATTTTATTTTAATAAATAACATTATAACAATATACCTCTGTCCTTCTTGAAACAGTGTAAATTCTGCTTCTGTTGGTTCTGAGACAGTGAGGACAACACATGATAAGTGATCAGTAGAAGATAAAGGTGGCAAATATCCTTTAAGTCTGACTTCATTCCATAAATTATTTCTTACTTTGCAAATATCAATACAATCAAAGTATCTAAATTTAACAAAATATTTTAAATTGATATAAATAAATATTAATTAATATTATGTATTACTTTAAAACATCTTCATATGATATCCAAAATACTCCTTCACAACATCCATCTGGCATTAACAATGTTTTTAAATTGTCTGTCCATATTTCAGAATTATCAGACCAATCACCATTCCAAGAGAAATGTCCCCATGGATTTCTTAGTTTCAACAACCGATGACCATCAATATCTCTGACATCCAAAACAGAATAAGCGTGTCTTGGTCTAAGTCCTTTGTTTTGATAAGAATCTTCATCTACTTTCATGTTACCACCACCACAAGATGCTCCCATTAAAAAACCAGCAAGACGTGAACTTAATAACTGAGCCCATATGAGATCACGATCTAGTTCATCTTCTGTTGGAACTGATGATGGTTGTAATGGCACACTTTCGCAAGGGGCACCTGTTAATGTAGCAAGTCCTTCAATTGCTCTACCAGAAACTAGTGCTTCATAGCAACCATGAAGTTTAGCTATTGCTTTTTCAATTAAGGGAACCCATAGTTGTTTACGTTTCGCCTGTTGAAAAATGATTTTTTTTTATTTCATTCTTATAAAATGTAATTAATATTATTACAAACCTGGCTATATACTAGATTTCCTCTGTGGTCACAGGGCAATAAATCATCAACAAGAACTGTAGTCCATTTACCATCTTTACAAAGTCGAACTTGGTAAGCACCTTGTAAACAATAATCTTTGGTAACCATAACATGCTTGACTAAATCTTCTCGTTCTGCTAACACTGTTAAAGCACTCAACAACCAACAATTACCTAATACACCTAAATAATATTAAATATTTGTTACATTATTTAATATTTATGCATATGATAGATTCATCTTTTTTTTTTTTTTTGGTAATATCTAAAATAATAATGAAACATAATAAGTAGTACTATAAGATTTATATTTAACTATAACCAATGATGAAACTGAAAGAAATATTTGTAATAGATCTAATTAGATGAGAGGGTACAACATAAAAATAAACAAAGTAAAATATATATGTATTTTTTTGCATATAAAACTATAAATTATATTTTTTATTTAAATAAAATTGTTTTATATTGGATATTTTATTGAGTATTTATCTAAAACAACTATTGTAAAATAAAAAAAGGGAATAAAGACAAATTAAATCATAGATAAATAATATTATTAAAAATTTGTATATCTAATAAATTAAAATATAAATAGATTTAGGTATTATACACTTGATTTTGTTAATAGTTTTGTGGTTTTGTAAGACTATTATTTACTACCTACCTTGAATTATGTCTGAAGGTTTTGGTTTTCTAAATACAGTCCAACATAATTCCTTATCCAATTCTGAATATACAATTGATTCTGGCCTTAACCACTGTGTCACTCTACAGTTTTCATGTTTATCAGTATAGTATAACGATTTAGCAGCTGGAGGAAACGAATCATCAATAAATTCTTGACTGTTCTGTAATATAAAATACACTTATTTAATAAATAAAACTATAAATATTATCGTCTTCATGGCAAAACTACGAAAGTGGATTTTTCAAAATTGTTCAGAAGGAAGGAACAATTGTATTCTTTGTAAAATATGCAAAGCATGGAATTATTAAAAAAAAAAAAAAAATCAATATGTTGAGTTACACAGTTTTGCCATAAAATTGATAATATATAGCTTTATATATATATTTATAAAAATAAACTAAGTAATTTCCATTTCAATTGAAACAATTCTTGACTATTGTATTATTACAATTATGTAATGTAATGTAAAAATGTATATAATTTTCAAAATATTAAAATTATTTAACTATATATACAATTTTTTTTCATTTTTAAAATTATCTTAAACATTTTTTTTTGAGCAAAACTTAAGATTATAATAATTTATTTCCATGTTATTGTTTTAAATAGGTAATCCAAATTAGAAAATATAATTTTAATAGATAAAAATTCGAATTTGGTAAATTTCATAAAAAAAAAAAATGCATATTATACAGTAATTTTTTGCAATACCTACTGAATTACTTCAAAGTTCAACATTTTTTTTTTTTTAGTTTACCCATTTAAATATTATTATTAATTCAAAAATAGTAGACTGTAAGAAAATTATAATGATTCCAAATTATTTAAAAAAAATTTATTTATTTACTTGAATACAAAATAAAACTATTTCATTCCATTTTTCTCGTGCTTCTTGTTCTTCAATTCTTCTTAAGTTTTCCATTAGCTCACTTTGTTTCTTTGGATGGTTTGAAATCAATATGGATGAATAATATTCAGGTTCAAGGTGTTTGTGACACATTGCACACTGTTTGGCATTTGGTTCATTTTCAAAAGTACAAATAGTACATTGACTATCAGATCGTCTTTTTTTATTTGCTCGTTTTTCAGTTTTGCAGGCCTTACAGACTAATGCAGATAATCTATTTTTTAAAGTACATTTGTCACAAGTCCAAAACTCACGTAAAGTTCCATCATCAGGGCAAAGACTTTTAGCTTTTGAACCACCGCAAGCATTACAAACAGATGAATTATGGTCATTAAGAAGGGTACAACGTTTACAAGGCCATTTTTTCTTGGGGGGTGTGTAGCGCACACAATCACGCATCATTGTTATAGCATTCCATCCACAAGATTCGCAAGAGTCTGACCAAAACGGATTTAATGTAAATGAGCACTTTTCACAAGTCCAATTACTTTTGGATTTTTTCACAGAATCTAAATAGTATTTTGAAAACAAAAATTATTCGTTGATACAAACTTGTACTGATATTTTGATTAAATACTTACCATAAGGTAAATTAATAGTAATAGGGGTAATTTCATTTTTTTGTTCTATAGTTCCTTTGAACGAATCACAGTTTTGACATTGTTGAGTTGAACGGTTTCTAATTCTACAGATATTACATAACCAAGAATCACTTTTTGTTGTAAGCAATGTTGAACTTTTTGATGGTCTTATAGACGTATGTAAATGTTCTTCAAAGCCATTCCATGATTTACGTCGTTGTAAAATAACTGATTTAAATTGTAGCTTAATTATGCTTGGCTTGTGGTCTATATTGGTAGGATCACTGTAATATTACATAAATATTAAACATATCTATTTTAAATCATAAAATACACAAATATCATTACGCATCATCAAGTCTCAAAGCTCCAGCAGCAATTTCTGCCTCTGCACACAGAATATCAGTGACATAGGGAGTTGGACATCCATGAATTGTCCTCGTTTTGAGTTGGGTTGATTTCTTACATTCATATTTTCTGTGTACATTACAACGAATACAGGTAACTCGATCAGTTGGATTTATGAGTGAACATGAATTGCAGTGCCATTGGAGGACCGAAGCAATCGAGCCCATGTCAGCAACTATAAATTAACAAAAAATTCCATTTGAATATAAATAGTTATAAGAAATTAGTAGGAGATAACTTTCCGACTCACTATAAACATCACACTTAAATGCATTTGTAGAACGATAGCGTTCTATATTTACTAAATTTTAATTAAATTTTTAAGATTCATTTTTAAAATTAGAATAACAGTACAAAATAAATCATTAAATTTTTAAAACTCATAGCCATTATCAAAACAGCTGTTTATTTATTGATATTATCAAATATACGCGCGGTTTCTACAGAATAACCAAATTTAAAATACAAAATGTCGACAAAACAGTGATTTTTAAATGTTGATTAAATACATTTTTATCACAACACAGTAATGGTTTTTGTATTATTCCAGATTCTGGATTAGTTCTTTGGTTAGTTTCTGATTAGAAAAAATATTGATTTAGTAATGTTTTTTTATTTATGAAAACTATGATCTCATTTAGAAATTTACCTTAGTTATTTGCCATAGATAATCTTTAGGTATCTTAATTTATAATTAACATTTAAATTTGTACAAATAAATATGTATAGCTGTATTATGGAAGACATGCATAACATACTTTGCACTATAGATTATAGATTAGCTATTGTCGGAAGATTTGAAAGTATATAGGAAACAAGGTACCTGGTGGTTAATTTAGTGTGAAAGCAACAATTACAATCAAAAAAGTGATTTCAGTGGAAATCATTTTTGATTGAGCTCGATAATCTGGTGAGGTAATGGTTGTGATTTTTTCCGAGTGGTCAAGATAACCCAAACATCAACAAAAAAAAAAACTAATCTATTGTTATTTATTCACAAATGTTCGATTCTGAGCGGATCGAGGAATGTATTCGTTTTACAATGATGTTAATTTTTAAAAATTTTTTTGTGAACAACCATGGTTGAGTAGAGGGTACACGGTGTATATCTTCTGATCATCACGAATAAACACCGTATACATTCTGGTTCTGTATTAAAGGTAACTTTTATACTTAAGGGGATTGGATACCAATATCTTTTTTATTTTTCAGTATTGCATTTTAAACCAATTTTCCTTTAGTAGGTTCAATTGATGTTGTTAAGCAGTAACGAATTTGAATTCAGTGTGAAGTGTAAATGACAACATCGACCAGGCCACTTTTTAGAATTTCAGTTTTTAATTTTCTAAAAAATGTTTTAAAAGTTTGAAAATGTGTAAAAAAAATTACCTCCCTAATATACTAACTAGATAAAATTTAATTTTAGAAATATCGCTCAAGATTTCTAGTAAAAAAGTCTCGCTATGCTCCGAATCTAAAAAGTGGCTTGACAGATCTTATGTTCACTTCATACTAAATTTAAATATTTTTTCCAGAATGTGTATCTTTTCATTATACCTATATTGATCGAACCGTCTGAAGGAAAATTGTATTTGTTTGAATATCTATCCTACTTTCGTAATATTTGACTCAAACATGTTTCAATAAGCCTACGACTAAATAATAATATAAAATCTGCATATACCGATATACCTAATATAAAATAAAATACAAGAATATAGAGCTCGATTAATAAAACATTTTGTTACAAATGTCATTGTCCAACAGATGGAGTTATAACATCAATGTTCTATGTATTAATAGAGCAATGAAGCCATTTAAATTCCTCCGTTCTTTCACCCGCAGCGTAAGTACGCTACCTATGGTTTCAAAAGTATAAGTTTTCAAAATTGTCAGATCAAGTAATACGATAATATTGTATAGACACTCTCTACTATATAATTGTGTTATAATAAAACCCACGAATGAAATTAATTTAAAATAATGGTTATTTTAAACATGTTAAAAGCAACAATTATTGTCGGATGCGTAGTATTAATTGTATTTTCTATTATGTTAATAACACAAACAAATAGGGAACAAAATGAATTTGACAAATTCATAAATACCTACAACAAGAGTTATGTAAACGAAACGGAACGGAGTATTAGATTTCAAAGATTTCAGGTAAGAAATATGCTTGCTTAATATAATTTTTTATAGTATTAATAATATGTAAATAGGTAACCATTATATATTTTCATAATTTATAAGGTTACGAAAAAAAAATCCTATACTTTTTATACCGGTTTTGCATATGTTTTGAATTTATAAATTTATAAAATTATTGCATTTATCATTTTTGTTATAACGTCAAGTTTTAATATTTTTAAGTCTAGAATATAAAATATTTTAGAAAATTAATATATTAACAAATAAGTTTAGGTGTGCCTACCTAGTATTTTCGACCAATATGTTCTTGTTGAACTTATAGAACGTAAACGTGTTTACTTACAAACGTGTACACAATTCTACAAAAATATCAAAAAAATGTTGAACCCTATTTGATCTTCCTAGGACAATTATTATTCTTATGCCCTTTTGTAAAAAGATAAAGTTTCTTATTTAAAATACACTAGTTTTTCCATTTCTTCTTAATTTTGTTTACATTTAAGATACATAGTTAACAAAAGATGTTTACTTGTATAGAAATTATCGAGGTTTAGGGACTTTTAAAGGGGGCGGGGAAGTTTATCGGGCATTTCATTTTACTTTCTTAATGATTGTTATTAATTTTTTCTTAGTTTCCTAAAATGTCTTTAAAAATCCGAAAATCGATGATTTTTTTACTGGTTTTCCAGTAGTAACAGCAAAAGCATCAAATCATGTCCTCTAATTTTTGAAAAAATTTCATTATCAAGCAAATAAATTGAAAATATCAAAAACTGCTACACAAAAGTTTAGATATCATTTATGGTACCTCAGCCCAGTAATTTTTTTTCGATTTATGTTAGAAGGCGTCAAAACAAATTTACGTAGTCATCAACTAAATAAGAACTACTTAAATGTACTCGCATGAACCTATAATTATTTTTCTTTCAGAAATCATTAGAAACCATTAAATTACTAAGACAACGTTGTAATGGATGCACTAATTATGGAATTACACAGTTCTCGGATTTATCTCCTGAAGAATTTGCTAAAACGCATCTCACACCTATCACAATGAGGATATCGAGTACAGAAACGTTTAGAATGTCGAGGTCTAAAAGATCTATCACAACAGTTGCGTTATCTAGCATTGACTGGTATTATAGTATAACATTTATATACTATTTTTAACTGATAATATAGATATACCAAGTAATATTTAAGATTTGAAAATTATTTTTTAATACATTTTATAATTCTTTAAAATTAATTTTTTGCATATTTTATAATTTTATAATTTTTTTTTGGTCAAGGAGGGATAAAGGAGCAATAACTCCTGTTCGTAATCAAAAAAATTGCGGAGCTTGTTGGGCAATAAGTGCGGTGGAAATAATAGAATCAGCTTATGCTATTAAAACAGGGTCGTTGCAAACATTAAGTGTACAAGAAGTAAGTAATTTATATAATTGATTGTGTAATTTAGTTGTTATAAATAATACAGTTTTATCAAGGGCGCACCAATTATTCTTTAAGGGGGGGGAGCAAATGGTGATTCAGTCTTATTTCTTTACCATTTGTCCAAAAATAATCACAGTTGATGATTTTTCGGCAGACCCATGCGTAAGACAGTTTGGGGGGGTCACACCCTAAATTACTTTTTTATTGCATCTTTATAGTTATTAGTTTTATCAAATTAAAAGTAAGTTTAATTCTGAAGTATAAAAGTGATTGAAGAATTTTTGTTCTTCAGTGGTGCCGAAGCAGTAGTAAAATAGTCGGGCAAACTTTCCAAAATAGGTAATACAAACCACCACTTACCTAAAAAAAATTTTCACGAACTCATAGGTGGCTTTGCTCCCCATATCCCTACCACTCCTTGATTTTCTTTTATTTACAACAACATCAAATTTTTATAAATTTTTAGATTCTGAGTGGAGTGAAGAAGCTTATAATTTTACATAGATGTTAATTTATTTTTTTTTTTTCTATGGACAACTTTTCTGAAATGAAATCGGCGTGGGGAGATATCTTAAAGTGGCAATTTTTCGATTTTTCTAAGAGTTTTCTTATCAAATATGAAAAACCGAAAAAAACGGGAAAATATACGAAATATATTTGTTATAATATTACAATTTTTTTTTCTGTAGACATCTTTTCTACTAGCGATTTTGCTCTAACTTTTAATGATAAGAATTTTTCTGAAAGGAAATTTCACTGAAGAGATACTTTAGAGAGGTCGTTTTTGGATTTTCTCCGGCGTATATTCTGTTGACAAATTATCATTATTCAACTGAAGTCCGCTCAGAATCGTTTTTTCGTAAGCAATGGTTTATCATTGTTCAAAGATATACATTAAATTATATATAATAGTAGCTGCACTCGTCCTAGGATGTCGTTTTTTTTTATAATTTATTTAAATATATTATAAAAAATAATAAAATACATTAATCGTACTGTGGTAACGTACGACACGACGTGTGGTAATATATAGCAGTAATAATTAATAACATAATTTCACAAATTAGTATAATTAATAGTACAATAATAAACTATACTTAGTATAGTAAAATATTTGATATAAACAAACCAAAAAAAGACGGACATACTTCGCATGTGGGTGGACCACTGTTGCAGGTGAGAAGTTTAAAAGGTACATTCAATGTATATCTGTATGCAACGATTAATCATTGATAACGAAAAACGATTCTGAGTGGAGTTCAGTTAGTAGTGCTGCTTTGTCAATAATATACATGTCACATTGTGGTAAACTAATAATATATTATGCATTATATATTTTTTTAATAGGTCAAATTTGTTTAATATTATATTAATTTTCCGGTTTTCTCATTTATTTTGAAACCACTCGGGAAAATCTAAAAATTACCTCCTAAAGTAAAAAAAAAGTAATATTTTTTTACTAATATCCACATTTCGTACATTTTCTATTTTTTGTTTTTTTAAATAATTGGGAAAACTCCTAGGAGAATCAATCAATGACCTTCCTAAAGAACTACATAGATACAATTTCCTTTCAGAAGAGATGCAACACTTGATACATCAGAGAAAGATTTCTGATAGAAAAGTTTGCATAATACAAGACGACGGGTATTTTTCAATTAAAATAGTCCGAGCAAGCGATGGCTTGGTCTCTAGGTACATCTAAACACCTAAAATGCCTTTGTATTTTCTCTATTTAGGTAAAAGGAAAAAACAAATACATTTGTCATAACACGAGTTTGAACTCGCGATCTTTAGAATGACAATAGATAGGTAGTACCACTAGACTACAACAAACATAATTTAAAATTGATAATAAAGAGTTATTTAACATAGCATATAATATTCGCATAATATCAGAACTTTAAAAAGCTATAATTTTGAAACTAAGATCGCTTAATTCGATCTTCACCATCATTGTTAAATCAGCATTATACATATGTTTAAAATAAAGGATTGAAAAATTAGATTTGTTCCACATAATTTTTTTTTTTCAAATGATTTTTCTCAATTGATATTAAAATTTCTTTATAAAAAAAAACACTAAAATAAGCTTAATTTTTTTTTTTTACCATAAAGTAAGACTTAAGAACCTACTGTTAAATGTTCTAGAATTTTTGTTGAGTCTTAATAGTTTTACCACAGAGTGCCTACTGAATAAAAATTAAGTACAAAACTAGTAAAATTTGAATGTCCATAAATAGCTCAAAAATAGCTTAAATTTTTTGAAAATTGTATCACGTCTAGAAAACCTAAATATAAGTTTTTTGTCCAAATTTCAAGTCTCTATGAATATTTTAAACTGAATTACAACAAATTATAAAATTGAACAAATAATACAAGCATTATTTTTGTAAATTTCCGGTTTTTATTACATTTTATCCTGGTTTTTCTCAGATATTATAAAAACCGATAGAAAAATTAAAAAATTACCTCCTAAATGTACCATCTGGACAATGTTTCCTTTCAGAATGGTACCGCACGTATATATCGGAGCAACATTTCTGGTAGAATTTTTGTCTACAGTATAAAAAAAGAAAAAAAACAACTTCATTACATTCAGAATCTAATAATATTAGAAATTTAATATATTAATTTTAGATACAGAGCGAAGTAAGAGATTTATTAGTTTAAGTATGATGTGTGTGTGTTTTTATTTTTTGTCTGTAAACCACTTGTCGAAAATAAATCTTGTTTCGCGATGTATAGAATGTATCACCTTTTCTAAAAGTAAATTCTATCAGGATGGTGAATTAAAGAGGTTCCTTCTAACTGTTCCTTATATTCTAAAAAAGCTAATTGAATTACTTGATTATTACGTTATGAAACAATAATATGTTCATAAAAAGTATTGTATAATATTATCTGAAACCACTTAAGTGGCTACTACCACTACCATCACCACCCCAAAAATTTGGTGAATAGGTCTCCTCTATATCCTACCTTTCCAACTTCACATGAACACCAATGACTCACCCATCGTGCGAAGTATGTATGTCTTTTTTAAATATATTTTTTGATCGTACCTGTATATTTTATATAATAGATGTTAGATTGTTCGGGAGGAATAAACCAGGGATGTATCGGCGGCAGTACAGTATCTTTACTTTTGTGGTTGGTGGAAAATAACATTACTGTGTTGAACGAAGAAAATTATCCAACCGTTTATGAAGATCAATTATGTACCCTTCATCAGTACGATGCGTTACACTATACATTTTATTATTTAAAAGGACCCATCCAAATTAATAATTGGCTCATGTGTTTGTTTACAGGACTCCCAATGAAGCAGGAGTGAAAGTAAAATCATTTTTAACTCTTAAGTAAGTTAAATAAATAAGCAAAATAAATCACGATTAAATTGATAACTTCGGTATGTATAATATGTTTCTGTGGGAGGAGATCAGAATAATCTCATGGTAACTCTACTTGTAGAATGAGACGACAAATGAGGTAAACTCAGGTCAACAGCCAGTGTATAATTCTGTCAAATTGTATGAGAAATATATATTTTTTAATATTAAATATTGTATGTAAAATAGACTTTAGCGGAAGGTTTTATCTTGGATGTGTGTGTGTGGACAAATCAGATGAAAAAAAGTTAGTAGTGTTTGAGAGAAATATATTGAGCAAGATATTTGGCCAAAAAAGAGAAACAATAAAGGATATTATGAAATACGAAGCAATAAAGACTTAAAAGAACTATATAACAAACCCAAAATTGTTGGAACCTTGAAAAGCGTGTGAATAGGTTGGGCCGGATATATATGGAGATAAAAAGGACTAATTGGACAAATAACTGCATGGAAACAAACGCAAAGAGACCTAGAAGACGACCCAGACAAATATGGGCAGACAAAATAAAAGAAGACCTAAGACATGAAGATATTAGGAGTAAGGAAAGTAGAAGCAAAAGACAGAGACAATGGGCCTGAAAGGCCTGTAAAAAGCCAAAGAAGAAGAAAAAGGGCGTGTAGACAGGAGGTACCGTTATGATGCATGATGTTTACAGATGATTGCTTGATAGGAGTAAATTTGGAATTAGTTAATAATATACTTGAGGAATGGAGAGTATCACTCTCCATGGAAAGGGATTAAGGATACGCATTAAAAATATAGAGTATGAGTTTGGAGGAACAGGACAAGTCAGCTAACGAAAATAAGCTGCGATAGGTGAGGTTGAGAGTTTTAAGTACCTAGAATCTATTGTACAAAAAAGCGGTAGTTCTTATGAGAATGTGAAACATAAGATTAAGTGCAGATAGATAAAGTGGAGAGAAGATTCAAGTGTTTTACGTGATAAGAGAATTCTAATGAGGCTTAAAGTTATGTTTTACAAAAGTGCGGCGTGTCTGACTATGTTGTATGGGTGGGTGGTATACAGTAAAATAGAATAAAAAATATGAGTGTATTAGAGGTATTAATGCTTAGGTGGATAAGTCACAAGTTCGATGTAGACAAATTATAGAAATGAGACTAAGATGGTTTGGGCATGCCGTGAGGTAAGAGGAATCAAAAGTATTAAGAATGATAATGAAAATAAATATAGGAGGAAAAAGAGGATAATGAAAGCCGAAAATGAGATCGATGGTGGATGCGATTGAAAATAAATGAAGACAATGTATGTGAGGTGGGAGATCGGGTCAAGTGGAAGTTTATGCATGTGTGGCCGACCCAAAATAGTCGTGATGAAGGTGAAGAAGAAGAAGAAGATATATAAATATGTAATATAATGGTATATTGATGGTATGTGACATATTACAAGTAAATTTTATATTATTTTAGTTTCATGAGCCGTGAACAAATGTTGCTATCGTATTTATCGAAGAGTCCAGTTTCCGCAGTTGTTAACGCGTTGCCTTGGCAATTTTATGTCGGTGGTATACTTAGTCAGTGCGATAATAGCATGAAATCGTTAAATCACGCTGCTGAAATAGTCGGATATAAACTCGGAGAAAATCCATATTATATCTTGAAAAATTCTTGGGGGACAAACTTCGGAAATGACGGATATGTATACGTAGCTATAGGGAACAACGAATGCGGTAAATAAAATAAATAAATAAAATAATTTGTTACCTCGTTAATTAATTTTGTTATCTATCTGAACCTATCTGATTTACAATGATAGCACTTTTTCTGAAAGGAAATCTGATTGGGAAAGTACTGTAGGGAGGTTATTTTTCTATTTTCCTAAGAGTTTTCTCAGCAAATTTGAAAAATTAGGAATAACCATGAGAAAATCGTAAGAAAAACGGGAAAATCAGATTAATATTAAACAAATATTATTAAAAAAAATATATAATGCCTATTTAATTATTTAATATTTTACCATAATATAACATATTGTTGACAAAGCATCACTATTAACTGAACTCTGCTCAGAATCATTTTTCGTAAACTTTAGTTTATTGTTCATTACAGATATACGTTTAATTCCTTTCTATATCCTAACTTCTCAACTTTCCACCTACAACAGTGGCTGCACCCACGTGCAAAGTGTGTCCGTCTCTTTTTATTACACATTACGTATTTATCTATACAGATAATACTTATTGATTGATTTATTGTTTTATCATTTATTAGTTATTACATTCTAATTTTTGTTTTATTTATATAATTTTGATAGTTGATAAAGTCCCGTATTGTCAATAGCACATTTATTCGCCAGCTATTCGTTGAATAAACTTATTCAGCGAATTAAAGTCCGTCGCCCATTAATGCAGTACAGCGTAATTATTATAAATAATAATAACAAATAATACCGTCTATTATATTAATATTATCATTAGTGATGAGGACTATCAAATAGTTTACACAATTGAATAGTATTCGATAGTGATTATAGTAATTATAAGTTGGAGCGAGCAAAATTTCTGGTAGATAAGTTGTCCACAAAAAAAAATCCTAATATTTTACTAATATGTTTCGTATATTTTATATACACATTTCCGTATTTTTGGTTTTTCACATTTGATGAGAAAACTCTTGAGAAAATTGAAAAAAAAAAATCTCCTTAAAGTACCTCCCCACACAGATTTTCTTTCAGAAAAAGTGCTACACATAAAAATTGGAGCAAGATCTATGGTAGAAAAATTGTCTACAGAAAAAAAAAACACATCTTTGTAAACCTATAAGCTTCTTTGCTCCACTCAGAATATAAAAGTTTTAAATTTTTTTAGACTAATAAGTAAAGTTATATTATTGTTGTTAACATTTTCGTTTTATAAAAAAGTTTAAACAAATATACTGATTACGGTAGTCTGTAATAGTGGTGATATCAAAAATAGCGATGGAAAAAATGAACACAGATTCATTTTGGGCTGAGTTCCAGGAGCAAAATATGGCCAAATATAAAATTAATCAGAGAAAAAACGACTAAAATAAAAATCAACAGATGAAAAACGGAAAAATATTTTCCATTCGATTTGGCCATTTATTGCCTACCATCAGTGGTGTATTTTCAATTTTTTTTTTTTGGGGCGGGGTCCATAGCTTAAATAAGTTACGTTTAAACTATGGTAGCTTATTACAGTTACGTCCCTAAATAATTTTTGGTGGGAGTTTAATTAAATTTATACTCATTATACTCGTATGTAATAGTTTATATTATATTATCGCTTTATAATAAAATATAATTGTATAAAATAAATTCCAGTAGTTTCGAGTTTTTTGCTAATTCATCTATCACTTCATCAACAGTTATTTTAACTTCTCTATGAATGTTTAACATTTTAATATATTTGCATTTTCTTCAACAAAAACTGTAAAACATTTTGCTTTATTTACTCTGCCTACTATTTTATAAGTAAAATTAAATTGCACTATATCTATGAAATGATCCGCATTAAAGACGTATTGTTTATGATAATTAAGTTTCACGTGATTTTTAAACGTTTCCATTGCATGTTTCCATGTATGAAAAGGTTTTCTAACCAAACCGTCTAGTGTTTCAGAATTTATGCAAGCCCCTGATTTAGCAAATGCTACACAAAATGTACAAAATACACCATTTAGTTTTGAAGAATCCGCTAACCACGGAAAAGTATGCAACCATCTGTATTGAAATTTTAACCATTTGAATCGTTTATTGGTATTTATTATTACTACCATAATAATATGTTTAAAGTACTGTAGGCAATTAAAAATATAATTTCTCGTAGTTATATACTCAGAGTACTCCTCTAATAGGAGAACATATTTCTACGGACAAATTTACCAATTTTTTCATTGTCATTTTTATTTCTGGCCAGTTTATTATATGGCCATTTTAACCTGGTTATTTACTCACTTGTTATAAATTGTATCGCATGTTTGAAGGATGATGAATTTTTTCGTTGTGGTATAAAAGTATTATGTGTTATTTCATCGAATTATAGTCATTATCAAAACTCGGAAGTATATGTAGGCAATTCTCCCGTATAAATATAACCGAAATTAGACGAAGCAATTTTTGATTCAATCGGACAACTATTTTTTACTAGTATTTTTCTATTCAAAATACTATTTAAGAGTAAAATTATACCATTATTATTTTCAGGGATTGGATGGGAAGTTGATGTGGTCACTGATGTCGTGTAGAGCTTTTTATCAGTCGTGGTTGCACGGATATTATGTTACTCTTGCGTGACACTATAATATAGTTAGATAATATTATTAGATCATTGTTCGTTTTGTTATTTTTAAATTGGAATAATTTTATTAAATTAAAATAAATACGTGTTTATGTACGTAATTATTAATAAAGTCATACCAAAAAAAAAAAAAATAAAATAAAAAAAATGTCGTTATTACATGGTAATCATTGGCAGCACAATAAATCTATTGTAATAAAATTACGTCGTCATTCTATTGTATGTGTAATAAAATACTATATTGCCATTTATAACATAAACGTATAATACTACAATTATTAATTCAGTGGAATCTACTATATTTTAGTATGGAAAGTTTGATGTATTATCTATAAAGTGTACGGAATTTAATTTCGTTCATTATTCGGCACGCTGCGGTCTTGCTTTCCGAAGTCACCAAAAAAATATGTATTTGAAAACGGTCGTTTTTATTGCTTTTTACGCCGTAGTTAATAAAATGCATTATTGTACGTCGAATGACGCTGGTTCGGTATCATTTGACAGATTGGAGTTACAAATTGAAAAAATTAGTAAGTATACCTATTATACCTAGGAAGATTTTTTTATTATCACGATCCAGCGATTTTCTAGGAGGACTTCAAGTAAATTGATTTATTCTTATAAGTACACTAGCTGTCCCGCACTCGGCGTTGCCCGCGCTAATTTTTTATTCTTTTTACCTATATTTCCGTTTTGCTTTGTCCGTATTGAAATAAAAAAAAATAAGTGGGAAGTGGATAGAAGTGTTCTGTGTATCTATAGACATATTTTATCTTTTATAATTTGTTTATGAGAGTATCATACATTTTTTGCATTCGTGTTACTATAGATATTCGCACAACATAGGGGTTAAAATATTTATCCACTATATTAACCTTAAAATTATTTGGACATAATAGTACTATACTGTTGTTAATGTACCGAAAAATACAAAACTTCAAAAATGACGCTTTACGTGTTTTCAGTTTTTACTTAGCTATCCAGTATAACGCATAGTTTTTCGTTTTTTTTTTCATTCATGTTAGCAAAGTAGCCCATCCTATTTCAAGCCAATAATAGACCGACAGACAGACAGATAGACTCTTTATTTTAAATTGTTATAGTTGTTAGGGTCTTTTTTTGTTTTAATTTGTTTTCATTTCATCCGTGTTACTATGGGAATCCATATTTCAACAAAAATACCTAAAAACCTTTCATCTTCTATTTCATTTCCTTCAAGTTTTATTTTCGTGATAAAAATTAGCCTGTGTTTTTTTCCAAGGTCACATATATCTCTATATCAAAATTAATCTAAATCCGTTCAGTAGTTTTTGCGTGAAAGAGCAACAAACATCCATTTATACATCTTCACAAACTTCTACATTTATAACATTATTAGTAGGACATTAGTAGGATTCATAACTATGCACGTATAATTTATATTAGTATATTATTATATAATAGAAGTACCTAGTGATAATATTTGACAAACGGATCGATATTTCAGAACCAGCACACGAAACAGAATGGATAGAAGAATGTAAATGCGTTTTACTTGCTGATTGTATACACGACGAGAACGACGCGTCAATAGACATTAGAATAATCACAGTATACACTGCAATTAATAAAATATTCTAAAATAGTATATTGTATACCTAAATTAAATTATATATTGTTTTCTAGAAGCCTGATAAATGTCCATCAGGAAAAGTGTACTGTTGTTCGGACCCATGGTTAGGTAATCCGTTATCGATGTGCGGTAAGACAACAGCACAGGATATCGAAGGGGTCGACGTTCAACCAGATCAGGTAAAATAGAATACAGGTTATTATTATATTTTAAAAAACGATAATTTTGCAAAACGATCTTGAATAATTTAAAAATAATTAAGGCAACTCTTAGTAACTGTTGTTTAAGGGGTAACATATAGGCAATTTCTTATCTTCTCGTCAGCTTGTGATCTTTGTATTAGTTGTAAGTAGTGATAGTTGAGTTGCTCAGAATCGTTCTTTCCGCGATGTTTTATCGCTATATATAATGTAAATTTAATTACTCTATATTCCTATATTTTGGATAGTACCTACTTGCACACAAATATTATGAAAATAAAATTAGATATTCCGATATTTGATAATATTATAATATTCATTGTTTGCGTATTTTTAAACGCCCGACTGTGGGCAGACATAGTATACGTACGCGAATGCACAAGTCACCAAATACACGCTCAAAAATATTTGTCTACTTAAAAGTGAAAGAAAAATAAACCTATTCCTTGAAGCCTAATTTTAATTTTGTAAAATAATTTGATTCGTTAGCCTGTTTTCTATGTTTTGTAGGAAATATAGATTATTAATATAGTTTTTATAATACGGTAACAAGTGAATTTACCTTATTTCTCAAAACGAATTTGTAATTCAAACGCTCAATGAGACAAAAAAATTAAAAAAGTGTCTCCTACTAATTATGGAAGAGTGCCTAAAAAATTCAAATTATTTTACAAAATTAAAATTGTACTACTAGAATTATGTTTATTTTTCTCTCGCTTATAGGTCTAAATGCATACAAAATTCAATCGTTAAGGGTTCTAAATGAAAGGATTTTTAATCCCCTTAACTGTTTTTTACAGGTGCATATTATTAAAAATATTAGTTTAGTAAGGTATCTCTATTACATTATTAAATTGAGTTCTACATTAAATGTCTACCAGTTTGAAATTAATAAATTCAAACTAATTTCACATTATAATTTTTAATTGCAGGCTAAGTTTGGAGAATTTCCCTGGCAAGCTTTAATTTTGACCAATGGCAATTCATTCGTGTCAAATGGAGCTTTAATAGACAATAAACATATAATATCAACTGCGCATTTTTTAAATAGTTTCACCAAGTAATTATACTCGTATGGTACAAAAAAATCTTTTAATAAATTGTGAACAAGTAAAATTTAATTTTAATGCGTTTCTGAAATTTGATTACTTTTGGTAACGGTTATAAATGTTTGTATTTTTAATTTTAGAATTAAGATGTAATATACAGTGAAAAGTGTAATTCGTCGACTTTGGAAGTAAATAATATAATTTTGAGATTTTCTCGTATAAGTCGTTACCGTATTACTTGATCATTTACATACTAGGCTATTTCAGACCGGTGAATTTTATTGCCCAAGCTACATTATGCGATTACTTATAATGCTGTAACTAATTAAAAATATGTTGAGGGTCCAACACTCAATGCTCATTTTTTTAGCATTTCAATAAACATTTTTTTTTTTTAAAACCACCTTCGGCTTTAGACTCTTGGATTTGTGATAGAAAATGCAGTTGTGAACTGATATTTGATTCTTAAGAAGCATAAATTGGGGCTAAAGCTAAGGTTAAGGCCAAAGCTAAAACTGTACTTTATTATTCAGGATCAGATATAAATCAATGGCTTAATTTTTTATGATAATTCAATGCAGAGAATCGTGACTATTTTTTAACCGAGACAGAAGAATAATATTCATTTTTCTATTTACCTTATTATTATCTTTTCTCGACCTCATAAAAATGCAGTCGAGTTTTCTTTTTTTTTAATTCAATGAAATCGTATCTACTATAATCGACATTTGGTAATATTGTACCTAAATTTGTATGAATTCGATAACAGAAATTAATGGACATTTTAAAATGAAGTATAAATAGGAATTAAAACGTTTTAAAACAAGTGTAAGCCATTCAGTTCATCCCAAATCATTTAAAATTAGATAATGATCAATATAGAATATTATTATAGTTGGTACAGGGTGATTCTCTTATCGTGATTGTTGATCCAGCGATTATTTCAGAGGATTTGATGTAAATTTGATTTCTGTTTTTCTCAATTATTAAGGAATTGTATCAGTTCTATATAATACATTACAGGTACTTAATGAATGTTGGGCAATTTTACGTTATGGTTTCGTATTTTTTCGATTAACAAAATTTTTTATTAACGATTTACTACAGTTGCCAATAACTACGGTATTTATATTTATGAAATCTTGATAGAACGATAATTTTGTTTCGTATTATAGGAATGTCAGCTCATTGAAAGTACGATTGGGCGAATGGGACATATACAAGAATGTGGAACCACAGCCTCACGTTGAAAGATCTATAGTCAGTATCACCGTCCATCCCGAGTACTCTTCGTGGAATATGCACAACGACATCGCAGTAATTACCATGTCCGAGACGGTGATGGTCACTGGCCACGTAAGCCCGGTGTGCTTGCCTCCTCGGCCACCCAATGCAGTGTCGCCACGTCAATGGACGGGATGCCGCGTGTCCGGGTGGGGCACGGAGAGTTTCGAGCGGCCACGTTACCCGGGAGTATTAAAGAAGGTAAACGTCCCGCTGTGGGACCGTAGCCGGTGCGTCAAGAGTCTGAGGGCTACGAGACTCGGCGGTCGGTTCGAATTACACGAGGGATTCTTGTGCGCTGGTGGCGAAGAGAATGAGGATGCGTGCAAGGTAAGTGGATTCGTTTCTGGGTTGTGACAATACTTGACTAAAGACAAACTATTGTTTTTCGCATTTGACGCTAACAACTTTTTGACCAGAAACTTTGCTCCAATCGAAAACTTTATTGGAACTACTTTCTCGTTGATTATGTTGTCTAACTAATAAATTTATAAGGGTTTTTTGATGTCTATGTACTTTTGTTATTAATAACAGAAAAACGACGAAAAAACGTCGGAAATATTTACGTAACAGCGGTGGTTTCTGTTAATTTTAATTTTGAGTTTTTGATTTTTAATACAGTGATAAATAACTATAAAGATTTAAAATTTACACCAAATATTTATATTAGGACTATGCATACGTGGTACCTACAGCTTTTAAAGTATTCTGAAGTTTTTAAAATTATTTGTAGCTAATTGAAATTTTTGAGTTTTCTTTATTGGTTTCACATGGATAAAAATGTTAAAATAATTTTTTTATTGGCTCTTCAAGTTAAAATCCGTTAAAAATACGAACAATTATAATTTATTTTGAAATTACAAAGCAATGAAATGTTCATATTAAATTTTTCAAAATATGTGAATTGTTTTTACTTAAGTACGGATATAAATTAAATTATCCTAAATGCTTTATACATATCCAACTTTCCTAATTGTCCACCTACTACATGAACCGAAGTATGTCCGGCATTTTAATTATTCATTGATAAATACTATATAAACAGGCTATTTTGCTATTTTTTACGTAGGGTGATGGTGGTTCACCGTTGGTATGCGAACACGATTCCGTCTCACATTTGATTGGATTAGTGTCTTGGGGTATCGGGTGTGGAACCGCATCCGTACCGGGTGTCTATATCGACGTGAATGTTTACGTTACTTGGATTGAAAAGCAAATACGTTCCGAAGAAGTTTTACATTGATGGTAAACAACTATTCAATTTTTATCATTCAATACGTTTTGTAATATGTTTGACATTTTAATCATATTATGCAAATGATTCAAATCATTAAATGTTAGAGTTATATATTTCTGTTTTCGGTATTGACAGTGCAAGTGGTGTGTCTAGACATTTTCAGAATGGGAGAGGATACATACATAGACGCAAACAGAAAATACATAGGGCTTGAGCCCAATAGGTTTTCGACCTAATATTAAAAATACTGTAAGTAGGCTTAAGATTGCTCAGGGAGGTCTAAGTCTTCCTAAGTCTCCTTCTCATATTTACGTCTATGGATGTACATTGTATATAATAATTAAAATTATTTTATGAGTCATGGTCAGATTCCTGTTCATTCCTGTTCAAAGACATTTCCCCATCTAAAAAATAATATTCTATCTATATTGCTCCACAGTAAATCTTAAAATACGGTTGTTATTGTGATAGATAAAAGCTAATCATGTATAAAAACCTATAAAAACATATTATTACACAGATCTCACAACGAAGTGCAATAGTTTGTACAAATACAGGGTGAAGTTATAAACTGTACATAATTATATACTATACAGGAGGTATTATAAAACAAATTGTTGAATATTATATTTTAGATAGAGGGAGAGTAGTGGAATACTATGCGTTTGTATAGTAGCATAGCACGGCGTGTGGCGTTTGAATAATGTCCCGCTATTATTCTCCCCTTACCTAAACTAAAAAATGAAATATCTTGTTAACGGGTTAATGGAAATCAAAAATATTACCACTGAATTTTATTTAAATTAACATTTCATTTATACATGTAATTTTGAATAAAATTTTTTATTTTAATTTCAAACTTGAATGCCAAAAAATGAAAATGTATAAATTATTTATGGAAAAAAAATTGTATTAAACATTTTTCTCTATTTTTAATATCTACATGATAAAAACCCTGTAATATACATTTTGAATCGCCCAGTATATAATATAATAGAGATGGTCAAATATTTGATTTTGTTTAGTTTTCTTGAGTAGGTAATCTTGTTTTTGGTACATGTAAACTCGAATAATCTACTTTATTTCAAAAAACCCAAAATCGTCAAACTCTAAAATTATATAACTGAACGATAAATTAATGTGATACCCATGAAATTTAACGTGGCATAACAATCGATATGATATGAACAAAATTGGTACCTACTTTACATATTATAACTATATTTGAGTAGGTCAAAAAACATTTTGTTTTTCACATGAGTTTCTTTGTATTTTATTTGTACTACAAGTTTAACAATACTTTTCAATTTATTTTACAGAGGTAAATAACGCAATTTATCTTCTATACGTTTAGGTACATAAAAGAGTAATACCACTGAATAATTCATCGTTATTTTTCAAAAACGATAAAAAGCACAAAAAGTCAATATGTATTTATGAACTTAAAATTTGGAAAAGTGGCACCTCTTATGCTTTATATGTGCAATAAGAAGGGAATTTTAAATTTTCAAATCTAAAAAGTTTTATACGAAATTTTTGGTATTTTCGAAACGAAAAATTGGTTTTTTTTTGTTAGTTTAATGGTTACTTTGACGACACGGATAAAAATTATAGATTTAGCTGGTAAAATAATAATAACTTATTTGAATATTCGGTATCATTTAACGTGTTTCACCATGGCTCCTTGTTTTCTTAGTTTCCTATAATTCATGGGAAAATAATAATAACTATTTTTTCTTTCGATTGAAATTATGTTTGATCACAATTAATTATTAAATATTAGTGTAATTATAGAACTTATTGGCATTCACTTTGTTATGGTACTTTATCGTGTTGTGCATATAAAGGGATATGGTTCGTGCTGGTCCGTCCATTGTATCCACTCCCACAGGAGTCCCCAGGGTTCTGGGGGTGGAGCCTTGTAAAAAACTGATATCTAGACGTTTCCTAAATTTCTGTATCTTACCCACCCTTTTATCTCAATTAACTGCGTCTTCATCCTTATTTTCCCAGTATCCTACCGATTCTATATCACCCACCCACCGGTTGTGTCCCACTGGCTCCTGAAACACCCCGAGCTTAACAAACTGATACTCCGACGTTCCATATATCTGCCCTTCTCTTGTATCTTTCTATCTGTTTTTTCCTTCTTCTTTTTTAAAGGGTTTATCAATAAGAGCGGGTCGATGTTGAAATGAAATAAAACAAGCTGTGAGTGAGATATTAACGAAATTATTTTTTTATTTGAATGTTCTACGTATGCCAATTATGTTTGGAATATAATATCATTTAAATGTCCGCCACGGCTTTTCACAGTGACACGAATCCGAGTGGTCCAATTTTCAATGACTCCCATATACGGCAATTTTGTTTGTTTACATAACGACGTCACTAAAACGATAAGGCCATACAGCGCAGATAACATCGGCCCGCTCCAATTGGAAAACCCGTTGTATTACCCGTATCCGCTAAAAAAAAAAACTGACGTTTAAATATTCTTTCAATCCTTGTATCTTTTCTACTTTTGTTTTTTATCGAACGTTGTATTATATAATAAAGCTGTCCAGCCCGGCATTGTATATAATAATACATTATTGCCTATAAATTACGCCGAACGACGACGGTTAATGTTAAAAAATAATATGTAAAGTACGTTTTAAACTTTATATGTGATGCGTGATGCACAGGTAGTATAGGTAAATTACGGTGTATGTAATCATTATTTTACATTATTTTTTTTTGTATCAGTGACGCGTAATATGTGTTAAATAAACGGTAGTTACGTGTCCGTCATGAACGCCCGTAGGGAATGCTGGGTGAGGGAGGAACTCTCCCTCTAGGCTTGGAATTTGTATTCTAGAAATAGGAAAAGATCATAGGGCATTAAATTTGTTCTTATAAATTCTTGTAAAATAATAATGAGTTATATTTTGTAATGCATACAGTGTATAATAGATGATAATGATAAAAATTTAAAATTTAAAAAAAGATGTATGGAAATGTTCTTGACCTCTACTTGAAAATGGGGTTCTCCCTCTGTGATTTTTTTTTCTGTGAGGGCATTTGATGACAGCTGAAAATCAAAAAAACACAAAATCAGTACTGCTATGATAACGGATAGCTCTTGAACATATACTCTTTGAATATATACTACAATAATTATACATTTTGCACGATAGGCAAATATCGTTCAATATTGTACGCTCAAACGTGTGTATCTATTGCATTACGTTACATTTGTCGCAGGGAGTATGCTTTTTCCGTCGTAGGATTTCTATTCACTTTCACCATCCAGTGGGAAATGCCCCGGAGTTGAAGTTCTTTTAGGTTATTTTTAAAAATAATATACCAAACAATCCCTATGATAGAGCAGAAAACTGCTACTACGTAATATCCATCTACTATGCAGTCACCTTTATTTTCCTAAAGAAAAACAAGTAATATCAATAGTTGATTAATAATATCATGGAATATTTCCTAGATATTGAAATTTTTTTTTCACAGTAAAAATAACTACAGCAAGTTATGTTACGCACATTAATTCACCACAGCTTTATATAAACAAGATACAATCTGTATATATATATATATAGGTACTTGTATATGGCCCGGAATTATGAAGTATAGATTTTCAATCCAAAACGAACTAGATACACTACAATAACATCATTAATAACGATCTCATATATCAAAAGGAAGTATAAGATTATCTACTGCGATTTCATATACCTTATACATACAGATAGAAGATTATCTAATGAATTTGATTTGTTATGTGTACTTAGAAAATTAAAATATAGTTGTATATATATATATATATATATACAACAGACGAATATATATATTTGCAGTATACAATATTCTTATTCGACTGTAATTCAAAGTGTAATGAAAATTTGAATTTTAATCTATATATATATTGTTTTTAATTTATTACTTTTTCACAATTTAATGTTGGCAATTTATTCTCGGGATCAAATGAACTTCTCTTAAACGTCAAAAAATCAATCATACTCAATGCAAAGGTCTCCGCCAGTGTCCTTCCTAAATTAAAAAAAGTTTTCAATAACGTCATGTAAGTACTGCCGAAACGAGGATCACTTTTCTGAGTGAAAAACGCCATTACAGATACATATATGGTATATGACAAGACCTGTAAAACAAATTGATATTACATTTAATAACTTAATAGTAAACATACCTAATGAAAACAAAAAAATGTATTAGAATTCTATGAGCATATTTTAATCTATATGATTATTTTGATATTATATAGCGATTAAGTTTTTAGTAATAGTAACTATAAAGATACAAGGAGGTCTTACGAAGATATTTTTATTACGATATCTTGAAAAATAAAACTTTTTTCAGAAATTTTTCGTGACAATTTAAGAAACAAGTAGCTTTAAAATGTTACAATGGGGTAAACCGACAATCTACTTTTGATTTTCAAATTGAAAATAATATTAAAAATTCTATAAATATACGAGATAATAGTTTAAATACATTTTGGTGTTGATATTTTTGATTTCCGTCAACTTGTTGACAGGACTTTCATTTTTAAGTATGCGTAAGGGGAGAGTAGTGTATTACTATTCAAACGCTTCTGTACCACCACATAAATGATGCTCTACTACACTCCCCTTATCCAAACCCTACTCCGTCTACTTATGGAATTTTATTTTAGGTTACCATAAGAAAATCAAAAATAGGAAGTTGGTTCACCCCCAAAAAAACAGCAATAAAAAATAATAGTTATGTGATATTTTTAGAGCTAAGTAAAATAAAAAAATTCCGGAAAAAGTTATTTTCCCAGGTATTGTAATAATCACATCTTTGTGAGATACCCTGCATAGTATCGTAAATAACATAAACATATAGTTATTACAGTACAGTATAGTTATTGTTACATTCGTTTCGCTATTATTTTATTTTTGAAAAAAATAAATAAATAAAAACAATAAAACGGTAGACGGAAAAAATATATATTTAAAATAGGTAACAATTATTATAAAAGTAATAAACTCACATTTTGCATTAATGATAGAAGTATAAAGGTAGCATAGTAGTATATCGAATTATTTTCAGTCCCATTAGATTCTATCCATTGAGGCGTATAAAAAACAAGTAAACCAAACGAAATGTTAAAAATTAATCTGAAATATACAATGGTTTAGATTTTGAGGAGAATAAAGAATGTATTGATTTTACTGTTGTGTTTTTTTTCAGCCTATAAACAACTTTTCTATCCTTTTCTAAATCTTGCTTTAATTTTGATTATTAAATTATGATAAGCACATTTTTTTTTCTAGTAGTAATTTTCTTGATAAAAGAAAAGATCAAAATAGTAAATATTACGACTTTTCAAATCATGTATAAACAAACTTCGTTCAAAATCGTTTTTCGTTAGCCATCGTTTATCATTGTTAATAGATATAAATTAAATAAATGTATGTATTCTACCTCCCAATTTCCCATCTATAACAATGGTGCACCCATCAGTTCTCTTTTTTTTTTCAGATAATATTGTTCTGTGTGAATTAATTAATATATTTACCTTAAAGGATAACACTTCAACATTATAAAAATTGATTTTTGACCTGTTGTATATTTCGCCGTTATTAGTGTTATTATTATATTTCCAACCGTAATTACTATTTTTAAAACCGTAATCGTATCTTTTGATACGCCCGCATCAATCAACTTCAAAATAGACACGTCTGTTGTTGCAAATCCAATCTTAAAATCAAAACAAATGTTGATTAATAATAAAAAATTAATCTAATTTTTAAAATTCATAATTTACCATTAAAAAATCAATATTTATAAGTTTATATTACAAATAAAAATACTAGTAAGTCAAAGAAAATTTTAGAAACTTACATGAATTTCAATTTGAATTTTGAAAACAATTATCATTTTTACTTTTTGAATATTTGTAAAGTTCAATACAAAACACCATGAAATAAACAATAAATAAATTTAAAATAAAACCTGATTATAAAATTACTTTAAATGTTAGTAATGCCGGCGCTAGTAATTGAACACTAGGTAACTTTAATATGTTCCATATTAACATGTAATTTTGAACAATATTGAGTTTTACATGATTGTCTTCTAATCTAAAATCTTTTTCTTTTTTTAGTATAGTGATTAATGTTGAGACTAATATGAATAATATGCCCATACTGTATAATATCCCTGTAGAAATGTAATACAATTATATTAGGCAAGTTAGCTGGTAAATTAAATAAATAAATAAATTAAGAGGTTTAGTTAAATCGAATTAGATGAATAAGACACGTTAATTTCCTATTAGTAACTAATAATATAGTGTTAGATATCATCTATATCTATGTTTCTACAAGCGTGTTATGAAATAGACTCTGGGTGCAGGAAAAAAACTGCACTTAAGTGATTTATGTGGCATAATAATAATTAATAATATATACATAAATTATTTTTTTGGTTTTTAGTACGAAAAAAAACGATGGAACTATGAATTTAAAAATTAAATTGTACTATTTGTTTTAATAATTAGGTTACCTATATTAAACTATAAACAAATAAATATAAAAATACCAATTTTCGAAATGTAAGCAGCCGTTGCGCGCCGGATCCGGGATGAATCATACTCAGAGCTTTAACGAAGACGCATTCGCACTTTGTCTAAGTACTTAATCTATAAAATCATTTTCTATACATCTATATATTTATATCTATAAATCTATACAATCGCTTTTTTTGCGTTATTAATTGATTTCAAATGAATAGTTGATCTGGGTCAGTTTATACATGTGCCCCCTCCCATCAACCATTAGGTGCCACTTACTTCTCACTGCAGGTGTATACAGAGTGTCCCACTAAGATATACCCATTGCAATATCTTCTGAGAAAATAAAGATAATCAAATTCTGTTTTTCTTTTATATTACTCACAGGAATAAGGGCCACAAATATTTATATTTGAATTAAATTTTTGTTTTAATAAAAAAAAAAACTTTTTATTTTATTATTATCGAAAAATTTAAAGTTATTTTATAGGGTTTATTCTTCTGAAAATTTGGAAGTTTCAATTTTTATTTTCATTAGATTCGTGATTTTTATATTTTTTGAAAGTACCTATAATTATGTAGCTGGCTGTAATCGCATTCGCCAATTGATTATTATTATAAGTATTAGGTAACTGACTGTACTTTTTCTGAACTTTTAAAAATTATAAAAACCATGAAATTAATAAAAATAAAACGTTGATACATCAAGTTTCGAGAAGAATAAATTCTATAAAATTTCTTTAAATTTTTCAAAAATAATAAAACTAAAAGTTATTTTTTCAAGTTTTTTCCCAAGCATAAAAATTAATTGAAATATAAATATTTGAAGTCTTTTTTCTGTGATTCATGCATAAAAAAAAAAAAGCAGAATTTGATTATTCATATCATCTCCGAAGTTAATAACAGACTCATAGCCTTTATTAATATGATCAGAAAATTATCAAATTGTACAATATTTCATATAATAACAAATTATTTGAAAATTTAAGCGGTTAAAAAATATCATAAATATTTCATTAAACTTTAAAAATTGTTTAAAAATAATTGATTTAAGTTGATCAAAAAAGTTTTGAACAAAAATATCTTTTATCATTTGTTTTGTTGGAGTAATAGTTTTGGTAGAAAACATAAATTTTAAGAAATTTTAAATAAAGAAATCATAACGCCATAAATTTATCAGTTTTTTTTTCGGTTTTTCTTAATTACTATGAAAAACTGTTTGAAAAATTAGTAAATGACAAAAAAATAATACACGTATAGTAAAATCAATATATCCCTCGCTCACTCCGATTCTAAAGAAAAAAACCAAACAAATATTGGATGAAAAAGAAGTTTTTATATTTGTTAAATAGTCCTATGAGATCTTGTATACTAACATATACGATATGAATAACTAATTCTCTGATAGTAATAAATATAACATTATTTCTCTGATGTATTTGTTTTTAAATTAATTTGTGCAATACGTTATGATAAAATATAAAATATGAATAATACGTCAATGAACTAGAACCAAAATAAAATAAGCTGTTTGAAAATTAGCAGTTACTTATTTACAATTCATAGTCAGTATTCCTGCGGTGCCAGGGGTATTCCGAAAGTATTTGTTGCAGAAGTCTTTCGAGGTGAACAGGATGGATACTACGTGACTGATCAGCATTCCCAATGTGTGTCCCACTGAATTGCAAAAGGACGCGTGCCCAACATTATTTCTGTGAACACAATATTATACAAAAACACCGTGGCGAATAATATCGCGATTTGCTCAGTGCTTATGTGACACACATAAGCATCTATATTGTTCAATTTACCATATATATAGAGAGAGAAAACTCCGCAAAATATATCGAAGAAAACTTAAAGAAAATGGAAAACAAACTTTAGTAGTATATCAAGACTATTAATAATACAAAAGTAACATAATCTTTTGTAGAAAACTGAAATTATATTTTAATATAATTTAAGACAATACTAGAAACTAAAAACAGTACTTAGTAGGAAGCAGTGTTACAGATATTGAGTAAAGTTACATGGTTATAAATTGTAGAATAGCTTAAGTGAAGTATGGGTTCTATAAAAAGACAAAAGCTTTTCACTATACAAAGGCAATTAACATTAATACAAGGAAATCATTGATAAAATCAATGGAATGGTATAATAAAAACATGGGCAATATTGATGATGGACAAAATAAAAATAAAATCCTGAACATCTTATAGGACATCTAACAAGGAATAGTACGTGAATAACTACGATAATAGAAGGAAAAATCGAAAGACTAACAAGGAGAGGAAAGCCTTGACTGTCTTATTCATGAAACAAATTATTTTGGATGTAAGGAAGAGATCAAACAAGCAGGCCTGGATCAAGTCATTTGGGGCCCTGGGTACTTTCTCCACAATATGGAGAAATTATGTTATAAAATATAACTTTATAAATTATAAAATATATGAAAAACAAAATAATTTAAATTACATTATAAAAAATATTATTAAAAAGACGTCCTAGGATAATGGGGACGAGTGCAGCCACTATTATAGGTAATTTAATGTATACCTGAAAGCAACTGTAAACCATTGCTTACGAATAAACAATTCTGAGCAGAGTTCAGTTGATATTGATGCTTTGTCAACATTATCTATGCCATATTATAGTAAAATAATTAAATAGGATCTATATATTTATTTAATAATATTTGTTTAATGTTGTACCGATTTTCCCAGTTTTCTTACGTTTTTTCCGGTTTTCCCATGTTTTGTCGTGGTTTTTCACATTTTCTGGGAAAGCTCCTGAGAAAATCGAAAAATGACCTTTTTAAAGTACCTCCCTAGTGAAATTTACTTTTAGAAATATTAGTATCAATAAAATTTGAAGTAAAATTGTTGGTAGAAAAGTTGTGCCCAGAAAAAAAGAAGGCTGTAATATATTTTAATTCATACCTACATTTCTTATATTTTACCATTTTTTTTCGGTTTTTCAAATTTGATGAGAAAACTCCTTAGAAAATCGAAAAATGACCTCTCTAAAGTACCTCCTTAGTGAAATTTCCCTAGCAAGTTTTCTGGTATAAAAGTTGTGAACAGATAAAAAAAAAACATCTTTGTAAAACCATAAGCTTCTTCATTCTACTCAGAATCTATAATTAATTTTCTACATTTTTTTTAGCGTATTTTTATTATATTATTTCATCGGTATTTATTTGTTCATGTTCTATTAACCGCAACGATAAGAACGATCATTTTTATTTGTTTAACAGTTGACCTTTGTCAATTTTTACTCGTTTCAATGCTGAAAATTATCTTTCACTCTTGCATGGTGTTCTAATAATTGATAAGTATATTCTAAAGGTAATATTTAAATTCGGGAAACTTGATATCATTTTTATATTTATTTGTTTTAATAACATTCCAAGTCCACAAAAGTTCTTAAAAATAATGAATTCGTTCATAAAAGCATCGTCCAAGTCTTCTCAATCTAGATAACATTTAATATGAATATTTAATTGAAGGAAATATTAATAATACTGTTTGTGCCACACAAATTAAATAATTATTTCCATCTTTTAAAATTCCTTCGTTATTTTTCTATACTTGTTAACAAATCATTGTAAAATGTTATCAATAACTTATGCAATTTTATAAAATTGGAGTTATTACCAAACGTATTTTTGTTCGTTTTTTTTGTTTTAATTACTGCGTATCATGGTTTAAAATATTATTTTTGTTTCTATTGTTGTATTCGTTATATTTTCGTAGATACACGTATTGTTATATTGTTTTTTTTTTCGTACCTATTTTCTCGGTTATGCCCTCCTTAGCCTTTTGCCAATTATTTTTCGTCATTGTTACCTTTTTTTTTTATATGTATACCTATTTAGTTGTTAGTTTGTTACATACAAATATAAACATAAATTCCGGAAACAAAATTATGTGTTTGTTTCCTGTTCTATTTCTTATAACACCCATTCCGCTAAATTATATGTTCCTTTCCGTGAATTATTTCACTCGATGCGATGAACTGGACACAAACAGAATCCTCCCGCGATTGATAAATCTGTTTCTGTTTCATTCTGTTTCCCGTCGTCCATTGGTCGATCTTTGGAGCTATCTGTCGATTAATAATAGTAATAATACTAATTTTAAGGGTAATCTAGCAGACTGTTGATCTAGTGGTCATTACATCACAGATCTTTAAGGATCCTCCATTACTCCACCTCACTATTACTTTTTTTCCGTACGTAAAAACAATGAACGTTTTTTCTTCCGTCGTATAAAAATGTCTGTATGTGACTAACATCGTCATCGGACTGTTGTCGTAATCGCATCTGTCAGCCATTCAACTACTGCGAGAAGTGGTTCAGTGGTTTAGTTGCCTATCTATAATTGAAACGGCGTTAAGTCAATTATATTGCCTACCTTTGTTAAACTTAATAAATTGCAAAAATTATTATTGAAAATGTCGGGAGGCCTAGGCATAATGCTTACAATATCTATGCGGTAATACGACCCTACATATAAGGAGCTATACAAAAAGTTATTATAAATAAAAAATAGTAAAAGTGTGTCATTAAGTATCATTGTATGGCTAGAAAAAAAATGCCCTCCGACGAAAATATAATATTAAACCAACAGTAGAAGTTCATTACTTTTTCATCATAGTCAAAGCCCAACCGTCAACGATTACACCCTGTATAGCCGCTAATAAATTTACCACGAAGAACACGAACGTCAGTACGATGATGTTCGCTTTTCCAGTTTCAGGCAATAACTCGTCGATGTTGGTGGCTGTATAAACCAAAGTCGCTCCTGTTCAACATCAATACCGAAATGTAAGTACATAATAAAAACAATAATAACTGATGTGGCAATTTATGTATATACACCTAGTTTGTTACTAATACCAATAGTTAAGTATTTATTTTAAATTTAATATTTTTAAATAAATACGATTTTAAATACTTACCTAATATATATTGAACGGGTATGAGCCAAGATTTACGCCGACCCAGTTTTTGTACATAGATCGTGTCTACCAACGGAGCAAATAATAGTTTAAAACTAAACGGCCAGTGTATAAAACTGAAAAGAGCCTGAAATGATAGCATAATACAAATAAGAATCATAGGTATACCAGGTGATTCATTTAAGTGGTTACATTCATTATCTCGGAAAGTATTAATTTTTACAGGAATTTGTTTTCTAGAAAATTTAGAAACCAAGTTGCTCTACAATTTTATATTTATGTTATTTTTTATCACGCTTATTTTTGGAGGTAAAACCACTACCTATTTTTGATTTTCAAACGTTAACCTACATTAAAAATTCCATAAATTGATGGAGTATTAGTTTAAATAAATTTTAGTGTTAAAATTATTGACTTCTGTCAAGCCGTTGACGAGATATTCCACCTTTTAGTTTGGGTTGGAGGAGATTAGTGGAGTGCCATTTGTGTGATGGTAAGACGCACGGCGTGTTAATAATACATGTTTATTAAATGTTCTGGAAAACAAATTCCGAAAAAAAGTTACCTAATATTTTCCATGATGAGTGTACCCACTTATGTATGGATCACCTGGCAATGAGTAACAATAGTACTATTGTAATAAATAAAACATTTATTAAAACATATAAACAATCATTATTTTTAGACTTTGCTCCTAGTGAGGTATGTATTAAGTTATTTTATATCAATATGTATATAAAGTGTTCTACAGTGTTATCTGAATGCTAATAACTCTATGAATATTCACTTTTTTTAAACAATTTTTTTTAATCCGGTTTTGTATTAGGTGGACACGACTATTACTAAGAAAGTATTGATCGGTTGTGAATGTTTGATATATTCAAATTTTTAGAATAATACATTTTACAAATTAGCTATTTTGAAAACTTTAAAAAGTTATTTTTTTCAGTGATTAAGGGATGAAAATAAAAATTGAATTTTTCTCTACATTTGTGTCTCTCTGATACATAAATAGTTTTTTCGTAGGTTTATAGGTTTACCTGGTCGTTGTACGTCGTATTTTTTCGGCTTTGCAAAATGATCTGTAGTGCAGTCGATAAGCCCACAGGCAATCCTACCATAATGAAGAGCAATAACAATAGAAAAAAGTTGAGCCAATCGCCTTTCAAATTTTGTTTGGTCAATACTATGTCATCATTCAAATCACATGTTTCTTGTTCGTGTTCAGGTAGTTCCGACATTTTAAATATTTTCTCTTACTATCTATACAATAATACTAATACTAATATATTTTATTGCACATAATTATACGTGTCGAGTCATATAGACGTTGTATCCGAAACGAATAAAACTGTACTGAATATATTATTATTTTTTTGCAGTTGCATTACCATTTATTGTGAACATAGAATTCTAATCTTATCAAAATACAATTAATAGGATCAATCGGGGTAAATTTAATCGCATAATCCCCGTGAAATAACTGATAACGAGAATTTGACCATAGTACATGATTTTAAACATTAGTGCATATCATGCATACTTTTGTTGTTTACTATTAAAAAAAAGTGTATTACTAACGTAAAGACAAATCGTCTATTAATTTAATTCGATTTTCAGATTTTGATCGCAGCGAGATATGTGTTAGCTTTACTATGATGTGTGTTTTTTTTTTTTATCTGTAAACAACTTTTCTATTAGAAATCGAATAAAAAAATAATCATAGGCCATTTTTTCTTGTATTTTAAACCTTGTTGGTGCATGAAAGAGGTATTTTTTTATTTTCCAAGAGGTATTTATAATAATTTGGGAAAAACTAGTTAAAAATATAGGAAATATGGGAAAGTTTATGGCATTAATAGTTTCGTTATTTTTGATTTTGGTTATTTGTTGTAAATTAGTTAAAAATTATTGTAAAGAGTTAAATTTAAATCCCAGAATACTTATATTAGTCTTTTTTAGACGTGGTAATTATTTTTACAATCGTTGAGTTATTTATAGGCAATTCATATTTTATTTGAATGCTTGACAATTTAGCATGTGATTTGTTATAAATTGTACTCAGTGGTAAAAAAAAAAAAGGTTGAATGTAATTTAATAGATTTTGTATGTAAGAGTTTGAAGATCAAACTTTGACGAAAATTGTGAAAATCACGGTATTTCAAAACATGTATAACTGATCATGAACGCTCAGAATTGTATTTCTTTAGCAAATGTTTAGTTGTTCAAATACTCAAAGTTTTAAATTTGTATTTTTGCATATTTCACCATTTTTGGGTTTAAAGGGCATATTTTTAATTATAAGGGCATAATATTTTAAGTTTTCAGTGAATATTTTGAAAGTTTATCGAAAATCAAAACTCTCGGTAAATATTTTTCGTTGATCAAGGTCAATAATAACATAATTACTTGCTGGCAAATAAAAGATGTTTTCTACTATTTAAAATACCGAACAATAAATGTTGATAATTCAGTTGAATTCTGAATTAGGCGAGATGAATACTTAAAGATTATTTAACAATTATTTTAAAACATTTTTTTTGTTTCATCAGGTACAAAATAATTTTGAATCAAGAATGAGATCTGTATTGGCTGTATTATTATTATGTTTTTTACAAATTTGTATAGATATATAGCAAATTTAATAAAGTAAAAAAGCTATCCTAGGGTAATATGAACAGGAGCAGCCACTGTTATAGGTAATTTAATGTATATCTGTAAGCGAAGATTAAAAAATACTAACGAAAAAATGATTCTGAGCGGGGTTCAATTGATAGTGTTGATTTATCCACAATATATGTCATATTATGACATATACATATGTATTATGTATTTTCTTTTAGCTCTAGCTATTTTTGAGCTATTTCCTATTAGAGGTAATTGATTTTTCCTAGTTTTTTTAGTTTTTATTTGGTTAGGTAATTGTGGATACAAAATTATTTGGCTGAACAGAAATGCTAAACAAATTGAACGCAATGTTCATTTATGAATTTTTAAGTGTTTGTCATAGAACAAAAGTTTTTGAATTTAATTGGTTTTTATTTATATATTCGTATGATCTTTTCTAATTTATTATTGTGAAAACCGTTTAAAAAAATAAAATAATTACGTCCTTATTATACCAACTAAATCTAAAATGCAATAAAAACGATTACTTAATATATTTTTTATCGGAGGAAGATTTCTTGTCTAAAAGTTGTTAACAGAAACAAAAAAAAGAAAAATAACTTTTTCATCTTATAAAATTAATATATTCACTCAATCCGCTCAGAATCTTAAATCTATAACATTGTAAAGAAATAAAGATATGTAATATTATGATACAAAATTCCATACGAAATTTTGAAAAAGCGCCACCATCTCCACACCAAGTCATTAACAAACTTTTTTCAAAAATATCGAAAACGATTACAATATGGTGTCACGTTACTTCGATGCGGTAATTTCGAAACCCATTAAATGGACATTTGAATGGTCATTTTGACGTAAGACAACTGGGCGCATGGCACATTTCTATGCACGTCATTTTGACGCAATTACTTTCGATGCATTTTTTTTTTCTTTTCAATTGTTATTTTTGATTTATTTTAATCACGTCGAAATTACCGTGTCAAAATGACGTAAATTCTTATAATAGGTACATAATAGTTAAAAAAAAAAATCTAATATAAACGTGATATTTTACGGCTACCTTTTTTTTGTTTAATACTCTGAGCTGATTGCACCGATTTTCAAGCGTATCACTTTTTCTGAAAGGAAATCCGGCGGAAGTGGTACTTTAGGGAGGTATTTTTTTAAATTTTTTAGCTGTTTTCATAATAAATAGAAAAAAAAATAGGAAAATCGGGAAAATATTTGTGAAAAACGGGAAAATTTACAAAATGTATTATTTTTATACCGTAAATATTACGGCCTTTCAAACATGTACAATCGAATTCCGCTCAAAATCATTTTTCGTTAGCAAAGATTAATCTTTGCGTATAGATATACATTAAATTCCCTTATATATCTTACTTTCCACTTCTCATCTACAATTTCTCTCCCCCATTATGCGAAATATGTCCGTATCTTTTTAAGAATAAATTATACAATATTTAAATACAATATTCAATATTTCGAAAAAAAAAATTTTATCCACATTTGAATTTGATAAATCATTTAACTATAATTTATATCTTAACCAAAATGCTCCTCTACTAAATGTGCCGAGATGTTCACATAACACTCGCAATATTATTACGTTATACATTGTTATCTAAAAATTATACTTTTCAATACGATGATATGAAAAAAAAAAAAAAAAAAAAAATGTATAAGTATTTTTCCGACTCTTGTTGAATACAGCGTAATGTACAGTCATAACACCAATATTGTGTTTCAAATATGTTAGGTAATATGTTTGGCTACCTTGGTTTTTAAAAAGAGATTTTTTAATTGTTTAAATCAAATATATATTCGTATAATAGATACATCGTAGTACAAGGCTAAATAAATTATTACAAGAAAAAAAAAACTTAAAAATTATTAAATACAGAGATAGTTCTTTCAGGTGTCAGATCTTCGTGTTTCACTCTTTATGACATGATATGTATTAAATAAACAGCCGTTATGTGTTCATCATGAACGCTCACAAAGATAGCAGCAAAGGCAATTCTTCCTCTAGATTTGAAATTTAATTCTACAATTTGGAAAAGATCATAGAAAATTGCAATTTCTGTTTGAAATGTAAAAATGCAAATTAATATTATATGATTTATAATACATTCTCTGATGCATACAGTGTAAGTGTAGTAGTTTATAATTGTTAACATTAAGGATAATTTTCATAAAAAAAAAAAAATTATAAGTAATGCTTTTAATGTATAATGGAAATTGGGGTTTTTCTTCCCTCTTAAAATGTTTGAGTGTGAACGCCCTTATTGGTGTCCGTTGAAAATCAAAAACAACAAAATTAATAATATTATGATTATAGGTAATATAAAGTGATCATCCACCAAAAAATCCAACATTGATAAATATACAAATAAAATAATAACATAGAATACACTACAATATTTTGTATCATGGTGAATAATGTCGTTCAATATCATCCGATCAAACTTATGTACCTAATTATTGTATCAGGTTACAGTCATTCGAGAGAGTATGAATTTTCCGTCGTAGGATTTCGTCTATTCACATTCACTGTCCAATGTGAAATGCTTCGGTATTGAAGATTTTTTAGGATATTTTTAAAAATAACGTACCAAACGATTCCTAGGATGCTGAACAGAGCGACTTCTATGTAATATCCGTCTACTTCGCAGTCACCTTTATTTTTCTAAAGATAAGTAAATAAAATTAGTGTTTTGTAAGTATTATACTTAATTAAGAATTATTAATTATTTGTATATATTTTTTTATTTATTCACAGCAAACATAAATCGAACCAGGTGCCCATACAACATTAATGTCATTCATAACGATTTTATGCAGAAAAAGAAAATCTCAGATTGTAGATTACGATTTTATATACGTAATACACACAGACCGAGAGAAATAACGGAATGAATTTGATTTACTATGTATATGCAGTAAATTATAAATATAATTATTTATAATATTATAGTGCATATTATTCTTTTTGAGTGAAAATTAAATTAAAAAAATGAGTGTGAAAAGCCAACTATATTTGAATTAATCGGTTATATATATATATATATATAATATATAAGTACATATATGAATAATGTATACATAGTTAAGTTTTAAAAGTTTTACTTTTAGACAATTTAACATCGGCAATTTATTCTCGGGATCAAATGAACTTCTTTTGAACGTTAAAATATCAATTATTCCAAATGCAGTGGCATTCGACAGCATGTTTCCTAAATTTGCAAAAGTATTCAATAGCGTCATATAAGTACTGCCGAAACGAGGATCGCTTTTCTGGGAGAAAACCGCCATCGTACATACAAACATGATATTTGATACAACCTATACAAAAAATTACGTATCATTATAATATTATATAGTGATTATATTTGAAATAAAAATAACTATAAATATATAATACTACATATATTTTAGATATAAGTATCTTCTTCTTTTTCTCCTTCACCTTCATCCTAAGTATTTGGGTTCGGTCACCGTCGTACTAAACTAACACTTGATCCAATATCTCCCCTCGCATACTCTGGCTAAATAATTATCATAGGTATACCATAAAGAATAATATTTCATTCTTTATCACACCCAGCAACCTCTTTTTCGGTCTTCATCTTCTTTTCATACGTTTATTCTCATTGTTATTATTCGTGTTTCTAACCCTCTCTTCTCATGAAAAACCCAAACCTTCTCAGTCTATTTCCTCTCATTTTCCCTAAATAGATTTTGTTTAGATACGTATCAGTTATTATAAAATAGATAAACTCACTTGTTGCATTGATAGTAGAATTATAAAAGTTGCGTAGAGATAATACATTGAAATATTTTCAGTTCTATTATATTCCATCCATTGAGGTGTATAAAAAACAAATATAGCAAATGGAATGTTCAATGTTAATCTATAAATATGTAGAAATATATAATGTTTTAGGTTCTGAGTAGAATTATTTTCTTTATAAATAGAGAGAAATGACCATTTTTTGTTGATTTCTGGTTAACATTAGCAACAAGGCGAAAAATACGACTAATAATACTCTGTATAGAAAAGTTTTTAGTTTTAAATGGTACATCGTTGCGTACACATTTTTGAAAACGTACTTAATTTCTGCACTCAAATATATTTATTGTTTCGAATGGTTCTTTAGCTGAAGAAAATTTCACTTTTTAAAAGCGGAAAATCATTCTTTATTGAATAGAAAAAAGATGAAGGTCGGTTCACAAATAAATAGTTAAAGTTTCACAAGGTTCCACTAGCTCGATCGTATAACAACACTACTACTGTTGTGTAGCGGGAACTGAGCTCTGTCTAAAGACCAAAAGGACTGGCTCAGATCCCCTACTCGACTCCAGTCCAAGCTGGCAGACCGATTCGTGGAACCTTCTACAGAAAAAAACATAGAAAATAAACATTATACTTATAAATAGAGCTCGGATTCATATGTAAATACATATTTTTACTGTGACTTGATAAATTAATTTAGATACCTAAGTGATAAATTCATATTCAGTGATTTTCAATGGAATTAAATACACTTGGCGTCACAAAAATCGCACATCTTTAAAATTAAGTTTCAAACGGGCATTTCCCCGAACCAAAACATTTAATCCAAACAATAAAGATATAAATTGAAAGTACAGTTAATGACCTCTTATCCGATAGTAGTTTCATTTCATAAACAATAATCATATTCCGAGTATACGGTGCATTAGGAAAATGTATAAATATACTCCTATCTTATCTTATATTCTTTGGCTATAGAAAAATCAGTTTAAAGTGTCAAATGCAGGTCATTCACTTCCTAAACATTGAAAAGGACGTACGTGAATACTCTTTAAACAATATTATTTCAAAAAATAACGTATTAAATGGATACAACTGCTAACGAAGCCGCTCAAGTGGCAGCATTAATGGAATCAGGGATGCGTCAATGTGATGTTGCACGGCAACTAAACTTGAGCCGTTTTGCCGTTCGACGAGTTTTCCAACGTTATCAAGAGACTGGTGGCTTTATCTGGAGGAATGGATCAGGCCGACAACGCTGCACAACGGACAGAGATGATCGTTTTATTGTCTCGACGTCTTTGCGCAATCGATTTTCCAATGCTGTAGAGCTTCAACAGCAACTCCGCGCAGCTCGCAGTACAACAGTAAGCACCTCTACGGTTAGGAGAAGGTTAGGAGAACAAAAAATTGTGGCCCGCAGACCTGCTACCGGTCCGAAACTGACTGCACAGCACCGCAAAGAACGGTTACATTTTGCCCGTGAACATTTTAATTGGACGCTTGACCAATGGAAGACTGTGCTCTNGGAGACAGTGGAGTATGGAGGTGGATCATGCATGTTCTGGGGCGGCATTTCCATCGATAGCAAGACCGAGCTTGTGTGCGTTTCCCGAACTGGTGGCGCTCGAGGACAAGGATCGCTAACTTCTGATCGATACATTACAGAGATCTTAGAAGAGCATGTGGTACCATATGCGGGTTTTGTTGGAGATGGGTTTATACTAATGCACGACAATGCTCGTTCCCACACCGCATTAATTGTAAAAAATTATACGGAAGAGGTTGGGATCCCTGTTATGAACTGGCCAGCGAGAAGTCCAGACCTAAACCCAATTGAGCACCTCTGGGACGAATTAAAACGAAGAGTGCGGTCACATGATCCTGCCCCAACAACCCTCCAAGATCTTCAATATGCTGTTGTTGCGGAATGGGTGAACATTCCTCAAGAACGCATCGTACGACTCATAACTTCTATGAAAGATCGTATGGAAGCAGTAATTAAGGCAAGAGGAAGTAGCACTAGATTTTAAATAACATTTAGTAACAGTTTTTTATTTTTATATGAAGTCTATTGTCTGTTTCTGTTTGTAAAACTGTATATCCTCAATACAATTTGTTTTCCTCTTCCACGATTAACTTATTTTTTAAAACACTGATAAACAAAAACACATACCATTTATTTATTTTTCAAGTTTATTTCATCACCTTTCAAATGATATATCATAACAGTACCCTTATATATGATTAAGTGTAGTTAAAATTACTTTGAAAAATAATTTGCAATAGGTGCGATTTTTGTGACGCCAAGTGTATATTTAATTTTATATATTCTTACATATTTCACCATAAATACATGTATTACATATTTCTCAATAATTCCATTTGTTCCTACATATTTAGATAATTTGTTCATATAATACGATTATTTGTATACTATTGTACTTTTCAATACAGATAAATTCCCATCTTTCCAAAATTACGTAAACAAATTAATACTAAATAAAATTAACTAGAAATATCCATTGAGGAATAAATGAAATATTATTGCAGACTGAACTCACTACTTTAGATATTGCAAATATGAAATTTGTACCCATCTGTTGAAGAGGAGCGTTCGTTTAATCGGTACAAATTTGTGTTACGACTAAACCTGAAACTGTAGACCATATAAATTTAACAATTTGAGCATCTATATGGTATCTCGTTGCTATTAAGATCAAGATGAACAAGGTTCAATTTCATATTAATTTCAATTCAAGTGTTTTATTTTCATTTTTTGTCATTTACACAGCATTTAAAATTTTTTTTGTCGCTAATGTTTTTTTGGTAATTTTTAAATTCCATTTTTTAATTTTTTTATCACATATAAAGTGATTTTTTACACATATATTTACATATTTTGTTTTTTTTAATACATGCAAATCCAAACCCTACTTATAACCTAACACATACATAGAATTTGCCAGGGGTTCTTAACAAAATATAAATTAAACTAGTATGTATACTGTATATTAAAGCGTTCTTATGATCTAAATATAAGAAACTTTGGATCAAGTTTCTAAGTGAAAAAACTAATTCAAAATAATTCGAATAAAATCAAAAAAATGATATTTTTTGCTGTATTTTGCATTTAGTTTGTAAGTTTGTAAGTCGGTTTTTGATTTTCCATATAGTTTTCTTAATAATTGAACAAAATCAAAAAAAAAACGTACAAATATCGTGACAGTTTATGGAAATAATGGTTTCATTGTTTTCAATGGTAATTTTTTTCATTGTAATTCAGTTAAAAATATTCATAGAAACTTGAAACTTGAGACTTTTGACGAAAAACTTAAATTTACCTTTTCTAGAGTGGTAACACTTTTAAAATTGTTGGCGAAATTTGAGCTTTTTATTGATATTTTATATTTGCGATTATTTTTATGTAGTTTTTATTTTGTAGGTACCATGTAAATATCGTTTTTGACTCAATAAAAATACTTGAAATTTAACAGGATGTACATTAAAATTTGTATTTAATGGTAAAAAAAAAAACTGTAATGTAGTAATTTTTTTTTTATATATAAGAGTTGTAATATAAAATTTTGACTAAAATTGTAAATATGACGGCCTTTCAAAACATGTATAACCGAACTTCGCTTGGAACTGTTTTTCGTTAACAATGTTTTATCGTTATCTTACAGTTATGAATTAAATAACTTTATGCATCCTGCCTTCCCAACTTCCCACCTTCAAAAATAGCACACCCGTCCCCAGTATCAGATTTTTATTTTACTTTGGATAATATCATGTAGTCCACACATTTATAATTAATTAGTAGGTATTTACCTGATAAGAAATGACTTCACCAATATAATCATCGATTTTTTACCTGTCGTATATTTCGACGCTATTAGTGTTATAATTATATTTACACCCATTAATACTGTGTTTGTAATCGTAATGTTCTCTTTTGATACGCCCGCGTCAATGAGCTTTAACGTCGTCACATCTGTTGTAGCAAATCCAATCTGCAATACAAATATCAGTATTAATAAACCAATATACTTTATAAAATATTAATATTTAAAATTTTATTTATCTATAATCTTATAATTTATATTAACAGTAAATCATAGACAATTCATAATTATTACTATTTGTGTAAAATCAATTGTAATAAAAGATAAATAAATTCTAAACTTGATTCACTTAAATAATTACTTTTATTGTTAGTAATGCCAACACAAATATTTGAATACTAGGTAACATTAATATATCCCACATTAGTTTATAAGTTTGAACTATGTTGAGTTTTAAATTATTGTCTTCTAATTTAATATCTTTTTCTTTTTTAAAAATAGCAATTAATGTTGTGATTAATACGAATAGTACGCCCAAACTGTACAATATCCCTGAAAAATTGAATAAAATTGTATTAGGTGAAAATTTAAGCAAATTATAAATCAATTAAATTAATAGTTGAAGTTAAGCCGAAATTTGGTGATTAAGAAATATTTTATGTTATTGTATTTATCGATATTATATGAATCGCTAAGTGCAGTCAAAATAAATTATACCACTGAAAAAATTTAAAACAAATTTATCTTAATAACTAATGTTAAATATTATATTTATACATTTTTACAGTCATTTTATGAAATATTTAGAAAACAATTAGAACATTTACTTTTTCTACATTTAGCGATTCATATAGCACGTTAATAACATTGTATCTGACCTATTTATTTTTATGTGAACTTTTGGAGCACAGTTTAATCTAAAATAAAATATAATTGATATAATAATACTTAATACAAATAAGTAATATAAAATACGTTAATGGAATTTGGAATCAAAATAATGAGCTACTTCTAAATTTTTTTTCTTACAAAATAGTTTTGTTGGTAGGTAATAATGTTATAAAAGAAATAAGATTTAATCTCTATATTAAACTAATGTTTGTGGTTGTATATATTTAATATATGAGGTGATCCAATTAAGTGGTTACACTCATTATTTCAGAAAGTCGCTAAATTTTTAAAAATAATTTTTTTTTGACAATTAAGGAAACAAATAATTCTAAAATGTTTTATTACCATTATCTTTCGATTTGCAAAAAGTAACCTATATTAAAAATTCTATAAATATTTTCTGTATTACTTTACTATTATGACAGTAATAGTAAAATATACGGCATACCGTATAATTTGTAAATACTTTTCGAAATAATGAGTGTCTCCACTTAAATGGATAAATTTATATTACAAAATCAGTAAGCAATAATTATTACAGTTTCATAAGGAATAAAATTTATCATTGGAGCATTTTTCGATTTAAATATAATGGCTTCAGAGCAGTAGAGCAGTGCATGGAATTTCGGAGATACCATAAAGTCTGAATTTTTACAGTGAGTAAGGTGGACAATTTGAGTAACTCATTACTTATATGATAATCTGTAACATATACAATTAATTGTACCTATACATTATATAAAATAATCACCATTCAATATTCAGGGAAACTCAAATGGATAATACTATAGAGCTGTATGATATTTAATTGGTATAGTTATGTGCACAACGTTAATATTTAGAAAATAATTTTGATGGAACTGTATGTACTTTAATCATTTTAGTATAGCATTTAATCGAATTACTTACATAATAAATATAATGGTAGGTGTTCATTCATTTTAGAAGGGTTTTAAATTGCAGTCCCTATTTGTTTAGTGAACCATCCCACAAAGTGTGTAGTTCAAAATTGGAAATGGATGGTACAGATTTGAAAAAATGTGTATCAAAAAATAAGACTAGTACTTATAATATATAAATGACAATTAAAAATTATTGAAATTATGTAATTTAATCAAAATATTATCTATGAAAAAATAGATTCTAGGCTCCTTAAACCCTCTCAAAAAAAAAAAAAAATTTTGTTTTATCGGTGGTAGATGTCCCGAATTTTGTTGACCGCATAGCTAAAAAAAAGTTTACCACGCCATTGCTTCAGTAAACCTGCAGAGTACTTTTTGGAGATTATGTTAAGACACTTTTTAAGTGTAGTTAGAGATACGGGTACTACCTCCCTTTATCTTCCCTTTCCACTTTAACCTATGCAGAAAAGCGCTCCTCTTTTTGATAATATCCCTATTTAAAATTGGCAGTTGGGTCACGATATTGTCAAACTTTTACAACATAATTAGATAAATAAAAATACGAGTATAGACGAGTAGATGACTCAATTTTATAGAATAACGAATGTAAAAATATATTTAAGTGTACATAGTTATTAGCAGTTACTTACTCACATTTCATAGTTACTATTCCTCCGATGCCAGGAATGGCCCGCAAGTATTCATTGCAGAACTTTTCGGATGTTAAAAGTATTGGTACCGTAGAACCGATCAGAACGCCCGCTGTTTGTCCCGCCGAATTGCAAGTGGACGCGTACCCAACGTTTTTTCTGTGTGCAAAATATTATAAAAATTCACCGTAGCAGATAGTAACACTTTTTGACGAATGCTTATACGTCACACATAGCACCCATATTATTTCGTTTATAATTTATATACATAGAGAAAGCATAGAAAGACACGAGAAGTAAAAGAATTGGACGAGTTTAAATAAATACAATTCTATCAAAAATGTTTCGGTTTGTATGATTGAAATTTCGATGACAGCAAACAGCGAGGATAAATTGAAACAAATTATACACAGAATAGATAACACATCAAAATAGATTTATACCAGAAATATTGCTAAGATCAAAACAAATATACTAGTTTGTAACAGGCTGAAATTAGATAATAATTAATTAAACTAGAAATAGTGATTAGCAACACGTACCTAGAAATCGAAATTACAGAAGACGAAAAATGTAATATGTAAATAAATTTTAAAATAGCTCAAGCAAAGCATTCACTAAAAATACAAGTCTAGATTAACATAAATAATAAAGCCATGATAAAATCAATGGTATGGAGTGTTTTATGTTGAATGGAAGTCATGAACAGTACAAGTATTAATGGCGAAAGAAGAAAGATAAAAGTTTTTGAAACTTAGTCCTGTAGATGGTTATTAAAAATCTCTTGGACAGGAAAAATATCAAAAGAAGAGGCGTACCTAGCTAATGAACTATACTAGATGAACATGGAAGATAATCGTGAAAAAATTAAAAGGATATAGTTCATCTAATAATGATATTACACTGGCAATCACGAAAATAGAATGGTAAATCGAGAGGAAAGCCAAGACAGTAAATGTATGAAACAATATATATTTTGAAGCATAACATCATTAAACCAATATGCAGATTGAAAAAGAAGCTCACTGATGACAATATAATATAAATTAAAAGATCCATTACCTTTTCAACATAGTCAGAGCCCAACCGTCAACGGTTATATCTTGTGTGGCCGCTAATAGATTTATTATGAAGAAAACGAACGTCAGTACGATGATGTTCGCTTTTCCAGTTTCAGGCAATAACTCGTCGATGTTGGTGGCTGTATAAACCAAAGTCGCTCCTGTTCAACATCAATACCGAAATGTAAGTACATAATAAAAACAATAATAACTGATTTGGCAATTTATGTACATACACCTAGTTTGTTACTTATACCAATAGTTAAGTATTTATTTTAAATTTAATATTTTTAAATAAATACGATTTTAAATACTTACCTAATATATATTGAACGGGTATGAGCCAAGATTTACGCCGACCCAGTTTTTGTACATAGATTGCGTCTACCAACGGAGCCAATAATAGTTTAAAACTAAACGGCAAGTTTGTAAAACTGAGAAGAGCCTAAAATGATCACAGCATACAAACAATAACCATAGGTTTATAATATAAAAGTATTAAATGTACAATCATTTTTTTAGACTGCGCGCAGTCAGGAATATATTGCAGTTTATATGAATTGATATAACGTTATATTATAAATTAAAATATTTCCATCGCGTAGGTGTACCTGTTCGTGATATGTCGTATTATTTTTGCTTTGTAATGTGATCGGTAGTACCATCGATATACCCAAAGGCAATCCTTGCATAGTGTACAGCAACAGCAAGAGAAAAAAGTTTAACCAATCGCCTTTCAAATTCTGCTTTACCGAGTCGTCTCTTAAAGAATGTGTTTGTTGTTCGTGTTCCCTTGGATCCACCATGGCTTACGTCTTCGCCAACTACCTATCTATAATCTATATATAATACGAATTTATTGTATTACGTGTAAAGACACTGGTCGAACCATATAGACGTTATATTCGAAACGAATAACACGGTACTGAATATGTTATAACTTGTTGTAATCATATTACCCATAATATTATGAATATTTAATTCTTATCTTATCGAAATGTAATGTATATAATATTATGACGTACTATAGTACAATTTAAATAATTAATCGTATGTATTAAAAATAACTAACAGGATAGTAGTAGGTAATAGATTAAATCATTTAGAATTACATAATGTAATTCCTACTTATAGTGGATACTATAGGTTTTCGGTAATATAACATATAATGATCTGCGTAATACAGTTCAATAATATAAGATTACATACGGAAGAGATTACTACCTATAACCTGTATAATCTGTTATTATATTCTATTGAAAAAAAAAAAATAATAAAGGAAGAAAAATGTTATAAAGGTACGGTTCATAAAGTTATTTAATTTATATCCGTAAGCTACGATAAATCGTTGCAAACGAAATATGATTCTGAGCGAATTTACATTATACGTACATGTTTTGAAACGCCGTAATATTTACGATTTTCGTCAAAATTTGACGAATGCTTTGACGATGTTAAATTTTGTTTTATTTAACTACTCAGTAAAACTTACAAAAAACCCGTGTAAGTTTTCAAGCATTTCAGTTAATTTAAACAATATTATTACTATACTACTTGTTACTTGTTACTATCTCAATACTATGCAGATAAATAAAAATTGCCAAATAAAAATAAAAATTTAAAAAATAACTCAAAAATCGTAGCATGTTTAGAAAAGTCAAATATACATTTTCTGTTAAAATTTTAAGTTTCTATGAATATTTTTAACTTAATTGCAACAAAAAAACCAAAATTATTAAAATTATTATGTCCATAAATATATCCGTTTTTTCTATATTTTTTTCCCCCGGTTTTACTCTATTATTAAAAAAATAATAGAGTAATTTTTTGAACTACACGGAAAATCAAAAAACATTTTTCTTACTCATCAAATGCAATACAAAAGGTATCTTATCGTTTTTTGATTGGAGTAGGATTTCTAGTAGAAAACATAAATCGTAAAATTATATAATATTGAAATCGGTAACGGCGTGTTTCCTAATTATAATGGAAACACCTTGGAAAATCAGAAAATGACCTTTTTAATGCACCAACTAGATTCAAAATCCTAAAATAAGGCCTCTTGTTATGTGTCGATTGAAGCAAGATTTCTGGTCAAAATGTTGTTTACAGAGAGAGAAAAATAATTTATTAAGAAAAGAACCACACGTTATAGTAAAATCAATAGATCTCTCGCTAAGCTCAGAATCTAAAACGATATAAAAGTAATAATTAGGAAGATATATAATTATGTGGTTGGTATAATGAAATATTGTACTACTTTAATTACACTGAATTAAATTTTAAAAACCAAATATACAAGTATACATACGTAAAGGTAATATGATTCGATCTGGCCCAGCTGGCTTCTCGACGATCGCCGGGTCTCTGGGATATTTTTAAATATCAAGGGCGCTCACTGCCAAATGGGAAAAAAAGAACAAAATTATTTAGGTTCATTCAAATTATTATACAATTTTAATTTATTTTCATAATCAAATAAAAATTATCGGATTATTTTATTTAATCGGCATCACGGCTATAATAGATATTATAAATGACATGTATAGCTAAAGAACAATATAAAAAAGACACTCGATCAGCTAATCGATTTTAATTTAATTGTCATCTGAAATATGACACTAGATCATAACTGGATTTAGTGTAGTAGAAGATAAAAATATTGTAATTCATAGATAGGTATTACGATAGGTATTACCTCGTATAGGTATGCATACATTAAAAGTCAAACGGAAATCGTTCAAATGTTTAGTAGGTACACCTAGGTATCTACGTATGCATGCACACGAGCAGTCACGAAAATAAAACGATAATATATAATAATAATTAATTAAACTACGACTACTTCATTTTTTCTGCATTCTATATACATGATTCATAAAATAAAAAAAAATAACATAAAATCAATTCAACAATCGAACGAGAAAATTATAAAATAAAAACGTATTAAAACGGTACAAAAAGTTACCTACGCTTCTTAAACTTATAATAATTGTTATTGAGTTAAGTGGACGCATGTTTGTAGTAAGTTTTAATGCGACATAATATAGGTACATATTTTATTAATTTGTGATAATACTCAATAAAGCAATATTAATATAATAAATAGTGCCGGTAGTAGGTGCATAACGACATTTACGATTGATGCGTAAAGTATATTTTTATTTTAAATTTGAATAGAGCGAAGAACCTTATGGTTTTATAAAGATGTTTATTTTATTTTATCTCTGCGCAACTTTTCCACGAGAAATCTTTCTCTAATTTTTAAGTGTAGTACCTTTTCTGAATGGAAATCAGGCTGGAAAAGTACTTTAAGGACGTTAGTTTTCGATTTTCTCAGGAGTTTTTTCAATATATTCGAAAAAACGGAGGATAACCGGGAAAGTGTACGAATATATAGCAAAATATTACGGCCTTTTTTACTCATACAAGGTACCTGCGTGACCCTGGTCTTTGCAACCCTGGTCTCCTAACAAGTTAGGTACTTTACAACAGTGACAGCCGATAGAATTCGGGGCCCGATGTAGAATTTTTCGGGGGCCTCATATATATTTTTATAAATATATCTATATTTATTTATTTTATTTTCTAACGGACTTACTTTATATTCATACAATTTTATAAACTTTAAGGTCTTCTTAGAAATCTAAATTTATACCTATACATAAACTAATAAAAAACAAATTTGTATTTTTATATTAATCGTAAAATGAGTAAGTACCCTTTTTAGGTACAAACAATATTTTATTAATTAATATTTTTATTTTGTTCAACAAGATGACATAAATATGACATAACAAGTATACTTTTACTTTAAATAAAAAAATAAGCATAGGTAATTGTAATACAACTAAATATTTATATTAACTGATAATATAATATTATTTAAACACTTTTTTTCGTGTTTTTTTGAAGCAAACAGGTCAATTGTCTCATTGTAATTCAAAGAATCAGCAATACTATGTTCGATGCTGATAAAATATGTTTGAGTGTCTTCAAGCCAATAAAAATGTGTTAAGCTATGTATAATTGTTACTATCTTGATTTTCGTCAATAACAAGTCGTGTCCTAAGAAAGTTAAAATATCATTATGATTATTTATAGATAAAGTGATATTCAGAATACGTAGATTGGAACACATAGTTCTAATTTTTGTCAATCAAATTTTCACTTTTTAAATTTATTTCTGTATATTTAAGCATTGAAATAAAATTTGGTTTATTTGTTATTCAATATTTTTGCCAACAAATAGTATACTGTTAACAAATATATTAACTATACAACTAAAGAAATAGTTAATAAGATAATAAGTGGCCAATTTCATTGTTCTTTGAAATGAACGAATTAAAACACGGATTGATAAATACCACTTATACAATTTTAATGATGTGCACAATCATCAATAATAAATAATATTTATTTGCAAAATTAGTATTAATACTATAAATAATAAAATATATAAATATATAATATACGACACTCTATGCAAGCCAATCTTGTAATGGGAGTGTTGAGTTCATTAGGCGTTAGAACTTAAGAGTATAATTATTTAGACAAATATGCCTTATGCCATTAAATATAAAAAATTATAAATTATGTAAGCATATAAAGAATACAAGATATAATAAAAATAAACTAATAAAAAGATACAAGAATCAAACAGTGCCAAAATCTAAATTATACAAGAAAAATTTAAAACTCATAAAACTTTTAAAATTATATAAATTAATGTTCAATTTCCTACATAAATTAGCGTCTACAATTAAGATTACATTGAGATCCAAAGGTTGTATTGCTATTTGAAACAATATTTATGTTAGCCTTATATCTCGTGTTATAAGCACGGTTTACCGTGGTTAATAGATCATTATGCTTATATAATAACAATAATGCATCTGATTTAAATAACTCATCAAAATGTAATCAATTGTTTGATAACGTCATAATTAACAGCAATTAATATTAGATTATACAATAAAAACAAAATATAAGAATTAAACCTTAATGTATTATGCTCAACCTATATTCTGTATCATGATAACTAAGTGCCATTGTACCATATTATATCGTGTTTAAATCAATAAACGACAATCTCACTTCAAAACACTATAAAAACCTCACGCGCACTGTCTCAATGAGGGATCCAGTTAAAACATAAACTTAGGCTCCGACTTATCATGTCCATCTATAGATACCAGTGATGTACGTTTGTCGTTGTATTTAATTCAACTCTACCTCGTCTAAGTTTTTTTCATTGTTCCAATTTGAATATACTAAATAAACTGGTTACGACGTCAAGATTACTATACGTTACGTGAATTTTTCATCTTCTCAATCACGTGAGGGTCTTACTCAGAGCACATACCTACACGTTAGACAAGTGAGAAATATAACGTTTACTTATACCTCAGCTCCGCCTTAGTAAATAATGAACCGATTCCATATCTTACTATATGGTAGTGAACATAAAATCTGGATCCTAGTCATCTTATTTTTTGTCTCATTACAAAATGTATATTATATATAAAACGCATAATTTTAATACTTATAATTAAACGATTAAAGTTTCTGTTTCAACTTAGTTAAAATAAATAAAACGTATAGTTTGGTTTCACGTTTAAAATTTTAGAAAATATTTATCAAAAGATAGGAGGAAAAATTTTACAGAACACAATGGGCTTGAATTTAAAAAAAATTATTTCTAAAACCTACAATTAAAGTTACAATATGACCAATATTCACCAATAATTGTTTTGTGTTTTTTAATTACATAATCAAAAGTCAAAATTGAATGCGCCTTGTAAAACTTTTCATACTTCCATCAAAAACAATAATTGTAATCGGTTGTAATTGTAAACGAGGCATGGAAGTTTTTCCTGTTAAACATGTTTTAACATACAAATATTAAAACTGATTTAACTATTTCTTAATGATTGTAAATGTTAAGAATTTATTAAAAGTTACGATCAGGACCTTTACTCTTTAATGGTGTAATAAAATATATATTAAAGAAACTAAAAATATTATTTATATTAGTAGGTATTATACCTATAGTAAAGTACACAAACATACAATTTTGTGGAGTTGAAACCTTATATATTTTATACCTAATAATTATTATTATTGGAATATTTGTAATCCTATGTATAACAATATTTAATACTGTGATCAGTAAATAGGTAAGTCAGAGTTGAGCGGATTGAGTTTTGAAATTATAGCTCTGATATTATACGGATATTTTATGAATAAATGTCAAATGCGAGTATATAATAATAAGCAATTATTATTTATAGTTAAATTCAATAACGATTTAAGTTAGGTAATAAAATAGTTGTGTATACTATATTTAAAAATTACTTTAAAACTAAAACTAATTATAATAATATTAAAGTAATAAATGATGTATTTCTAAAAAATATCATAAAACTACAGACTACAAAATAAATTATGTTTTAAAAACAAAAAAAAAACATCCTACGATAATGGAAATGGGTGCAACCACTGTTATAGGTAATTTAATGTATATCTGTAAGCAATGATAAGCCATTGCTAACAAAAAAAAAGATTCTGAGCTCAGTTCAGTTGATATTTATACTTTGTCAACAATATATTATATTATATATATTATATAAATTATGGTAAAATTATTAAATAGGCATTAAATATTTTCTATAATAATGTTTGTTTAATATTGTACTGATTTTCCCAGTTTTCCCATGCTTTTTCATGCTTATTCATGATAATTTATAATATAAATACATATTGCCTACTATACTATTAAATATTAGGTATCTAAATAATATAATGTAGAAATATTCGTGTCTCAGTATTGTGTGCAAATCAATTATTGACTATAATATTGTAAATTACAAATTTTAATAGCATAATCGAATATAAAAATAAAATACACATACAATTTTTCGTTTATTAAAAGTAGATAAGAAAGAAGAGACCTCTCACAGTTGCGGCCAAGGAGGATATCTCCCACTTTCCACCTGGACCAGTCCGCCACTGCAGTCTCACTGTGATTGTTAATTTTCAATACGATAAATATATCCGATATATATAAATATTATATATTAATAATATAATATATATATAAAACATAAATTTCTTTATGATTCCTGATTTCCAGTTGGTTACGCGAAAATTAAAAGTTACACTTATTTAATTTGGTTGTATAAAATTAACTCTCAGGTTGTGATATAAAGGGTTAATTTTGTAACCACTTATTTGATTTGATTTTTAATCCTTTTCCTGTCTAATAGAAGATTATGAAATAAATAAATGCGTTTTTATAAAACTTTTAACAAGGTTTAATACTTTAAAAATTATAAATAATAAATAATGTTATTGGTTCTAAAACAAATGTTTATCATAAATCTCATGACATTCTCAAGTCATTTAAAAATATTGATTATAAAACTACCGATGATATTTATATGCATAATATATATTTAATATAATACTCGTAGTTCATAATAGTAATACATACTTAACACAAAAAAAACAGGAAGATTAGCCATAGAATTTTTAGTTATAATTTATCACGTGCACGACGGTATAGCAATAGTAAACACATTTTTCGTAGTCCCTGTTTTCGGTCGTTTCACGGTGTCTTTCACTAACCACTGAGACGGTCTTAAATTCTGAAGATTTCTCAAGACATTTTTAAAAATTACGAACCAAATGATACCGATTAAGGTACACACGGCTATTTCTACATAATATCCTCTCACAACTATCTGACAATCTTCTGTTTTTTTAAAAGTCTAAAAAAAAATAAATAAATACACGTTTAGATAATTAGGTACCTATTGTATAAATTGAAAATAAAAATGAAAACTAACCAAAATACAATTGGGAAAAAACTAAAGAGTGAGTTCTATATCAAGAATCAAACATAGGAAGCAACGGAGCAAGAGAAATAATGTAACTAATTATTGTTATTAGGTAACCTATTCAATAATATAGATCTGTTTTTTTTGTAGCGCAAATTTTCCAGTAATATTCTACCTCATGAATTTAGCCAGTTTTTGAACCCAGAATTTGATATCTTTTTAAACAAAATCAAAATTTGTTACAGGTTCAATTTTAAATAATTTTTCTCAGTTTCTTTTTTTTAACCATAATTTTGTAGAATAAATTTTCAATAATCTTCAATTTTTAAGTTCAAAGCATAGAGAAGGAACTGTTAAGTTTACTTAGCTAGGAGATAAGATTAAAGCATTAATTTGTAGTAGAACTGGAGTATAATCAGACGGTGGATCATTTAGATTAGTTAGTTTTGTCTGGAGACGGTTTGGAATGTTGGAGAGGAAAAAATTGAAAATATTCGGGTGGCGACCTGAATAGGATGGCGAGTAAATTGGGGCGCTTGGTGCTAGTACTTGATTTGATTAGTACGTGTTTAATTGATATGAAATTTTGAAGAAATTGATCTCGGTTTTGTTTGTTGAGCAGCCCCTGCGTTGGTGTATGGCGTTGAAGTCGGCTCCCGTTAAGAAAGCATTAATTTATCGTCGACAGGAACGATGAGAGTTCATTTTCGGCGGGCCCAAACGTTTCGGCGTGACCATTTCAGCGTGAAGACCATTTCAGCGTATGGACATCTTGGCATTAAATATAATTTTTTAATTGTCCGTGTTATATGAACAACTTTCGAAATTTCTAATGAAGCAGCAAAAATTGAAAATAAAATTGCAGTCATCAAAATATAAAATAAATTTATTTATGAGAAATTTAATTGAATGTTATAAAATACAAAAGCAATAATGTTTATCGCACAAGGTAGGTATAATTTATATAATCAATATAATCTGTAGTACCTATACGCTATCTCGATATTACCAATACCCGATGGTATCAAATTTGTAAACTAGTCAACATGGCACGCAAAATTGAAATTTTCAGTGAACGTGAAGTATTCGTGCACGATGGCTATATGTATATTTTTGATAAATTTTATGTAGGTAAGTATATATGTATGTATTTATATATATATATTATATTTCATAATTATAATCATTTTGACTATTATTTATTTACTAGCTATAAGTTAAATTTTAATGAGACAAAAAGTGGTAATAACGGTAAACTAGTTAAAATTTAAAAATTATTTTTTACTCTGAAATAGACTTCACATCGAAATGGACTTTACACCGAAATGGTCTTCACGTCGAAATGGCCATGCCAAAACGATCACGCTGAAGAGGCTACGTAGCAATGTCCTAGAGTGCTTTTTTAGGAAATATACGGCTACAACGCTTTTGGGCATTTTGGCGAAAATCACAACACGTTTAAGCACTATTTTATTCTGGTATTACAATACGTTTGGGCACTATAATACACTATATAGTATACAATTAGTAAATATATGCATATACTCGTAAATTATATGTAAAGAATAATAAAGATTTTAAGGAATTTTAATTTTTAGTAGTTTTTTTGCTGTAATTCGGTTATAAATACACGTAAAGACTTGAAACTTAGTAATAATACTTACATTCAAATCGTACAGTCAAACACGAACTGTTCATAATTTAAACAATTTTATGTCAATATATACAATGCAAATTATTGTCATAATAATATTTATATTACTTATTTTATTATGACAGTAGACATTTTTTTATTTTTTTTGAACGATGGGTTACCTCCTCAAGATACAGCGGGTTATCATTTCTTTTGTAGTGGGTTGAACATGTCTTAACCGTCAGATAATCGATCGCGGCTAGTGCTATATATGACGTCCACGAATTTCCTAGGTTTAATAGGGTATTCAACAATGTCATATATGTTCCGCCATAACAAAGATCGCTTATCCGATAAAAAAATGATAATATCGATATGAATATGATATACGTGAGGACCTAGATAATATATAGACACAAAATAAATATAAGTATATTTATCGTTATACATATCGTTTTAAATATAATTGACAAACTCGTTAAATATTTTATTATATTATACTGTTATACAAAGTGCAAACGAAAACCCAATGTAATCATTTTTTTTCAAGATGTGAATGTTTTGGAGCATTTTTAAATACCGAAAAGATGTTTTCTGGGGGGGGGATACATCATAGTATAACTCTATAGCTCTTATAACCAACGAGTAAAGATTCCTTACTTTGCTCAGAATCTAAAAAAAAAAGGAATGATCCCTTTTATTATGAATTATATTTGTTCAATGAAGTAAAATATATTCTCCTTTAAAAATATATCCACTATGGTAAACGTTTTAACTTAGCCGTCAAGATTTAAAATATCTACGTGACGTTACAGTTTAACGAGTTTGTCACTAATAAAACTTGTTAATTAAAAATTACTAAATTTTAAAAACCATTATAATAAATTATTTCCTCTATTTCCTGCAATTCCCGTTACAGAAAGTCTTAAACTGTAATTTATGATAAATTATTATAAATATAAATAATATAAATATACAATTTATGGATATACTACTCACCTCTTGCACTAATAACATGAATACTAAAACCAAATAATAACAAAACTGAAAGTATACATCATGATCTGCAATGTTTTTTACATTCGTCATTTCATAGATAATAATGACAAATGGAATGTTACAACATAATCTGAAATAACAATATTTTAAAAATTTGTGAATATCAAATTTTAATTTATAATTAGTGAGCTATTCATTTGTACAAATGCCTTTTTTTGCTTATTTTACAGAATTATGTAACAATGAACTCAGTATAAATTTTTTTCCTTTATTTTAGGGAATTTTAGTAATTTATATACGCTTTTTTGAATGTTTAAGTGCTTTAAATTATGTATAACACACGGACTACATTTTGACTGTAATATGCATGATGATGAATTTTTAATTCGAAAATTAAATTAATTAATTAATAATTAATAATAAAATAAATTAATTTTTAATTCTAAATACCCCTCGTTCATAATATCCTCTATTCGAAATAACTTATTCTCAAATATCTCTTATTTACTCTCTAATATTCCAAGGTCAAAATATTCCTTTTCGAAAAATTCCTTGTTCAAAATATGTCACAGTAAATCCCTTCTAAACAGTACATTTTAAAATACATTTAAAAATAAATAAATAGGTTAATAAATTATCATATATGAGGTGATAATTCTATGATATTCTTTGATATTTTTATGATACAACCGAGATTATAGTATTATAGTATGAACGTATTTTTGATTTCTGAAACAAATTTGAAATCAAATTTAACTTTAGTTAATAGTCGAAAAGGTGTAAATAAACGAACTTGGCAATTTTGACGTGAAGATCATTTCGGCGTATGGGCATCTCGGCGTGAAATATAATTTATTAACTGTCCGTGTTTTTATGAATATGGTTTAATATTAACCTAACCTAAGCTAATCTAACCGCTTTCGAAATTTCTAATGAATATAATATATTTTTTATGCATTTAGTGTAGGTAAACATATATATTTTATATAATTTCATAACTATATTCATTTTGAGTATTATTTATATACTAGCTATGGGTTAAATTTTGAAAAGACAAAAAATGGTAATAACGGTAAACTAGTTAAAATTTAAACATTTTTTTTTTCGTCGAAATAGACTTCACGCCGAAATGGACTTCACGCAAAAATGTCCTAGACTGATAATTAAATGTATTTGACACTGTGTTACATCCAAGAATTTTACAATGTATAGTTTGTATTGTACTAAACTTTATTTGTTCATTCATTTTATTTGCTGCTACATATTTTGAATGAAAATTTTTGTGTATATACAGGATATTTCCAATGGAGATATTATAATGTGGGTCATTTTAACCATGGAATAGTGTGAATAAGAGTAATTTTAATGCATGGGGTATTTGAAGAGGAAACCGCATTTTTATAGTATTGGAATCGTCCATTTAATGTAAAAAAAAAATAAATTTTACCTAATAAATATGACTAATAAATAAACGTTTATCGAGTTTGAACCCGCCGTGTATTTCGCTGTAAAAAATGGGATTATCATCTTCACTGCGTACATCCCTGTGTTTATTACGGCTATGTCATCTTTCGATACACCATAGTCAATGAGTTGTAAACTTGTCACAGATTCCGTTGCGGCAAATCCAATCTGTAATCAGCACAAAGACTAGACTAATCAATACGGTTTTATTTGATTATAATACTTGTATAAAAAATATATTTACTTTTGCTGTCAATAATGCTATGGCTAATTTCTGGACGCTGCGCAGCTTAAAAGTTTTAAACAATAACGTATAATTTTGTTGTATGTTGAGCTTTACATATCCGTCAGATAGTGTACAATCTTTTTCTTTTTTGAACACGGCAATCAATATTGTTACCAGTAAATAGAAAACGCCCAAAAGGCGAAACAGATCTGAAATACACGTTTGAAGACATTTTTATTTAAAACTATTATAATATAATAGAAATAGAATATACAATAACGTATACAGGATTTTTTTTCAGGGAGAGGGAGAGGGTTGTTTATACTAATTTTCTAGAAAGGTGATAGCACATATTTTTAGTACAGTACTATCACTATTATAATTGAATTAATTATTTTCGATGAAATTAAAATTTATTTTATCCTGTGGTATAAGATATTATGTTGTGAAATATATAACTTCATTTAAAAAAAGGCGTCCTAGGATAATGGAGTAGGTTGAAGCCACTGTTATGTGTAATTTAATGTATATCTGTAATCACCGATAAACCATTGCTAACGAAAAAACGATTCTGAGTGCAGTTCAATTGATAGTGATCAACAATATATATGTTATATTATGGTAAAATAATTAAATAGGCATTATATATTTTCTTTAATAATGTTTGTTTAATATTGTAATGATTTTCCCATGTTTTTTTCCCGTTTTTTCCTATTTATTTGGAAAACTCCTGAGAAAATCGAAAAATTACCTCCCTAACGTACATTTCAGTCAAATTTTTCTTTCAGAAAAAGTGCTATCATTGTAAATCGGAGCGAAATTGCTGGTAGAAAAGTTGTATACAGAAAAAAAAAGCCATAATATTTTTTTAATAATACCAACATTTTGTACCTTTTCCGTTTTTCGGACATTTTATCCCGGTTTTTCCCAGATATTATAAATACCGCTTGAAAAATCAATAAACGACTTCTCTAAATTATCTTGGAGCTAAAATTTCCTTTCAAAGAATAAGTTACACTTGATACGTCAGAGCAAGATTTCTGGTAGAATAGTTTGCACAACAAATCGAGGGGACTTTGAGATTAAAATAGTCTGATGAAGCGATGGTTTGGGTCCTTAAGTACATCCAAAATGCATTTATTTTTTCCTTGTTCAGGTAAAAGAGAAACAAAATGCAAACATTTGTTGATGGGTGTAATCAACTTTGTATTTACTTTAATTTGATAAATAAATAATAAAATTTCATTATTTATTTCATAATAGTCGAAAAAACAGAAATCAAAATCACTTAAAATTCTCCAAGGAAATCACTGGTTTATGTTACAGAGCACCTTGTATGTTTCAATAAAATGAAACAACACCATTTTCTAATGAATTTTAGATAATAGTTTTACGAAAAAAAAAAAATCAATAAACCATCAAAAATAATGTATATTATAAATATTAGTACTTTGAGTTTTTTGAATAATATTTGTTTGAAAATTTTGAAATATAAGGAAACTTTCCATTTGTTTAAATATTAAAATCGACGTTTAAACATATATTTATTCGAGAAATTATTATTTAAAAAAATTATGCACAGCTAATATCTATTTTCTCAAATTTTACACTTGTTTAAAAAACCAACACTATATGAAAGTCTCTTGCTTTGTTAATAGGTATACTCACTAACCTTTCAGTGTCGTCATTCCTTCCTCGTGAGGTGTGGCCCACAAGTATTTGTTGCTAAATTTTTTGGACGTTAACAACGTAGAGCATATTGTACCTATCATCAGGCCTATGGCTATACCCGATGTGTTGCACGTGGAGGCGTAGCCCACGTTTTTCCTGTACATATGTATCAGGCGAAATATTATAATATTAAAGCTAATAAAGGAAATCGGTAATTACATTATGGTACAGACTTTTTCAGTATCGTGAGTGCCCAACCATCAACGACGATATCTTGTGTGGTAATCAAGAAGGTACAAATGGAAAATATGTACACCAACCGTTTGATTTTCGGTATTCCTTTTTCGGGCAAAATATTGTCGATATCACTGGCAATATATATAAAACACATTCCTGCATAATTCAATAACATACTTATTACTTTTCGACTTTCAAATAATAAGAGCAACGATATTTCAGTGGTGCGTGACAAAATCCCAAAAGTATGCAAAGTATTTTAAAGCAATAAATGCTGTGATTTGTATGATTTTCGTCTAAATTTGACCTTAAAAGGTTTATTAAAAACCGAATAAATTATCGAATATTACATTTTTTTAAATTAGTCTACCGTGGCCGGTACTGACGTAAAAATTTGAAACCTCTCCCGGAGACGATAGGGGTCCTAAAATAATTGAAAATGTAAAATCCAAAATCCAACAAATTTGTCTAAATAAATTAGCATATTTTTTTATGGAATCGGACAATGTGCCGGTGCAGCCACAAAGATGGCACCAGCATATTTTTTTGTGGATTTTAGAAGTTTAAAATACTTTAGCATAATCCAAAATTTCCCAAGCAAATTGCTAGCTAAATTTTGATGACAATTGTATATGTTTAACACAATGTGCCGCTATCAATTTCATTCAAGTAAAAACTAAAAAAAACTTCAATTTTTCTAATATTTTTCAATAGCTAACAAATCATTAGCTTAGAAATGTACAAAATGTTATTAACATTATAGCACGTTTAAAATGTACTAATATACTATGTAAAAATGTCAGATCACTACAGTTACTTCTAATTAAATCACCTCCATTGTTATCCAATTATTAGAAAAATTGCATAAAAAATAAAAAAATGATCTTCTTAATGCACAAATTATAGACGTAATTTGTCACCACAAACCACCTCGAAATTTGATGGTCAGATCCAGAATTTTGATAAGAAAGTTATTTACAGACACAATTATTTTAAAAAAAAAATCATTACCTAATAAATCTAATATTTTCCTCGCTTCACTCAGGATCTAAAATATATAAATTGTTCTTGGCCCATTGCTTGAATTGGAAAAAAAAATAGAAGGCCCATGAGACTAAAAAAAATATAGTATATCTTTACAATGACCCTTGTGAGACTTCGCCCACCCTCCCTTACACAAATTTTTAATTATGGTAATTTTAATTATCTCTATTATCGCATGAGGGGGAAACTTACTTAATACAAAAAAATTTATAATGATGAAACTTTATAATATCTGAACGATAAAATAAAAAAAAAAAACGTTTTTTCGTTATCTAACCCTAAATTTAAACACTGGTTATTGCCGACAGCTTCCAGATGACGGCGTTACATGCAGTGGAAATTGATCAACGTGTGTTTACATACCTATTAAAAATTGAACCGGTATGAGCCAAGATTTGCGTCTTCCCAACTTTTGTACGTAAAACGTGTCCACCAATGGAGCCCATAATAGTTTTATACAGTATGGCACCCCTACTAGAGTGAACAATGCCTGAAACGAGAACATAATAACGCGAGTTGAAAGTTTCAAGATATTATTGAAATATGCCCGGTATAACATATACACGGTGTAACATGAAGATCTGACACCAAAAATAACTTTTGTTCTAATCAATATTGTCAAGTTTTTTTTCTTCTAATAATTTATAGAGTTTTGCCATTTGATATCTCTATTTTCTATTATTAAAAACATATAAGAGCTAGAGACAAGTGCGGCCACTGTTGTAGATAGGCAGTTGAGAAGATGGGTCACATAAAGTTATTAAATTTATACCTGTAACCAATGATAAGCCATCACTAACAACAAACAATTTGAGGCGAAGAATTCGATTATATATGTTTTGAAAGGCCGTAATATTTACGATTTTCGTCAAAATTTGATTTAAAACTCTTATAAAAAATACTACATTACACTAAATTTTTTTTTAAGACTAAGTACTACATATGAACCTTCTATCTAATTTCCAAGTATTTTTATTTAGTCTAACAATTTTATCAGCAGATACCTACCAAATAATATTAAGTAAAAAACTCGCATAATTAAAATGTCTATAAATAGCTTATAAATGGCTCGAATGTTTTGAATATGTTACCACGTCTAAAAAAGCAAACAGTAAAGTTTTCTGTCAAAATTTCAAGTTTACGAGTATTTTTAACTAAATGACATAAAAAAAACAAAATTTAAAAATAATAAAATAATTTTTTTGTAAATTTTCCCGTTCTTTATACGTATTTCTTAGTTTTGCTCAATTATTAAAAAAAACTATAACGAGAATCAAAAAACGACTTCCTTACTCACTATCTAGATAAAAGCTACAACAAAAAACGTCGGTGTTGCTTTTTTTGGAACAATATTTCTGGTAGGAAACAGAAAGCGTGAAAATTTAAAATAATGATATCGGTAACGCCGTAGCATGTCGTAAATATTTGCCGTTTTTCCAGATTTTTTCAATTATAAAACTTCCATAGAAAACAAAAAAACCTATCCATTGCATCAACTAGATAAAATTTCCTTTCAGAAAAAGTGCAGCACTTGAAATAACGAAGTAAGATTTCTGATAGAAAAATTGCTCACAGACACAAAAAAATACAAAAATTAAAAATACAAAAAAAAAAAAATACTTCATAGTAAAACCAATAAATCCTTTGTTTCGCTTCGAATCTAATTTTAGTTTGCAAAAATACAAAATATATATAATAGAGGAATCATAGTACAAAAAAAAAAAAAAACATATTGAACAGTATAAAAGTTATTTCAGATATCAGTTCTTTGTGTTACAGCCTGTATATATACTGAATATTTTGATAAATTTTTACCTGTTCCTGGTAAGTCACGTTATTTTTACTTTGCATAATTAATGGTATTCCGTTGATTATGCCCAACGGCAAACCTTGCATCGTATATAGTAAAAGCAGAAGGGAAAAGTTCAGCCAATCTCCTTTTAAATTCGGTTTTTCATAATTTGTTTCCGAATCGTTGTTTCTCACCGTGACGGTGTGACATCGGTGTTTTTGTTCGTCCGCACAGTTCATTTTCGTGGACTTCATAATATCCATCAAATATTGTCGTCGTATGCCTATGCATATATTATATGATTGACAATATTAAAAACTAATGAAATAGGTAAAAAAAAAAACAATTATAAACGTAAAACAGATCGCTGAACGGTTTACATACCTAATAAACATTATATACACTATAGGTACCTAAGTAATAATTAAAACTCGAATGAAGTATATCATTCGCAAGTTTATACAACGGATCTTATCTCATTAAAATATTTTGTCGACCTCAACAAATTATTTTTTAACAATTTCCTCAGAGAAAGGTAACGTTATACCGAGGTACGTACTACATACTTGGTTAAATAATATTCAAAACTAGATAATCGTTTATCTAGGCACCTGTTTTATAATGAATATTCTATCATTCACACGTTAATTACGATAATTATATTTACGTAAGTACCTAAATAATAATAAAAAACTTATATAATTTTAGTTGTTTTGACACTTGCAGTTTGAAACGTCTAGGACATCATATAAGGGCTGCGTGAAATTGGCTCTTCCTAGGTCCAGCCTTTAATAACTCCTTATTTATTTATTTCGTATGGCTGGAGTACAAATCAACACAGTTAAGGCCACAATATATATCGAATATAAATCATAACATGAATACAAAATAAAAATAAAAATAACTACAATTAAAAATATAAATATAAAATAAAAATAAATAAATAATAAAAGTAGGGGCACGTGGTCATTATTTACATATAAAATCCATAGTCATAAGGCAATGTCTAGTTCTCGAATCCATTCTAATGCTTCATTATTTGCCGCATGAATTCCCTCAATGCCCCGATTGAACCTCCTTTTTGGGCAATCTTCCACAATATGGTGAATTGTTTGGTTATCGTGACCGTACGAACCATACATCTCGTGGTAAATCAGTGCCTTCTACACCTTTATTAGGGTCTGACACTAGACCACTATTTTTTACATCTGTTGATGTCCAGTTTTCGCGCCATTCTTTTGTACCCTCAAAGTTTGATAGTGCCAACTCCTTAGCTTTGGTCCACGGGGGCTTCCTTGATTTTAGCCTGAGGTTAGGTGTATTTCTCAGCATTCGGTATAACAATGACCTTTTCGTCTTATCAGCTTTGGTTGTTGTTCTAAGCAGTGCCACCTTCCTGCGTAATGTTGGTGGCAGAATATTAGTTAAGACTGGTAACCATTGTGTCGGTGTGCTTTTTACTGTTCCACTAACTATTCTCATTGCGCTGTTGAGTTGTGTGTCTATTTTTTTCGTATGTGTACTGTTACACCAGACTTGAGCACTGTATTCTGCGGTACTGTAAACTAGGGCCAACGTAGCTGTTCTTAGAGTCCTGCCATCTGCTCCCCAGCCCGTACCGGCAAGTTTCTGTATTATGTTGATGCGTGAATGTAGCTTCTTCGTTGTTTTCTCGATGTGTTCTTTAAAGGTAAGTGAGCGGTCAAGAGTAATTCCTAGGTACTTGGGTTTGAAACTGTGTTGGACTTGAACACCATTGAAAACCACCTCTAGTTCTTCATAAGCTTGTTTATTATTTAAATGGAATAACTCCTAACTCCTTTGTTATTAACCTGCAAATTCTGGAATTGAATAGTATTTTCGTAATTAACAAACTAGCCTTCACTTGCTTGAACAAACCATAGTAATTCGTTTAATTACATTTTAAATAATCTCTCCTATTAAAATAAATTATTTCTATTTAAAACGAACAATTTTTATTTTATTCTCTTCTATGTATCCCTTTATTTAATTTCTTATATTCAGTCGCGTTTTACATTTTGACTGTGATGTACCCGAAAATGAATTTTTAATTAGAAACCGTTACTCATAATACTCAAGGCGAAGCATTTATTAATTAATTAATTTTTTATTTTTAAATATACATTTTATATTTAAATCGTAAATATTCTTATAAAATTCACTACCGGGTGATTCTTTTATCGTTTAACACTTATTATTTCGAAAAGTATTCATTATTTAAGTTTTTTTTTTTTGAAAACTCAAGAAACAAATATTTCTAAAATTTTACACCATCATTTTTTTTGCCCTTATTTTTGGGGATGAATCGATTACCAAATTTTGATTTTCAAATGACAACCTATGTTGAAAATGCATTTAATAGATAAAGTATTAATATCAAAAGTATGTAGTCGTTTTACTCCCAAAAATTAAAGTGACAAAATAATGTAAATGTAAAATTTTAGAGCTACTTGTTTCTTAAATTTTCTGTAAAACGTATGCTGAAAAAGTTAATATTTTCCAAGATAATGAGTGTTTCACAATAGAAGAATCATCCGGTATATGTATATATTTAAAATTACCATTTTAGTAGGTATAACATTTAATTACACGTCATGAACGTAGTTTATGTATGTCACATTGCAATCGGTCCGCTGGTTCAGAAGTCTATTATACGAGTATGCAAATGTGTATTGAATTTTATGAAAATATTTGTGAATTATAATCATTGTAGGATTTCGAACCATGGTGGTTTTTCTTCGAGAAGTCAAAATAAATTGCAACAACCACCCCCTCTCCACCTCCCCACCGATGAAATTTTTTTTTTGCTTGTATATTGCTTCAGAACATTTTACTATGGTTAATTATGTAAAGGTTATATGTATGTAATCAATAAATTGAGTTTAAAACTGATATATAAATGATTGATAGGTATAATATATTTTTATGGTTGTGCATAAAATTTAACTTAAAACGATTTTTTGAGCACCTTGCCAATTTATTTTACACGAAGTCTTAGTACCTCGGAAAACAATTTAATTTAAATTTTGTTCTGAGGCACTTTAGATTAATTCAACTTAATAAATAGGTCTTACATTTGTCTGGGGCTTTTAAACATCATATTGACGGTCAATACTCGAATGAGGGGGAGGGGGGAGGGGTGTAGGAAGACTCTGTACATCAACTAATTTTTCAGAAACATTAGCAAACCAATATTATTTATTTTAAGTGGAACGCATGAAAAAATAACTATTTTTTATGTTTTTAACAAAATGTATTTTCAATCAAATTTTAACTTTTAACGCTTATAAAAAAATAACAACATTATTACGTTCATTTTTTTTTACTACTAATTGCAACTTATGTTAAAATTCCAAAAAATTTTGATTGACCAAAACTATTTTCATTACATAAAACCAAAATCAAAAAACCTAAAAAACACATTAAAATGTCTATAAATAATTGAAATATTGCCATATTGTTTGAAAATAATACCATTTCTCGGATGAAAATTCAATATACTTTAAATATCCACCGTGGCTTTTATTCACATTACAACAATTTATCATGTATATTTCGATTTCTATATTGAACAAAACATTTATCGCTACACATTTTTTTATACTAGATAAAACGTTGGGATCGTGAGAAATTTAAAAAATGTGAAATCAACTAGATACACGTCTTATATTGTTATAGGTGTAATAATACTTATAAGTACATATACTATCATTTGGAAAACAGAGATAAAATGTGTATATATATAATATATACATATGTATAGGAAAATGTAAGAATATTAGATATTTTTTAACTGTGCAGACGAGAAATATGCACTCACGATTCAAACCTTATTGTTATGCCAATATTTTCTGAATATTTAGTATAACATCACATTATGTTGTACCGTACCTAGACTACTCGTCGATCGACAGTACGATTTGCCAATTTAACCTACGCACGATTTATCGTCACATTCACATTTAAATAGTCCCATAACAACTGTTACTGTTTATAAACACGGAATTTGTTAATCTTTTGAAATCATTTTTAATTATATTTGAAAATCCCAGGATCTATGCTTATTAATCAGGAAATAGATTAATATGCATTTATAATTTACGAAAAAACTCTATAAAAATCACTTAAAAATACATAAAAAACAAGTGGCTAGAGGGGTTTATAAGTCACCCTTTCAACGATATTAACCTTATTAAATAAAATTGTCCAATACTAAAAAATGATTTTCCAAAGTATTTTTATTATTACCATGTACAGTTTTATTTAAAAAAAAATTACTTTTTGTTAGTGTTAGACAATTATTTTTAATAAGTTAAAACCATTACAAGGTGGGGCATTCAAACCTTTCTACTGTTTTTGATTTTTAAAATAATTTTTAGGATTTTTTGACGTTTTTAAGCACTTTTTTGTGAATTTTAAGTGCATATAAATCTGTTCCTTACTAATAATAAATCAATATAATTTGTGTGTACACAATGCCGGCAGAATTTTGTTATACAGATCTATTTTTGTGTTTGGCTTGGGATCTTATTGTTTTATCGTTTTTAGCTGCTATATAGGTATATAGGTAAATTTAAATAAACGTTCATAGATACCTACGAATATTATTCTTTAAATAGACTTAATAAGATAAAGATAAGATAAATTCTTTAAATAAATATTAAGTCAAAAGTTTCATTTTAAGTTGTTTAGAGGAATCGCACATATCCTTGCTTTTTTATTAGATTAAATTGAAAAAAAAACAAAACATTTAAAAAAACGATTCTAAGCATAACTGACACAAAATTTCGAGGATACAAAATTAGCCCACTGCCAATAAGTGAACTCTGGTATATGCTAACGGGTCTCTGTAAATAATTTTATTTACTTTTATTTTCTTACTGTCAACCATATTCGTATATTTTGTCGAATCATCACTGTCGATCTATTTTATAATTTGATGTGCCGGCTTAATATCGAGTCTGCCAATTTTCGTAGATCCTATTGTGCGGAGGTATCGACGAATTGAGTAGCATATTTTGAAACTCGCGATAGAAAGAAGCTCGGTGTAACGAAAATCTCGATATAATGAACGAAACTGCTGTTCTTTTGAAAATCTTGTGATGTAACGAACAATTAAATATATTTTTGTCCCCTGATTAAACGTAGTTGTTTAGGCCAAAGTTCTCGAGATGTAACGAATTTTACAATTTCGGAGCTTGATATTACGAATTTTTAATTTTTATTAAGTTAAAATACACTTCTGATAGTGTATAATGGCTTGGGAAAAAAGCATAATAAAAATAAATAGCTTGCAATTAAGAAGTTTTTGGCATACATATCACAGTATATTATCGCTTTTAAGATACGATAAGATGTTGGTAAATATATAATAGCTATACGAAAAATGTACAGGAATATGCTTTACATTACTCTTCATATAATATGTATATGAAAACTAAATATTGACTTACTTTGATATTTTATAAACAATATATAATATATATTGTAATTTTACTATTTATATATTGTGTATTGGTTTAAATTTTCCTTATAATTTCGTTAAAACGAGTTTTTTTGGTTTACTCTTGATATAATAAATTTCGATGTAACGAACTTTCATTTTTTCCCAGGCCCTTGGAATTCGTTATATCGTGAGTTGACAGTATTTTCAATATTTAAGTTCGCGTTAAAAGCTTGTCGCCCTTACCATGATTTCACCACGTTTTCGTATTAATTTTACAAAAATAAACAACGCAATCGTAGGCAAATAAAAAACACAATAATAATATATTCTATATAAAATATAGGTATTTGGAAAAAATGTTTTTTTTTTCTTTACTGACATTGTCTTGTAAGTGTTTCAAAACTTTTGCCGGAGCATTTTTTTCATTATTTTGTGTAGGAATTAAATTAATATTTTTTTTAATACAATGTTTAAATGCTTGTATACATTATGTATACTGTACAGTGCTGTACTATAGTGCTAGATACTTTCTAAATAAATATATCTGTATCTGTTATAATGAAGTGGATAATACCCATTATTTATTTTATATTTACCAATAATTAACCAATATTTTAATATTGTTATATATATTATAACTCATAACTTTATAAGAATAAAATTATATTTGAAAATTGACATAAAAATGTAGATAACAATTATTGTATAATAAATTATGTACCCACTAATTGTTTTATTATAAATTTATAATTTTATAATTCTATATTTTTAATGAATTAAATATTTATAAAAAAATTATCTGTTTTCTTAAATGTATCTTAAGCTACTTGTATCTAGATACTAATTTATAGTATCTTATTACAGCATTAATCATGAATAGGTTTATTTTATTTATCTTTACTACATAGAAAAACGTATAGGTACTTATTACATGTATTATGCTAATTCGAATCGAGGATAAATTCAAAAATAAAAATAAAAAATTTTAATAATTTAATAGTATTATAAAAAACAAGATATTTTACAGACTAGATTACATAGACGTGAGTAATGGCACAATTCCTATTGTGGCACAATAATAAACACAATAGGTATTGATTGTATAAATAAATAAATAAATGTAAAATAAATATTAAAGAAACGAGTGTCGTGACCAGGCACGTATACGGGGGGGAGGGTTCAACCCCCCTGAACATGAATAGTTTTGTAATTTATTTATATCACATTTAATTTTTTTTTATAACAATTGATAAAATTGGTAATATTGATTGTTGTAAATTTTTTATGACCCCCCCCCCAATTTTTTTTTGTGTACGCACCTAGTCATGACGATAAAAATAAAAAAAAATTTTGCAATACCGTCCAACATCTCGTACTAAAGTCGGTTAGAAATTTCCGGCAGCAATGTCCATTACGTCCTGGCTAGGTCCTGATTGGAACTTTGGGATGTTGCTTCTCATCTGCGGTTGGATCTGATGCAACTTGCAATGACAGTTGATCACTACCTTTATGACGTTGTTCAGTGTATTACCGTCGCGGCATTTAAGCTGAACACGTACAAGTTTCGAGTCGCCGTCGACGCAGTGCAGAGCTTCCACCTGAGGAGAAAATTGGTTTCTTAGATTCTAAGCGTAGCGAACTAGTGAGGAATGTATTGGTTTTACTACGAAGGTTTTATTTTTTATTTTTTTTTTTTTTTTTTGTCTCCATAAACAGCTTTTCTAACAGAAATCTGCCTCCGATCGTCAACTTTCGGGGTGGTTTTTGGTAGCAAATTCATCAAGTTGATACATAGGAGAGGTAATTTTTTTTAAATTTTCCTTATAGTTTTCTCGATAAATAGGAAAAACTGGGAAAAAAACGTCAAAAAAGTGAAAAAAATGTTATAATTAATCATAGAGGTTCAAACATTCCGTCGATTTTCGAAGTATATTTATAACCATTTTAGATTTTCTAGATTTTTCGTTTTTATTTGATATTTCATCGTTTCTTCATTTTTCTTTTTTATCTCTCTAATTCAAAGATAACACTCTGTAGACTCAAACAAAATCATTTTTGTATAAACTTTCGACAAAAAAAAAATCGCTATCAGCGTACCTGTTCTCCCGTCGACCGCTGCGTCTTGCCGGACACTGGACTTGCCGAGGAATACACCAAACAACGGTCGGCACACACGGCTTCCTTCACGGGCTTGATGGTCACGCACTGTCCGTCGGTAATGTGCTTGGACGACCGTAAGTTGCAACTCATGTCTGAAAAACAAAATAAGTAAATTTCATTGTAATATATCAATAACATTTAATGTAATAGTATGGAAATAAATGATTATGGATACCTGCAGGCTTTAACTTACTACAACAAAAAAAATTTGTTCTTTCTGTTGATTTTGTTTGGAATGTAATAAATACCTATACAGTTATTCCAGTAAATGGTGGTTGAATAAATTTAAGCCGTGAGGGGTGGAGAAAGGAGAGTATAAGAATAATTTTTAAAAACTATTGGTATTTACATCATTTTTTTTATATATATATATAATTATAAAGATATAATATACATAATATACATGGTGAATTTTTAAGAATATTTTCCTCATTTTTATGGTTAAATCACACATAAATTCAAAATTTGATTTTTGGAAGTGTTATGAAAAATCTAAGTGTTATCGTTTTTCACTAGGCTTGAAAATTCCAAAAATCAGAATTTAAATAATGTAGAATTGAACCATAAAAATATAATGAGCACTAAACATGCTTAAAAAATCACCCTGTATTTTATTTAAACTATTTAAGAAAAATGAAGTAATGGAGGATATATCCTCCTCATCGCCCTCCATTTGACCGACCCTGATTCCATTGATTCTTCACGGGGACAGTGCGGGACAGTGCCACCCTACTCCCATCAATAGCATTTCGGTATCTCGGGGGAAAGGAAGGGTGGTTGAATGATTTTTACATTTTATTTTAGAATAATCTATGGAGACTGACTTATAAACATTTCCCCACTTTTTTTTTCTGATGAAGGCGTACTGGACCGAACTAAGTAAAGAACCTCAGAGTTATTCAATACAGTTTTTCTTATAAATCATTACATTTAATAATTATCATTAAAGTACTTATAGTGCATGGATTGTTATGTGCTTGCAAAAGATTATTTTGGACAAGAATTAAATAACAATTTGTTTGAATTAAGGCACAATAAATTCAGTATATTCGTGTTTTAAGTCATAAATGTAGGGACACATTGAGACCCACTAGTATAATTATTATTAAGAAATACTAGTGTTTACTTGGACTACCCTTGTAATACCACCGGGACCCAATTCGGATTTATCCAGTCATTATATAATAGGTATTTATTATTTTAGATATACACTATGAAAGAAATAACATGCGTGTTTAATATAAGTAAATAAAAAGGTATAAGTACGCCTGTATAATTTCTATATTTATTGTTCGTGAACATTTTTTCTCGGAGATTTATTAAATTTATTATTGTAAATATTAATCCAAAAATGTTTGTAATTTGCAAATATTATAATATGGTGTTAACATATTTTCCAAAATATCGAGTTTTCATTTAAACGGATATTATTAAGTTATTGTTTTCACCTGTATAAACAAGTTCCGAGCATTACTGTTTTGTGAGTTAGCTAAAAATAGCAATGATATGTTTACGAGTTTGGGATATCAAATAAAATGTTTGAACGAGACCCGAGTTTTTGCATCAGACTTTTACATTTTCTAAATACCACGTTATTATGTTTGTATGAAATTTTATCAACTATTATATATTTTATACGTGAATTTATACAAAAACATTTTATTTATTATAATGTAATGAGTCTATAAAGTGTTTATTTAATCCAATTAACCATGACAACTGCAACGAAGTCAGCAAATGGATAATAAAATAATAAAATATTCTATTTGATTAGAAAACGAAATTTTATGATAGAATTCTCTCTTTAGTAATGTAAGTACGCGTGCCCGAGAAATTCAAAAATTTATGATCACCATTAATCTACTTTAAATGTTTTAATGATTTTATTATCGATGGGATTTGAAATTGGCCCACTTCAATTTATGAAATGACGAATACCTATACCTATCTGCATTCATTAAAATGTATAATTTTAAATCGTTTTTAAATTTTTCTAATTTGTACGTACAATTTTCACGTGTGATCATAAACCAAAAGAAATTTGTTAAATAATAAAAAAAATCGTATATCGCTCATTTATACACTTTCTATAAACTTGATATAATTTTTAAAACATTCTGTCATTTTATGAGTTATAAAAAAATATTCTAATTTCCGGATTTTTTTTTTTTTAATTCCGAGTATAGCGAAGAATGTATTGGTTTTACTAAAATGTTTTTTTTTTATATATACTGTGTACAAAAATTCTACCAGAAATCTTACTCGATATAGACGCGCGGCACCATTTCTAAAAGGAAATGTTGTCCGGATGGTAATTTTAGAAGGTTATTATTTGATTTTTTAAGTAATTTTCATAATATCTGGGAAAAACCAGGATAAAACGAAAGAAAAAAAGAAAATTTACGAAAATAATGCTTTTATTATTTTTCAATTTTGTTATTTGTTATAATTCAATTAAAAATATTTGAAGAGACTTGAAAGTTGAAATAAAACTTATATTTCCCTTTTTTAGATATAATTAAATTTTCAAAAACTTTTTACGATTTTTAAGCTTTTTATAAAAATTATAATATTTTTGTTGAAATTTAATTAAAAATAGTTTTATCGACTCTATAGACTTAAAATTTGAACAGAAGATTTATATTGCTTTTTCTAGACGTGGTGAAGTTTTCAAAAAATTTAAACCATTTTTGAACTATTTATAGACATTTTAATTTTGCGAGTTTTGTACGATATTTTTATTCGGTAAGTACTCTGTGGTAAATTGTTAGACTTAACAGAAATGCTTGAAAATTTAACAGGAGGTTCATTAAATCTTACTTTGTGGTAAAAAAAAAATTGAGTATAATGCACTATTTGTTTTTATAAAGGAATTTCGTTACTATTATTTGACGAAAATTGTAAAAAAGTAAAAAATTATGTGGAACAAATCTAATTTTTTATTTTTGTTTTTCGAACATATGTGTATTGCAATTACATATGTGTATAATTTAAGAAGGATGGTTAAGTCAGAATTGAGCAGACTGACTAAGGTTCGAAACTATATCTTTTTGAAGTTCAGGTATTATGCAGGTATTATATGTTATGTTAAATAATTATATTGTTAAATTTACTATACGTTTGTTGTATTCGAATGGTCATGAATACATATTGTCATACTAGGCGTCGTGGGTTCAAACCCGGGGTTTGAAAAGTCTTGCTCCGATGTATTAAGTGTAGCTTATTTACGAAAGGAAATTTTATCTCCATGATAATTTGAGGAGGTAATTTTTTGATTTTCCTAAGAATTTTCCCAACAAATGTAAAAAACCAGGAAAAACATAGGAAAACTGGAAAAAACGTAGGGAAAACAGGAAATCGGTACAATATTAAACAAATATTATTAAAGAAAATATATAATGCCTATTTAATTGTTTTACCATAATAAGACAAAATTTGTCATATTATAACATATATATGTATATATATATATATTACAATATATTAATTGTTAACAAAACATCACTATCAAGTGAACTGCGCTCAGAATCGTTTTTTTGTTAGCAATGGTTTATCTTTGCTTACAGATATACATTAAATTACCTATAAAAGTGGCCGCACCCTACCCCATTATCGTTGGACGTCTTTTTTATTCTGAATATATAACTGTAAGCTATAGCCCTATAGGTAGTCAATAGTGGCACAACGGTTGGCTAGGTAAACAATATCAGTTTATTTTATTTGGATAAAGTTGTTCTGGCCCAGCAAATTTAATAGAAGGTTCATCATAATTCACAATGATTAAGAAAAAAAAATTGAGTGTTTTGTAATAATTTTTTTATAAGCGTTTAAACTTCAAATTTTAATGAAAATCGTTGAAATCACGTAATTTGCATACTAAATTTAATTTTACGATGTGGATTTATTTGCTCAATGCAAAATGTTCAATAATTTAAGATACAATGAAAAACTGTGGATAATTAAAATTTATTTGATATAATGCAATATTTTTAATTTAAATTTATCGTCAAATAGTCTAACTATCCGCTCAGATATAAAAAAGATAATCAAATTTTGTTGTTTTGGTTTTTTTTATATATATATATATATATATTACTTGGACAACAAAATATATTTATATTTGAATTAAATGTGTATGTTTTGGTAAAAGAAATTACTTTCGATTTTATTATTTTCGACAAATTTGAAGAGAGCCATTTCATAGAGTTTAAAAGTTTCAACTTTTTATTTTCATTAAATTCGTGATTTTTAATAATTGTTTAATGTTCAGACAAAAGTGTCTGTGTAATTATGCAGCAGGCTATAATCGCATTCGCTAATTGATTATTATTATGGTTAATGTATTCTTTTTTTTTCTCTTTGTATTTATCCTATACCTTAATAGTATTGAGAAGGAAAACGTTCCTTTTATAGGAACGAAGCTTAGAATGCATTCCATTTCAAATATAGGAACGAAAAACGGGTAATAGTTCCTATTATACGAGGAATATGAACACAAAATTCCGTTCCTCTTATTACGAAAAATAAAAACAATGAAACGCACATTATTTTAGTGATAATATTGTGTTGGTATCACTTCGTTGGTTACTAATAAATTACCACAATGGTAAAATTTCTCCATTTTTATTAACATACAATGTACATAATATGAAAATATAAACTACGCGGATGTATACTTAAATAACCGTATTATAAACAGTGTCTCGGTGATAAATGTTTAAAATGGTGTGGTGGTATCTACACAAGTGTAATGTGACTAACGTATTACTCATGAAAACCTCTACTGTCAAATATGTATACTTTTCCAAAGCAAATTAATGAGTAGTATTTTCAAATTAATAGTATAAACAAATTATTTTGGACGACATAAGGAAGATAACATATTCATAAAAAAAAAAAATAAATAATAGACATAATTCGCATATTGAATGAGCTACTGTTGAAGGTGAGAAATTGAGAAAATAAAGGGCAAATTTAATGTATGTCTGTACGCAACAATTAAGCATTGCCAACGAAAAACGATTCTGAGCGGAGTATTGACATATGACATATTTTGAAAGGCTGTAATATATACGATTTTTAAAATATACATTTCCCCGTTTTTTCCAATTTTTCCCATTTATTATGAAAAATCCTAGGAAAATCAAAAAATAACCTTCTTAAAGTACCACTCAGATCACTAAGCAGTCAGATTTCCTTTCAACAAAAGACTTACAGTTAAAAATTGAAGCAAAATTTCTAGTAGAAAAGTTGTTTTCAGAAGAAAAAAAACACTATTGTAATACCAATAAAAGGAACGCTTAAAGGAACAAGGAAGTGGAACGAGCTTCTTTTTTTAAATAAAAAACGAGGACCGTAAACGAATTCGTTTTTAAAAGGAACACTGCCAACATTGTACCTTAACGACTTCCCGTCCACAACAATGGCCTACTTACTAATATGAGCCTACTTTCTGCAGAATTTAGCAGTAACATTGATCTGTACAAAACACCCACAACAGACTGGCATTTTTTTTCTCCAAAAAATAAAACTATTATAAGACAGTATTTTTAATAGCCTAAAGAGTAAAGATAATCATAGTTCGAAGACTCGATCGAAGGTATTATTCAGCTTCCATCATTTGCCAAATCGATCGACATTACAATAATATTATAAATATAATTAACTTATGTATAGCATTATAGGTACATGAAAAGCTAGTCGTAAAAATAATTAAACACGATGATTTATTATCGAGAAAATTTAAATACTTGTCTGCTCGTAATAGTAGACACAGTTATAATAATGAACGGTGATTTCCTGTTACAAAGATGTAGGTAGATAATATATAGGTATAGTACTTATAGTAGTTATGGTAAGTTAGGTACTTGAAATGTACGATATTAATTGCATTCGCACTGCGGACTTTAGAATTCGATTGATATTATATAAGACAGTTACATTAATTTAAAAAAAAAAAAATTAACAAATAGATAAATTATTGTACGTTTAACATTTACAACCTGTTTATACACAGTGATAATAATATATACCTATATCATTTTATTGAATATTTTGTCCTAAATATTTAATTTGAATACAAAAAACAACTATAATATTGCTGTGTCGATTGGATAAAATATGTAGTTATTCCAATTAGGAAAAAAGTCGCCAAATTCTTCATGCAATTTTTGTATAAACTTCGTGAAACTCCAAAATCACGCTGCAGTGAACAGAAATCATGTTGGCACCTATAGATACTGAATATCTTAATGTACTACCTATTACCTATATCTGTAAAATAATTCGTAATCAAACATAAACTCGGTAAACGACACACATCTATACATATTTTTATTGTACCGTTATATTAGAATATTATTTACGATATGTCAGTGAGTCAACCACCGTGGACACTGGACTTTCGCAAATACAAATCCGGTTTTCTATCAAGATAATCAAAGTGCCCGACTATAATATTATAATCAAATTTGCATATATATTAATATAATATGAATACAATTGGAGTATACTTTAAGCGCTATGGAATCACAGTCGCAGCACAATAATAAAAAAGAATTTAGATATAATACGTCTTCTCGGAAGTGTAACTATCGCATGGGCTGAGGGGGCGACCGAGACAATCGCCTCGAAAGGAACAATTTGCTTATGCACTGGTGATTGTTGAGTATTTGATAGACAAATTAAAATTAAATCAATTTAAACGTGCACGTAAAGTAGGTCTATTAGCTAGCTATCTATGACAATTTAATTGACTGCTGTTCGTGTATGGCCTGCAGTAACAAACTGATAAAGCTGATAATATTATAATCATTAAGATAGTATACATCTATCCTCTTTTATGTAGTGTCACGGGGCACCTCCAGACCTCTTTCTGGCACGCATTCACATCACCATGACTTGTACATTTAATTATCATAGTTACCTTTTGTAAATATAAATTACAGATTGTACAATGTACGTTAAAAAAAGAACATAAAAGAAATAAGATGTACTTAATCAATGACCATACTTTGGTACTTTGTACTTTATAACAATTGTTATAACAAATTATCTCATATTTTCATAAAAATTGTTTAGATATAAATAAAAAGTACAATGCATACCTATGAATAATGTTGTAAATTTACTTTATTTAAAATTCAAACAAAATGTTTAGCGTAGTAAAATGTGGTCGGGTTCATCTTTTCCAAAAAAGAAACTATATGTCAGATATGCATGTTCAATACATTAAAATTCTTAGAATAATATCTATTATAGAGTGGCTATTTTTACCATTTATAAATGTGAACAAACAAAAATGCTTTTGTTTTTCTTGTGATTAAAAAATGAAAATAAAACATCAATTTTTCTCTAAATATATGTCTTTTTGATACAAAATCGTAATTCAAAATTTTAAAAAAATTGAATAATATAATAAATAATAACATCGGAAAAATACATTTGAACACCTTGTATATTATAGAAAAGTCTGATATTGCTGATGGGTGTGTCACTATTTTAATTGGAAGTCGGAAGGGAAGATATACAGAGTAATTTAATTTATACCTGTACGCAATGAAAAATCGTTTTGAACAGAGTATAATATAATAATCGTGTATTTTTCCTTGTTGCCAAAGTAACCCAAAAATCAACAAAAATTAAACTACAAGAAAAATAAAAAAATTACATCCTCAATGCACCAACTAGATCAAAAATGCTATAAGAAAGTTCCTATCGAGGTTTTGATTAGATTTCTGGTAGAAAAGTGGTTTACAAACACAAACAAACCACACACAAACACACACACACCATAATAAAACCAATAACTACATTTCTCGCTTTGTTCAGAATCTAAAATATCATTGCAATAATTACACGTATTCCATATAAAATGTAAAAAAAAAAATAAAAAATGCGTAAACGGAAACTGGTTCGAAAACAGACAAATACTTACGTGCCTATTATGCTGCTGACGATATCGAACCGTTCGTTGAATCACGTGAGCTTTTACGTGACACGTGACACGCCTAACGATTTGCAAAGTGAAACTTTCATAAATAGAACTATACCTATAAACGTTAATTAAATTCAACTCTGCACAATGACTTCTAAACCATTTCAAGTTCATCAAAATTCGACCCCATACCATACATATAAATCAGTGGTGTAGCTAGAGACTTTTTTCTAGGATATATAACTATTATATTTAATTTTTCTCACAATGAAAGTCATAGAGATTTAAAATTACTGTACATCTCCTGCTTCAAAATTCCAAACACAATAATATATTATATTATAATATTAATATGTGTGCATTGAACATACCATACCTACTAAAAATACAAATTATAAATATAATGTTAGTGTCCTAATACAGTTGCCCTTTACTGCCTCTTTTTAGTTACGCCACTGATATAAATACTCCCCAAATCAGCCGTGTGGCCAATGCACAATTAATAACAAACTAATGTGTATTATTTGTTTTGTTAAACAAATATGTTAATTTATAAATATAAATTACCAATTGCCGACTTACCTGTTTCAATATTGTAATTGTCCAAACTCAGGTCTACGTTGGGTCGGTTGGTTTTAAAATATGAGTCGATAATTTCATGCATGCCTGGAGAGGGCCTCGGCTTTACCTCACTTTGTTGTTTAGATGATTTGAGCATATCCAGCAAAAGCGATTTCAATACATCTTTTGCGTCCACGTCGTCAACCGGTTTATCCGTTTCGGATTCTGTTTCGTAATTCTTGGACGAGGGCCAGTCGTGAGAGCTAGAAAATCCCTTGTGACGGAAACCGTGCCCGTTCGATTCCTTGGGGGAGATAGAGTACTTGAGGTAACTGGGAAATTCTTTATGCGGTACAGCCGTGGATAATTCAAACGATAATCCAGCCATTTCGTGCACCGACGGCCTCGTTTCATATTTCCCCGCCGAGTTGTACAGCGGATGTGATTTCACGTCTTTTATCGGTGATACTTCGGTAGCCGGGTAGAACTCGCGAAACTGATCAGTGATGGGTTGGGCGTTAGCAAGATACTGTTTTTCGTGCTTGGACGATTCCGGTACTGCGAATCCGTATTTTATTTCAAGTTTTGGAGTATTATGTTGTACTTTTTGTAACTGTTTCGGGGGTTCGTATTTCATTTGATAGCTTATGGGTTTTTCGGTTTCTAATCTTTCGACATTGACGGGTGGCACATAAATCTGATCGATTCTGTCCCGTCTGTTATTTGTAGGATTATAACTCCTGCTGTCGTAAATGTCGGCCGAATAATCATCGTTCGACGGGTAATCTTCTTGCACCTTGTAAGAGCTTACAGACAACTGCTTCTCGGTCAACTTCGGCGTGCTTATTATTGAGGTTTGACCTACGTTGGACATTCTTCTGTTCTCTATGTTGTTGGCATCAACACTCTGTTTACTGTACGAAAACACCGGCGGTACGATTGGTCGGAACGAATCGTCTTGCACATAATCGCGTTGAGCCAAATTTCCGTCCAACATTTGTTTCGGCACTAATACGGTCGTAAACGGTTTCGACGCGTTGACTGAACTTACCTTGGTAGTTATGGTAGTAGTAGCATAAATCAAATTCGACGGCACTTGGCTTTGTGTTTTTGGGGCATTTTTTATTTTCGCAGTGCCGTTCGATCTCGACTTATTGTATTTCAAATCGTCATCTGTGGCGATAACCGTCGGTCGAAAATCCGAGATTATCTTGCCATTGCTCGTAGACGAAGCTACAGGCGTAATGAAGAGAGATTTCTTATCTTTTTGGTTTAAACTGGACGCGATAACGCTCTTGGTCGTTACCCAATTGGTGGTAGTTTTCACGATAGAAGAAGAACCGACCGTAGTTGGAGTTGTCGTGACCACGGGCTGCAGGTCTTGTTTTCGTTTACCTGCCGTCGGAGTGATAAATACACGTACAACATCCATCGGCGATTCTGTAACCGTTTTCGGAGGTTCCGTCATGAACTCGTTAATACCAGACGGATCGGTATAAACTAGCGCCGGGTATGCCCGTGGATGCTTGTACGTGAGATTTTGAGTGCCATTTCTAGATGTTGTCTTGTGATTTTTATACTGAACTTCGTCGAGCTTAGTACTGTTTTCCAAAGCACAGCAAACAATGCAAATGCTCGAAAGTACCAAAATCGACCACTTCATTATACTGAAATACACAATATAATTGTTATCTATATAATTGTATAAATTGTACAACAATATTTCTAAAGTTTTTTTTTTAACAATTTTTCATTATTTCCTATCGAATTCATTCAGAACGTTAATAGGTACTCGTATTACTCTATATACTATATAGTATATATTATGTATACATATATATGTATACTTAGCTTTTAATTGTGTATTATTTATAACACTTACTATTACACTTGGTAAAAATGTATTTTTAAGTTTTTCTTTGGTCAGTTACCTATCTAATTTATAGTTACTATTTCGAACAATAAACCAACAGACTATATTATGGTATCTATAGTTGCAGGGACATTTCCACTATACGGTTATACCTACACACAATATTATTCTAAAACCTATCCGTAATCTGCTATAATAATATGTAACTTAAGCTTTACCCACTTTCGTTATTTCACTCGTCCACCAATATGCCTAACTATATACATGTATGTATACTATTGGCCATGAACATTGTTTTCTTCGGTTCCGCTTTATGATTTACAATGCCAAACACCTATATAGGTACTCGGCTACTTCATATATCACGTATAACTTTCATACAAACTGCATCTCTGCAGAATGAACTCTCTCACACGAAGTTTTAATAGCATAATGTTCGCATTTTATTGTCGAGTTTCTCGATATTTTCTAAAGTTGAAATGTATATTATTACAGCGGGTGATCTCATATATTGTCTATAGGAAAAAATAAGCTCGAAAACTCGTATGCATGTATGCAGTAAAAATACGTTGGACCGCGGGTGATCCGTTTATCATAACCCAGAGATTTTTCGGAGGATTTTAAGTGAATTTGATTTTGATTTTTTTTTTTTTTCAATCAATATGAAATCGTTTAAGCTTTTATTATAAAACTATTTTAAATTTTTTATCCTTACTATTTATATTTTAAATGAGTACATAATTTTAATTTTCAAATAATGACCCCGGATTCTTTTAAATACAGATTCAAATAGAGAATACTTTTCTAGAATTATCGTTGTACAATAACATTAATATCGGATTTACCGTATATAAGTAATAGCAGTTTATTATATGTTTATATATATTTACAAATTTTAACCCCGTTACTTTGATTTCTATAAGTCTATAAGAGTACTTAAGATCTGGCATATCTTATAAAAACATAAAATTTGAGCATAAAATAAGTTAGGGAGGAGGTTGAAAGTTAAAACCCCCAAAAAGCATATCCTTAATACTTAAACCGTAATCTCCCTGGATTCATTTATAGGGATGTACAAAGTTAAAAATCATCATTTACCCGCAACAACCGTATATATTATAATGTATAGCAAACACAATACAGTGCAATAGTCTCTATTTTTGGGAAAAATTGTAAAACATTTTTTTATTAAATACTAAACTATTGGTAAAAACAAATTTTAAAAACCAGGTTAGATATTTACTCCATCCCATTTTACCAAAATCTATAATAATATTGTAATATATATATTACCTTGGTGTTGTCTAATGGTGTGTACGTCAAAAAATAAACCGTTATTTTTACCTGAATGGACAAAAAACAAAATAAAAACTAAACTATACTAAACAACGAATTCGAACCTATCATTAAAAAATAACGCACGAAATTATAGGTACTTCACTTTGGATACGATCGCGTCTGCAGACTGAACTGCTATTAAGTTCTTTGGTCTACACCAACGACGACGGTGACCAGTTTCATCGGAGACACTGCCGGTCCAATTCCGTAAACTGGTTAAGTGTTTTCAAACAAACCGGTCACACGAATATAGTATTACCCCTTCGCGTCACCGATAATACTGTAGCGAAGATACCTATACCTATAATAAGATACCTAGGTATAGTGAAACGGGACAGATTTATAGAAACTAATCGCGTTATTATTGTTTTATTTTTACATTTTTGGTGATACTTTAGGTATTTTCCCCACAATTACGGTGTTGCAGACAGAACATCCACTGTATGTACAGATACCAACTCGTAAACTGTACGGAGAAATCTGTTTAAGCCGATTGAAAACTATTAGGCGAATACGAGTTGCGATAGGTAGGTATCTAAATAATTTTTTTAATTTATAAAAAAAAGCATAGTTTCTATTTGTATAAATGTTTACGGATTAAATAGATATATTGAGTAGGTTATGAATTAATGAATTGATTATTACTTGTGGATAGCGTACGTACTTAAAATTCGTCAGGCCCAAGACAAACACTACGATTTAGCCTCTCACCAACAATTTTATATTATATATTTTTTTTTGACCTTAAAAGCAGAGTTTGCATTTGAAATAAATTTCGTTATATGTTATTTTGATTTAAGACGATATTTAATGTTTGCATTTTACGTTAGGTAGGTATTTTATAATATTCAAAACATGATATATACAAAACACTCAGTTATTTTTGCGTTACTTGAATTATAATTTGTATCCACTATATATATATATAGTAAGCTCATATCTACTTTGTAAACGTTTAAGATGTGAATTAAAAATTTAATTTTAAATTCGTATTTTTTTTTTTCTGGTTTTATGATACAAATTTTGTAATCCATTTTCGGTGGAAGACATTAAACCCAAAACGAGATAAGAAAAAAATTAATTATACAAAAGCCCCAAAATCCGTTTGTACGTTACAAAAAACAGAGGAAACAGACTATGTGTGTTTGAGAGGAAAGTGCTACGCAAAATATATGGACTTATACATGATCAAGATATTCAAGGATGGAGAAAAATGCACAACCAAGAACTGATTGAGATATTCAATAGACCAAATATTGTAAACGAGATCAAACGGGGTAAATTAGAATAGGTATCAGGCCACGCGTGTAGGAAACAAAATTCAATGATACAAAGAATGCTCCAAGAAAACCCAAGGAGGAAAAGGCCGCTGGGTAAGCAAAACTATACGTTGGGAGGATGGAATCAGAAATGATTTCCTAAATGCCAGAGGAGAAAATTATGGAGACCTGGATTGGAAGGAGGCAGCATAGAATAAAGGAGAATAGAAAAGGATTTGTTATATCGCAAGATGGTCTTATAGACCTAAGAAAAAAAAAATTGCTTTGTCTAGAGCCAAACGAAGAAAATGGAAGAAATTAATCGTAAATAAACCACAATTTTATTTCGTGTGTACCTAATTTGTACAATTGTATGCAACCAGGCCGAGTTTCCGAAATCTTGTTTTTGAACAAATGCCTTTCACCGTGTGAATAGGTATTTTTGTTTACTGATTTTTAATTTTAATATGAGATAATTATTTCATCTTAAACTGGTCTTTTTTCAGATGTTTTTATTTTAATTTAATTATCAATATGTCAGTCAGCAGTCTCTTGTTTTACTGATAAATTCCAAAAATTGCATAAAACTTATTTTGGTGTACGTTATGATTGCTACTGTTACTAGACTAAAAATAACTGAAAAATGATAATAAAAATAATAGTGTAAGACACTGAAATCAAAGAGCGCTGGAGTAGTTTTCGATAGTAACCATGATTGTGGTGCTGGTTTAATTTTGTTTTGATGTTTATAACAGTTTTGATAAGCGATATATAACATTCCATTTAACCGATTTGATGGTTTCATCTATACATACTGTTCTTACTTCTGGAACGATTCTAGTTTAGCAAGCACGCGAATTTTTAGGTTTTTTTTTCCAAAATGTGTGGTTTTAGACGCTTAATCCATTAGCAAAATTTAAACGTACCCATCATACTTACTTTTAAAGGTTTTGTATATAAACCTTAAAAAATAGCATTTTTGGAATTAATCCAAATATGGTCAAAAATAGTAATGTTTTTTATTATTATTATTTGAAATTATTGATATTTAGATGAAAAAATTTTTTTATTGAAGTCAGAATAAATCTATCTAGCTTAGTTTTAGAGTTACAGACGTTCAAACGCGCCATATTTTACTGCACTCACTCAGACAAATTTAATCGAAAATAGCTCTCGATTTTTTGTGCAAAACCATGTCGGGTAATTAACAAGGAAAAGTAAAAAGCATCTAGGTGAAATTAGAGACCCAATATGGTCACTCGCTCGTTATTAGCACGTCACATTTGAACGCGAATAACTATAAAACTAAGCCGGATAGACTACATACCCATTGCAGTATCTCCTGAGATAACAAGTAAAATCAAATTTCGTAATTTTTAATAATTTTTTAAAGTTCAGAGAAAAAAGTGTACGTATACCTACAATCAATTACTCACTATAGTTCATTAGCAAATACGATTACAGCCTGCTGCTAGGTAATCGGAGTAATAATTAATATAGGTAACATAATTATTAATATTATGGCTAATACTTGACTGTACCTACATTTTAGATTCTGAGCAGAGCGAGAAATGTAGGTATTGGTTTTACAAAATGATGTTTTTTTTTTTAATGTGAACATTTTTTCTACCAGAAAGCTGACTCCAATTATCAAGTATAGCTCATCTTTTCCAAAAGGAAACTTTCTCTAGGTGATATCCACTTTAGAGTTTAGAGAGGTCTTTTTTTGAAATTCTTATTAATAATCGAGATAGTGAGGACAACCAGTTTCTTTAAGTTATAAAATATTGAAAGATTAAAAATAAGGTTGTCATTGGTAACCGTTTTTATTTATTTTTTGATATTATTTTAATATATTTTAAACAATTATTGTTGTCACGGATACACATTGTTATAATCAGTTTACCATAATATGACATATATATTGTTAACAAAGCAACACTATCAACTAAACTCCACTCAGAATCGTTTTTTGTTATCAATGGTTTATCTTTGCTTACAGATATACATTAAATTACCGTTTGCATACTACCGACCCAAATTCCTGCCTAACACGTGGCTGCACCCACATGCGAAGTACGTTCGTCATTTTATTCTCTGAATTAAAAATATACCTGATAACACACACGACTAATGAAAACAAAAAGTTTAAACCTCAAAATTTTCAGAAGAATAAACTAGGTACATAGTGCCTATCAAATTTAATTATTTTTGCTACAAATTTAATTTAAATACAAATACTATTCGTAGTCCTTATCCCTAAGAGCATTACAAAAATAAAAACAGAATTTGATTACCTACCTATCTTTATTAGGTATATCAGGAGATATTAAAAATGGGTATATTTTCGTGGGACACCCTATATAGATATAGTTTAATTGATATAGAATATAAATATATATCGATTAGCCATAGAGTAGAATATAAAGAGGTCATATCATATAAATCGCACTGCATATATATTTTGAAATTATTTATGGTACTCATCAAACTCCCGAATTTTCTGTAACATCTAAATTGAAAACCATTACCAATCAATCTTAATATCAAAATAAGTACAATTAAATTAAAAAAACTTCAAAATTCAGAATTTTTAAACGAAGAAATTGAATCGTTTAATCTCAATTGAATTCATTGCATCACTGTCAGTAATTTATTGTCGAATTCACTATAATAAAAATAAAATATTACCTAAGGCAGTGTCTATTTAAATTACTTGTTTTTACACTTAAACATTTAAAAAACAAATAGATTTTAATTCAATATTGTAAGACAGATATTACATTTTTCATTATATTTAGGCTTTTATCACATATATATCTTAGCCCTAGTTTATACTAAAAAATTGTATAAATTCATAACAAATATGTATAATAAATAATAGAAAAAATATAGCCCAAAAAGTAAAAAGGGTTTTTAACTTATGGTTAAGAATTAAACCATTTAACCATATATATTAAAATATTCAATTTTTGAGAAAAATGTTAGTACCTGTTTTCACAGTCAAATTGTATAAAATGTTGTAATGAGAAAAACAAGTTTTATAAATATAAACTTCCTTATATAAATAATAAAACTGTTCGTTTTAGAAATTATATTAATTGAATAACGAACTACAATAATACAATTAGTAATTAACTACAAAGAGAAAAATAAAAAATACACTACTTTTGTTCTATTTTAAAACAAAACCAGCAGCATTTGTTTAGTAACGTGTTCAGTATCAATTAATAAGCTTAAATTATGTTTGAAACTAAAATCACTTAAAAACTGTAATCATACATAAACACAATACCACATTTTAACCTGCAGTAATTTGATTAAAAAATAAATTGTAAACTAAAATTCATGTATTAATAGCTTAAATAAGATTCATATTACTTACAGTTATATTTAGAAATTGACTTATAACGTTGATCTAATGATATAGTTTATATTAATCATAATTGCATTATCTTAAATTTGGTAAAATTAGGTATAAACTCATACTATAAACACAGAACAACCATGATCCAAAACAAAATATTAGATTCTTGAATTGTTCTTACAAATTACAAATTGAACAAAATTAATCAATTGTTTTAAAAATACAAATATCCTAAGATAATTTAGTTTGCTTCACACTGCCTAATTGATGTTTTAATTTTACGCATTAAGAAAATAAAGTTTTGTTTTATATCAAACTTTATACAGATATAAATATAAATAAAATGTATTTTGTAAAACATAATGGCATTTATTTTAAAATATTATAAACAAAAATACTTAAAATAAGTATATTATTCTTATTATACAAATATATGCAGCTTAATATCAATTATGTTAAGCACAATAGTGATATTTTTTTGCACTCTGAATGCTAAAAAAACACCAAAACATAATCTTACAAGTTAGTTTATACAAAATAATGTGTGTGGTGTATGCAATAAAAATAATGTTGGATGACAATATGTCCTACAGTTGATTTTTTAGTACCAATTGTTATTAAATTAAATTAATAAAACATTAAATACTTCAAACTGAACAAAAATAAAAGCTTAAAACTTAACACTATAATAAATATGTCAAATAAATTATATTATATATATAGTCATGTTACTTAAAATTGTTTATATTTAACATAAAAAATATTAGAAATAATAATAGTAATATTACAATAAAAAAATGTCTTAAATCTATTATTCAATAAAAACGCTAAATATCTATCACTGACATCTGTAGGTAATTAATGTTCTTTTTATGTCAAGTTACTTAGAAAAACATAAAACCAATACACTGTTTTTAAATTAGTAAATTAGGTTAAATAGAGATTCAATGCATGATCTTATACTAGACAGCCATTCCAAGGGTTATGTACAATAAAACAACAAATAATAATAATAAAAAGAAATACAAATTAAATCATGACATAGAACTGCATGTTAAACGGGGCGAACCCATTTGAGTGAGTACCCTGTCCAACCATTGCAATGGCCCATTTAGATGTAGTTCAATCCAACATGGTGTGGACGTCACTGTCTGTCGCCTAGAAAAATGATATTGCATAAGTTATAATTATAATATAAACATAATCATTAAATAATATTATAAAAAAACAGCTTTTTACCTGTACTCAGCACCCCAGCCTTTAACAAATGACATACGTATGGTACACATTCTAGTTAATTGATAAACTGCTTCAAATCCTTGATTAACTGATTGAGACAGAAGAGATGCAAATTCTTGGTTGTTAAAAATTTTTAAATTACAACCTAAATTAAAAGTTTAAAAATAATTAAATACAAAAAAATTAAAGTATGAGAGCAAAATGTATTTAACTGGAAGATATTATATTTTTAAAATAAATTACCCTGGTTTTTATGAATAAATACAATAATAACAAAATGCCAATATTAGCAATGAAAATAATAATTTAATTAACTTATATAAATGTTGATAAATTATCAAACACTTCACATAAAAACCATTTTTCTATCAATTAAAAAAAAATATACAAATAAACAAAAAAGTAATAACCAAATAGGAAAATCATTCTTTTTTTTTTTTGTAAAATATTTTGTATAATACTTACTATTGCAGTAAATACAAACTAGATTTAACAGGAATAAAAATTGAAATAATACTATAAGAAATGTGCACTGTACACAATTTAATTTAATTTAAATATTATATATTAAGATACATTGTCATAATTTATCTAATATTGTTTTCTTGTGATAATAATAGCTATATAATATAAATAGTTATTTAACTTTATAAAACAACAGAAAATGAGAAAGTAAATAATTTTTCACTAAACAAACAAATAATTGAATCAATATTTGTTAGACATATATATATATATTTTAAATCTTATTAAAGCCACTCAGCATATATTATTAATTTTACAATAAACTCTTTAGAGTAACTAAAATTGCTTAATTAAATGTATTGTATTTTAACAGTTTATTACTTTTGTGAGACAAGTAAAAATGTGTAGGTAACTATAATTATATACTTATTACCATAATATCATTATAAATGCTTATTCGCAATAATAATAATTATTAAAGAGTGCATACCAAAGTCTGAATTAATTTAAACTTTTCAATGAAGACATAATAAACAACATTTCTAAGGTTAAATATTAAATTCAAGAAAAATACATTAGCAGTGATGTTGTAAAGTATGTCCAAAAATGGTGCAATTTAAAAATTAGAAAGACTTGCATAAACACAAAATACTTCAATATACATAATCACTATTTAATAGTTGTGGAAGTCTAAATTAAATTTTAATCTGAGTTGAACAGATTGAGAATTTGAAATAAATATAGAAACATATGACACATTACGTACATTATTTAAAATAATAATTACAAACAAATTAAAACATTAAATTACTCTGTTTGATTTGAAGGAGTACTAAATATTTAGATATTTACTAGTAAATGGTGTTTTAAATTCATAAAATGCATACAAACATACCTGGTGGTATTTTACAAACAGTGGCTGGATGCCATCCGTATCTTTGATTGCAATTGGGTGATTGTACGAAAATACTTGAGTCACTAAGGCATTCTGCAAATACTTCCCCTCCAATATAGTAAAGACGCACACCTTTACCAATGTGTCGTCTAATTTGCTCAACAACACTTGTCCGATTAACATTTGATAACAAACCCAAACAAAACCTTTCAGAGTTACTGGGATCTAAAAATTATATCAACAGAAAATATAATGGTATAGTTCTTTAAAATGAAAATGTATTTAAGTACGTACCTGTGAATCCATCAACAGATATTGAAGGCTGAGACGCATGAAATGTCTCACCCACTCTTGTATTGAGTTCATAATAAGAAATTGAACACCAAAACACAGGTTCACAGTATAGAACAGGTTGTGTGTCCAGCACTCCCATGACTGTGGGATTTGGACTCATACCTACAAAAAATTAAAAAAATTAAGGTCTAATGCACAAGTACACGAAAACTATAAAATGGGTACAATAAATTTACTCACTGTGGGATTCGTTATTATCACCGTCCTCGGACATGTAACCTGGTGGTGTTGTTGGAGAGTCCATCATCTTGGATGTTTGGTGTTAACTTTCAACCGGCGCTTAAGAAACCACTACAACAACGCACATAGAACAATATTAATTAATCATAATCATTGCTGACTTACTGTACAGTTGGAGTACAAGTTACCTCGAAAGTCGAAAACTCGAATATTGTTTAAAGGGTTCCGAAACAACGTTGACAATTTCGCCGGGTCCAAACGTTTAGGTAGGTACAGACACGATTAAAAAAAATCACTTCGCCGGAACACTTTGAAATACAACCAACAACGACCCGAAACAACAATCGAACAACGTAATCGCCGAACTAAAATCAACTGCAATCGATATTAAATTGGGACCATTTTTTTTTTCTGCGTTTCTTAAAGTATAATCACATGAGCACACGGCACAGTATACTTGTATATGCACGGCACATAGTAAAACACGGGTGCATAGCATCGCATACGCGAAGAGTCGGGAGTCCTATGTTTATAGATGGCGCTTTTGGCAAAATACGACGAGTTCGAAGTGTCTTTGCATTTTTTGGCAACGTCAATATTATGATGGCCCGGTGATAAAAAAATATATTGAAAATTGCCAGGTTCGATAATGCGCAACTTACTAAAACCTGGTCTATCGAAAGCGATTTGATGATACTTAAAACTCACTATGTTCACAAAAAAACAATTTAAAACTGTACGGGTAAAAAAGTCGAAAAAATTTGTCCAATGAAACTGATTTTGCCGCGTACCGGCATTTATGTTTTCGCCTTGCATCCGGCCCATGGTCATGATAAAAAAAAATGCTTTTTTCCTCATCAAATAATTATTTTTATCAACGCCATTTGTTCCCATCTGCCAAAATATTATCATCAATAATGATAACGTTTCGGTGAGCGAATCCATTCGTGGTTTTGTTAACGGAAATTTACCCAATTGTTCAACAATATAAAAAGTAGGTAACCGACATTCGTAGGTATTCGTAATTCGAGAGGATCCTATTTTCATGATATAATTTTGACGGCAAATATTAATCGAGGTGTTTTTAGTGGCGTAGTTAGGATTTAGCTACAAAGGGAGATATTGAATTTTGAAAATTTGTCACATTGTTATATTGTATTGTCATCTTATTTTACCCTGCATGTTAAAAAAAACTATATCAATTTTAATTTATATATTTGTGTCCTCTAATTTATAATTCAAATTGCCCTAAAATGTCATCATTGTAACCAAATAGTTAAAGGTAGATAGATACACCTAAATAAATAATTACTATTTATAAGAAAATGTATACGTTCAGGTTTTTTTTATAAATGAACTATAGATACTTGACAACACGTTAAATTGTTGATTTTTCTGAGAAATGAATAAATATGAATTTAGAAATAGGTAGCACCATAAATAATAAAAACTAATAAAAAGTCAAGACTCAAGGGGGAGGAGGAAGAAATATTTAATTTTTCTCCCCCCATAAATAGGGAGCAACATGTGTTTTTAAAGAAAAATGTTGTCTAATTCTAATAGGTGATCATTGGCAAATATGTTTTGTGATTTTCCTTAGTTTTTTAAATAATAGAAGGAAAACGAGAACATTTAACGTAATATAACGGTTTCTGTTATTTAAGATTTTGTTTTTTTTATTAATTAAGATAAAAACAACCGTAGAGACCGGAAACTTTCGCTGAATATTAATTATATTTGCCATATATCTAGACGTGATACAATTTTAAAAACATTCTAGCGTTTTTTAAATATTTCCTAGCTTTTTAAATTTTGTTTTTGTATATATAATATTATGTGAATCAACAATACATTTTTAAAATTATTTATGTAAACCGTAATGTGACCACCTCCCGGGGGTCAGAGAACTCAGGGGACACGTGCAAAACGAATATTACATCACAATATTTAAGACAATAATGTTGTTATTTTATTTTTTTTTTTTTTTTGAGAGTAGGTAACTAATACAACTATTAGCTATATTATTTATTTTATTCGTCATTTTATTATTTTGTTTTGATAAATTTGGAATACATATTACTATGGTTTAGTCATAAAACATTTAACAACTGGTATAATACTTATAATAATACCTATCACGAATTAAGTATGTAAGACATATTAAGTATTTCTTAATCACATTTATAAAGAACATTATTTACAATCTTGGTTGTGTATAATATTTTGATAAATGTTGATAAAATATGCGTCAACGATAAGAAAATAAATTAAAAACCTATTAAAATTCACGGATAATAAAGAATTATTATTATATTATTGTGGTATTTGCGCAGAAACGTGATGAACAATGTCCGAATTTTGCTTAATGTGAAATTACAAATAATTGAATAAGGAATCGGATTTGATTTCGAATGGACTAGTGTCATATAAGTAGATAGTATAACCTATAAATTTATAACTTTTATTAAATTTCCTGTATAGATAGAACAAAAATATTGCCCAAACGCGAAAATGTAGGTGTAATTAATTTCGCAGGAATGGAATATAATAGCTACTTACTTATATTTTATAAATAAGTACCTACGTGTCTATATTAGGCATGTAGCCCTTGGACCCCTGCCCTGGCTACGTGGACCTCCCTGTCCACGGGGTCCGAACCCCCTCTGAAATTTATTCGACAATATACATATTTTTTAAATCAAATCTACCTAAGTACCTAACTAATATTATGTTTTTAAAAAATATATCGAACTGTTATAAATACTCCTGGAACTATTCGGCTTATGCGAAACACATTTTACAAAACGTTTAACAAATTTAATTTTATAGTTTTTTTACTTGTCTGTTGGCGATAATAATAATAATAATAAGCTCTCAAAATCCTAATCGATTTTTCTTTGGCTGTTGACTATGCTGAAGATATTGTAAATTATCTGAAATATATTTTAATACGTACCTACTGAAATTAAAATTATGTACCTATTGCTATTCAAATTTATAGATATGTAATAATATAGTCTACAGATAATATGTAGAACAAAAGTAAATTAAATTCAAGAACATTTTCTTTTTCCCTCCGAATTGATTGAGAAATTACATTGGAATTGGTTGGAAAATTTCGCCTCTTGACCTCGAAATGTTTTTTTGTCCAAATCGAGTTGTAGGATTATATGTGATATTACTTGACTGCAATAGACACCTACTGACCTACTGGGCGTATACAATATTATTATAACTACTATAACAACTATAAAAAAATATGTATATAGTGATATAGTCAGATACCATAGAAGACCATTTACATATAATATTTTTGATTTCGAGCGTAGCGAAGGGCTATTGGTTTTACAATGCTGTTTATTTCTTCTTTTTCTACTTTGTTCTTTGTTCTAGTCTGTGGACACTTTTCTTCCTAGTAGTTTCTTCCTTACTCTGAATTTTACGTGTAACAGCTTTTCCGAAAGATCAAATTGTCTATATTGTAATTTAAACAGATCATTTTTTTTGATTTTCAGCGCCATTTTTTAAATAAAAGCACTTAAGTGGGAAAAAACGTATGAGAACATACAATTTCACGATTTCATTATTTTCTAAAAACACGGACGACGTTTTCTACCAAAGAATGATTTAATCGAAAAATCACAAAATACATTTTTGTTGTCTTTTTTATTTACTTTCTTACGGTATCATCATCAAAACATTTAAGCCACTTTTGAGCTTTTAAGGAATTTTAATTTTTAGGAATTTTGTTGCTGTAATATTTGTATTCGGTTATAGTAGTAGTACTTTGGTACTTAGGTAGTACTTTGGGGAAGTAATTTTTCTATTTTCTCAGGAGTTTTCTCATCAAATGTGAAAAATTTAGGAAAAACGGGAAAATCAGTACCATATTAAACAAATATTATTACAGAAAGTATATAATATTTAATTATTTTACCGTAATATGAAATATATATTGTTGACAAAGCATCACTATCAACTGAACTCCGCTCAGATAGTTTATCGTTGCTTACAGTTATAAATTAATTTCCCTTCTATATTCTACCTTCCCGACTTTTCACTAACAACAGTGGCTGCACCCATCCCAATTATCCTAGGACAGCTTTTTATTTCGAATGTTAATGAAAGGTTGTTTTTCAACATCAGTGTTTAATTATTTTTGATCAATGCGATCCTTTATCTAGGGATTCGCCATCTCCAAGTTGAGAAAAGTTGGTGTATACATACAATACGTCTACATGTTAAAAAAAATGTTATAAATATTAAAATACTATTACGTATAAATGGTAAAATATACAACACAATTAACATACTTACTAATTATAGATAGGTAGCCACTAGCCAGGTAGGTAATATTATAATATAATATGTTAAGTACATAAATAAGTATTTAATCAAAATATGAAATTTATAAAAATGTCGAATGTTTAATGTTGAAGTTGATAGTTATGAGCTATTCCTTATAGAATGCCCTTGACAAACCATTCGACGTTTATAATAGTAATATATAAGATATAACCAATATATAGGCAATATATTTAATATAGCAAAAATCATAATAACAATTTTTGGAACGGGAGAAAAACCAAAACAATTTGTAACAACAAATTATTCAAGAATTTTTAAAAAGAATATTATTTTACAGTATAAACCGGAGAAAAGTAATAAACCATTATATCATATTTTTTTTTTTTTTGACTATCAATTTACCGGGATTATCATCGAGATATATCTTCAAAAATGATGTATAAATATAAAATGCATTCAAGATATAGATCTCATTCATACTATTTAACCTACATGATTATTGATTGCATATCTGTGAGTGACTTTAAAACTTACTTTATTATCTATGAGTTTATATGAATTTGTGATTGTTATTATCATTTTCTTATCATTTAATCACATAACCATGTGGTGAAATTTATTGTCAATTCGTGGCCGGTACTAAAAAGTAAATATTCAATTACTAAATTGTAAACAATTTTTGTTGAATTTATAATTTTAAATTTGTATTTATTATGATGCAAATTACTACAATAAAGGTTTGTTATATAAAGATTTATTTATAAAAAAAATATTTTTAAACATTTACTGTTTTGTTACATAGGCCGATGAAGCAGTACCATGGCTTCAAAAACGTTTGAAAAATTATTTAAGTTATGGACTTTCTTCAGAAGAGTGTAAAGTGTTTGGTAAGAAAAATATTTACTTTTTTAATAATATCATTATTGAGTATACTCAGTTTTGGTGGCTGTTACCTAGTGACTCCACATTTTTAATCAACTTCCTTAATACCACTTATAATAATTAATGGTTCATACAAATACAATAAATATAATTTGTATATAGATTATAGAAAGTATTTCATGAAAGGGTTCTTGCTTTATACCATTTTGGTATCTTATAATGGTATATTTTAAACAAAACATTAATTACAAAATGTCATTAAAATTATTATTTTTATCTTTTTCAGAGATTTTTATTACATCAACTTTGACTGATGTTGAAATCAAAAAGCAAATAACCAATACAGTTATTCCTTCATTTTTTGAAAATTTAGTGTCAAAAAATGTTAATAAACAAGTAAGGACCTTGATATGATATTAATATAACTAATATTTTATTCTGATTAGTGTTGCATAGTAATTTCTTATAATTTGAATTTTTGTTTTATGACTTATTTATCATACTTCAATGAGTACATTCTTCATAGTTGTATTTAACTAGGAGTCAATTTTAAATTATACCCAAATTTCAAATTTGGCTCTTTTACTCATGTTTATGTTTAAAGTTTATAATATATTTTTTTTGTATCTAGGCTGTAGATGCACAGGTATCTATAGTACGATTATTTATGAAATACTATGGCCCAACCTGCGGTCAATTCAAGGTATTGTTTAATTATTTTTCATATAATTATCTAATTCACTGATACTTTGTTCAAAAGCATGACTTAACTTTTACAGAATACTTCAGATAAGTTTACTTCAAAAACATTAAGAGAATATTTTAATGAAGATAATATTGTGTTCAAAGTGACTAAATATCTTGCTTTATTTCCTCAATGTGGTGGCCGTGGACAACAAGGTATCAATCATGCTGAGGCATGGACTAATCAATTCAACGATTATGTTTATTCTGCGAATTATTTTTTATACCAACTCTACTCTAATATTGATGTAAGTTAACTTAGATTTTGATTTAAATAACTAATACATATATATATGTTGCAACCTATTGGTGTTTTAGTTCTTCCTGGATAATGTGACAGATATTTATGAAGGCAAATTTGATATCTCAGTTTTTAATTTATCTGACCTCGAAAAAGCTACTCCCAAAGAACGCTATGAAAAATTAACATCAGTATTTATATTTTTCAATACAGCAATTCAGTCAATGTTATTGTGAGATATAATATTGTTATGCCAAGGGTATACACTTATTAAATACATTTAAATGTTAAATTTGTTTAGGTCTATGTTTTCTACTGTCAAACATTTTGATCCCAACATAGTTATTCAACTCGCTCTGAATACTTTATCAGTTACTTCAGAAAAACTTAAAGCTGCTACGGTAACTGAAGATGTGATTGAATTAGATTTGATTTTATGGAAATTACACTGCTCAGTCATCAAAATAATTTCTGCCCTTATAAAATGGTATATCTTTGAATCATTTTTTTTGCAATTTAAAGTTTTTTTTATGGTATTCAAATAAGTGTTAAAATAAGTAAAAAATAATTTTTAATATTATTGTTTTTTTATTTCCAGTTGTGGAAGGATTTTAATACCTCAAGGAGTATTAATTTGTCGAATTTTATTGCAATCATTAAACATGACTAATTTATATTCATCAAATACTGTATATGGTACAACTAGATCCAAATTGTAAATTTTGTTTGATTTCAGAACTAATTAATTTAATTATGCTAACAATTTTGTTATTATTATATTTTTTGTATTAAGGGAACAACGGTTGATAACATATCAAGTTCTATGTTCTTGGCTAGCCGTTGCTGGGTCACAGAGTTCATTAGAAATGTTTAGCGAAAATCTTACTTCTGGCATTTTATTTGATATAAAATATAATAAACCTTCCCTTGATTTAATTGTAAGTATTTTAACAAATTAATATTAACTTTGGTCTGTTTTATTTATATTATTCAAATATGTTAATTATTAAATCTGTATGTTTAGGTTGATAAAAAAATTGGTAATAGAAAAAGAAAGAGCGGAGCTTTAAATGAAAAAATTATAAGCCAACGAGATACAATTGTTATGCACGATTATCATGCAAATAAAATTATTTGTAATGAAGCTCATAAAACATTTCAGTTGTTTTTACACACCATGTCTCCAAATTTGAAACCCTTACAATTTAAAGTATTAAGTTTTTTTTTTTTTTTTTTAAATAAGTTATTTTTATTTTTATTATAATAATTTTTTTAGACTTTTCAAAGTACAATAATGGGTTTGCTATTAGAGATAATTAAGTGTCATCAGCCAAATGATTATCCTTTACCTTATTACGATAATTCGTGTAGACTTAACTTGTACAAGTCTTTGTTGGCTACAGTAATTTCACCACATCCACAATGTATTACACAGACATCAGTAGCATTACGTATTTTTACTTATGGTACAACTGATCATGATGAAAAAGTAAGTAAATGTTATTATTGAATTTTTTTTCCTAAGATAGATTTATAAATTAAAATATGTTTATCATTTTTGCTAATACTTTAATAAATTATTTTATTATTATACAGATAAAAGAAAACTGCAGATCGTCTTTAAGTAAACTTGAACACATAATCCGCCCTCGTAATGATACTTTATTTTTCCCTCTTGAAAATGATATAGAAATAGCACAACCTACTAAAGTAATTATACCAGAAAACAAAACTCATTTTTTAAATACAACAGTTGAAGACATAGTTATACCTATTGAAGCAAAAAAACCACAAAAATCAAATATTGATAATATTAAACCAATTGTACCACATTCAGAAACTGTTTCTGCTACAAATATTAAATCAAAGCAAACTCAGAATAGTATTACTGATAATAATAAACTAATCACATCATCTTCAGAGATTGTTCATGTCACAAACTCTTTAAAGTATGATAGACCAACAAAAGACATACATCAAGAAATAAATATCAATGATGATAAACAGACTGTTGAAGAGAAACCTCAAGAACAAATAATTGTTCAACCGGAGCTTACCAAATTAGAAAATAAACTTTCATTCAAAACACCTATAAATACTGATTTGGACATTGAAAATAAAATTATAATACCAATGGATGTAGATTCAATAGAAAATAATGAGTCTGCCAATATTATCAATATGGATGATGACCAATATTTAGAAATGGTTAATGACTTTGTATGTTCTGATTAAAAATTATATTGATCATACTGCTTTGTTTGCTTTAAATAAAATATAACATTGCCTTAAAAAAAAAAAAAAAATTATATTATTTAAAGTGCCTTGTTATTGTATACATTATAGTTGAAAGTTAAAGTAATGCAATATCTATAATTACACATATTTAATTGAATCTGGTATGCTTTGTATTGATGGAAATGTATGAAACTACAAACGACATTCACTCATTTTCATTTTTATTTTTTGATACTGTGCAAGGAAGGTATAATCAGAGTTATATACAGGACTTATTGGCAGAAAAAGCATTTAGCAAGAAAATGCTCATCAAAATAATATTAGGGGTGCTAGCAAACATTTTATTCTATTATTATTGTGTTTGTACTAGCAAGTATCTACCTACAATTTCTTTTTATTACACAGCATAATTTTGTCTCTGCACTGTGTAGATAACTATTAAATTATAAATGATTATGCGCAATTATTTGGTGTACTTTTTAAGAAATTTTAAAACCTATGAAACACAAAACACAAAACCATGGGTTATAACATAAGGTAGGTATAAGATAAAATATGATTGCAAACAATAACTACTGATCATATTCTACAGGTACTATATAATGTCTTAAAAAAATATTCAATAGTATTTTTTTTAAATTACTGTTAAAGGCAAATAAATAAATAAAAACAAATCAAAAATATGTGCTATAGGTATAGGTACAATAAATAAAAAGTAATAATTAAATAAAATTGGATTATATTACTGTAAATTATTGTCTAATTCAAAGAATAAATATTTGTATGTTAAATCTTTAATATTTACAATTTCACTATCAAGTATTTTTTTTTAAGTCATAGGGCATAGAGTTGAAAGAAGTTGTACTCTGATAGTCTACAAAACGCTGACCGAAAGAAGTACTAGCATATTTAACAGTCAAATCATATTTTTTCATTTCCCTTTTGTTGCTTACCTCCTTTTGATTGTTATTTAAATTAAATTTCTTAACCAAATACATAATTGCAATTTTTTCATAAAAAGCCTAATAGGCAATACACCAATTCTTTATAGTAAGCGTTCATAGGTCCTTGCAGAGTGAATTTATTTAGACAAATCCTAATTATATTATTTTGATTAACTACTAATGCATTTAAGATGTTATCTCGAAGGCCTCCCTATACTAATATGCCATATTGAAAGTTAGATTGATAAAGTGCAAAGTAAACTAAATTTATTGTTTGTTTTGGTACTAAGTTTTTGAGTTTAACCATTTTAAAAGTAATGAAACATAGCTTCCCTAATAAATTGTTCATATGAAATTTCCATCTTAAGTTAATATCAAATATTACACCTAAGTATCAAATTTTTTCAACTTTTTTAATTATTATGCAGTTTTGTGGATTACAAATGTTATTCTTTATGCAGTCATGAATTGCTAAGGTGTTGTAGTTAAAAGATGTTTTATTAATAGAGAACGGCATAAAAACAGTTTTTATTAACATTTAAACTTTTTATTATCGGACTGAAACTTCTGCAGGCTCTCATATACACCATTCCATGATTTATGAGAAAATAGAAGATAATTGTCGTCAGCATAGGTAACTATTTCCCCATCAAAATTAATATCACAAATTCGTTAACATATAATATAAATAGTATCGGACCCAATATACTACCTTGTGGTTTTTTTAATTGCAAGTTTTTTAAATTTAACTCCATTTTTAATTGCATATGTACAACCATTTACTCCATTAATTTTAACTGTCTGCCTTCTATTATGTAAGTAGCTTTTGAACCAGTTTAGGCTCGAGTTATTTATTCCAAAACTCAGTAATATATTTAATAAAATTTCATAATTCAGCAAATCATAAGCCTTAGGTAGGTCTAAAAAAATTGCTATTGATGTATTGCTATTATCTAAATTACTATATAAAAATTGAGCAACTTTATAAAGAGCATTATCAGTGCTAAACCTGGTCTAAAACCAAACTGGTTTTTTGATAATAATTAATTTTTTTCTAAAACTTCTATCAGTCTATAGTTGTTCGTACTTGATTTATTACCACCTTTAAATAAGGGTTTAACAACTGCTACTTTTAAGGTTTTAGGAAAAATATTTTAAACAATACTTAAGTTATATATATAGACAAGAGGATGCACCACAAATTTATTAATATGTTTTAAAATTATGAAGGATACCTTATCCAAACCTGCAGCTGTGTCGTCTTTAAGGCTATTAATAATATCAAATAAGTCTGACAATTCAATTTTTTTTTAGGAACACATTAAACAAAACATTTTTATGAACGTGGTTTATTCCTGAAGTGATTGGTTTATTTAAACTATTCAGTGCGATATTTACAAAATTATTTAACATATTAGATGCAGTTTTTTGCATTTATTTCATAATCATTATTTTTTAGTTTGATAATATCATTAGAACTCAATTTAGAACAGGTAAATTTACTTATTAATTTCCATGTCATTTTTGGATTAGAACTTAAATTTCTGAATTTTTATTTATAAAAATTAAATTTAGATAGTCTTATAGTTTTTGTGAAGTTATTCTTGTATTTTTTATAGTGCAAAGCTAATGACAAATTATTTGGATGTTTTTTGCATTTCGATACCAATAGTTGAAAGATGTTTTAAAATATAATTTAAATTAATACCTACCTATTTGTTTTTTTTCTGTTATAAATATTTTGAATAGATATTGAAAATTAAAAATTAATTTAGTCCATCGATCATTATAATATTATTTACTAACCTAACTAATCAATTTCATTGCAATATAAATTATATTATAATAAAGGTATATACCTGTCCAACAATAATATGTTTGTTAATCTATTACGTAGGTACGTAATCATTTCGGGCGTTTGAGTTCCAGTATAATTTGAATATTATAATTAACACTGTAATAATATGAATAATGGCAGTGATAATTTTTAAAAAAACGTACCTTTGCCCAATAATAATTATCTTATGTATGTGTCACCACCGGTTTATAATACTAATCGTGATTATTAAAATTTATTAATAACAATAATGTTATTTATGCAGATTGCAGATTACTATCATCTCTCTGTCTTCTTTATTAACGACAATAATATCGTGTTCAAATTTTCAAAAGATAATGATAAACGAAAAGAACATTGGTGGGGGCAGTACAGTCGAATGTCGATAAGGTAATGGCGGCAATGTCTTTTCGCTATAATAATTATTATTTTTATTATTATAATTTATTATTATTATTATTTAAATCTAAATAACTGTATAAAATGATCATGTCTACAGCTCTGGCAGTTACTAATATTCAGAACTTCACGAATCAATCGTCGAAACACTTTCACGTGCGCTTAACGCTAAATTATTCCGATATATTATTATTATATCGTTCAAAATAGTTTCTTCCGTGGTTATTTACTTTTTTTTATATTGTATAATATTTATCCGTTAAGACCTACATTGTTTTTTTTTTTTTAAAACAATTGCTAACATGGCAACACGATCTGTAGTATTGGAGTTGAACAAACGTTATTTCATTGAAGACAAATTTCTAGCTTTGGACTGTGTTTATGATCAAACTGTGAGTACTTGTCTATTAACTATGGTTAAAGTTTTTCAAATAATAAAAAATACCACTGTAATAATTTCATTTTTTTTTAAATTTAATTAATGTTTAGAAAATGAAACCATTGCTTAAAGATTGGATTGGATTGTATCAGTGTGAAAATATAAAACTGTATGAACCTCTAATATTTGAATATGTCATGGATCATCCAACAATAGATGGAAATCGTTTTAAAATTAAATTTCTTCCACAACTTTTTGCTAAATATATTCATTGTTCCCGTAAATACCAGTTTGTTTATGTGGATTCCTATTTCAAGGTAAAAAAAAAATGTATTTTATTTTTTATAATTGTATTTTTAATCTAATCCATATTAAAAGCTAATATACTATTTTGGGGAATTAAAACTTAAAATAAATTCCAATTTGTGAAGATCAACTATTCTGTTTAATAAATACGGGAAGGTAATTAAATTTGTTGTCAGTTGTGTAAAAGGAAATAAAAAAGTAATTTGTTAATAACATTTAAACAAAAGTATTAAATATAATTTATTAAAAATGTTTATAAGTAAAACTAAAGTTAAAATTATTTATATAATATCTAATTTGGTAGTTGTAATCAGTAAAAATACCAGTTATACAACACATTTAATGAATCAATTATGATTAAATTTCAGAACTAATAGTTATTTTTTGTTCTTTATGTAAATATAAGTTAGTTAGTTTTTAATATTAAAAGTAATCATATAATTTTGTATACTAAATATTAAAATACAAAAATTATTAATGAATTTTAATGTTTTATATTGTATTATAATTTATTTTATTTGTAGATTATTGCAACTAGCGATCCAATTGAATTTGTGCATAAGAATGATTGTGCCTGCAATAATACCCTTAAGCAAACAACAAATTACATGATTCACACAAAAATGGGACAGGTTAGTAATAAAATATATATTAGTGGTTTAAATTATAATGTAAATAAACAATTGTTTTACGTTACTGTAATCTTATTCAAATTTAGATAAAGTAAATAAATGTATATATAAAAATAAAATAAATAAATAAATCAATGTGTTGCTTGGGGTATTATGATAAATATATTATATCACTGATTTTGAATTAAAAGTTCATCATCAGGTATATCACAGTCAAAAATGACGAGAGAGTGAGGAGAGAAGCTACCCAGCAGTAACACTCAGAAAAAATAAATATAATTTTAATAAAGTGTTTGTTTTTAATTATAATAAAGTAAATAAATATAGTAATACCTATAGTATTCCTTCGTTTAATTTTTTATATTCAGTCACGTTTTACACTTTGACTGTGATATACCTGATATGAATTTCTAATTTGAAACCAGTGTTATAATAATACTCCAGGCGATACATTAATTAATTAATTTAATTTTTATATATTTATTTACGGGTATTAATAATTTTAATAATTTTGTTTTTACATTATTAATTTATTATTTTTCAAATTTTAGAATTGCATAAATAAGTTAAAAATGTTATACCAATTATAAACTAGAACTATGTTTTAATTAACATATGATAAGAGACATTTTCAAGACATTGTAGACAGGACGACAATTTAAATATTTTCAATATACCTATTTTTATGTATGTTTTGAAACTTAGGATGTTAATATTGTAATTCAACGTTTAAAATATCTTGAAGAAAGACTGTTGGAATATGAAAAAAATAAAAATGAAGCAATTCAACTCAATGAACAGCTGGTAAATAAATTGAAAGTGTGTGAAATGCTTCGATCTAGAGGTGAACAATTTATTGATAATCTATACAATGCACTCGACCAAGGAAAACCAGTGAAGTTAATAAACTCCAAAGGACACACTGTAAGATTAAAACAAAAACTAAATTTCTTTTTATAATATAAAATTATTATCTAATTATTTTTATTTCATGTATTTGGCAAAATATTTACCTATTAATTATTTTGATAGTGTGTAGTTAAATCCTATTATTCAGCTCTTAAAACAATGTTTCAAATTAATTATAGCGTTGGATCAAACGCATGCAGACGAATGAAATAAAAAACCATGTGTTATCTACCAAAACTGTTCGAAATGATGTATATTTGACAGCAATCATAAATTCTCAAGAAAAAGAGTTGCAGAGATTAAAAATCATCAACAATGAACTTAATCATAAACTTTCAAACTATAATGTGAGTTTTATTTACTTCATACTTGTAAATAATGTTTTAAAGGTAATTCAATTTTAAATTTAGGAATTGGTGATGTATATTTCTGAACCGGACAATCTGTACAAAACTGGTGCATCAAATGCTACCACTCAAATAAAATCAATTACTTCTGCAGTAGTCAAATCAGTTGATGAACTTGAAATCAGTGATGACTACTGTGAGTAAAATGTATTCTATCTTATATACTTTTTTTTGTTTATATATATATATATTTTTTTTAAACCGACCTATTTGTTCTTCCTGTTATTACTGATTTTACATTTTAGTTTAAATACAGTATTATTATTATAATAAAAAATACCTGAGTTTTTATTTATATAATGTAAAATTATTATTATTAGTCTATTTAGATGTTTATAAAATTTAATGGTTGAGTAAGTATTAACCTATTTCCCAGCAGTTTAAATAACTAAATTTGATTAAAGATTACTAGAGTTATTAATGTTTAAATTAAATGAATTTAATTATACTTTGACAAATAAATCGATTAGTAACAAAAATAAAAAATATAAAAGTTATAATTAGTAATTTTCAAAAATATTTTATAAAATTAATTATTTAAGTAGGAATTTAAAATATAAATGCCCTACAATATTAGATTTCAGTCTTAGTAGAATAAAAGGTGGCTGAGAGGTAATTTATCATGTTTGTCACATTACTATTGGGAATCCTTATTATTCTACATAACCTAAAAGATCATAATTAATGATTAGGTATTATGAAATCGAAATTTAATTTTAAAATAGTGATTACGCAGTTTTAAATTTAATGACAAATTCAAACATATTTTGAGAACTGTTATACTATTACTATGACAGTCAATACAATTGGCATTGGTAATATAATACTATTTAGGTCTATTTTGATTTAAAAAAAAATCATTATTTTTTTTTTTTTAAATTTAACTGTTTGCAATTTACATTCCAAAGAAATATTTTTCTGAAAATATAGTTTCAACCAAATAATTTCCCGATTTGTACATTTTCTTTAAATTGGTAATAAGTGCGAAGATAACAATTATTTCCAACCAATTTGGATATTAACCCTGGTTTGTGCCAATAACAAAAAAAAAATATTACAAAATTAATAATTAATATTAGGTATTATTTAAAAATTACATCTTCAGATTGTTAGATATTTCTAAAAAAAAAAAAAAAAAAATACTGTATTCTATAATGAGGGCCAAAAATGTTGTAACTCTATAGAACAATTAAGCAATAGCAATAGTAAATAAAATATGAAAAAAAAAGGAAAATTTTGATATTTCTAAGAAAGTGACTAAAACTCGAAAAAGTGACTTTTTACATTTTAGTGATTCACTAGCAGTAATACTTAAAATAATAATTATTGTAATAGGTATGATAAAATATGTAAATAAACAAACCTTATACAGAACAAAATAAAATGATAAACTGACAAATTTCCGTGTAATTGTTCTATGGCGTACCTATGAAAATAGTTCAAACTACAGTAACTACATATTATCCGTCATTGAAAATCGGCCATCAATTCATTACAGAAGTGAGGAATTTAGAACTAAGGAAGTGATAAACTCTTTTTATAATAGCATATAACTGCATATATCTAAATAAGTAATAACTAAATACCTACTGATAAATAATAATAGTAATTTGTTCACAGGTCTATTATGATGGCTATCATAATGATTTTAATTTATTTTAATTATTATGCTTTCTACTATCCAGTTTCAGTAATTTTATGCCATGCTTGCTGGCCATTAATCCGGTCACACGGTTGCATTTTACACGAATTATAATCCTTGGTAGGTATTTGTGATGATAATCATGGCTAAATTAATCGCGGTTTAAAATACTTAATTTTTTTTCTATGGCCTTGGTGCTTGGGTAGATAAAATAATAAATACACCTTGGATAAAATATTATTTTAAACCACATCCCGTGTTTAAAATCGGGATATAAACATAGACTTATAGACTAGGTGTATTTATATGTAAGAGAGTTTTAGATTGATAATTTATATACATACACCTTGCTAATAGACTTCTGAAAGTCGATGGATATAAATAGTACCGAAAACATAACCTACAAAAATAATAATTAAACATTTTAGTCCACAAATTTTGTATTCTGAAATCCCTAATTTGTCGTTCGTTATTATGAATTACGTCGTATTCAATCGTAACGGGACACTATATTCAATAATAGTAAATTTGTGCGAGAATACACACTGAACCGGTTTTTATAATTATTATCTTCTCTATAGATATTTACAAATCTATGTGCAATGTGCAGTTGTATGCTGTCGTCTAGTCTCAACGGATAAATACTCGATTCTTTAATCATAAGTCAAATGGGATATTTATCCAAGATCGTACTTCTCCTGTTTTTTATTTGTTTAGTGATAATCAAATTCATTTTAGTTGTTGCTATGTTATTGTCTGATTTCTTGATGTTGAAATCCAATGATTTACGGTTTTTAATGTAGATTACTTTAATAAAACAACTTTACTAAAAACAAGAACAACTAAATCGTGGTAAGCGACTTATTCACAATAAATGCTATTTAATCATTAAGTGTCTATCTACATCATACTCGATGATCTACATAAAATCATGGATTATAATACTATTTATAATTAGCGATAAAATTAGTCGAAGACCGTTAAACATTTTCAATAAGTTAAATGATATTGATACACGATTTTTTTATTATATTTAACGAAAAATATTAGTTTTATATAGGTAACTAGTGCCCTAATGGTAGTATTGCTCTTAGTATGTGGGTATAGATTTATTGACTAAGAACAAAAAATGGAGCATTTTTCATAGTTATTATGTAGTAATCGGTTATAATATTCATATCTGCGTTCATAGGTCAACATAATAGGTCATAATTATACGTTTATCAACTTTGAATAATATTTTCTATTTAGAATTAACGTGTTGGTTATAGGTAATATATGCATTTATTAAATTATATTAAAATTATTTTATCTATATTGAATTTTATTTTACCTGTTAAAATATTAAATACAATATTTCAAATAGCTTATCTTATTGTAACGGTATAATCAAATAATAATGTTATTAAACTCACCTATTGTGTAATTCCACAACTACCTACCTACTGTTTACTTATTATTAATATTTGAAGAAAAATATATTTGGTTATTGTTCAAAACCTAATTATAAAAAGTAAATAAATATAATATATCCTGTAAATATTACTATTTAATGAGTATTATTTTAGATATTTTTTAGTTAGATTAGTTTAACTTTCAAGTTAATTTTAATATTATTGATATTCAATTTATTTATTTTTACAATTTTTCACCAATCATTATTAATGATACTTTATAAAGTAATGTATGTTCATTATTTATATTAATTTTTTTGTTTAGGTATTTGTAAAATTGTATTATCTACCTTTATATTTTGTATTTTATTGGTATTTACCTACAATTCCAAAATGTATTTTGATATTTTATATTTTGATTCTCAGGGTACCACCATAATTGCAGTTAAAATGGAAAATAATGATACTGTTAAAATTATAACAGACAAAACATATTTTATGGAAGAAACAATTAATATTCATTTTAAATTTATTAAAAAAGTAAAACATTAAATTTGTTTTACCAGTCTAATAATAACTTTAAAGATTTAATGAAATTTTTTTGTACCAAATAGTCTATCGAACCACAATATTCTGATTGGATTGCATTATACAAATGTAGTAGCAACAGGAATCTAGAAGAGTTTATTGCAGTAGAAACCAGTCTAACAGTTCGATCATCAACTAAACATGGCCTGATTCCTGTTATATTCTATCCAAACCAGTTGAAGAATGTTAAGTGTAACGAAGTTTATGAATTTATTTATGGCAATAAGTTTAATGAGGTAAATATATTTTGTCAAATAATTTTTAATTTTTTTAAAGAATATTCATTGCATTTTATACAGATTTGTGGAATAAGTCAACAAGTACGTTTCATTCATAAAAATGACTGCTACTGTTACCCAAACGTCACAGAAATAAGCAATTGCAATGGTTGTGTTTCTCAGGTGATATGTTTATTATCTGTTGTAGTTTTAAATCTCTATCAATGGATAATAATTAGCGACCAGATTTGTATGAATTTGAATGAAATACTAAGAATGAGATGTTTTTAAGTTCTATAATTTTATTTCATCAAAGTATTCTTTTATATGCATATTTATTATTTCTTTTAAAGAGGGTCAAAGCGCATCTATTTTTCATATGGTTTAGATCAATAAGCAGTTAGAAATTATATATACTTTTCAATGTTTAATAAAAGTATTTATGAAATTGTTAAGACATTATGTAGATTATTTAGGAAGTTAATTTTCATTTTTCAGTTTTGAAGACTCACAATATCAAGATATTATTTTTAAAAATTACGTGATAATTTCCACATTACATTTGTATTTATTTTGGATACATCAAACTTTATATCAAAAATTAACTTTTTAAATTTTAGCCCCTTTTGCAAGAGACATTTACATAACTTTAACTCAAAACTGATACTAATTCAAGAAGGATAATATCCTAAGTGTAAATTTAAACCTTTCTATGCAAGTCTGGTCCATTAGCCATCATGTTTTTTTAAAAAAAAAATCTTATTGTACACGATAAAATTCACATTTCTAAATAAAAGCCACCCTTAAATAAATTATGCTTAGTACAATTTCATAAAACACTGAGTAAACATTTATGTAATTTATACCCTGTACCTTGTTCAGAAAACTCACCAATTTAGATCTTTAGAGTCAAAGTAGTAAAATATAATTACATACAAATCCAGTCTGTATTAATAATTATAAAATTAATAATATTTTGGGTAAAATGATAGTTCATGTTCAAGTACTACTGTAAGTATTAATGCGTACAGAAAATACCTTTAAACATTTGTAATTTATTTGTTGTTTTGCTAATTGTGATTAAGGAAATAAGTTTATAATATTTGTTACATATAATATAGTGTTTGGATTCTATTTGACACTTACAATGTATAGCTAAACTTGAAATTATGTACCCAAAAATTTGAATAAGTTTCTATATGTCAGAATAATTATTGACCATATCCATGTTTACAGTTTATTTATCCAATAGGGAATATATAGTAAAATAATTAAAGTACTTTATTTGAATAGTGATGTGTTTTGGTTGAATTTTGGAAGTGAAAAACACTTATGATTGAATTCAATTTTAAAGTAGTACTTAGATATTTACTAATGATTATATTAAACTATTTTCATTAAAATAAATTGTATGTATTAATTCTGTAATTTATTTTCTAGGAATTTGTTAATTCTTTATTAGCCCGTATGTCTATTGTTGAAAATAAATTAAAAGACTATGAAATACAATCAAAAGCAAATATGTTAATGAATAAGCATTTGACAGCTGAGATGATTAAATGTGATGCCCATGTACAAACATGTAATGAATTTTTAGATAACTTGTTTTACACAAATGAACAAGTGACCAAAGATGGTATTGTATGTTATTTACTTAGTATATATTTATAAATATAATGATAAATATTTTTGAATTTAAGATGTGGATGGAACCGTGTAATGATATTGATTTAAAACTAAGTGTTATCGAAAATCAAGAACAAGAGTTGCAAAATATTTCAAGTCAAAATGATGGAATTAAAAAAGTATTAGAAAATTTAAATAATAAGGTATGTATTACATATTTTGTTATTAAATTAAACAAAATATATTTTGATTATTAATATTTGATTACCTAACCTATAATTTGGAACATCTCAATGCGTTAAGAGTTTGTAACAAACAATTAATAATATTTATTTGAGATTTAATCATCTACAAATATTGTGTTTATAGAGATTTTAGTTGGTGATTGAAAATAACAATATTTATATAGTGGTAAAAAATAAAGTGCAATTTTATATGACCCTCTCCATCCAAAAACAAATTCGCATGGAAGTCCTGAGTTCTTGATTCACTATTTTTTATATGTATTTTTTTTTTAATATTTCTAATAATTATTATAATTTTATTAGGTTCACTTAAGGGAATTGATGACTGAGTATATTATTGTTTATTTAGTCTTAAAGCCAGATAAGACTATAAGAATTGTCTTTGGTGGATTTCAATTTTTAATATTGATTATGATTCTTTAGGTTCTTTAATTGGAAATAGAAAATTACTAGAAATCATAATCAATTTTTTAAAAATATACTTTAAATATTTTGCATACACTTTATGATAAAGAAAATAAAAATTTTCTGTCAAATATAATTGGTACAGTTTTGTGGCCTTTTGGTCTAAAAAAACATATTTTACAGTACATATTCCGCTTCATTGGGTATCCTGTAGTAGATTAGTGAAAAAATCTGTGTCTAATTCTTTTTAATTTATTATTTTTATGAAAATAAAAAAAATTTCAAATTGGAGAAAATTTGGAAAACCATTCTCAATAAATAAAATGTAGTAAATTTATTTTCAGGTCAAGGAAAATGATAATGATATAAAACTTGAAAGCATGGTGAGATCTCTAAAAGTTTTTAAACCATAATATATTTTATTAATAATGTGCAAATGATTTATTAGGATTCAGAAATAAATAATGTAGTAAATGTAGAAATTGGTTTTGTACCAGAACCGTCAATTGCATCCATTGTTTTTATTGATGAAGATGATCTTTAATCACTTACATTCAAGAAATTATTAATGAAGGTATTAATAGTGTAGTTAAGTTTTTCTTTTTTATTGTGAGTGTAAATTGTTTATAATATAAAAAAAATATCTGTTTAATATAAATAAATGAATTATTGTATAAAATGTTAAGTAGTCATTTTAATATTGATTTTTAACCTGATAAGTTGAACTTTTAACCAAATTATTTTTTTTCATTTATTTCACTTTTTGTTTCATTAGTCATTAACTCGACGAACTTTTATATTCAATTTTAGTTTTGTAAACATTCAAAAAAGTAAAGAAAATTTTAAGGAATTTTAATTCTAGAGGCTGTATTACAAAATAAAATACAGTGCGCTCTGCCATGGTTATTAAAAAATTCTAAATTACCAAACATTTTACATAACATTTTATTATAATGTATGATGTTTACCTTAATTTTGGATTTTGGTTAGGTTATTAGATCTTATTTATCCAACCCTTTTAAATTTTTTGTATTATAATTTTCCAATAAATTCATAGTAAATATATACAGTAATTTAATTTATATCTGTATGCAACAATTTATTGCTAATGAAAAGTTATTTTGAACAATTATTTTTCACACAATTTTGAATTTTAAGTGTGTATAAAAAAAATAGTATATATTGCATAAATATTACTCCAGGAGCATTATTTGGGGGGGTGGCTGGACCACTTACTTTTAATGTAGTCCCAATTGGCTTACTGAAATATTGTACCTTTTTTTCACTATTAAAATTAAATTGTATTATTGTATTAAAAAAATTGTTACATTACTGTTTACCGTGGTTACAATTTAAAACTTGAAATTAAATCATTTTGTCACTTTCATATTGCAATGATAGCAAATTTAAACATTTCAGGGTTTGCATCTTTGCTCAAATTATTTATAACATGCTGAAGAGCTGGAAACTAATGATCCTGATTATATCTAATAAAGCAACACACACACACACATATATTATATAACACTTATAAGTATAACTATTTAAACTAAATAAATAATCCTTATAAAATCACAAAATGAGGCTATGATGTATCTAAAATTAGTACAAGTACTTACCGTCACTGCGTGTATCTGATTTGGAAATTTGAAAATCGGCCGGATATTCTATCTTGCTTTAGACATTTCGATGTTTTATTTTGTTGAACGATTAGTAATAACAGTGACATTTAAAGAATTAAATACGAGAAGAATAAAAAGCCAGGACACTTCACACGTGAGCTATCACAGAAAACTATATTTCCTTTTAAAGAATTTTATATTTAGTAGAACATACGATTAAAAGAAGGAATACTATATAGTTTTGTGTAATTAAGTTTATAATAATCATTTTTATTCAGCAATTAATCTGCAATCATTACAAATGAAAAATGATTCTGAATGGAATTACAGGGGATAGTTACATTTGTTCAGATTTTTAACCAATTTTATCATAAAAATGCATATTTTAGAACTTAAAATGTATATAAATAAATAGTAATGGCATTATGCCCGTCACTTTTTTTTTTATCACCTTAAGCGTAACTAAAGCAGAAACTGGTATACTATTTTTACATAAATTATAATTCATGTAAATTAAAAATAATCATGCACCAATGCTGGGTAATCTTAAAGATTGATAAAAAAAAAAAAAATGCTGTCCTAGGGTAATGGGGACGGGTGCAACAGCCACTATTGTAGGTGAGAAGTAGGGAAAGTTGTTGAAGGGAAATTGAATGTATATCTGTAAGCAACGAAAAATACCATTGCTAATGAATAAAACAATTCTAAGCGGAGTTCAGTTAATAATGTTGCTTTGTCAACAATATATACTTAATGTCATATTATGGTAAAATAATTACATAGGTATTATATATTTTCTTGAATAATATTTGTTTAACATAGTACCCATTTTCCCGGTTTTCCCATTTATTGGGAAAATAAAAAATTGACCTTAAGGTACCTAATTTTCAGTTAGATTTCCTTTTAAAAATCTGGTACCATTGTAAATAGAAGCCAAATTTATGATGTCTTTCAATATAATTGTCAGGTAAATGTCTTTTACACAGATTTTAAAAAGGCTTTTGATCGCGTCGATCACAACCTTTTAATTTATGCAGCATGTATTTTGGAATATGATTATATTATTTGGAGCCCATATATGAAATTAGAAAGTGATTCAATTAAAAGAGTCCAAACCGTTTCCTCAAATACTAGTTTTTAAAATTAATTTTCAGTTGGAACCTATTTGTTTACATTCTAATTCGCCTACACTGGCATCTAGACAGGAAGTGGTGGATAATACTTTTGTCTATAACCTCATTAAGAGCCACATAAATTCTTCTTATTTACTTGAATACACGCACTTTAATGTTCCCTTAAACCATCCTAGATACCCCCACAATTTTTTATACCTCCTTTCATAATACCAACTCTGTTAAAAATTCACCTCTTTCCAGAGCAATATTATGATGTAACAAACACCCCAACTTTGATTTCTTTCTTGATAAAGGGTCTAAAATAACTAAATCTCATGTTAATTATTGTAGTTGATATCTATTATATCTAATATTATTATTACATTATTTATAATTTTACATTACATAAATATCAATATTATATTTAATCACTTATAACTACGTATTACCTATTGTTTTACTGTAATGTATTATTTCGTTTCAATTGGGTTTACGCTCGTTTTATTTCAAAAAAAAAATTATTATTATTTTTACTATTAAAAAAGTTGTTCACTCGAAAAAAAAGGCAGATATATTTTTCAATTAATGCCTACATTTCGTAAATTTTCCAATTTATTAGGAAAATTCCTGAAAAAATTAAAAAAATTACCTCCCCAGCCCGATTTCCTTTCAGGAAATGTGCTACACTTGTTAATCGGAGCAAGATCACTGGTAGAAAAGTTGTCCAAAGAAAAAAAAAATAAACATTTATATAAAACCATAAGCTTCTTTGCTCTACTCAAAATCTTAAACACTATAACATACGGTTAATATTATAATAAATAATAATGTTATGCGCGCACGTTCGAGAACATCACGTAACGGACGAATACTAACAAGAAAACGAATATCCAATAACAACAGTAGGTACGCAGTTTACGATATCGAAATGTAATGCTCGTAGTGTAATTCTAGCGATTAATCAATAATAAATTGCTAACGAAAAGCGATTCTGAGTGAAGTTCGGCGATATTTTATACATCTTAGACCATTAGGGCCCCTCAGACGCAATTACGATTGGTCAGGCTGGCACTATTTTAGGTCTTTATACAACTATAACTGTTTTTTTTTTCCAGTGGCCAAAAGATTTTGTCATAGAAACGTTTTTATTAACCGAAGACCTATCAACGATATCGGTGTATGTTACCAAAAAAAAAAAAATGTTCAGGAAAAGGAAAAATTTGAATGGAGTCTATTGAGATCGGTGTATTTGCACGTCTAGAACCTAATATTGTAATATTTTAGAGCACCTACTTGATGAGAGTACGTTAAATGCATAATATATGTATCTTAATAACAATTGAGTTTATAAATTTACGTAAAAAAAACGATTGTTGAAAACATTGTAACATGCACCAATCCCATTGATAGGTCTTCAATTATTAATTACACTTTAATATTTTTATTTTTAGTTGTAATCTATACATAATTAATATGATATAAATGTGCAATGTACACATATTGTAGTTTTGTGGCTTGTAGGAAAAAGAACAGAACTGGCGTGTCTATAAATTAAAAATATTAGTTATTTTCAAATAACGTTAATTTATTGCTTATTGAATTAAAATTAACATTTCAGTTATTACATAAATTAATAATTTTTTTTAAATTTTAAATTAGCTAACCATTTTACAAGATGTGTGCTATTTTTTACCGACGTAATATTGTTAAAATATTTGTCTATCCCACTCACCTCTATATATAAAAAAAAAAATCATAACTTTTTAGTGACTTTAGACAAAAAAAACATGATTTAGGAATGAAAATTAAAAAAAAAAAAAAAGTGTTATTACTTAGGAAAACATAACAAAACGACTAATAGAAAAAAAAAAAATTCACAATGTTTATATATATAATATATAAAATAAAGCAACAACAAAATGTTAACATAAATTATTTAAATTTCGAAGAAAAAAATTAATTATAGTATTGTAGAAATTATTTAAATTAAAATATGTAAATAATGGAAACGTCAACATAACAAAAAATTTTTGTTTTGAGAAAAATTTGTATGTTTAAATATTTAAGAACTAAAAATAAAACTTGTAAATTATACAATAGTAATTATTAATAACTACGGAGCTAACAGTGGTTAATTAAATAATATTATTAACAAATTGAATACTATAATACAATGTCATTGTGTGTAAACATTTCATTAAAATAATAATCTATGAAGAAAAAAGTATAATACATTTATATTTGTTTTTCAAAATGGTAAAATAACGAAAATTTTCTTTTAAAATAACCTACTAAATTCTGTGGTTAAATCAATTTATTAGTTGTGTTTATTATTATTAAATAAACAAATGTTAAAACATAATAATATTAATATATAAATATATATATATATATATATATATATATATATTATTATATAGTGAATGAATTGCACGGTTTAATAAAATTAATAATTAATAATAATAATAATAAAAAAAAAAACTAATTACCTACAGTGTGTACCCCCTATATTATAAATTTTAACAAAAATAAATAATGTTTATAATAAATTTGTATGATATATATATATTTATAATAATATTTAATCAAATATTTGTTAATAAATTCTATACAAATTTACAAAAATATATATATTTATTCTATATTATATGTTTAAAATAATAATTATATATATATAACTCCTAAACGTTTAAAAGTATAATATTATAACTGAAGTAAAATATGATTGTAACAAAAAAGGTTGAAATGGAAACAAAGTTTCCATTATTGTACAATGTTTAGGGGAGGGGAAAAAATTGTTTTCCAGAATATTGAGAAGTTATCCTACTTTTTTTTTTCTATATTCATTATAGTATTCAGTCTCAATAACTTACTGGCCTTATTTGGAGTTTAAAAAAAAATATATATAATAATAATAATAATAATAATAATAATAATAATAATAATGATAATAATAATAATAATAATAATAATAAATTGTCAACCTCTCTTCAGTCGATCATTATTTTTTGTAATTCTTGATTGATTGTATTTATTTAGTAATTTTCAATAAACCGCAATAATATATAAATATAACGAAATAATATAAAAATATTTTTTTGGCAAAAAAAAAAAAAAAATAAATAAATAAATAAAACAAAACAAAACAAATAGAGCATATTTTAAAAATGTAATTTTTGGAATTATATTGCACAATACCACCTAACTACCAGATCAAACTTAAAAAAAAAAAAAAATCAAAATTTAAAAAAGCACCGAGCGCTGCTGCTTTGTTTATAGACTTTTCTTAAGATAATATAAAAAAATGACAACATTAGCATAATAATATTATGCATATATATATATTTATAAATTGCTATAAAAAAAAAAATGTCCTTATTGCTGTCGATATTATTCCTCTCGGAATGTTGTTTCAGTTAAAAACTGACAATTCTTTTGTTTTGCACACAATACATAGCCGATATGAAATCGAAAATTGTTTTATGATCAGGATAATAGAATATATTTCAAAGATTGGGAACAAGTTTGTCATGATTTTTTTTTAGGGAGGGGGTTATTGACAATGTGTATCTAATTATGTTTACATAAAACCATAATAAAGAAAAATATTAATATACAAGGTAATATTTAAACTGTGCACTTAAATAGAAAAAAAAACTCAATTCGAATGTAGAGGTAGTTTTATATAATAATATACACACACACACACACACACACACACATATATATATATGCTAATAAATTGAAGTCTAATAAAAAAAAAAAAAACAAATAATCATTATGATATTAGCATCCATAAAATAATGTGTTACCCCGAAATGATGGGGGGGTAGAGCATTAATATTTCCAAAACTCGCGAGTAAAAAAAATAAAATTTTAAATATAGTCTGATATAATGATAATATGGATTTTATTTTTCGGTTAAAAGCAGTAGTCGTATATTGTTTAAAAACAAAAAAAAATCCTACCAAAAGCTTAGCTAAAAATGTAATATACTTTTCGTGTGTACTATGTATACGTGTAAATTGTATGTATTTTTTTATTTGTATAAAAATATATATAACGCAAACTCAACATTTTCTGGAAGATTATAATAAATATTATTCCGATAAAAATCAAAAAAAAAAAAAAAAAAAAAAAAAAAAATCATAAAATTTGTTTATATGGATAAAAATATATTATATATATATACGAAAAACAGAAAAATAAAGGTAAATCATATTTTAAAATTTAACATTGTTTAAAACGAAAAATATCGTCCTATATAAAACCTCAGCAACAGTTGTGAACAAATAAAACGCGTGAAAAAAAAAAAAATAATCATAAAATTTGTTTATATGGATAAAAATATATTTATAATAATATAAAATATCAACGAGCTGGGGAGGCGACGCGTTTCAGAGAAGTGTACAGCGTGCAGTCGTCGGCAGAACGTGTAATATATATGTATTTAGTTATATATGTATGCGTTTAATAATGTTATTAAATAATATAAAATGTGTACGTGAGTGCATTGTTGTTATGATTGTTACGTCGTTTTGGCGCACCGCCGTTCCCGCGCAGTCACAGTAATGGTCGGTGGTGTTGGGGACGGGGGGCGAGGGGGTTAAGGCGGCAATAGGAACGGCACTTGTGGGAAGTCAATGGCCTTGGGCATGTAGCACTCGTGCACCGTTTTCATGTGGTTCTTCATCTTGTCCGGGCGCGAGAACTCCTTGGCGCAAACCGGGCACGGGAACACCTTGCGCTGGTGGCCCTCGTGGTACAGGAACGCGTGCCTCTGGAAGCTGTACTTGTTCTTGAACGTTTTCAGTATGTCCGTCTTAGCGCATTCCAGACACTTGTAGATGCCCTCGGACACGGTAGCGTATCGAAACAGGTTCAGGCCACGCACCGACATCTCGGTCAGCTGTTCGGCGGGATCGCTGGACGACGTGGCCCGTCTCCGAATGCGACGCTTGACGGGCGTCCGGAGAGAACCCGCCGCTTGTTGCTGCTGCTGCTGCTGCTGCTGTTGTTGTTGTTGTTGTTGTTGCTGCTGCTGCTGCTGTTGGGAATCTTGCATCTGCAATCGCTTGTCCTCGTCTAGGACTGCCTGTAGCTGATGCTTATAGCCGGATGTGTGCTGGGACACGGCCAACGCAAACTTGGACTTGTGTTCGGCCATGGCGGCGGCCGCCGACCAGGTGGCCAACGTCAGCCGGGCGTCATTGTTGTTGTCCCGATCACCACCGTCCTGGTGATGAAGTGGGTGGTGGTGGTGGTGGTGTTGTTGTTGGAGGTGTTGTTGCTGTTGCTGGTGGATATCGTGATCCGTCCGCGTCGACGACAATAATTTCAACATATTCGCATTGTGCATATCTGCGGAGAAGAAATGCAAAAAAATAATTTTTAATTTATTCAAAAATCAAAAATAAAGGAATTGCTAGAAGGAGGTCGATTTTTTTCGTAATAATTACTACACATACGGGTGCGCTTTTAACTGAAAAATACAATAGTAATAAAACGGTGGTAGCGTTCGGTGATGAGGATAAAAATAATACAAGTATAACAAAATATTAAAATATATATATATATATATATATATACAGGGCTATCTCTTTTAATCATGAACCGGCAATTTTTTTGGAGGATTTTAAGTGAATTTATTTCTGTTTTTTTTTTTTTTTTTTATACATTGTGGAACCGTTTGAGTTTTATTTTAAAACCATTTCTAATTTTTTCCCCTACTCCATGTACCGTAAATAAGTATATACTTTTGTTTTTCAAATAGGAACACTCCTTTTTGAATACAGAATATTTTTCTAGAAATGTTGATACGCATACCTAACACTAATATTAGATTTACCGTTAATGAGTTATAACCATTTAAATTTTAGACCAAAGAAATCGGGAAGAGTTATCAATTCATCATTTAAAAATAGATAAGTATACAATTTATTACCCTTTCCTACTTTTCCAGTCTGATCTAAACTTTGAATGGTAAATCTGAAATTAGCTTTGTGCACATAAAAATGTCTAGAAAAACAAAAGTATATACTTATTCAAGGTACATGAAGTAGGGGTAAGAAATTAAAAATGATTTTAAAAAATAAAGCTTAAATAATTCCAGAATGTTTAAATAAACATTTGAAAAGTTAAAAAAAAAAATTAGGCATCAAATTTATTTAAAATCTTCGGAGAAAATTGCGATTCATGATAAAAAAAAAAGTCACCCAGTATATACTTGATGTTTCTGAAAAGTGTGTCACTATACTGGATGGGGTGACCTATTTATAAATATTTACTTTTAAAATAACTTTGCCAAAGTTTAAAGATAAATATTCTGATATTTTCCTCAAAGTCCATTTGACGACACTTAACATATCAACATGGTAAATAATGTTTAATCAGTTTTCAGATAAAGTTTATTTGTTTGTTTTTTTAAATTTTACTAGTTTTTATTAACCAGTTATGTTAGTTGTCAAAAAATAAATTATACCATATTATTTCCTGCAAAAAGATGTGTCAAATCACTTTCTTTCCATCTAGTGACATTAAGCTTTTAAAAGTCAGTTTATCTTTTGAAAATTATGTGATATATCGATTTATTGAGGTCTTTGCAGGAAATATTTATCTTTAAACTTTTCCAAATAATCTTGGCGGATGTAAAAAAAAAAAAATAGTTTTTGGTTTATAGAAAAATTGTTTTATTGTTTTAAACATTGTTATTAGATCACTTCACGCTAATGCTAGTAGCAAAATACTATTCAGAAACACCCTGTATATATGCGTACATAAAAAAAATAAGCATATAAATTAAATACTATGTGTCGGTGGTAGACAAGGCACAATTAAGCAATGCTTAATTTTTTTTTTTTAATTTTAATAATACTTCAATACACAAGGCTTTTTTTTGTTTGTTCTCTATGATATATTATATATAAATATATATATATATAAATCTGTTTAAAAAGTACTACCTAATCTATTGCTCAAAAACTAAAATAAAGCTATATCACAAAAATATTAAAATTCCAGGTTTTTAATAGTTTTTAGGTAGGTACCAAATCATTCTACTTTATAATATAATTTTATAGGTATTTTTGTGTTGTCTTTTATCATAATACTAACATAATGTGTTGTTGTATAGGTCGTCCGGGATCTGGTGGTTGCTCAAAGGTCACAAAGAGAAAGGGTAAATTCATATTTTGAAAAAACCCCATAATTTTACTGTATGAGTATGAGTATAATAATATTGTTTGAATGGGAATGCTCAAAAGATTTGTGTACCTTTAATATATGGCATTTGAGTTTTGAATTATGACGATTAACTGAATTAACAAAAACATATTTGTTGAAAAGAAGTCTTTTTATTTTTTTAAAAAAAAAACTTCTACATGAAGAAAAACCTAATCTCATTCTTAACATTTTTAGCACTAACACTCCACTAGTGAATGTATTTCTCCACATAAAAGAAGTAATTAATTTTATATTGAAAAATGTTATAATAAATGCATAACACACAATTTAATAGCATTTGTACAAGAAGTACAAATGTACAATACTGTAGTATAAGTACTATAAAGATGAAAAGATGTATAATAAGTAAATGTTTACTTAACAGCATATTTTGTTGAACAAATAGAATATCTATAATAATCCTGCATAATTATGACATTATAATTTTTAACTAACGAATATAGGAAAGCTTATGGAAAAACCATGCAACAATGCGAATAATATTATTAACAGAATAATCAAACTACATGGTGTATACCTATATTATTATTAACTATACAATGTATGCATTGGAAAAAATTGGTATTTATTTGTTTCTATGATATTAATTATGTACAATTGAATATTGAAATTTAAACAAAAATTATAGATTCGTGTACATAATAATATAAAAAATATAATTTTGTAATTACCATAAAAACAAATTGTATAGTCAATTGCAAATATAAAAATGATTAACAAACGTATGGTTATTTTTTATTAATAAAATTAAATCAGTATACTGTAGAAGAAAATTAAAATAAGCAATTAATGTTTGTAAATGGTAAACAGTAGCAGTTTTTTTTTTTTTACTAATCAAACAAATCACATAAAATGTAATTTTTTTTCATGAAAATTAAAAATAACAATCAATACTAATATGTTAAAAATCTTATTTTATTTTTCATGCAAAAAAAAAAATTTTAAAAAATAATGTATTAATAAGTTACCAGTGGGAAACATGAGTTTTGTTGGTTAAATCTTTTCAATAGGTAAGTGTTAAAAAATCATAAAAAAAAAAAAACTCTGAATAATGATATCATAGAACTGAAAATAGTAATTAATATTATTATCTTATTAAGATAATAATAATACTATTATAACCTATATGGAAATTAATTTACGATTAATTTATGCGATTTAAGTTTACAAGTAAGTAAAGACTAAATAATAAAATAATAAAAAATAAATAAATAAGCTATGAAAATAATACATAACATGGTTTAGTGTTCATATAATATTAGAATATCTACACAAGTACACAAAATCTATTATACACTAATACATAATATTATTATCTCATGCTGTTATTAAAATATTATTTTCACCTGTCACTTACAGTTTAGTTATCTGTCGATTTGATTTTGCAATTATGTAGATAGGTATATAACTCCTAAGGCAGCCGCAAATATAACAAAATATATCGTATATAATATTATAAAAATAATGTACATGACAATAATAATGAGATTAATGTTATATAGCGAGATTAGTAAAAATATATTAAAATAGCATTTTATGTAATTTTCTAAAGCCAATAATTTATTTTAATAGCATTATTATAATATTATAGGTACAATAGTTATTATCATAACGTTATTAGTAGTTGAATTGGGTAACAGTCAACAAAACAAAATATTTTTTTTTTTAACAATTTTTATTTAATCAGAAATTTCACATATTAATTAAATCAATAAATATCACTGTAACACGCTGTATTATATGGCGCATTAAAAAAAAACAATGACTACATAATAATATATATATATATATATTATGGTTTTTAATAAATATAGAATATAAATATTTTTAACACTGCCCAAATATATGAAAAAAAAAAAAAAAAAAAAAAATGTTATTTCCCCATAAGTTAAAACAAAGCACCA